CTCGATAGCTATATAATAAATACATAAATGTGTTTACTTTGTTATTGTTGAACCACAGCGGGCAGAGGCACGTTTCAGCCCCCCTGGGCCTTTACCTCCAAATACAATAAATATTATAATGTGTCTCCTCAGTACCAGGGTTCTCTCTTACATAACCACAGGCTGTTATCACACACAGGAAGCTGAGCACGGATACTGTATTATCTAGTATAAGGTCTATTTTCAAATTTCCCCATTAGCCTCCCAAATACCCTTCACAGCTATTTTTTTAAATTCGGATTCCTGGCAAGGATGAGGCCCTCTCTAATTCAACTTCCAGGTCCACCACCGCCATACCAGCCGTCCACCATCATGGGACCTTATATCCAGCCCTAAAGGATCCTTCTGGGGGTTCACCCATGGCAGCTTGCCCTGGACTTTAGGGTCGCAACACATTCGACTTCCTCCCTGGTTCCTCGAACCTTGCCTCCTCCTACCGGTTCTTGGATGTTGGGGGGCCACAGGCCTTGTGCTGGGCTCCTCCTTGGAGCTTCCAGGGGGTCTCATCCAGGCCTGTGGCTTTAACGCCTGCTGCACACTCATGCCACCCATATTGGCTGATGCCCCTGACAGGCTTAGCTGGTGTCACATGCACGCACAGCCCTGTCCAATCACAGGTGGCAGAGAGCAGGTCACCGGGCAGGAACAGGACAGCCAGGAGCCACCCTGGCTCCCTCTGGGGTTGGATGATGGGGAGGGGAGGAAAGAGCTCTTCAGACAGAGGGGTGGGCAGTCGGCCCTCATGCCCTCAGTTCTCAGAGCATCAGGCCCTCGGCGCCGGAACTTAACCCATCGGGAACTGCCCTTTTGCATTTTTCCAATAAAATGATTTCTGTTTGTTTTAAACAAAAAGGGCAATAGCTACTGCGAACTGATGCTATCCAGTGGCCAGGGCTTCCAGCCCTGTCCCACCCCCCCCGACCCCCCCGCAGTGGGACAGAACCTATAGCCTTTCCACATCTCCCCTGGCACGGACTTCAGCACCTCCAGCTTAGCATGTCCAGATGGAAATCACAAAGTCTCCTCTCCTTTCCCATCTCTGCCAGTGTCTCCATCGGGCCCCCCCAACAGCCTCCTCCATGGGGGTCCTGTCTGGACTCCTGCTCCCTCCATCTTCATTCCCGCCTCTGAGGCTGGTCCATCCAGCTGCCTGGACACCTCACGAGCCTCCAGTCTCTTCACCCTTGCCGCACCCCGCAATGGCTTTTCCAGGGGCACTAATCTTTCAGGTGTAATTCCCATTGGTCACTCTTCTCTGGAAAACCTTCCCACAGCTCCTCACTGTAGTGAGAAAACACCCCAACTCTACCATTCCTCTGGCGGCCCTCCACCGGCCTCCCTAGTCCTCCAATGTGAGGTTGTGCCACATCAGGGCTTGTTTCCACCTGCTTCGACCTCTGCCTGCAGCGCACCCAGTGACTGCCCTGCCTCCAGGCCAAGGCGGCCAGCTGCCCTTCCCCCAGCCCGCAAGGCATTCGGAGGCCCCTAAACTCACACTGCACACCTCCTGCCCCCGAGCTCGGCCGATTGGCTTAACTACAGTCATGTGCACACACACCTGTCCGCTCCTCAGAGGACAGACAGCAGGTCACAGGGCCAAAGCAGGCTGCTCCCACAGGGGTTGCAGGACTGGGGAACTGAGGCAATTCTTGGACAGGTGGGGCCTTGATGGGCAGGCAACAGACCCCCATCTGCGGTGCTCAGCCTTCAGCGCCCTTGGCCTCTCTGCACCACTAAATGGATTTGAAACTGTCCCTTTTATTTATTTTTTTTTTTGCTCTTTTAACCAATAGAGGAGTTAAAAATACAGAAAATAATGGGGCATCAATGTAAACATTTGGGTAGCAGCTAAAAAGGCAGAGCACATTTATTTGGGATGGAGGAATTGCAATATGGGGTACACAAATTCAGGAAGACAGCCCAGCAGGTGTCCCTGGGTGGGACCAAGTTGGGGTCTTGTATGAGAGGTAAAGAGGAAGATGAGACATATGGTAAAAGAAAAGAGGTGCTCGGTATTAGCATGCTTACGCTGCCCATGCTCGGCTACACACAATTGGCTGCCGCTTCTCTTCCCTGGCAGATAGTCTAGAGTCATCAGTTCTCGTGATCTTGTTTGTTTGGTGGTTTCTTAAAACAATTGCTTTTGACCCAGTCCAGTGATCTTTGGTCCAGTTTAAAGGTCTCTGACCTAGTTCAAACAAGACAGGGAATGCAATGTCTTTGCAGTGGCTGACAGGCTCCACTCAAAAATGGCTCCCCAAATGTCAACTTTTCATGGGGGTGGACGTGGGGGGAGGTCCCACAATTCCACCAGCTGATGACAAACCCTGTTAACCAGCCTCTGCCGGTTCTGTTCTCATCCCTCTGGACAAACTCTGTCCTTCACTTCATAGCTCTTGAAGATCTTAGAGAAAAAAAATGTACATCATGCTTTCTGTTACAATCTTATCAGGATTCAATCAATAATGCAGTTTTATTCTCTCTAAAAGTTGCCAAAGGCCATAACATCACTATTCCTGCTGAACACACAGCATACAGGGAGGCGTGTCTTACACACTTGTAAATGTCGACTAGCCCATGAAGGCTGGCATTTGATGCTGCCTTCTACCTGGCATTAGGGGCACATTAGGAGGGCCCCCCACCCCCTGAGCTGCCAGATTATGTGGATCCCATTGTTTCTCCTCCACTTGCTGTTTAGGAAACTGAGAACTGGAGGAATCCAGTAACTGGGCCAAGATGACATCGAGAACAATATAGACTGGAGACTCCAGTTCAACCCCAGCCTGCACTCTTGAGTTGCTTTGAACGGATTGAGTTTGAGGTGCTCGCGGGTCTTCCAGGGGAGAGTTCTGGGGGGTATTTAGATAAACTAGCTCAAGCCGCAGATGAAGTCCTTAGCTCATGACATAGATTTGGGAATTATCTGGTTGTGGCAGCATTTAAAGACTCACAGTGGATTAGCTTGTTCTCTCTGCTGCAGTCTCTGCACCAAGGGGCCCAGGCCAGGAAGGACCCCCGACAGGACTCCCTTGAATAAGGAGAGCAGAAAGGGGCTTGGAAAGGCAGCAAGAGCTGGAGCTGGAGAGGTAAGGACCAGCTAATCAATTAGGAAGGGAGAAAAAATTTCAGGGGCTCACTGCTCTTTCCAAAGGATAGAGAAAGAGGGAAGGAGCCGGCGATGAGCAGCAGGAAGGTAACGCAGAGCACTGAAGCTGGTGTGGGCCCTTGTGAGCGCTCAGCCCTGTGTGACTACACAGGACACAGCCCATTATGCTGCCAGGACTGGTGTGGGGTCCTCCCTGTACCCCAGGCTGAGCAGATGCTCACAGGCAATGTCTCAAGCACAGGGGGAAAATAATGTTAAATAATGATAAAAAGGTTGGGATTTGCCCGTTACCAAACCAACAATGTTGCTGATTTCATGGACTTTTGATAATTGTGTTACTCTGGGGACCCTGGCAGTGCTGTCTTTCCCTCCCCCGGTTTGGGGTGGGGGTGGCTGCTTTATCTCCCCACCCCTGCAGGCAACGGGGTGAACCTCTGAGCAGGTGCAATGCTTTACTGCTCAGGCACAGTTGCTTGGAGCCAAGAGTGTTTAAACTCATGTATTATGTCAAATATCATTTATATCAAAACTACTCCTTCTTAATCTTGACGCTAATTACCATATGATTAACATTCGTCCCTGACCTTGCTAAACCATTTACCCTGCCTGAACTTCAGATTTCCTCATCTGTAAAATGGAGATAATTATACTTCACTGGGGCGCTGTGAGGATTAATCATATGAAAAGCTTTTTTTAAAGAGTATTAAGCAAATGCCAGTTAGTGTCACCACAGATCTGCTCAGCGGTCGCTTTGTTGGTGCAAATGGGAGACCTCAGGACAAAACAGCTTGAAGGAACCCTCTATGGGCTCTGGTGTGTTCTTAATATTCAACTTCTGATTTTAACTCTCAAGCACTTTTCTTTCCTGGGGAGATCCCCTGGGCGCGTCAGAAATGTCTGGGGTCACAGATCAACAAATCCCGGCTTCTATACCCTATTCTCATGAGCTGGGCTGACTTCACGATTTATTTATTTAAATTTCAGATGTTATGAATCGTCATCAACCCCAACACAATGCACCAACATGATTTCATGCATTGAGAGGGAAGTATTTTCTGGTTAGGTGGAAAATTGTGCAGGTGGCTTCTGGAAGCTGCTATTAAGCAAGCTTTCTAGTGAAATATTTCTTTTAGAAGCTGGACCTTCTCTCTTCAGGCTGCTGTCACCTCCATCACTGAGTACAACTGGTGTTGATTATGGGGACCCAGTTTTTCCCAGGGGTCTGGTTATTCTATCTGCCCCAACTGGATTGAACAAAGCCAGACACACGGACTCCAGCCCCGAATACAAGGAGGGGATCAAGCTGGGGTGCTTCCCGGCCTGACTGAGGATCTGGCAGGGCCTGGCTGTGGAGAGGCCTTGGGCTAGGATGGAGAACAAACCTGGCCTGGATGAAGTCTCTCTGACTTCGCATTCTGAATGGACACTGGAAGGATGGAGAAGAAGCCAGACCTTGGAGCTGATGGCCAGCTGGAGACAGGTGATCTTTCTAACTCGTTTCTCAGTACATAATGCACCTGGGTGACACTCTGGTGAAAGAGAGCAGTGATCCCATAAGCTCTTCCCTCAGACTGTAGGGCGGAGCCCCTGGGCCTCCTACCTAGAGGAGATCTTCTGGGAGAATGTTCCTGCCCACTCCATCTCAGTGAGCCCACCAACCGCTGCCTCCGCCCCTCTGTCCTGTCTACCCTGCTCGGTTCTTGCTGGCACATACGCACCTGACATGTACTTTGGGAGTTTATACTGTTGGACTCTTTCCACTTGGGGCAAGCAGGAGAACGCCCCGACGTTGCTCCTGCTGGGTTTCCAGCCTCTGGCTGAGCCGGCCTTTGGCCAGCCACAGCATCCAGCTCCAACTTGTAATCGTCCTTCTTTTACATTGTATTTATTTTCAGGAAATACTTTCTACTCATGACAAAGGATACTTTACATTTACCACCGTGATAGAAAATCATTTAAAGGTAAATTTCGGAAGCCAAGTAATTTGAACAGCTCAAGTAGATTAACTGTAGTGCTGGAACGTCGGTAAAAGAAACCCGTTCTGCAGGCGTGAACTGCTCACTCTGGATGTGCAGGGGCACGTGTGCACACGTCCATCCTGCTGAGACGTGGAGCCTCAGGAGTTGGTAGGGGTCACCTCTCACACAAGGACTAAGGAGCAGAGAGCGCCCAGGTTTGCAGTGGAGTGTACACTTGTCAGAGCCCTTCTGGTGACCTTCTACATTTCTGTCCAGGGGTGTGTGTGACCCCTGTGCCTTTCGACCCTCGTCTGTACCTTTAAGCCAGTTGGAAGTGATACAACCATATACCTGTACACTCCAGGTCTCTGAAGTTAACCATAAACTGTGGAAGTAGTAGTCAGATGGGGCAAAGGGACAGAACACGAAAAAAGGTAATTTTGTCATTCAGCCCTTATTCTTTGAGCCCAGATCGTGGGCCAAGTGCTTTGCTACTCTGCTGAATGTCCAGAATACAAAGCTCCTCCCATGAACCTGCTATTTAGCAAGCTCCAGTGTCAGCCATTACCACTCAGCAAGTTCCGAGTCCTGGGAAGCAAGGCTGTGGATGCTTTGGGGCTTTTCCCAGTCCTGCTCATCCCCTCGGAGGTGTTTCTCTAACGAGTTATTGCTGATAAATGTTTCAACATGGTGCTTCTAAGGATATTTTAAGTTTCAATGGAGAAATCTAAACTTAGAGAAAGGAGAGCGGTGGTTGTGGTGGTGGGGGGTGATGAATGAATGCAATCTGGGGATCCCCACAGGGTGAAGAGGCCAAGTGTCAGGCTTTGGTCAAGGTCACTGGCTACTGGGTCTTAGGGCGCCACAGGAGCTTGGCAGCCACCCGGGGCTCTCTGTCTTGTGCTTTGGTTGCGCAGCATGTTCCGATGACTACAGTCAAGAGACAGTGTCTGATCTTGAACCAAGAGATACACTGGCCTAAAGTGAAGTGGCCACAATGCACATTTCAGTGTCCTGACCTGTGAAGTTCACCATTGGTGCTTCCTCCACCTTTCAACCGAGTTTCCCAAATCACAACCTGATACCAACTTAAGAAGTATTTTAAACATCTGCAACGCATCGATGCAGCCGGGCTCTGAAAATAGCAGCTGCAGCCACAAACCAAAGAACAGGCCTTTGTGAACAGACTGAAAGAAGCTGTTTGTCCTGAGCGCTTCTTTTCAGCCTCAGACAGAACTCCCCGCGATGACTAGAGTAATGTCTGTAGGCAGAATGGGAGTCAGAGGGAGGTGGGGTAGCTTAGCTTGCTTGTCCTTTCACTACTAAGTTTTCAAGCCCTGATTTTGCCCAAAAGGTATGAACTCACATGAAGGCAGGTAGTGGGCTCACTGCAAACAGGTGGGACAGCATGAGCAGGGACCAGGCTCAGGAGGAAGCACATAAAATGGGGATCAGGGTTCCCTTGGTGCTGGGAGGGCCTGGGCTCTCGTGCTGTTACACCCCAGCCCAGGCCAGGCCTTCTGGACACAGCTGCATGCCAACAGCTGAAGTGCACCTGTCTCAAGTTAAGTGGGCCCTCGTTTTTCAAACAACATTGAACTTACCTCTTCAGCCATATTAACAGTGCTGAGACCAGTTTCAGAAACTTCTCTCAAGACGTGAATCTAAACCACACAACTTCCTGAGCAGCCACACATGTGGAGCTGCCTTCCCAGCCAACGCAGCACTACCTTGAGATTGTCAAGGGGTACAATTTGGAGTCAGAATCACAGGCCAATTTGTGCCTAGTCGAGTGGCACTCAGGTCGTACTTGAATCTACCCTGGCCATGTTTAATCGTCCTCTGCCCACCTTTAAGAGTCCAAGGCTGAAAGCTTATGCAGTCCCCGAAGGAGTTCCAGCGAGCCTGAAAGTGAGAGAACAAAGAGAGATTACTCAGCAAGGGCAGAGAACAAGCAGGAAAAGACTCATTTTTTTGTACCTAAGCCCAAAGCTCAAGCCAGATGCCAGGAAGATGGAATAAAAACTGTTCCTGTTGCCTTGAAATGTTTGAGATGCCAAAGGAAGGTCTTTAGAGGACCATTTATTAACAGATCTAGTCTTCATTTCAAAAGAAAAATGAAATGCCAGTGATTCAAGCCTTTTCATTTAAAATAATTTCATCAGATTTTATTCTGGTTCATGAGCATGAAGGCCGGGTGTCCACGCCATTGTGTGAGATGTGCCTCCCTTAAACCTTGCTACCACGCCTGCACGTTACCATTCTGTTTTTTTTTTTTTTTAAAGATTTATTTATACAAGAACTGGAGTACAGGCCAGATGTACAGGAGGGTGAGAGGATCCACCAGAGACACAGCAGGGAACAGAACAGGCAGACATGGGCCTCCCTGGTGACGCAGGCGGTTGAGCGCCGCACCATGAAGCTGTCCACAGCCTCTGCAGTGCGGGTTTGATCCCGGCTGGCTGGGGAGAAACCCACATGGTGCGGCAGACCTCTCCTGTCTCGCCCACTGCTCCCCTCAGCAGTGTATTTCGTCAGTCTGCCTGATCTGTTCCCCGCTCTGTCTCTGGTGAATCCTCTCAACATCCCATACATCTGGCCTCTACCCTGGTTCTTGTATAAATAAATAAAAATCTTAAAAAAAAAAAAAAAGAACAGGCAGACTGACCAAAACACACTGTTGGGGGAGCAGCGCGCGAGATAGGAGAGGTCTGTCACACCATGTGGGTATCTCCTCAGCCTGCCAGGATGGAACCTGCGCTAGAGAGGCTATGGACAGCTTCACAGTGCTGCACTCAACCACCTGCGCCACCAGGGAGCCCTACATTACCATTCTGATAGGAAAAAAAATCATTCACAATGGGAAGATGGGCGCTCCCTTCCTTCCACCATATAAAGCTCATTAGGTGAAAACAAACAAGGTAGGTGTTAGTGCAGGGCCAGTGGGTGGCGGTGGCTCCAGTGGCTGGAGCCAGGAAATGGTGAGAGGCTTGGAGTGGGGTGTCAGGGCCCGAGGGCACCTGTGCATGGGGGCGGCAAAAGAATGCTTATATATGAGGGTGCTGATCCTGAATATTGAGGATCATGGGACTGTTGGAACTTCAAGCACAAAGGGGAAAATAACTAGAAAAAATCCTGTGATTGGAATCAAAGGTATTTGAACAGCTTTTAGGATCTACCTAGTTTAGAAATAGTTGAACATGCACACACATAGCCCTGAGCTCCATCCACCCAGAGGGCCTGCAGATAGGAATATGTGACGAGCACACACAGTGCTCAGTTCTTGGTTTCTAAATACCTTTCTCCACTAAAAGAAACCAGAACTTCTTGGGGGAACTGGCTGATGCAGGCTTGGGCAGGGAATACACAAGATGAGCCTTGAACAACTTGTGCTTGAAGAGCTCAACTAAGGGAGACGAAGCAAAGGCTGTAGGTGTGTTGGAAAGGAATTCCATTGGCAATGGAGTACAATCATTGAGGAAAACCCCTGCGCTCATATGAAGTTAATGAATAAAGAGAAAGTGTCCCCTACAGAATGCTGACCAAAGTGGAAAGAATGGGGAGATTAGGAAATACCATTTGGTGACCATTGTCACAGTAATTCACTCAAGAAATAGCAGCAGACCGAAACTTGGGTGCAAACTTTGATGAAGGACAGGGGTATTAGGTCTCAAAACACTGCCCCACAAAACTTAACTAACTTTTGAGTGGAGGAACTTAGACACCACCTCAATTAAGTGATCAAGGTTAACACCAATAATAAGGTAACTAAAATCAGGTCTCTCCAGAGAGGAGGCGCTAGGAGCACAGCATCATCAGATATTCCTGCCAAGATGCACAGCCTTAGCCAAATTTGAGGGGTGGCTGCAAAACAACCTGTCATCTTCAAATGTCAAGGTCACTAAAGCAAGCCTAAAAGATTGTTTCAGACTAAAAGGAGATTGAGCCATAGCTACTAAATGTAACACAACAGACCTTTTATTTTTCTGGTGATAAAGGAAATTCATTGGGACTACTGGGAAAACTTGGTATCTGTGGATTTCTGCTTCTGAGGGATGTATTTGGTGCTAGAAGGAGAAAGGCCTTAGTTATGGGAATTACACATTAAGGTATGTCAGAATGTTAGCCATCACCTTGCAACTTACTCGTAAACATGGTTCAGAAGAATTGCCTACCCATGGACTATTTCTGGACTATACTATATGGAGTTACTTAAAACATTGCTTGTGTCTTAGCACATTTTCACATGTATAATTAAAACAAATGAGAACACCGGAGCTAAAAATCTAAAAGGTAGGAATGAAGAAATGAAAATTCTTTTTGCTAAAACAGACATTTATATAAAATACATACACATAACCACAGGTCATCAAGAGGGAAACATGTAAAAGTAATACCACCACTGAGGGTCACACTCAGATGTGAACTGATGTGGCCATAACAAGTTCTCCTCATCACTTTTGAGTCAGGTATTTAAGGACACATATACACACACCAGACAGTTTTTCTAAAAGTGAAGATTCTTTTAATTTTTTAGATGCAGATTACTTAGAAGGGGCGATAGTGTCTGAAGTTCCATGTAACCAAGGTCAAGTGGAAACTGTGACAAAATCTTTCACAAGGACACAATTCGATGCTCTTTATGGCAATGTTTTTGAGTCAAGGAAACATCCAAGGACAGATACAATTCTTCCCATCTTGCTTCCCCACCACTGAAGGAGACCTTTGTTCAAGTTTGTATCAATTCAGTTGCAATTAATTGCCTAGCCCACTTATCTGAATTCCCCCCAAATTTAATGCAACTTACAGTCAAATGACACCTCATATATAATTCTTGATGCTTTTAAAATGATAAGATTCTCTGAGATCTCAAGAAAACACTTAAGAAAAGCACATATTAAGGGCTTCACAAATATGAAGCACTATTGTCAGAATTTTGATAAAAAGCAGTTTTTCCTTGGCTTGAGTTGAGATTCAAGTCAGCTTGGATCCAGGAACTATCCAGCATCACCAAGACAGCATCTGTGAATGTTCTTTTTAAAAAGCCGCAGACAGTTCCCATCACGTCAGAGCAGATGCCTCTCAGGTGTTGGGCAGAAGAGGCTTGCGGTACTTGCACTGGATCCAAACTCGGTACATTGTCAGCTGTTTGCCCCGGTTTACTTGCAATCGTCGATCTACCAAGTTCTGAACCTTTTCCAGGCCAGCATTGGTGAAAAGTGTGTCCAGTTCATCTAGTTTTGAAAAGATGATGTTTTATGTATTTTTCCCCCAAAGGAAAGAAACACTATGTCTACCACTTTCCATGTTAAAAGAAGTGAGACTGTGGCCATTATTTATTCATTTCGAGTACTGTTGGCTGGGCTCTTCCGTTTAAATGCTGTATTGGCCAGGTATCACCAAGTCTATTTTTTTTTTAAAGATTTATTTTTATTTATGCATACAAGAACTGGGGTGTAGGCCAGAGGTGCGGGGGTGAGAGGATTCACTACAGAGTGGGGAAATGAACAGGCAGATCAACTGAAACACACTACTGAGGGGAGCAGTGAGCGAGATAGGAGAGGTCTGCTGTGTCATGTGGGTAGCTCCCTGGCCGGGGATTGAATTCACGCTGCAGGGCTGGCAATAGCTTGATAGCTCTGAGACTTTAACCCCTGTGCCACCAGGGAGGCCCCATGCTAAATGTGTCTTTAAAAAGAGAGGAAGCCACACCATCAGGGAAGGGCTGTCTGGGACCGGAGGGACATTTTCTCTAAGAGTCAGCTGTTGGGGAAGAGCTTTCAAGAAGGATTCTATGGATACGAGGAATTATAGGCAAACACCCACATGTACGTATGCCAAGGCTGTTTTCTCTTGGGCAGCAGTTCCACTGCTTTAACCAAAGGCTAAAGAAAAGGCCCAATGGAGGCGGAAGTGTGGGGAAGGTCAAGACACAGGAAAGTATTCTGGGTTCAGGGTCACCTGAAGTGCGATGAGAAATGAGTCCACCATGAGTGAACTCAAGTGCACTTAAGCCTGACCCAGCTTAGAAGGCAAAGCAGCTGCACTGGACTCTCACTTACGAGTCACATTTCCTGCTTTGGACAGAGTGACAGAGGAATAGCAGAAAAGCAGAGCAGGACTGGACTACAAGCTGGGCCTATGTGGACAGTGAAGGTGCTGACGGCTGCAGGGTAGAGGGTGAGGAGTGGGGGAAGACAGGGAAAAACCACAAAAGGCAAGAGGGGCCAGTGATTTCACTTCTGCAAGTGTGGTGAGGATTGTTTAATCTGGTATTTTGGGAATTGTTAGCATAAATAAAGACAAGTGGTTTCATACCTTGTGTGAAGAAGTAAACTCTGGTGCCATCACCTCTGACATAGAAATTTTCAGACAGGCATTGACCTGCAGGGCGATATGGGAAAAAATTAGAGAAACGTTAAAGCACTTCTTTGAATTTCGCTGCCAATCAAAGTGCATCAAGACATGAATTTCTTGGACAGAGAACGGGATCCTCTCCAGGTTATACTTGGTATTTTTGTGGGAAACCGTCATTTCTCAGACAAGGGAGTGGTGCTTTGAGAGCAGCCAAAGGGGAATAATCAATCTTCAGCATTAGGTAACACAGTACTCCGACGACGCATGGTGAGAACAGCTTGTTCCCCCTGCCCCCGAGTAAACAGTACGTAGTTCTTGGAAATGCAGGCGGCCACTACTACTACTACTGTGCTAACTGCCCCTCTCCTAGTCTCTCCACTTCAGTCTCAGTCGATACCTCTTCATGAATATGTAACACTGTTTTTATCACAGATGTTCAATTCTACTGCCACCCCCACACCTGCCCCCTCTAACCTCAATTTAACAGCTCAGCAGGAAATCCTTCTCTGCCTGCCTCAAGTGTGACTCTCCTCTCCACCCTACCTGCTTAAGACACACAGGATCAGGTTTAAGATGCCCATGGCAGAGTGCTCTTCTTGCTTGGTTGTGTGCAAGGGAAACCCCTCCAAGTCCAGCGGCAAGGGGCCCACCTTCGGGGACGTGCACACCATTCCCCTACCCAGAAGCACCGACTCTGTTCCCAAGATTTACACCAACAACAGAGGAGCGTATCTTTCTCTGAACTGACCAGCAACAGGTTTAAGAACAGGTGTCTCATTGTTATTTTTATTTTATTTCTTTAAGTTTTGTTTATTGGCCATTCGGACATGCTCTTCAATCTAGACTATCCCTTGCTTAGTTTTGTGGTAGGTCACTGAGCTTTTCCTTATCAATTTGCCAACAGCTCCTTGAACAGCACAGGAATTAATTATGGGGTACGGCACCTTTTTTAAAGCGGAGCTGAGCCATGTCATAGCGGCCATAGTCACGCAGAAGCATCATACCTCCAGGCTTCAGGAGTGCGCTCAGCCTGCTGATGGCCTTCTGCATCCTGAGGGGCGCGGAGGGAAGGAACAGAGGTCAGGTCTCCCCAGGCTAGGGCTCCTGTCCCCTGCAGCACATCCAGGAGCCAGTGGATCTCCTCGTTCTGGCAGCCCAGCCCCGCAATATTAGCTCCTCGTTGTTTCAATTAGAACCAGAACACACACCAAACCTCAGCTGTGGCTTTGCTTTTCAGAATGAGGAGCCTCCACAGCTGGAGACATCCCGTACCCACCGTCAAGCTCCCTGGCTGGACAGTCCCACTCCACCTCGCTCACTTCCTTCTCCAGGGAGCGCCTCATGGGACGCCATCCCTTTGTGCCCCTGTGGCTGAGTTGAGCCCTGACCACCTGTGGGAACCAAGACTGGCTGTCCCAAAGGCCCAAATCTTTGAATATACACACAGGGTCATTCTACTTGACAAAGACTGTACCCCACTCTTTGGGGACTTGAGATCATATGAAAAGAACCGACTACAGTCGCTAAATAAAAAGCTGAAACAGAATTTGGACTTCCAGACAAATTTAGGAAAATGGTGGAGATGCTCATCTTAGTGGAGTAACATCTTTCTGACTGTCAGAACAGAAATATAATCCTTTTATATTAGGGCCACCCTCTGAATCAAGCCCCCTGCCCACAGCTTTACTTTCGTCACACTACTGCTTAATGGACTTAAAACTTACTTGTCTGGAACAACTGCTGAAAGAACAAATATAAGGATGATAATATCGAGACTCTTGCTGGGTACCGGGTAGCTCTGGTCTTCGTCACACAGATCGTGAACAAAGGCGAAACACCGAGAGGGATCATAAGCTGAATTTGTCTGCAAATAGTTGGAAGACAAACACTGTTCACATAACCTCAAGAAAAGCTTCTGGTGTTGCTTTAAATGTAACAGCTTCTACCACCTCAGCCAGAACCAGAGTTCTAGTTATCAAGACACATTCTTACTCAAGGGTAAGGATTGGGAACAACTTTCAGGAGAGCCCGTGGAATCTAACGTGTTTTTAAAATGGAATATTCTAGATTCCCAGTCAATCAGCTTGCTTGATGCTGGACACCTTTTTGGGGCTAAGTCCTAGTCCTGGCTATCCTTATGCCCTTGGTACTATGATGTTTCCTAGGAATTCTTATGACTTCTAACTCAAAGAACACTGACTGAGGGCCTCCCTGGTGGCGCAGCGGTTGAGCGCTGGGTTGCGAAGCTGCCCGCAGCCTCTGCAGTGCTGGTTCGATCCCCGGCTGCTCCCCGGCCACCGGAGGAGGGTCCCACATGGCGCGCAGACCTCTCCTGCCACCCTCTGCTCCACTCAGCAGTGTACTTCGGTCCTTCTGTCTGTTCTGCTCCCCGCTCTGGCTCTGGTGAATTCTCTCACCCTCCCGTGCCTCTGACTGTGCCCAGTGCTTGTATAAATAAATAACTTAAAAAAAAAAAAAAGAACACTGACCACTGACTGAAACAATCACCTCATTTCAAGCCTCAAAATCTAAGTTTAAAGTGGCCAGACACTGGTGCATAGTCTCACAGCTGCAAGATGTGACCCCTTCCTTTCCCTTTAATCATTCAAGATTAAAGGAGCCACTGCACTTACCTGGACCAGCTCTACAGCCGTGGAAGAAAAATCACAACAGTAAATGAAGAGTCTTGGGTCACTGGAGTGGGCAGAAAAAAACAGTACAACAATTAGATTACAAACTAATTGACTACGTCTAGTCTCCTTCCCATGTAGCAGAGTTAAAATATCAAACGGTAGAGTACCTTTCAATCAAAGACATCACCTCTAAGCCACGAATTATTTATTATTTAATTTTGGTTAAAATCTTTTTAAAAATTTGTATCTCCTTAAGACCCTGTGGATAAGGTATACTTGTGCTTTTTGTTATTTTCTAAGTTTTCTACTGATGTGTGTTACTCTGGAAATCAGAATATTAAGAGCTGTGATGAACAAAACAAAGAGGTATATAAATTAGCAGTCCTTCCTTGAGTTCTGTGGACAGAACATTTTCAAAATAATTTGTTTTCTCTTATTTTATATGCCTGAGACAAATCTATACACAAAAGTAAATTTGACGTTGCTTAGGACTGATGTGGGGGAGGAAGAGAAGGTGGGAGATGAGCACTGGGTTTCTTTTGGGAGTGATAAGTCTTAAATTTACTGTGGTGATGATATCACGCCTCTGAAAATAATTAACATCACCACATTGCATACTTTAAATAAACTGTAAATCAATGATGCTCATATATAAAAACAAACGAGTATATTAGTATGAGAAGGGGCCCAGAAGTTTTACCAGATGTGGTACAAAAAAGGGAAGAAATAAGAGCCCTTGACCTGAATGAAGTTGGCATTAAGGCATCACAAGAAAGACACAAGTCGCCAAACGGCAAAATGACCAGCTGGACAGATACTAATTAGATCAGTTTTCTGGAAACTCCTGACCTAGAATGTGAGGAAGGAAGAAGATGGTCTAACAGAAACAAAGGAGGCCATTTTGGGAGGACACAGAATCAAGGAAAGACATGCAGTGTGACCCACTCAGGAAAGGAGTTAAGAAACAAGACCTGCTTCGCAGGGCGCGATCTTGCACAGGGAAAACTAAGCTGAAAGCTTTAAGTCTGATGTCAATTCTAAGCAAATGAATTACAGGAACCAGTGGATTCAGCAAGCACAAGCCCGCCATGGCGAAGACGCCATCTCCATTTTCCACAAAGAACATGATTCCAAGTGTGTAAGCTACTGTAAGCTACTACTTATTTTCTTAGAAATTTCTAAACTGCTCATTTTTAATGAGGCTAGTGGCTCCTAAATCCTGTTAGTAAGTACTGTAGGCCAAACTAGCTAAATTGTTTATATGGAATCTTTGAGAAACAATGCGTTCCAGTGGAGAACATGGAACTAGAATGTCACTTCCATGAGTAGCTTGAAAATAGGAGACATGCGGTGAAATGACAGCTTAGCCAACCACTGTTCCTCAGAAAAAAGCACCCTAGAAAATAAACATGTTTGTATTAACACCGTAACAGGCTTTAAATCTAATTCTCCTGAGGACAAAGGTAAACCACAAATCAAATTAAATCAAAGTAATTCACAAATGGAGACTGCAGACTTCTAAATCTTCCATAATCCATGCTCCCCCAAAACTGCTGCTACCGGTTTGAAGCAATTAAGAGCTGAAAAGGGGGCCTCCCTCGTGGCGCAAATAGGTGGGTCTTGGCACTATCAAGCCATCGCCAGCCACTGCAGCATGAGTTCGATCCCTGGCCAGAGAGCTACCCACGTAGCAAGGCAGATCTCTCCAGTCTCGCCCACTGCTCCCCTCAGCAGTGTATTTCACTGAATCCACATGTTCTGCTCCCCACTGTCTCTGGTAAATCCTCTCACCTCCCACCCCTCTCCACCTCTGGCCTACACCCTAGCTCTTATACACATAAATAAAAAACAAATCTTTAAAAAGAGTTGAGGGCCTCCTTGGTGGCGCAGGCGGTTGAGCGCAGTGCTGTGAAGCTGTTCGCAGTCTCTGCAGTGCCAGTTCAATCCCCACTGGCCTTGGAGCAACCCATATGGCGCGGCAGACCTCCCCTGTCTCACCCACTGCTCCCCTCAGCAGTGTATTTCGTCAGTCTGCCTGTTCTGTTCCCAGCTCCGTCTCTGGTGAATCCTCTCACCCTCCTGCACATCTGGACTGTACCCTGGGTCTTGTATAAATTAAAAACAAAAAAAACAAAACTTACCAAAAAAAAAAAAAAAAAAAAGAGTTGAAAAGACACCCCTCCCACTTTTCCCCTTAGCTGTCATAAAAACTTTACAACATACTTACTTGTTAGTTTGTAAAATTGGAAAGACTGTGTTTCCCACGCCACAACCAACCTACAGACAGATATGAACTATTAATTGCAGAACTTTCCAAGGAACGAGTTCTCTGAAACTGGACAAATAATCAGTAGCTAACCTTGCCTAGCTGTGTAAGAGAAGGTGGAGTGACCCAGCATCCACAACAATCCTTGACCCTGGGGGTCCTCAAAGAGGTAGTGATGAAAGACAAGAGTGTGGGCTTTCATTAGCAGAAGCTGGTCTAGAAAAAAGGATATGGTCCTGTAGATGAAAGTATTTTCTTACTGAACTCCACTCTATGATTACTGGAAAAGTTTCCAGTAGTCAGGGCTGAAACGTTCACAAGGGAACCAAGGTAATCATGTTTGAATAGAGCGCTGGGTATGGTAATAAAAACAGACTACTACGGGCTTACTATGTGCCCCAAGTGCCAAACACTATTCTTAGCCACAGCACCTCGACTAATCCTCATCACTATGAGGCAGAGAGAGAGGCAGAAGTTCCATTTGGCTTGGGGAGGTGAAGAATAGTACAAGGTCATATCAAAACTCAATACCAAAACTAGCCAGCTCCCAAATCTGCTTCCTGTGTAATGTGTGGTCACCATGTAGGAACTTAGGTCACAGTACCACCTAGACATTTTAGCAGCTCTGCCTGGCCACTGTAACACATCCAAACTCAGAAGCAAGTATTCTTCCATGACCGAGATGCAGGCAGCATCCCAACCAATCCCCATCTTATTGGAACTGTGTTGGAAGGCAAGTAGCCTAAATTGTTTTGTGACCTGGGACTCCAGTCCAGATGGCAAGACACAAGTCTGAGATGCAATATGATGTTTCCAGTTAGCACCTCAGGTAATCTAGCTTTGTCTGCCATGACCATCAGATATCTGGGCTGCATTTAGGGCATTTTATTAGTTAAAAAATGGGTGTGGTTCTAGGCCAACATCAGAGAGAAAACACTTTTGTGGTTAGTCTCTCTAAGAGAGGGACATCTTCACTCACCCCCCTACCGGGGCATAAAGGGAGGTTACCTCGAGTATTCGGTAGGTGGCTGAGGATCCAGGAAACTCCTCAGCACAGATTTCCAGGTGACTGAGTTTCTGAGTTATATTCTTCTCCACAGGAAGCACCTGTGTTTTATGTTCAAGGCTGTTTGAAGAACACATGTGCTGCTCTTCTATTATTAAACCAGGTCCATCCTCACTGTTTCTGCCTTCACATATTTCATTCTTGGTCTCTGAGAGCAAATCCTTCAAGTTATCTGGGTTTTTGCTTGGTGCCAGTTCTGGGAATTCAGTAAAAAGCCAATGTCTGTCCTTGAAAAACCCATTTTCGTGGATTTTGTAAAAGTCATTCCAGTATTTGTGGGCATTGATTTCATAATCAACTGTGAATAGTAAAAAAAGTTTTTTAAGAATCATCTCTATTTGCATCTAATGTCAATTATAAAACTTCATATATGTCACTTTAGAAGTATCCTCAAATAAGGGCCACAGATTCAGAGCCAGAGGGACTTCTGAGGTCATCTAGTCCCATCATCATTATACTTGAATTTCCTCTCTTATCTTCTTCCCAGAGATCAACTCCCAAGTAACTTATCAGTTCACTTTCTACATTTTTGGATTACTTTAAACGATTAGAAAATAAAACAAATAAAAAAAGTTTAATTACTTCAGTTAAAAGGTTCTACTATTTCTCAGGACCATCCAGAACAACTCTTTTGCATTCGAGGGCAATTATTTCCCCTTTAAATCTTTTTACAAGCCAAATACCCCACATTTTTCAGTTGTTTCCTATATGAATTCAAGTTATGATACAAGCAGCTCTTCTTTAAATTCATGTCTATGGTTCTTTAGAATGTGGAACCTAGAACTGAATACTAGTAATGATTCCAGAAGTGGAATCAGGCTAAAAGAAAAAGCCAGAACATGCTGACGAAAGGGGAAAAATGTCTTCAGATGAGGAGTTTTGGTGAGAGGTGAGAGACAAGAAATGAAGTAAATCTGTACATTTTTAAAGCAAATTGTTGTTTTAAGTGATAAAGGCAGTACTGTTTTTCAGTTTTCTGCACTTTGCCAATACACGGCCTTAACTAATATAATATGAAATTGGATTTTTGCTCCACCCTACTAGTACTAACTGCTTACCTCCAGGCAAGGCACTTAATGTCCTGTGGTTCAAGTTTCATTAACTGCAAAAAGAGGATATTGGACTCCATGATTTTCAAAATCCCTTCCAACTCTAACTTGCTCTGATCTAGTCTCTGTCAAACTATGCAGGGTGAATACTTTGTAACTGAACTCTTCTAACTGTATAAAACTCTTTCAGTGTGTACCAATCTCCAATTCCTAGTCCTGCCTTCCAACTGTATCTTAGGAATAGTCCCAGCATGTCCTACTTTTGGTATTTAAGGATATTTTGCAGTGAAATCATCCACCTCTCCAGAGAAGGTCTCTCCTTGGTCAGAATTATCTCTGCTGTTTCATCCATCTTTTCTAGGTAGAAGAATCCCTAAGTCTTCATAGCCACGACACAGGAAAAGGACACTTTATTTATCAGGCATTAGTCCCCCCCACAATATTTAGATTTAGATCACCTGAACATAGCTTCAGCGGTAAAGTGTACTCATGCAGAAAGCACATTCTCTAAGACAACCGCGTGGCCACATAGGCCAGTCATATTAACATGGGTCTAGAAATGACAAATGAAAATTCAACCACTACAAAATAAAGACAGTTGCCGTCTACCAAATAAAACCAAACCCCAAATATCCTGTATGTGCTAACAAGGTTTTGAGGTCTAGCCTTTCCCATCGCTGCCTGTCCCCTCCCCTTCCCGTACTGCCCGTGTCCGGTATCCGCGCAGTAACAAGGGTCGCGCGGTCCAGTCTCTCCGGCCTCTCAGGAGAGCGCGCCCCGCAGCACGCCGGCTGCCGACGCCCCTGAGGGCCGACCTGGGCGCACCTTGCTTCTCCAGGCACACCCGCTGGGCACTGTTCTCTTGCACTTTCCTCTCCGCCGCCGCGGCCTGTTCTTCTGACCACTCCACATTGTCCCTGGGAAAATCAAACAGGCAACTTAGCGGCCTCACGATCCAGCTGCGGGCAGGGGGAGCCGCCGGCCCCGGCGCGCCTCGCCCCCGCGGGGGAGCGTCTCGAGCAGGGCAGCGGGACTCGTGGCCGACGACCAGGGCCTTCTCGGCGGGTCGGAGGGCGAGCCGCAGGCCGGGCGAGGGGCAGGGCGGTTACCAGGCATTGTGGTGGAAGACGCGCGCCGGGTCGCTCAGCAAGCGGCCGCCGAACTGTGGCCTTTTCCCGCCCGCGGAGGCGGCCGCGTCTCCTGCACAGGAGTCAGCCATGACACCGGAGCCGGAAATGCCTGTTTTTCCGTCTCGCGAGAACTTCCCGCGGGACCACGCCCTCTTCCGGAAGACGCGGGGTCTGGGCGGGAAAAGACGGAAGCGGGGCGGGGCGTGGCGGCGCCGGAGTCGCGCGTCGGGGTGTTGCTGGCGCCGCGCCTGCAGGGACTGGTCCGGCCGGGACGCGCTCCCTGGGTGGGGGAGACGCCGGCGGGGTTTCACCCGTTTTGTGTTTGCCCTGAGAGGGCGCTGGTGGACGTGCGGGGCGGCCTGAAGTAGGGGACCTGCCCCTGAACCGCGGTCACTGCTGGGATGCTCTTGCAGGTCCCCCATTTTCCCTTAAGTTGCAAGACAAGAACAATCTTGAGTCACTTCCAGAATTAAGGCTGCAGGTTCCCACTGTAGAGCTGATGGCCAGAAGAATTGAAGAAGGTAGCAGGCAGGCTGATGAAATAGGGCAGTTGGCCAGCATCTGTGTCAGCTTTTCATGGTCTGAAAAGCTATGAAATAGCTTATCTGTGTGTGTGTGTGTGTATGTGTGTCTCTCTCTCTCTATATATATATGTATAGAGACATACACAGATAAGCTATATATATCTGTATCTATAGCTATATATATCTATATATATAGCTTATATATATAGCTTATCTGTGTATGTGTATATATATATAGCTTATCTGTGTGTGTATGTGTGTATACACACACACACCTCTATCTCCACTGCTTCTCAGGGAACGGGGGATGGAGGATATTAATTTTGAGAACACGAGTTATATCTATCAAATGGAACATCCACGGATAAATACATAAAAATTTTATAACCAGCTACCTTTTTGAATTATCCAAGTTTATTAGCATAAACAGATTGTAATACCCACACATATAGTTTATCATATTGGTACGTGTTTAGCCTTATATTTGTTCGTACAGAGTGATTCCCAAAAGAATCTAGAAAAAAGGTTAGTTGAGAAGACTTCCCTAAGAGTAATGATTACCTTTTAGAGGAGCTAGAAAGGCTTAGTTAAATATTTAAGTAGTGAAGAACTGGACTTATTTATAGCACCCTGGAAACCAGTGATTTTTTCGCTTCTTTGAAGATTCTTTCCATAGAAAAAACTGAAGGGAACAAGTGAGATATTTTATATCTTCACCAAAGAGATGGGAAAAATCTCTAAACCTAAATACAAAAGTGAATTAAGATAATAAAGAACTTGTATTTTATTTGAAGACGAAATACTTTTGCAATTTTCATGGTCCTTTGAAACATTTTGAACAAAACCTTTCCAAAAAACAAGTACCAGGATTTCTCTTTTTCTCAAGGCCACCTGTTTGCAGGTAATGGTGGTTGGTTTATATTTATTCTCGGCATCTTGTCCTCTCATCTAGGGGCTTCTTCCCCTCTCCCCTCCTCTCCACCACTACTCAACAGTTTTTGCAAACGCTCACTCGTCTTCACTTGAAGTTAATCAATTCTTAATAGAGTCATTTAAAATGTCAAACAACTTGGGCCCTTTTTATGAAATGTGATAAGGTATCTTAAACTTTCATACAGTTAATATTTGGTTGATCATACATTTCCCCCCATTTTTTGACAAACCCGAAATAATTATTTGGAAGAAATTTGGAAGACATGGCTCTGAATCCTGAGGTTTCATACTTTTTAATCTGCCTGTAGCTCCAGCGAGCTCTGTTTCAGAGGAGTTAAGGGTCCCTCTGCTGGTGATTGTGGAAAATAATCTCGTATCTCGGTGCCGTAGTTTCAAAGCATGAAGAGATTAAGAACTCTGGATTATTGTTTTGGGTGTAAATTGCGCACTTGGGCAGTAATTTGTTTCATACTTTTCTGCCAGTTCTAATCAGTGAAATTCTGGTCTGTGCAAGCATGTACTTTGGAACTGAAGGGTTGGGGAAGGGATCTTGGTGTCCTAATTTGCTCTCCTTAAAATTTCAGTCCCATATAATCCAATAAACTGATTCAATAACTTCAAAACAGCTTTTGTGATTTTCTGCTTATTACAAGATATGTGTTTATTGTAGAACATTTAGAAGATATAAATAAGACAATAGTAAAGAAGAAAATCCCCATTCTACCCTTGATTTAATCCATTAAATACTGGTTTTTATGCTTCTGAACTTACCCCCCAATTTATTTATAGAAATAACTTTTAAAATACTTTCAGAACAAAATGCTTTGTACCTCCCTTTTTTACAGCACCATTGAGGTGTAATTTACATATAGCTAAATTAATCCATTTTAAGTGTACAGTTCAATGAGTATTCATAAAAATCCATTTGTGCAATCATCCTAATTAAGTTCTAGAACAACCCCATCAAGTTCCCTCATGCCTCTTAGCAGTTATATCCAGGCTATATTTACTGTGGTAATAACTTGTGAATATCATTCTTTTGTTTGGTTATTCTTTTATAACATCATATTAATGATCCTAATATTGTTTTGTATAGCTGCATCATGATTTACTGGACATTTAGGCTACTTTAAGCTTGTTACTATTAAAAATCCAACATGATAAACAACCTTATAACTAAATCATTTTTACATTCATGATTTTCTTTAGGATTAATTTCTAGAAGTGTACTATATATAGTTTATATAAGTTTATAATTTATAAATTAAATGATCATAGGTATGGATGTAAAGGAAAAATAGTATTGGATTTGGTATGTCAACTTAAAAATTCAGAAGGCAATTAAAAAGGCAAAATGAAATTATTTGGGGTCAAAGAATTGTAATTCAGGGCACACAGATTCAGGTAGAAAATCTAGAATGTGCCCTTAGGAGGGATAAAATCAGGGTTTTTAATGGGAAGAAAAGAGGGAGATGAGGTAAGTGGTTAAAGAAAAAGTTAAAATAAGCTTAAGACTGTTCTTGATTATACATAATTGTTTATTGATTCTCTAGAAAGGTGAAAGGAGAAACACTGATTCTGTTCTCTTAGCTAAAAATCCATAATTGTCTGTTTTTAAAACAATTGTTTGCTTGATGCTTTCTTAAAACAATTACCCATGTTCAGGTCCAAAGATTTTTGATCCTGTTTAAAGGTCATTGGCTCAATTCAAATGAGTCAGGTATTACAATTTCTTTGTAATAGCTTCCTGGCTCTGTTTTAAAATGGCTTCATAGATGTTAACTTTCACAGGTACTATCTGTGGTTTCTGGCCTGTACTGGGGGTGTCCTGGAACAAATCTCCCTCAGGTAAGGAGAGACTACTATACTTTTACAGGATAAGTCTCTGTCCCCATTAATATGAAATGTGTCTTTTCCTTTCTCTGAAAGGAAAAATTTAATGAATGATACACATTTAAGTGTAATTTAAAAGTAAAATTTATGCTATGTGTACTTTTCAAAAATAAAATTACAACCCTCCCAAACTTGTAGTATAGTAATGTATGTTTCTTTTATTAAATGCACTAAGCAATGCCATAAAAATTTGTAACGGATGAGCTTGTTTGTTTTTAAGAGTCATCCAAGAGATTGGTCTGAAGGTATGTGGTAAGGAGGCTTAGGAACATCCAAATTTAATTAAGGTTCCTTGGGGGATGATGATATTATTCCCTGAAACTGAAAGGTCACTATCATTTTTTGCCTCTGTCCTCTTTTACAAACAATTGAAAAGCGAATGTCACTCACAGTCACATAAAGTCAGATGTTAATTTCTAAGAGGGCCCTTAGGAGCTCGCGGGAGCAGCCCTCTGTCGTGGTTAAGTTCCAGCTTTCAGTGTTTCTCCTTGCTGAGGCCCAAGCAATTTTTGAGCCAAGTGGGGGCAGCAGAGTGCAGCTGCTTGTTCATGGAAATACTAGCAAGGCGTCTATCGATATTTGCTAGCAAAAGTTAAGAAAGGGAAACCATTTTATGACAATTTTTTTTTACTGGTCAGAATTTAAAAGATGTCAACATTTACAGTTGCTAAGACTGTGCTAGACAAAAGCAGGAAACCATAATTTTGCTATCAGTGAAAAAGTAGTTTGCAATGAGCTGTTTAGAAAAAAAATGTAGAAATTTCATTCTTGAAAGCCTTTGAAACCTTTCCGTTTTCTTTTTCTTCCTATCTCTGAGTCACATTCACTGGTATTTGAAGAGGAACAGAATACGGAGTTGTGGAAGGAATTTCTATTCATGTAGGCATCATATAACCTTAAGTCCTTTGGGGAGAGTAATTCTTGGCAAACATTCCAGGACCATGTATAAGTAGAAAAGGTATCATAGAAAGATTCGTTTTTAGTGTCTATCCCAATCAGGTCTCCTCGGATCTTCCGCCAGAGGTTTAGCATTTCTTTTCGGTGTTCAAGGGCAATTCCTAAGTGATAGGTATTCGTGGCTCTCTTTACCTGTAGTGAGAGAGCAGAAGTTTGCAGTTACCTTAAAATACCTTTGATTTATGGATACCCTAAAGAGTTGTATTCCCAGGCTACTTGAAAGTCACTGTGTTTATCATTGAGAACATTGTGACTTAGAAGTGAGGGATAATGAAAAACATTATTTAGGAATAACGAGATGATAAGTCCTTATAAAATATTAAAAACACAGTGGACCCAAACAAAGAGGAGATGTGGGCTGGAGATCAGCTCTGGAAGGCAGACAGGGATGGCTAGGTCCAGACTAGGCAACAGAATGAGGAAATGCTGAGCTGAGAGTCCTCAAGAATTTGATCAAATTGAGGGAGAGGGTGGTGCGGGGAGGTGTTCCAGGTAGAGGGGATGGCATACACCAAGGCTCAAAGGCAACAGACATCCCGCAGTTGGTCAGAGGGCAGGCACTTTGGTTTTGCTATAGTGTCCAGTTCACAGTGGCAGAGAAGGAGTGATGGGGGCAGGCAGGTTATCTGTTTATCGGGCTCCTAGACTTGCTCTCAGTGAGAATCATACTGTAGTGAGCATGTGTTTCTGGTGGAAGTGTGGTACACCCCTCAGTTGTGTGGAGAAGAAAATATAGTTGAGAGAGCCTGCCATTGCCGAGAGGGAAGCATAATGAATGCCCAAGCTGGACAGCGATATGACTGTGTCTTCATGTTAGGTCACTAGCAGTTCTGTGGAGAATAGGTCAGGGGGAGCGACTATGAGGTAGGTAGGTTGTCCAGGAAAGACCTGGGAGGGCCTCAGCTAAGGCGGTGGTGATAGAATGGAGTGAAGGGGACAAGTCTGGAAAATCTTGAGAATGAGAGTAGGCAGATTTGGTGATTGGTGGATGTGGGGAATGAAGAAAAACCTAAAGGATGGCTCCTGGCCTTCTAGTTTCAGTGACTGGGTGTATCATCATCTGAGATACAGAATCCTCAAGGAAGAGCCAATTTGATGCACAAATTGATGAGTGGTTTTGGATAGGCCTAGGCTGAGATGCTCTGAGGAACTGGAATAGAGTTATTCATTAGGTAGGCAATGAGATACGATAGAAGTACTGGAACAAAGTTAGGCTAATGACTTATCATTATATAGGAAGTATCAGTATACAGGAAGCAGCTGAAATAAGGAGGCCATTATGACAGCCCAAAGAGTAGCAGCCCTAGCTTTTCCTTTGCTTATTGCAGAGATCCCCCAATATTCTGCTGTAGCTGGGTACAGGGATCCCAAATTATTGACCTCAAGCTCCTTAGCCCTTGGGGCAATTTGTGCTCCAGCCTGGAGGTCTCTGGATGTAAGCAGCATCCATCTTCTCCAGTGTGAGTGTGTACTGATGACAGAGGTCGAGAGTCCACTCCTGTGTTCCTGTGGTGTGTAGGACTGACCCCCGAGTCCCACTTATCCTGTCTATTACCACTGCTTTCCTCTATGTCTTTCCACCCTCACTTTAAGCTCACTGAGGGAGGGTCTGTAGTTCTTTCTCTGCGGTAGTTCCTAGTCCCAGAACTTAGTTAACACCAGATAATATTGGACAAATGAATGGATGAGACTTGAAAATGGAAATATAAAGGCTAAAGAGATAAACACTCAGGAAGGAGAAGAAAAAGGAAAGGACACATAGTTACAAGGAGAAGTGAAGATGCAGTATTAAAAGGCCAGGGAAGTAGAAAGTGTTAATCAAGCTTGATTGCTAGTATCAAATGCAGATGGGAGGCGGCATTAAATAAATACATTCCAACCTGTCTCTGTCAGGCATGAAAGTTGCTAATAATTAAGGGTGCAAAAGTAGATGGGTGGCAGGGTTGTAGCTAGAAGTGTGGATTCTGGGCCTCCCTGGTGGCGCAGGGGTTAAGAGGCAACCTATGAAGCTATCTGCAGCCACAGCAGCACAAATTTGATCCCAGGCCAGGGAGGTGACCCACATGGTGCAGCAGACCTCTCCTGACTCACCCGCTGCTCCCCTCAGCAGCGTATTTCAGTCAATCTTCCTGTTCTGCTCCCCACTCTGTCTCTGGTGAATCCTCTCACCCCCCAAACTTCTGGCCTGTACGCCAGTTCTTGCATGCATAAATAAATGGGTCTTTTTTTTAAAAAAAGATGTTAATTAAAAAAAAAAATAAAAGTGTGGATTCTGGGACCAAAGCATGTTCATAATTCTGGCTCTATGACTTCCTAGTTGTGTGCCTTTGGGCCAGTCACTTAACCTCTTCATGCATATCTGTAAAATGACAAGGAATGATAACAATCAAAGGGTTGTGGTGATAAGTGAATTAGTAGAGCACTGGTAGAGTAGTGCCTGGCACTAGGAATCACACTCAAACTATTATTATTCCTTGAGCTGCTACGATGAAGATGCTTTCTCTCATCATGACTCCCTGAGTACACCACTCACTGTGACTGTTGGTTTATTATCTTACCTAGTTGCTGTTTCCAGCATGAAACAAACGAATGTCCAGAAATGGTGCTGAGAATGGCTCCATGGGTTATCAGCAGCATGAATTACAATTACCATTTGAATCCATTTGCATACAGAGAAAGAACTGTCATTACAATAGGTAAAATGAGAAAAGAGCTTGTCTCATTTTAAAGACAGCAGAAAAAAAAAGGTCTGGGTTTTATGGTTGTAGTATTGAAGTGGAAAATGCTTCCATCACTGCTTTCTGGGGAGACATTCAATAGTGAATACTCACGTGCTGTTTAATAGCTGCTACATCAGCCACTGTCCAGTTCTGCTTTCTCTTGAGCATTTGATCAATGGCGAGGATGTCAGGTGGATAGCCTGAGGGAGAGCTGATAGGCCTTATATTTGCTGCCTTTAGGCATATTAAAAAAAAAGTTAGTAATATAGTTGAATTTGAATTATACAACAGACATAACAAACAGAAGAGTTTGTATGTAATTTGTAAGGTTCTGGCTAAACCACTTGTCAATTGTTTTGGGCACCTGGTGTAGTGTCATGTGTTAATGATGAAGCCTACTCATTAAGAGAAGTATTGACCAAATGATGGCTTATGTGTGGAGTAGATTTGGAGAGTAGCACAGAGCCAGCACCATCCACATCCAACCTTTCTTAGCCATCACAAAGCACTAAAAGCCAGTGTGTACCCTTCAGAGTACAACCTGCATTACCTAACTTCCAGTTCCTGGGCTGCTGAACATATTTGGAAATCACATAAACATGGTGAGTGCTGACCTTAAAAATGTGTATTACCCAGTCTTATCCAAGCCCTCAGTACTGCTGGATGTTACTTTTCTTTACTTGCTGTTAGGTCTCTTATAGTCCTCAAAGTTGCTGCTGGAAAACCAGGCTGTCAAACTTCCTCAGGTAATGATCTTGTCTCTTTAAGGTCACCGAATATAAATTCTCTTAATTAATCTTTCTACCTTAAGGTTTTGGCATCTTTTAACCCATTTCCACTCATCCTCATATATGTGAGTAAGAGTTTTTCTCAGATTCCAAGGCCAGAGTCTCCTCCTGTGTTTTCTCCCCCTGGACCTTATCCCTTTAATTTTCTTCTTTCCAGGGCATGTGAACTGTGTAATTATGCAGGACCTCTTACTTAGAAGGGCCCTGTGTTTGATGTAATATTCTACTGTTGCTGTCTTCAAGTTCTGAATGATTATTAGACAAGGGGCCCTACATTTTCATTTTGCACTGGTTCCTGCAAATTATGGAGCCAGATTTGCCTCTCTCCTACTTCTCCAATTTCTCCTTTCCTTGAGAAGTGGTTTTCAGCTTTGGTTGCATGTTGGAACTTTAAAAAATCCTGAGACCTGAACCCCATCCTGAGATCAGAATTAATTGGATAAGGCCGTGGCCTGGGCACAACCCAGTTTCAAAGCTCTCTCTGGTGATCCTGTCATGCAGCCGAGAATGAGAACCACAGTTCTATGTGCCTTCTGACTAAACACTCTAGACTCCCATGTCCTGAAATAACTTTTTAGACTCTGATTCTATAATAAGTTACTACTTCAATGTCTCTCTTCTTTAACAGACAAGTTTTTTGTAAGGGGAGTTGGTTTATTTTTGTCTCCTTTGTCAGTTTCTGGAGATGCGTGATAAAAATTTCCAACTGTCATTATGGATTTGCCTATTCTATTTAGGAATTATTCTTACATTTTTTCAGCATGCAAAATGCCTTCAGTAGTCTAAAGTTAATCCTTATAATTCTGTTATCTGTCAATTTGTTGGGTGCATACAGATTTGGGATAGTTAAAATCTTTGATAATTAAAAAAAATCATTAAATAGCATCTATATTACATTTTTCTTAAACTTTATTTTCCCCACACTAATATATCATACTAGCTTATTTTTAATAGACAAGTCTTCTACCAGAGTTCTCTCTTTCTGTTCCTTTACTTTCTTAAGTATTCAGATTTTAGGTTTATCTCCCTTAAAAGCACACATCTGAGAGATAAAGACAAAGTCTGAACTTGAGGTCATTTGTGACACTCCTCTGGACTCTTTTATCTTAAAATTTTGTATTATCAAGCTAAGAACACAATATGAGAGCTATCCTCTCAACAAGTTCTTTAGTGTACAATACAGTGCTGTTAACTAAGGTATGATGTTGTATAACAGGTCCCTAGAATTTATTCATCTTGCATAATTGAGAGTTTATGTTCATTGATTAGCAACTTCTCATTTCCTGCTCCTCTAGCCTCTGGAAATCTTAAAGTGTATGCCTGGAGGGGCCTCCCATGGCTTCAGAGTGGTGTGCCAACAAATGTAGCTTTAGAAACTGGCTCACAGGGTGGGCTGATCTCCAGTCAAATCTTGATCCTTGATTCTCAGGCTGGGAGACCTTTGCCAGGCATGGGGTAAGGCTAGAGCTTCCTGAGAGAATAGGGCATACCTGCCTGAGAACTTAAAACTCATGATGACTAAGTGTATCTTGGGAGGGGGTCAAATAAATTAGAGGTTACAGTGCTGGTAGAGCCAGAGGGGCAGCTGGGACTATAAGTGGGGTGCTAGTCTAAGGGCAGCCCGAGTTCTGGCTTCTTCATCTCAGCATTGTTCCACTGGCCTGTGGGCTTCTCATCCATGGTGGCCAACCCAGTCCTGATCCAGAGCTGGTTAAGAGAATTAAAAAAGCAGCTTCTGATCCCAAAGTTGATGGGAGATGTCAGAGGTAGACCTGAGGGTCTTTTTATTCTTATATACTTTAGTATCCCATACCCCAACCTCAAGACTAGGATTGTATTTTTCAGTAAGTTTAACTATTTGTTGAAAATAAATGAAATATTTATACCTAAGTTTAAACTTAGGAACATGACACTGGAATCTGGTTTGAAGCATAAGGTATGACCACATTATACTGAAGTATAATGACTGAAAATATTTATCATTAAAAGGCACATTAGGGCCTCCCCTGGTGGCACAGCGGTTGAGTGCTAGGTTGCGAGGCTGCTCGCAGCCTCTGCTGCGCCAGTTCGATCCCCGGCCACCAGCGAGGGTCCCACAAAAAAAAAAAAAAAGGCACGTTACATGTTCTGTTAAATTAAAACTAATAACCTTAAGTAATTTAAAGTTATGAATATGATATAAATCTATACCTCACCTGTGTTTTCCAGTCTCTCTTATGGAAAAAATAGTTCTCAAAGAAATTCAGAGGCTGTTTCCTCCTCAGCATTTCTAATTTCTGTAGGTCCTTGAATGGCTTTCCCATTACCACCCCATCCATATTAGGGAACAATGGAAAGATGGGTATTTTTGAGTATGGGCTATCTGAAGGAAGATTGCATCCTAAATATAAAAAAAAAAAATGGTTAACACAAACAATGTAAGAAGAAATACACAAAAGACACATAGAGTGCCAATTTTGCACATTGTCTATTTTCCTCAGGAGCTTTGATTCCCCTTCTTCACTCTCTTGTTCTTGCTCCCCACTGATCCATGGCTTTATCCAGGTGTTGGAGGATTCAGGTAGGCTGTCCATTGGCTTTCAAGATATCATGTGACAGAGGCCACTCAGATGGACAGTGGCCCTGCTATACAGCATGTGCTTCTACTGTTTTTCTTTTCTTTTTTTTTTTTTAAGATTTATTTATTTATGCATACAAGAACTGGTGTAAAGGCCAGAGGTTTGGTGGGGGGTGAGAGGATTCACCAGATAGAGTGGGGAGAAGAACAGGCAGATTGATTGAAATACACTGCTGAGGGGAGCAGCAGGCAAGCCAGGAGAGGTCTGCCGTGCCATGTGGGTCACCTTCCTGGCCCAGGATCGAACTCGTGCTGCAGTGGCTGCAGATAGCTTCATAGTACTGCGTCTTAACCCCTTGAGCCACCAGGGAGGCCCTACTGTTTATTTCTGGTCAGTAACATACAAACAAATCCTTTGCAACAGTGGGGAGGACAATGGCACTTACTCTTGAGTTCTTCAAGAAACTTGAATAAATCTTTTTCTGTCATTATGGTCATCCGGGCAGCATTAGCAAAGGCAGCTGTGCTTGAACATGGAGGTGTGCATATATTTGACTTAAATTTCCTTTTCCCATAATCCACAGTATAGGGATTCCATGATATTCCTGAAGCTTCCTGCAATTTTTTTCGGAAATAGCTAAAAAGAAAGTCATACAGAGATGTTAAAAAGTGCTGTAAATTTACTGAAAAAGTGCTTGAGTGTTAGACAAAAAGAAAAATACTCAAGCTGCAAGTTATACAAACTGAATAAGTTTATTTTAAATTTAATTTGTGTATCCATTCCTTATTATTTATTGGATGTCCATTATTGTGACATTTATAGAATATCAACTATTAATTTCCACAGGCCATTGGACTATCCAACAGCCATAATCCCTGAACTTTTGTTTCCTTCCTCTTTTCAAGACCTCCAAATCTTACCTGGAAAAATACCTATGGATTATGATCATCAACAAATCCTTCAACAAGTGGTATCTGCTTGAATGCAAGCATCAATCATGCCTTCTGTTTTATGATCTTGTATTGAGTTTTGAAATGCACTTTTTTAAAATTAAAAGAAAATCTCATTGCAGGGAAGTTAGAAAATATAGAAAAATATAAAGAAGAAACTAGTAGGATAGACTCCAGTAACCCCACTACCCATAGTGAATCACTGTTGATTGCATTTCTTTGCAGCCTCGGTGTGTGTGTGTGTGTCTGTGTTTACATATGTGTAGGAACAGATCTAGGAGATATGTTACTATACATTGTAGGTTATAAATCCTGTAAGAAAAATTATAGCAGGCTATATATTGATTTGATAGAGCCCAAAGCTATAAACATCTGTTTATATACAAGCATGCCTTAGATCTCAACCTGCTATTATGTGGAGTATAGAGAAGCAAAACAAAGGGTCAGCAAATCAGTTACAAAACCCTGAAATGTAACTTAAAAACTGAGGCAACCAGAAAGGAAGGTGGTATAAGGTAGGAGGGGCCCCATGAGGCATGGAAGAGGATTATTGGGGCTTTGGTGGTGGGAGAAACAGTGGTGATGTGTGCTCCAGTCCAAAGGCTATTTTGGAAGATCTCAGTTCCTTGTACCTCATTCCAGAGACAAATGACTCCTGAGGGCCTCTGGTGGTTCCAGCATGAAGGGGAAGGTCTTGTATTCCAAACTAGATTCCCAAGCCCACCAAAACCATCCCTGGAAAGGTCTTATTCCTCTGGCATTCTCTAGCCAGGGGTAGGAGAGGCTGAACTTTCTTGACTATCTTGGGCCTTGGATGGGGCCCTTAGGTGTCTGAGATCGGCTTTGCAGTTACAGAGCTAAGCGGTGCTGTGGAGATGAAGGAATAAGGTCTCAAGCTGTGGTGTGTGAGCATTTGTACGGACACCTCCTTTGCTCTGGAGCGGACCTTGGGGAGTAGACTGTTGGTGAGAGGTGAATGCCTTGTTTATATTCTTAAGTGTTTCCAAGAAGGCTGCGTTTGCCCCATTCTTTGTCACTTACCTTACTATTTCCATTATAGTCTTTCTGGGTAGGGCTGAAGTTTCTACAAGCTTTGATAGGATTTCAAACAACAGGATCCCTGGGTTGCCAGCCAAATCTAAACAGGTCTGATTTTCTGGAGCTATGGAAGAAAAAAAATTTCAAAATGCCTTCTGAACAAACCATTAAAAAAAAAAAAAACAGTAACAAACTGACAGTCCTTTTGCTGTATTTCCAATATTAATACCAAGTCAGAGACTAGAGAATTATAGGAAAATATTCAAGATCTGTTTCATTTGTCAGAAAGGTTGTTTTGATGACCAAACTGACAGAATAATCACAGAATTAAAAAAAAAAAAGCTTTTCATTCAGTGACTTCTAAGTAAATATAGAAATGCATCTAATATAAACATGAGCTTTGTGTTACGGACTAGCGTCTGGTTCAGTTAGGTAAAGGAGTGATTGGTAAACACATTTCTGGTTTACAAGCAGACCCCTGTTACTATAGGGGCACTTGCAAGCACTAGTTTCTGTTTCTCCTAAGGACTGTTCGCAGCTTAAGAATGGGTTTATTTTAAAAACTGTATACAATATTTGGAATTTATTTACCTTAGAAAACATGGATATTGGTGAGGTTTTCTGAAATAGCTTGTTAAACTCATAAATAAACAATTTAGAGGACTAATCACAATATTTCTAGTGCTCCTCCATCAGTTCTAATTTCGTATGAAAACATGCTCTTCAACTTATAGCAGAATCTCCAGCCTTTGCTGCGAGGATGAGGATATTTTTCAGGAGCAGTAAATTATCTACATCCAAATTTACATGAGAGAGCATTTTTCTTAAAACATTTTTTTTTCTTCTGTAAGAGGAATACCTCCCCAAGTAGTACATACACTTGATAGAGAATTAAAATATGACAAAAGACCAGTTTTTCTACACCAGTCACTCCCTAAGGGTTGGCCTTGGAGACCAAAAGCAGAGTATCCTGTGCAAGGACTTCAAACAATTCCTGTATCTGCTTCCATTTAAGTTAAAATTTTAAAACTATAGATTTGCTTAGCAAATAGTTGAGGAGAGGTAGCACGAAATTCAGGCAGATCCTAGTCTGTTATCTTCCTGACTTGTTTCCTGATCGGAGATCTAACTGAATAATATTTACTATGCAGTGAACTGGTACTATTCAACTGCCATGCACTCGGTAATATCTTTACTCACCCACTGCCTTAAAGAAGCGGTTCTTATCTGTTAGCACCTTTATAAAGTCTGAGAAATTCACCTTCCCATCTCCTGCAATAGAAATCAAAGGCTCAGAACAAACATATGATGTATATTTTAATATAACAAGGATATAAGGTATATTCTTATCAGATTATATATTAAATATAAAAATTAAAACACTTCAGCTCATTCAATATTTAAAGTCAGAATTCGTTTTAGGGCTGGAAATATGCTCAGGTAAGCACTGGTCTTGAAGAGGCCTTAGCATGATGACACTAGTCACCCACCGCCCACAGAAGCAGTGGCAGAGTGAAAACATCACAGTGGGGACCCCGCCACTGTAGTCCTATCCCCCCTTCATTTCCTGGCAAGTTGCTGTTTTTGCCAGGAATCTACTCCAGCCTTTCCACTCCATACCTGTCCCTCTACTATTTCTATTATTATAATGCCCCCAAGTTGTAACCCATTTCCTCTAAAAGGAAAGGGTAGTAAGTGCTATGTGAGGGGAGTGTGTGTTTTGATGGGAATGTAGGAAAATTGGGCAGGGTTACTGAAAACAACTGACTCACACGTAGAACTGATGCTGATTGAGTGGGGCGCTGGCAGCAGTGGGAGGCGCTCCCACACTGTGTATTCTCCACACAACATGCCACTTTGGGTTACAAGTTGGTGGGTCAGCATAGTCAATGAAAACATTATCTATATACTTCAAAAATATCAACAAAAATGCTAGGGCATTTAAAATTCAACACAGGTAGATTCTAATGATGGAAGATTTGCACAAACATGATGCAAACAGAAACAAAAGGCTTGGATTTCCTTGGTAACAGGTCATTTTTGAAATTGTCAGTGCCTTTGTATCTGTTACTTGAAGGCATGCTCCAAAATGTACAGGTAATCTGAATTTGGTATCATAACGTGACAACTGTTTTAGTTTTTTTTTTTAAAGATTTATTTATTTATACAAGAACCAGGGCACAGGCCAGAAGCACAGGAGGGTGAGAGGATTCGCCAGAGACAGAGCGGGGGAACAGAACAGGCAGACTGACGAAATACACTGCTGAGGGGAGCAGCGGGTGAGACAGGAGAGGTCTGCTGCACCATGTGGGATTCTCGCCAGCTGGCCGGGGCTCGAAACCGCACTGCGGAGGCTGCGGACAGCTTCACAGTGTGGTGCTCAATCGCCTGCACCACCAGGAGGCCCCAACTGTTTTAGTTTCAACACAAGATTTTTCAAAGAACAGTCCATTTTGTAGCATTAATTTGATTTCATAACTTGTACATAACCTTACTGATATCCTTAAAGAGGAACACTTATACTTTTGGCAAATAGGTAAGGTTTATTTCTCATGTTTATACAGTCATTGAGGGAAAAAAAAATAAACAACTGACCCTTGAACAAGTTGAGTTTGAGCTGTGCAGGTCCACAGATATGTGGGATTTTTCTATCCTTGAGTTTTGCATTCACGGATTCTACTTGCTGCAAATGTTAGTTGGTTTACTCCAAGGATGGAGAACCGAAAGGATGATAAAGGACTGGAGATAAGGGACCTGGGCATTTGGAATTGTGATATTTGCTGGGAATCCTGAAACCCATCTCCTGAGTATACCAAGGGACGGTGTAGTTAAGTTGTTGGGTTTTTTTTTTAAGATTTATTTTTATTTATTTATGCATACAAGAACTGGGGTGTACGCCAGAGGGGTGGGGTGTGTGTGAGAGGATTCACCAGAGACAGAGTGGGGAGCAGAACAGCCAGATCTACTGAAATACTCTGCTGAGGGGAGCAGTGGGTGAGACAGAAGAGGTCTGCTGTGCCACGTGGGTCAGCTCCCTGGCTGGGTTTTGAATTCATGCTGCAGTGGCTGGTAATAGCTTGATAGCCCTGAGACTTTAACTCCTGTGCCACCAGTGAGGCCCTGAAATTAAGTTTTGAGAAGTCCAAGTTATATGCAGATTTTCACTGCATGGTGTTGGTACCCCTTTCCCCAGCATTGTTCAAGGGTAAATTGTAAATTCATATGAGTTTCACATTCATACCTTTTATAAAAAAAAAAATAACAAGTCAAAGTACTCACCATCAATATCAGCACACCTCAATTCATTATAGACATCATGTTTGGTTAGATTCATTCCCAACTTTGCTAAAGTACACATCATTCCATGTAAGTCAATGCAGCCAGTTTTATCTTTGTAAAAGAAGTTGTAGGCATCTTGGAAGGCTGGAGAAATGGAATTAAATTAGTTAGGGCAGTTATCAAGGATAAGTATAAATTCTAATGAAATGAGGTCAGAGAGTACAGTTTGGAGATTGGAGATCATGTTCTGAAAAAGAATTGAGAGAAAAATGATATATAACTGATATTTCTGGTAAGAGACAGTGCCCTTCCATGGGATTTGAACTGGTCTTTGAGAGATGTCCACACCCTAATTCCTGGAACTTTGAATGTATTGCTTTACCTGACAAAAGGGACTTTGCAAATGTAATTCAAATAGATTAATCTTGGGTTTTCTGAATTGTCCCAACTGAATCAGTGTCCCTTAGGTAGCTAGAAGCAAGAGAGATGTGGCAGAAGGTGAAGGAGAGAGAAGGTCAAAGCCTAAGAAGGATTTGACCCCCTGTTGCTGTTGCTGGTTTGAGGATGGTGGGGCAACGTGATGTGGACTGCAGATGGCTGTAAGGGACAAAGAGAGGCTCCTGATTGACAGTGGGGAAATGGACCTTAGTCATATAGGTTCTATAAATAATTCTGAATAAATCTCAAATCTGAACCTGAATAAACAGATTTTTTTTTTCTCCAGATTCTCCAGGCCGGAGGCCAGGCTGGCCAACACTTTCATTTCTGCCTTCCAGACGCAGAGAAGAGGAACTGAGCTTCTGAACGAAGAGCTAAGTGATAACAGATTTGCCCTGTTTTAAGCCGCTGCTGTAATTTGTTACAGTAGTGATAGAAAACTAATGTACAATTTGGGCCCAAATTATGTGTGTCTATGTTTTGTACAGGATCAATTTTTTTCCAAAGAAATACTCAAGGTATTATTAACTGGAGCCAAAATTAGACATTTGTTTCCTGAAGTTACTGAACAAAGAATAAACCTAGAATAAAGTACACCCCAAATGGTACCAGAAGAAAACTAATTACATGTGATATTAATGTGTTGGTGTCTCTATGTAAGCAAGTGATTAATCCTATAGGGATAATGATAATTTGCCCTATAGTTGTGTGAAAAGTTAACATCTTTCTCCTTTGATAAAAGGCAGGGTTCTTTAGGGCTGGAACCATCTCTGACTTGTTTCTATTTTCTCCCGATATTTCTAGAAGACATTCATGTTAAAAGATATTCATTCATTTATGCAGCTTAGTTAACAAATATTTATAGCATGGCTTCCATGTGTTTCTCATACTCAGTCTTTGATGACCATGACAATTTTGAGGTCTATTCTAAATGTTACTTTAATTAAAAAAAAAAATTTTTTTTCTAGTGTGTCATGCTTTGTCTTTCCTTTAGGGCTCTACAGATTTCACACTTTCTGCCCAGAACACAGCTCTGTGCTCTTTACTTGACTTACTCCTACTCATTATTCACTTTCTTGGTTTTTAAAAAAATTTAAAAAAAAAAACTTATTAATGCATACAAGAACTGGGGTACAGGCCAGAGGTGCAGGGGGGTGAGAGGATTCACCAGAGAGAGAGTGAGGAACAGAACAGGCAGATTGACTGAAATACACTGCTGAGGGGAGCAGCGGGTAAGACAGGAGAGGTCTGCTGTGCCATGTGGATCAGCTCCCTGGCCAGCTGGGCAGAGGCTGTAGATAGCTTCAGAGTGCTGTGCTTAACCCCTTGTGGCACCAGGGAGGCCCTATTCATTTTCTTTAGGACTCCCCTCCTGTCCTAACAAGTTCCAATTAGGAAACTTTCTTGTATGCTCCTGTAACACTTTATGCTTCTCCTACCATAGCTTGTAATATGTTTTGATCAACAAATTCCTGTTTTGGCTGTCTGTGTTCCCTACAAATTGTGTTTGACTTGTTAGCTGTTATGTTTCTCACTACTGGGACACTATTGGCTTTAAATGAATATTTGTTGTTTGGATTAATGTACTGTCACCAGAGTAGCTCATTTTATTGTTATGATTTTTTTTTCTATGAGAAATCCTGGAACTTTAGTTGTGTTTATACTGCTCCAATACTTAATTTCTACTTAACTTTGTTCTTTCCACACACATAAATTATTTTTTAGATAACAATATTTGGTCAGGACTATATAAATTATTTTTTAGGGCCTCCCCTGGTGGTGCAGGCAGTTGAGCACAGCGCTGTGAAGCTGTCTGCAGCCTCTGCGGCGTGGGTTCGATCCTGGCTGGCCGGTGAGGGTCCCACATGGCGCAGCAGACCTCTCCTGACTCGCCCGCTGCTCCCCTCAGCAGTGTATTTCAGTCAGTCTGCCTGTTCTGTTCCCTGCTCTGTCTCTGGTGAATGCTGTCACCCTCTCATGCATCTGGCCTGCACCCCGGTTCTTAATAAATACTAAAAAATAAATTTATTTATTTTCTTATATAATTGTTTATTTCTGTACAGTAATTGGTTTCTTCCCTCAGGTGTAGTCCCCATAGTTTTCCCACGACCATAGCACTCACAAACCATCACCATATGGACAAAGTCTGTTTGAAAGTAATACTCCTTCCTTCCAACAAATTAGATTTTGAATTAAACAATTTCTTTTTGCTCTCAAATAAGAGAGTACTGTAGACAATTCTTGAAATCTCAGATTTCTCTTAGAGAAGGAAATGATCAGATGTGTGAAGGGGCTTCCATTTGTAGTTTCATTTTGGGGATGATTTTCATTACCTTGTATTTGTGGAGCATTCAACCTTTGTTCTTTGTACTGTAATCGGTATGGGGGAGATCCCCGTGAATCTTTATCCCTGAGAAAAGACATGAAAGATTTAATGCATATGTGAAACCAGCAAATATTAGTCTAGTCATCAGTTTTTGCTGATTGGAATGACTACAAGCATTCCAGTATCTCTGGAGTCATACCACCTACATGGCCTGCTAATATTCATGGAATGACAATAAGAAAATGTGACCACTGAGGTCAACCTCTACCCTGAACTTGCCCATCATGCTTAATCCCTTAAAAAACCTTATTTTCCCCATTTTAGAAAAGAAGAAACAGAGGCTTAGAGGAGTTAAATAACTTGTCCAAATTCACACAGATAATTGGAGGTGCTCCAAAGTAAAAGGATGTAAATCTTACACTATTTCTATTGTGAGAAATACAAGTTTTTAAATTTTCTAACTAGTATAAAAAAATCTTATGGTGAATATCCTTATGATGTACAATATCCTTAACCATGATTACTTTATGACTTTAATTGTCAAATTGTATTTTTATAGTGTGTATAAGAAAGAGTTTGCTCTCTCTCTTTTTATCTTCCTATCTCTATTTAAACTCTATCTATCTATCTATCTATCTATCTATCTATCTATCTATCTAGAGAATACTTCTGGAAAGCTTGGAACCCTGGGTGACCTTTCATTTCCTCAGGAAAATGAAATCTGGAAAAAGAGTAAAAATATTAATATTTTGCAGTTATTTATTAATTTTGGAACATAAAATGTATTATGTAAAATCTCATTTGTTTCTATGATAATTTACATAAATGTATAATAATCATAATTTTGTGAATTAATTTTACTTAAAATATATTTATCTTTGATATTAGTAGAAAAGTAGTTAAGAAAATGAAACCATAATAAAATACTAAGCATGATAATTAAATTTTAAAAATGATGGTTTGTGAATTTAGTATTCTTTAGGATTTCTAAGTAGATCCAATTCATTTTCAAAGAGGGATCTAAGATGAAAGGCAGTTATAAGGCTTCATAAGTACCATTCTCAACCTTTTCAACATGGGATATTATCTTAGTCTTATTTTCTCAGCTTTTACTAACAGTGATTTTCTTGTGGTGTTTCCTTTGTATCATCCATTTGATTTTATGAAAAGTTAAGTTTGCATTTGTTCAGTTTATTTTGTATTTGTTGTATTTTATTGATTGATTGTAAAGATTTATTTATTTATACAAGCACTGGGCTACAAGCCAGAGGCATAGGAGGGTGGGAGAATTCATCAGAGATAGAGCAGGGAACAGAATAGGCAGAAGGACCGAAATACACTGCTGAGGGGAGCAGCGAGTGAGACAGGAGAGGTTTGCTGTGCCCTGTGGGTATCTCCCTGGCCAGCCGGGAATCGAACCCACACTGCAGAGGCTGCGGACAGCTTCACAGCACTGCGCTCAACCCGCTGTGCCACCGGTGAGGCCCAGTAGCTATTGTATTTTTAAATATATACAAATTTCTTTTGAATGATATCTACTGAAAAATGCAGGGGATGGAGAAATAGGAATTCTCAGAAAGTAGGAGGAAAGCAGAAGGGCAGGTAATATAAGGCAGGCCAAGTCTTTATTAGCTATGTTAAGAAAGGATACTCTTATGACTTATGAATTTCAAACCTTATGTTGGATCAAACATGGGAGAAGTTTTTTTTATTTTACAATGTTTTGAAAGTTTGATGAACCTTAGATTTGGAATCAACCCCATTTAGCTACTCACCTCATGTAGGAATTTCCTCTACTACTTGTGGTATTATCTAGGCGTTGTTTGACTATTTTCAGTGACAAGGAAGTCATTTCAAGAAAAAGCTTGTAATACAGAGTATAGGAGCAATGAGGTCCAGGGATTTGGCTGCTATAAGGTAGTTAATATATTCCAATGACATAGCTAAGGACACTAGGAGAAATATTCTCAAAGTGTCAAAAAAATGGGTAATTTTGAGAGAGGAGAGAGACTTTTCTTTTCAGGATCTTTCTTTTCAGGATAAAATACAGATCAGGCTCTTTCACCTTCAGTCATTACTGATTTTTGTATTTTATAGTTATCAGACTGAGGAAAAGTTATTGTTAATGTTACAGGCAAACCTCCATTCCCAATTTTAGCTCAAAGTCAGTCATGGCTTATTAGCCAGATTTCATTTTACCTGCCATATTTGAGCTACCTTTTTTTCTACTAAGCTACTTACTTAGGGGGTTGGGTTTTCCTATTACCCTCTAAATTTATTTTCCTTTGGACCGGCACTTAAAACATCTTAATGTATAACTGAAAACTTCTTAAGTCCTCTAGCGTATTCTGCCTCCTCACACAAAAATAGCCTATTATTTGAGAGAACAGGAAGAAGAATTTTTTGTTTTTCCAATCAAAAAGGATATGTAGGTACATATATTTTTTTCTTTACATAAAAAAATCTTTCTTTTCAATTCAGAGGTATTATTTTATAACTAAATTTATCACAGAATAGATATTTGAAGAACATTATAACTTCATCATAGCCTTTATAAGTATTTAATATAGTTATCATCTTAATAATTCTTTATCTTAATATATTTATCACCTTAACACATTCATTACTTACCTCTTGCCATCAAAGCTGGGTACTTTAGTTAGAGGATTCAGCTTAACTTTCGGCTTAAGGTCAGAAACTGCCATGTGGTCAGTAACTCTGTCTGAATTCAGAGGGTATAATTAATGATCAAATCACAGATGAACTTCTCTAAATCCTTTTGTAAATTTCTGAGCTCAAAACTCTGAGTCTGAAGTTTAGGGCCTCAAGGAATGGTAATATCTGTAAATTCAAGTTGTCGGCTATGCAAAGCTGGAAGGATCCCTTTATTAGTCCCAAGATCTCTAAACAAATTTCTTGCCATTGTTTCCCCTTCAAATAGTGTCACTCTAATCCGACATAAAAGTACATGGTACCATGTGACACAGATAAAGCATTTTGGAAATACATGGAAAAGTTAACTAAAGACAAGTTTTATTTTTGCAATCAGTAAAATACTTTATGTCATAATTGATAGAGAATAAAATATAGCATTTCCAAAATATTTACCTAATTGTTTGTATCTTGGATACCTGTCTGGTAGGAAGTGGGTTTTCCCAGGGTTTCCTTCTGGGACGTCTACCCTTTTCTTGTCAGTTCTTATGAATCCATTGGTCTTTCTTATGGGGGTTGTGATAGAATACTGTTTTGCTACCCTAGACCACCTTGAAGGGACTCTTGACCACTGTGGCCTCCCTAGTCCTTTCTACGTGTGATATTTGGGAATCAGGGCCTAGGGATTAGACACCGTGTGGGAGGGTCTTCCCCATTTTATTCTTGGTTCTATACCTTTTCAAAACATAGAGTGTATTTGGTGGGTCACAGACAAGAAATAAGGAACGAGGAAGGACAGGCAATCAAATACTATTAAACTGTGAGGAAAAAATTTGACTGTGATCAATTTACCCAGGTCTTCATCTCAGAGGCTAGAGAGAAGTTGTCTCTAAACAATTCAACTATATGTGTTCAAACTCTGGAAACCTACCACAATGTGGGAACTCCGGAAAGGCTCAACAGTCTAGGCACTTGAAAGAGGCTGTAAAATCATCCTCGTGGCTCAAAATTATCATTAAAAAAATCAAAAAACTACCTTCAATCTCTCATAGAGATGGTAGATTAAAAAAAAAAAAGACTCAGCATAGATTTCTATGAAATCCAGATATTCACCTACTTTTAAGCCTTGCTTCTTACTACTTCTGTCCTTCAATCAGATCAAGAATCCAATAAAGGGTTTGTTCCATCATTCAACTGTGACCTCATTCACTACTCAGACTTAGGACATGGTAAGAATTTGACCCACGAGCTTCTTCCATGTTTAGAGTAACTGTGTGTTTTCAATGTAGTTCAGTTAGTACCCTTGGGGTATTGTAGGTATAAATTACAGAATCAGAACATTTCAAAACTGCTGGGATTTCAGGAAAGTAAAAGTCATTTTTTTAAAAAAAATTCTGTATTGACAAATTTCATGTTAAACACTAGTGAACTGAACGTTGTTCAAGTGAAAAATTTTATTTGATTGAATGATGCTTAATAATAATTTCCACTAATTGTTAAGGCCTAGGAAGAGGGACACAAAAATCCAACTGCCATAGGTTTGAGACTACAGTAGTATTGGAAAGAGTGCCATAAAAAGAGTAAAGATAGGAATATGATCTTTTAATAAAAACTATAATATTCAATATTCAAGGTATAAGATGTCTCATGGTTTACTTAAACCCATTATAAAGCAATATAAAATATCTAGAAATCACAAGTGATGTGGTGTGGTGGTGTGATATGAGCTGTAAGGCAAAAGGAACTCAGAAAAACAATTGGAGACAGAATGGTATTCAACCTCCCTATCAACAAGTAGATAGAAGGTAGCAATTAACAAAACAATTACGGAAACTAACAATTTGATTTTTAAAAAGTCATTGTATTAAACCTTATCATTGTGATCCTTTACATCAGGTTTCCCACTCACCTTTAGTATCAGTTGCAATTTTCATGGATTTATGTAGAGGCACCATTCCTTTTGCTTAAAGGCAAGAGCAAGAGACAATTAAACATATCTATCTATATCTATCTATTGGAAGTTATGAAAAGTAGAATAAGAGGATATAATTTTATCATATTTTTTCCCCAGATGAGTGGGAGACTGAAAAAGAAAACAAACATCAGTTCTATGTGATATATATCTTAATTTATATTGCTTCTTTTGGTGCCTTAATGTCAAGTGCCAAAAGAAAACCATTACAGAACCAGCACTGAAGTCAAGACTATTCATTTAACATCTTTGTAGTTTGTAAAGAGGTGAAACTTTGAAAATCTATTGACTCTAGAGAAGTTATGATCTGCTACTCATTTCATTTTCACTAGTACTTTGGTTACAAACTGCTAATTATATACCTTTTAATGATACAGATATTATGCTTTAGTAAATTCTCCTGTGAAATGTATGGGTACAGCATGTATCATAATAAATAAATATTAGCTACAAAATCTCTTCCCCATCTCATGGCCAGAACAAAAACCAAACAAATACCTTAATAGCACTAATTCAACTCTTTTTCTTTTATCCTCTCAAAATGCAGGGCAGTTTGGTTTTTAAAACTTAAGGAGATTAGCTCTGGGGAGAAAAGTGCTGGATACAATGACTCAATTTCCTAGTGGTTTAATCTGACCAGATAAAGCCAATGATGTACTGTTTTAATATTAGGAAAGACAGTTTATGGAAACACAGGAAATGTCTGGTGGTACATTTAGGCTATGAAGGCTATACAGGAAAAATGTCATGCAGAAAGCAGCACACAGAAATTAGATGTTTTTCTGGAGGGGGAGAGGAGAGGATAATACTAATACAAAAGACATAATCTGTAGAATTGAGACCAACCTATCAAACACCTCTTATTTCCCTTCTCCCTTTTTTTCCCTTCCCTCCTCCACCTTCTCATTCTTCTTTCCTATGGCTTGGCCTTTTCCCCTGTGTAGATGTCAGTTTATTAGAGGAATATCATGCCATTCCTGGCTGCTGAATGTGGCACCAATGTGACTTGGAAGATTTCTGTTCCTAAAAAGATGCTTACTTTATTTTTCCATAGTAGGTTTTTCTAAATTTTTTTAAAAAAAGATTTTATGTATTTATACAAGAACTGGGGTACAGGTCAGAGGCGCAGGAAGGTGAGATTTCACTAGAGAGAGTGGGGAGCAGAACAGGCAGACGGACCGAAGACACTGCTGAGGGGAGCAGCGGGCGAGGCAGGAGAGGTGTCCCACGCCATAGGGTTTCTCCCTGGCTGGCCGGGAATCAAACCTGTGCTACAGAGGCTGCGGACAGCTTCACAGTGCTGCGCTCAACCTGCTGCACCACTGGGGAGGCCCGGTTTTTCTAAATATTTATTAAAAGTTTACTATGTTTTCAATAAGTGTGGTTTCAGAAATTCTCACATAGTCCCTATAACTTAAATACCTTTGAAGGTCAGAGTGAAATTTTGAATGTTCATCATCAAATAACATACATATTAGCAGGTCTTGGAGTTGTTCATACAGAAGTGTCATTTTCATGTTATTGTGCTTAGGCACAACTTTATTCCTTGGAAAAATAGAAGTGTGAACTGGGGGAAAAGATACTTAAGTGTGAAAATGCCCTTGTCCAGAAAATGACTGTGTCTACTCATTTGAAATGTGAATATGAAAATTTAAATCACAGGAGTACATGTTTAAACACACAAAAATGTCAATATTGTATTCAGAAATAAGATCTATTCCCTTAATATTTATATCTATAAAGAAAAGTTAGTAAGTGGAAATGAGTATATTTTGGCCAATTTGTGGAATAGAGACTACTGTTTGAGATTTCTAAAATTATAAAATATATTTTTAAATGTCTAAATTTTCTTTAATGCACTGTAGATTTCACAGAATAAATTTTATTTGGTGGCAGCAAGTGTAATGGGGATTATATAGTGAAGAAAGATGGTGGGCCAGTATGTGAAAGGGTAGGTAAATGAAATGGGTATTTTGATAGAGACTGGAAGGAAAAGAAAAAAACAAAACTATAAAAATAGATGAATATATAGGGGAAGCAGGAGTGAAAGAAAAACAATCTATTAATAGGGACATGGAGAAGATATGAGAAATAGAGAAATAGAAGAAATGGAAGAAAAAAAAGAGCGATTAGAAGTTAGCTGAGGATGTGAAATTGCGCTTTCTTGACTTTGAAAAACCATTCTGACTTGGGTGACCCACTTATGTTTCCTGGGGTTGCTAGTTTCACACAACTGTTTCTTCTGAGTGGTTCATATTGGGAGGTTACCTCAAGAATGATGTTGACACAGCTGCTGGTTTTGAATCTTCAGTGACAGAAAACAGGAGATTAAGAACCTACCTTTATTAGTCAATCAACATTTACTGAGTACATATTATACTAAAAAACTAAGCTTTAGTAAGAGCAAAATCTTGCTTTTTTTTTTTTAAACCGTACTTTTTCACAGGTCACTAAAAGAAGGGATTTGTGAATACTAACATAATTATATTTAACATACTTTTCTATTTAAGACACAAGTTTTTGATGGCCTCTTGAGATTTCTTTAAAATAAGTATGTGTTTTTGTGTAATTTTGATGATTTCACCAATAATATCTAGTTAAAAAATGACCACTCCCATATACAAATCAACCCCCATCATACCCATGTAGATATATTTGTTCAAGTAATGTATATGTGTATGGATGATAAAAGAGTGAAAATCATTATAAAGTTAAAAACTTTTATTTTTACTTTCATGTCTTGTATAATTGCATCACCATAACCTCCTATTGTTTTTATCTTTCAATCAATAGGACTGTGTATGGTAGTATACTACCTCTCAGTGTCCAGAAATCCCAGTAAAAATCCACCACACTGTTTTTAATCACAGACCACTGAACTTTCTTTTCTTTTTATGGATGTATTTTCTTGAAACGTGCCTGTTCAATAAGCATCAATACTGATGAGTATTGATCTTATACATCATCAAGGAGGATTGCTTCCAGCACCCTTAAATTTAGCAGTGTACTTTTAAATTTTGGGGTGAAAAGCTACTAAGCAATACTTCTGAAAGTTTTCTGGTACCAGCAACAGAAGCAGCAATAGATAGGATATAATGGACCTACTCAAAAATTTTTTTTCTTTTACAAATAAAACATTATTCACTTGGAAATATGAAATGTGGTATCCAGAATTTAAATTTTTCTTCTCTTATTAGGTTCATTTTATAGATACTTGTATAGGTAAAACACTGCATGACATACATCTCAGTAACATCTTTAAAGACTCAGCCCCCAAAGCAAAGAAAGTGAGGGAAAAGATAAACAGCTGGGATAACATCAAACTAAAAAGCTTCTTACAGCAAAAGAGACATTAACCAAAACAAAGAGACACCCTACTGATTGGGAGAAAATTTTTGCACACAATACAACAAACTAATTCAAAAGAATACCTGCACCCCTGTTTTATTGCAGCACTATTTATAGAAGGTAAGATATGGAAATAGCCCAAATGCCCCAAAATAAATGACTGGATCAAAAAGATGTGGTATATATACACAACAGAATACTACTCAGCAATCAAAAAAGATAGACTCATGCCATTTGCAGCAACATGGATGGGGCTGGAAGGGATCATGCTCAGTGAAATAAGCCAGAAGGAACAAGAGAAATATCAGATGGTTTCACTTATAGGAGGAATATAGGGGAACCAAGTAACGGATCAGGAAAAAATAAGAATAATAAATAAAGAAACAAAATTAACAGGCAATTATAAATTAGAGACATTCTGCAGAGGAGGAGGAAGGAGAGGGATCAAAACAGGGGAGGGAAGAGCACAAGGGACTGTTGTGATGGTACACGGGTGAATTGTGGTGGGAATTTTATGGGACTACACCTGACAGAAGAAAGCATACATTGCACAAAAATGAACAATGATGTATACTATACATAAATAAATAATTAAAAAAGATTCATTTTATACATATTTGTATAAAATGCCTTAAATCATTCTTATGTCCTTCTTTTTGAAACAATCAAGTTGGCAGAGGCTCATCAATTTTTTTTTTTTAAATCATACTTGTTGAAAAATACTAGTATACAGAGCAAATAAAAATTACTTAGGAATGAAGTACAGGTTGAGGTGTGTGTATGGGAAGAGGATAGAAGACAAATTTTACTTGACCGCCACTAATCGATCAATTTCACAGCGGGATTTTCAAGCCTTCTATTCATTCTTTTACCATTGCATTATAGAATTAAGAATTGTTACAACTTCTTTGTTCATTGTTTCAGTTTTGGATCCAGAAATTTTCTATAATGACTGTGAATTACTTTATAACCAAGAAAACACATAAATTAAATACATACCATCAGATTATCAATTTTATAATGTATCATAAATTTCCACTCACATTTAAATTTCTTCAGGCCATCCATTATGGAATTCACTTTAACTTTCCCCTTTTCTGTAAAACAGTTTGAATCAGATACATATATTAACACATAAAGTTGCCCACAATTATTTGATGCAGGGCTATTGATAATGTTTATAGTAGCAAACATATTGATAAAAGTTTACAACAGCATTATTGATATAGCAGCACAAAAAGTTGCATGCAAGTGTTTATAACAAAAGGTGGAAACAATTCAAATGTCCACCAACTGAAGAACGGAGAAACAGAATATGATATATCCATGCAATAGAATATTATTTGGCCACTAAGAAGAATAAAGTAGAGACAACACAGATGAATCCTGAAATGTGCTGCTAAATGAAAGAAACCTGTCATGAAATACCACATGTTACATGGTTCCATTTAGAGGAAATGACTAGAAAAGGCAAATCTATAGAGACGGCATGTAGATTAGTGATTGTTTAGGGCTAGGGGAATAGGGAGTGATAGCTAAAGACTGTGAGGTTTCTTTTGAGGTATAAAAATGTTCTAGGTCTTATGTCTAGTTCTTTAATCCATTTTGAGTTGATTTTTGTGTATGGTGTGAGCAAATGTTGGCGAGGATGTGGAGAAAAAGGAACTCTCCTGCACTGTTGGTGGGAGTGCAAACTGGTCCAACCACTATGGAGAGCTGTGTGGAGATTTCTTGACCTACTAAACATAGAGCTTCCATATGATCCAGCAATTCCACTCCTAGGTATTTACCCAAAGGACACAGAAACATCAATTCCAAAGAGCACCTGCACCCCTATGTTTATAGCAGCACTGTTTACAATAGCTAAGCTTTGGAAACAACCCAAATGCCCAAAAATAGATGACTGGATCAAGAAGATGTGGTACATATACACCATGGAATATTACTCAACATTCAAAAAAGATAAACACATGCAATTTACAGCAACATGGATGGCGCTGGAAGGGATCATGCTCAGCGAAATAAGCCAGAAAGAAAAAGAAAAGTACCAGACCAGATGGTCTCACTCATAGCAGGAATCTAGAAAACTTAAATAAGGGACCAGGAAAATGAATAACTATAAGAAAGTGAAAATCAAAATCAACAAAAAACTATGGACCAGAGACACTCTATGGGGGGTGAGGTGTGGGGAGGGAAGGGATTGGGGTCAAAATAAGGGGGTTGCAGTTGTATGGGGAATATAAAAATAAAATTTATTTAAAAAAATGTTTTAGAATGACTGTGAGGATAGTTGCATATACCTGTGGATACTAAAAACCATTGAATGGTACCCATTTAAATGGATGAATTGTATAGTTTATAAACTGCATTTCAATAAAGTTGTTAAAAATAATGTTCAGTAATATAATATATAGAATGAGTTTTATAATTCATCATTTAAGTAAATTAAATATCACACATTGTGTTCATAAAGAGATACACATATATCTAAGTTAACATGGGGAAGGTGAATTGGAAGGACATATATTAGATATAACAGAGAATGCATCTATGAGGGGAAGAAGGAGTGAAAATAGGAGATAAAGGGGAATGCAATGAATAAAGCACAAACCATCCTTGCAGGGACAAATGATGCTGGTGTGCCAGAACTTACTGACTCAACCTCTGTGCATATGATAAAGCTGAAATTTCACTGTTTCCTTGCAAAAAAAGGAAGTAAGGTGCTGATGAGACATGAAGAAAGAAGGATTTAGGAGGCAGCTGAGACAAAGTAGTGACAAAAGAATCATTCAGGGAGCAAAGATTCTTAAACATTTGAGTGACAGGAATTATTTATATCCTTAAATTTATGGATATTTACCATATTAGATATTAAAGTTGAAAATATTTTTAAAATATTTATTAGTTTATTAAAAATAGCAGTAATAAGCCTGGTATGTATTAACATACTTTTAATTTTTTTAAAGATTTATTTATTTATGCATACAAGAACTAGGGTACAGGTCAGAGGTGCGGGGGAGTGATATCAGAGACAGAGTCGGGAGCAGAACAGGCAGACTGAGTGAAATACAGTGCTGAGAGGAGCAGTGGGTGAGACAGGAGAGGTCTGCTCTGCCATGTGGGTAGCTCCCTGGCCGTGGCTCAAACTCGTGCTGCAGTGGCTGTGGATAGTCTCATAGGTTACGTTTTAACCCCTTGCACCACCAGGGAGGCCCCATGTTAATATGCTTTTTAATGAAAAAATAATGTCAGTTGAAAAAAATTTCTAAAAAGTTTTACCGGGAAAAGGTAGTGTTGTTGACTGAACGTTTATGTCTACCACCCCAAATACTTCTAGGTCGAAAAACAGTAGTAGAAAAACAGTAGTAGAATGAGTTTTATAATACATCATTCAAGTAAATTAAATATCACACATTGGATTCGTAAAGAGATACACATATATCTAAATTAACATGGGGAAGGTGAATCGGAAGGACATATGTTAGATATAATGGCGACTGCACCTATGAGGGGAAGAAAGATGAAACAGTATTTTTTATATTTGAAAAACAATAGTAGAAATAAAAAAAAAAACTAATCTAAAGTAGCTATAAAAAATAAAAGCCAGCAGGAAAGTCATGTAACTAGGACAGATTGTTTATTAATAAACAAAAAAAAACTCCAGTAAAAAGCTAGTAAACAAATAATTAACTCTGTACTTCCCTTGTTCCTCCTGTGTTATGCTCCCTAATACTCATTTCTAATTTCAATTACTCTAATATATTTCCTTTTTTTGGGGGGGGGTGAGGTTGGAATAATACTTGTGAGTTAAGGTATGAAAGGACAGCCACAATCTTAATGTGTCATTTTTTCAGAATGTGATAGAACAGAGGGTGAGTTGTGGGCCAGCAACACTGGCATTGCCTGGGAGCTTGCTGGAAATGTAGACTCTCTCAGGTTGCACCCCAGACCTGCATCAAAATTTGCACTTTATGTCAAAAGTGGCCCAGGTGATTCAAATGCACACTTAAGTTTGAGAAGTACTTTTCTTTTATCATATGAGGACAATTTCTGAGAATATTATGTACAAAATAACAAAGACATACTTCTAGGAAGACAAAAGAATTAAAAAAACCCTCACCATTAAATGTCAAATGAGGCATCAGGTCCTTGATGTCTTCTTCTGTGAGATAAATCCCCTTACTTGCTAGAAAGTTGTCTAAGTGCTTGATATCAATCAACTCTCCTTAGAAAAGGTAAGAAATAAATTGCAGAAATATTATAGAACTATCCAAAAGGAATGAAAAAAAACGCTATGTGCCTATACATACCATTGCCCACATATACTCAGAATTAACAGGAGGATCAGAAAAATATCCTGTCTAATTCTGGTTCAGGGACTCAGAAGGTGGCTACAGAGTACCCCATGGGTTAGGAAATGACTTATGGGTTACTGCAAAATTAATAGTAAATTAAATGCCTTCTAAGAGTTCAATTTTAAGAAGGGCCCTGCGGTGTAATGTTAAAATTTAATTTTTTTTCTGTAGACCAGTTTAAAAATTTCAGTTTTATTTATTAAAAAAAGTTGCCTCTTATGTGGTTGGAGCTAGAAGGAATTATGTTCAGCGAAATAAGCCAGAAGGAAAAAGAAAAATATCGGATGGTTTTACTTATAGCAGGAATATAGGGGAACCAAATATGACATCGGTGTAAAAAAATAATAGCAGTGCAAAACACAACAAAGCAAAAGCAGACAATTATAAATCAGAGACATACTTCAGGGAGGAGGCAGGAGAGGGATCAGAGGGAGGGAGGGAGGAGCACAGGGGACTGAGGTGATGGAAACTCTATGGGACTACACCTGAGGGGGTGGGGGGAGGCAAATATTGTTTAAAAATGAACAATGATGCAAACAAATAAAAAAATAATTAATAAAAAAAGCTGCCTCTTATTTGCTTCCCTGGTCTCTATGCATTCCAAGAATTTTATTCATCACAACACAGTCAGAAGTAATTCTTCTTTATTGTAAAATTAATATAACATTAAAGATTAATATAAAAGAGGAAATATAATTTCAGTAGCCTACCAAAAAAACATTTTTAGTTTTTTCATATTCCATTTCTGGTCTTTGACAATAAGATTGTAGTTTTACAATGTGGAAATCTAATATAAAAATGATTTTGTATTCTGCTTTTCCAACATAACATCATTACTTGATAAATGTACTTATTTACCACAGTTAAGGCTTGTTAGCATTTCAACACATGATATCCCATTAGGTTACATACCATGGTTTATATAGTAATTCCCATACTGTTAGATATTTAGACTGTTATAAATTTCTCTGTAGGTGTTTAGGCAGAGATTTGTCTTTTTATTCAATTGAATTATTTCCTGATTATAAACTTCTGGGAGTGGGGTACTGGGAAAAGGGTATAAATATTTATGTGGCTCTTGATATCTATTATGCTGTAGAGCTCTTTGGGGAAAATTTTCAGAGGATATTATGGCATGGATATAAAAACATAGATTAATTATTGTTTATTCAATTTCAGCAGCATCCACAAAAGTGGCACTTTTGTGAAATAATTTAAACATTTGTGAAGCAGAAATATTTTTCTCCACCAATTGCAAAGTATTAGGTTGCTATTTATAATATCTTTCCATTATAGCTTGCAACTTACCCTTGGCATAACTAATAGCATCCTTCAGATCTTTCAGATCAACTCTGTTATCATCTGTAAGGCAAAGGAAATAAAACTTTAGAATCAGATAAACTGATGTTATTAATGAGACAGTGTAGATGAACTAAATCATGACCTGACAGGAGGAAACTGCCAAGCATCCTATTAAACAGGTGGACTAAATCACACGGGCAGAAGCTGCTTAACATCTTATTTTGATAACCTGCTTGACATATTCTACCGCACTAACAAATGGCCCCATCATGACCATCCTGGCACCACATCTAGACTGAAGGTACCACGCGACATGACAAACACTGCTATTTTACAATAGCATCACCATTTGTGGGGGATGCAGAGGATCCACATATGCAGTTAGTAAAAACCTTAACCAGGAGTGATCAAGGTTTCATTAGTTTGCCAAAACACACACCCCAGGTGGAGATTTAAGATGCTAATGAGACATGCAGCGTATGGCGAAACAAGGAATCTGCCTGTGGATGCCTTGGTGTTGTCCAGCCCCAAACATACTATGATGCAGCTTGAGAGCCCTATCCTGGCCCCCCTGTATTACTTCCCTTTCTGATACTATCTCCCTTGTGCACAAAAGCCTTGCCTGGATGTAATCTGTCCTGCTTCCTTGTCAAGTTCTTTTACAAGGGGCCAGAATAACCCAGATTGGTTATGTGGAGACTCATAAAATTTCTGATATATAAAGATCTGAAATTATGAAGACCACAGGAATTCAGTAGATTTTCCCCCTAATTTCCCTTATAACTTTATAGGTTTAGCCTCAGAGAATAAGTATTATCTTAGACACAAAGAAAGCTTTGATCTCTAGTGAATCATACTTGTCTACTCCATTTTTCTTTGCTTTAGAGACATCCAGAATAAGGCTAAGAAGTGACTGGTTATAGTTAAGTGTGGGAAGACAGGACAAATGAACCTGATTCTGACTTTTCTTTTTTATTTAGTTGCATAGTCAATAAATATTTATGATGTCCTACTGTGTGCCTGGCACTTTGCTAGGCTTTTGGGGGGTTGGGAGGTGATGGCACAAAGGTAAACCAAATGGCAGCTCTGGCTCTCATGGAGTGTACAATCTAGTGAAAGGAGATACAATAAGCATGTAATAAATAAATGTGTAAATAAACAAAAAGGATTATTTGAGGTACTGTTAAGAAGCTATCAAAATAAAATAGTGCAATATAATAAAGAGTAATAGTGGATGGGATTGCTTTAGACAGTGGGGTCAAAGAAGGCCTCTCTGAGGCGGGTCTCTCTGGGTTGAGGTCTGAATAATGAAGATAGTTATGTAAAGAATTGGGAGAAGAACATTCCAAGCAGAATGGAATGTGGGATAACCCTAACATGGGAGTGAATGTGACATGACTGAGAGACAGGTCAGTGTGACAAGACCACATTATGGAGGGCCTGTAAACACAGGGCTGTAAACAAGGGGCTTATTCATCCCCCTTATGGGCAAGGCAAATGCTGCTTCTTGAAACGGTCCCACCATGGGCCCTCTGGTCAGCCAACCCAGATGCCCCCTTGCCTGGCTTTATCTTCTCTATGTTGTGTGGCAACTTCATTGAAACGCATTCCAGACTTTGGCTTTTCATTGGCTTCCATGATTTTCCCATGTTTTTTGAAAGGGATGTACTGACCTTTACTGCATTGCCACCTATTTTGGGGCACTGTCACTCCCAGAAGCTGCTTCTCCTTCCCCCATTTTCTAGAAACACTTTTTCCTTTGGGCAACATCTTCAAAACTGGAGGCTGAACTTTCAACTGGTATGTTTTAAAATCAATCGATGAGGTCCTTTCTTACCTTAGAGGTAGTTCATCTTCAACTTTTGACTTTAATTTTTCTTTTAAATGTTCCCTTGTGAATAAAATTTAAAAATTCATTTTTTCTTCCAGCTTCTCAAGTGGCATTCCCAGGCAAGGTTGAGTCTTACAAAAAACATCCCCAACATTTTTTAAAATTTAATTTAATTTAATTTTATATCTCCAAAAATGTTTTTTAAAAAATATTGGGGATGTGGGCAAATACAGACATCCCCAACATTTTTTAAAAAAAATTTTGGAGGTGGTATTTCTTCATGAGTTAGGATCAGGTCTTTCTATTCATATCTGTTTATTGTGCTACTACAAAGATTACTTTCAGCAGTTCTAATAGGAGGGCTCAATGTTTCTCTAAAGGGCTTAATGATGTCTGTAATACTCACCACCACTTGGTAACTGGGTCATGAGTTCCCCAATTTCCCTATCTGTAAGTCTAATTCCCATATTTTCCAAAAAGGGTTCCACTTTTTTGATTTTGACCCTTGGTCCTAAGGAAGGAAAGACATGGAATAAGAACATGGATACTGACATTAAAGTGAAAAACACCAACAATGATCATGCAGCATAAACCCCAATTTGGAAAGCAAGCACAAAGGGCACAAAGAAACTTTACATACTTATCGCCCTAGATTTGGAATGTCTGTTGAAAGTATAAAAAAAATCAAGAAAGATAAACATTGAGACAAAAGTAAACAGTGTTTACCTTCATGGGGAGGGGTTAGATCGGTGGAAGATGGGGGGGGGCTTCATTTTTTTTTAAAGATTTATTTATGCATATAAGAATGATGTGTAGGCCAGAGGTGCCAGGGAGAGGGGGTGGTGTGTGAAAGAGGATTCACCAGAGACACAGTGGGGAACAGAACAGGCAGACTGACTGAAATACGCTGCTGAGGAGAGCAGCTGGCAAGACAGAAGAGGTCTGCTGCACCATGTGGGTCACCTCCCTGGCGGTGGCTGGTAACAGCTTGATAGTGCTGAGACTTTAACCTCTGTGCGACCAGGGAGGGTTGGCTTCATTTTTTTTAATGAGATATAATTGACATGAAACATTCAGGTGGACAACATAATGTTTCAATATTTGAGAAATAATCATTACAAGAAGTCTTATTTAACATCACACATAGTTACAAATTTTTTTTTTTGGTAGTAAGATCTTTAAGGTCTGCTCTCAGCTACTTTCAATATGCAAATCGGTATTATTAACTGCAGTTGTTATAGGACAGGGAGAGGGGCAGCCCAGTCACCATAAAGTATATCCCATCCTTCTGACTTTAACTTCTTTATATCAATTATTTAAGTGATAGAATTGGATCCTTTTCTTATAGTATTTTATTTTAAAAATATTTTCCTCAAAAAATATTTTCCTCATTAGAAATTAAAAATAAAATTGTGTGCACAGAATTAAGATGGAAATAGGATATATTTTTTAATACCTCTCCAGAGGACTTTGTTTCTGTTTTCTAAGAGAGGTCAAGAGAGAGAAATTGGCAACTCTAATGACACAGTTGAAACAGCAACCAATTTATAGTTTTAACCAGAAAATAGAAACTTCACACGGTAACATAATACTTTGACTTGTATCCCAAAAGATCAATGCACCCAAAGAAGAATGGTTAAGTTTTGAGTCATAACAATGGACCAAGAAATTTCCAGGAAGCTAAAATGGAACAACACTTAGAAGAAAATTCTAAAAGTTAGGATTTTATTTTTACTTGCTCTTTCACCATGCTCTCACTCACCATTGAGGGTTTTCACACCTTTGAGCAATCTTTTCTTATAAATTTTTCCATCAGCTGTAAGAAAAGACAAAAAGTTAAATGATGGGAAGATTAATAAAGACAGCACAAAGACAAGACAACATCCATAATTTCAGGGAAAAAAAAAATCCTTCAGATGTATTTCTATTTTTCTCTCAAGTAAGAATGAAACCAAAGATGAAAGTTGATATAAATCCTCATATTAGTTGTATTAATTAGGTCTTTTTGTTCCTATTCTCACTTTTTCCTTTCTTCTCTTACTCCCCTGGTTTACCTCCTTGATTATGATTAGCTTGGGCAGTGCTATCATGGTGACAAGATAACTTTGATGCTGGGGGACTTGTGAAAGATGTTGCCAACTTTCAGTATTAAAATGAAAGTGACAAGAATAGAAATTCTTCTTGTGTGAGAATTGTATTTTCTAAATGGGTTTTATTGGAACACACACACACACACACACACACACACAAATTCAGCAGCTTTCACACATAAGCCCATAAATCTAAGCTTCAAAGGACATTCAAAATCTCACTGTGAATTGGCAGATTTTCCAGCAGCTTCTTATGCTCCTCATCTGGGAGTACTAGCCCCATTTTCCTGAGCACATTTCCTAGATCGTTGACATCAACCTTCTCTCCTTAGGAAAGAAGGGAATTGTTAACATGTATGCATTTTAGGAATGGACTAATGATTTCAAATCATGAAAAAGATTACCTGTGTGGCATCATGCTTAAAAGAAGAGCCAATAAAAGTGAAACTTGTTAAACTATGTAGATTCAAAGGACATCTTGGACTTTGTATGTGCTGAAGTCAGAAATAGAATACACCAGAGCAGGGAAATCCTATACTGCCAAAACACTGGTAAGGATGTGGGACAATGGTGCTTCAATAGCAATAAATACATTAAAAATACTTCAAAATAAAAATGGTTTAGGCATTAAAAAAAGAATTTATACTATTAATTCAAGTAAAAGAAAAGCTGATATAATCCCAAATACAATTCAAATGGCATTGTATATTGGGAATAATGGGATGTTTTGACACAGTAACTCTTTTCTGGCTATTAAACAATTTGAGGTGGAAAACATTATATTCCATAGAGGGAAAAATCCCAAATTAAACAGTAAGACTATAAGACAAACATTGAATCATTAATTTTCTAGGGAGTCAATCTAGAGCATCAGTAATAGCCTGTAGCGGAAACTACTGTTTAAAAACATCTAATTTCGTGCCTGGGAATTTCCGTTCATCATAACTTCTTACTCACCTGTAAAAGCTTTTGCTTCATCCATCACCACATTCAAATCAGCCATTTCATTGTCTGTAACAAAAGATAAGTCAGGCACAGAGTCCAAATTTTTGACTTAGAAAATAATATGGAAAATTTAAATTGTAATTAATATAAAGGGTGGGAATTGCGGTTTCTTCCCCTGGTTTTCTTTAGGTATCTTTTCAACTCAAAATAAGCAGGAAACAGAGGAAATAAAAAAGATCAAGATGTTAATAGAAAGCAAATATCCATTTAATTAGTACCACTTTCTATAAAGCACCACATGCCCTTCACATAGAAATGACACCAGTTTAATAGTTGTCCCCATCACTAGGACTCTCCCTTCCTTCATACTCAATATGAGGAATACAGACATGATTGAATTTGAGCTCCAGAAGTCATCTATTAACATAAGCAGTGACCCTTTAAGTCCGGACACTATGCCATCTCCCCCACCGCCTCCTGCATTTTGTTTATGTTCCTCAAGTCCATCCCCCAGGGCTGTGAGTTATTTGAGAACAGGAATCATGTATTAATTTTCTTTTCTTTTAAAAAATATTTATTTATTTATGCATACAAGATCTGGGGTACAGGCCAGAGATGCGGGGGGTAAGGGGATCCACCAGAGACAGAGTGGGAACAGAACAGGCAAACTGACTGAAATACACTGCTGAGGGGAGCCGTGGGCAAGACAGGAGAAGTCTGCCTTGCCATGTGGGTTTCTCCCTGGCCGGCTAAGGATCAAACTCATGCTGCAGAGGCTGTGGATTGCTTCATAGTACAGTGCTTAACCCCTTGTGCCATGAGGGAGGACCTGTATTAATTTTCTTTTCACTACCAGGTATTAGTTGTTCACTCTCGAGTTCAGTGTTTTGCAAGTAGTTTTGGGTAGCTAAATAAATGAAAGAACTCCAGTGACACCTAGATAATATGTGCAAAAATATTGCATTAAGAAGTGATTTATGGGGCCTCCCTGGTGGCGCAGCGGTTGAGCGCTGGGTTGCGAAGCTGCCCACAGCCTCTGCAGCACTGGTTCGATCCCCGGCTGCTCCCCGGCCACTGGAGGAGGGTCCCACATGGCGTGCAGACCCCTCCTGCTGCCCGCTGCTCCCCTCAGCAGTGTACTTCGGTCCTTCTGCCTGCTCTGCTCCCCGCTCTGGCTCTGGTGAGTTCTCTCACCCTCCCGTGCTTCTGACTGTACCCAGTGCTTGTATAAATAAATAAATAAATTAAAAAAAAAAAAAGAAGTGATTTATGGTGTTCTTTTCATGAAAGGAAGAGGGGATCAGACAAAATTATGAATAATGACCAACACTCTTAAACCTAGGGAGAGGGAAATTTTAAACTACAAGCCAGGCCAAAGTTGTCTGGTATGTTAAGGCCAGCTATAGGTAGGTGCTTGTTAGCTGAGACTGGGAACACTGAGTTAGAGAAGAAGAATGATGTGTTTATTCTGGGTTGGTGCATCTGGCTCTACTGAAAGATGCACTGTCTGACTCTCTGATGGAAGTTTATTTTTCATCAGGGTTTTAATGGTAAAAACACCGGCTTTGCATTTGAATGTAGAAATCTCTAATGATATATAGTCTTACCCTGCGGCTCATCTCTTAGCAATTTCTTCCTAATGTATTATCCTATCTTTGTCTCATCATTTTTTGTACAGCTAAGTTTGCCTTACTGAGTCATTTAATGAAACTTTATCTTATTAAAATAATGGCAGAAGAAGGAAAGACGATATATGACAATACAGCAATACTTGTTAACTCGAAGTCAGTGGATACACAAGTGTTTGTTATATTGTTCTCTGCTTTATGTGTGTTTGAAATATTTCATCAGTTTTTCAAAGAGATTTACTTTCATAGTCCTCACATAGAAACCCCAACTCCCTCTAGGTACAGTAGTATCTGAAAAACTTACCATCAACTGGCACATGGCTCAGTAAGTCCTCCAAGTCCTCTTTTTCAAGCTTAATTCCCATGGCCTGCATAAGAGGATCCAGTTTATTGACATTGACTTTTTTTTTTCCTAAGGGAAGAAAGTGAAAATAAGAAGTGCAAATAAGTCTACAAAGGAGAAGACACTAGCTTTGCATATGCATTCAGCCTAAGCAGAGAGTGAAACTGGTCATTTAAGTGAACTCAGATAGGGTGGGAGTCAAGAAGACAAGAGATGCTCCCTTAGCACTGTGCTATAACTTTCCATGGAATAATGCATGAAAAACAAGAATCAGACAATTTTGGTGAATTCAATTTTGGTGAAGATAACCAATTTAAATGAAGCCAGTATTTTAAACTTGCTACATATTACTAATAATTACTTCCTCAAATGTAGTTAAACCCAAAGAAGAATTGGTAGGTTATGAGGCATAAATTTTGTACCATGAAATAAATGGAACAGTAGGAACAAAATTCTATTTTTAAAACAACAGGGATTCCCTGGTGGCCTCAGGTGGTCTCGATGCTATCACCACTGTGGCCTGAGTTTGATCCCCACCAGAGAGCTGACCCACATGGCGCAGCAGACCTCTCCTGACTTGCCCGCTGCTCCCCTCAGCAGTGTATTTCAGTCAATCTGCCTGTTCTGTTTCCCACTCTGTCTCTGGTGGAACCCCTCACCCCCCTGCACCTCTGGCCTGCACCCTAGTTCTACTATGCAAAAATAAACATTAAAAAATAAAAAACAACGACAATAACAACTGTAAACACAATGTTTTAGTTACTGTTCCCATAGATTCTTACCTTTGAGAGACTTCACACTCTCTAGTAATCTTTTTGTATACACTTTTCCATCTCCTGTAAAATGTGATAAAATTCAGGTCAAAAGAAAAAGGATAAGGAATTCTACAATTTTGAGATATTTTATAGAAATTTACTTCTATTTCACCATCAAATAATAAGAAAACATAGGAACTGTCCTCAATGTGGTTACCCTAGCTGGACTACATGGCAAGAGTTGGTGCAGGTTACATCATACAACACACACAAGCACAAACAAACACACACAAACACACACGATTCTTCCTTCTCATTTACTGCACTTCAATTCTTCTGCCTTTGTTTTCTTTGCCTATGCCCTAGGCCCACGAGAGAGAGTCCCCTCAGTATACATTTAGTCCAAATGGTAGTTTCTATAAAGGGGTGATATTAGAAAGTTACCAATCCAAACAATAATGTAAAACAATATTTAACAAAGCACTTTTGTTTTTCAAACAATCTCTTTTCATAAATGGACAAGAAATTCCAGAGACAGAGAACAGGGAACATCTGTCGGTCAACCCATCCCCCCAGGTGCTATCTGTCCCAGAGGCCTCTGTCCTGTGGCAGGGATGTCTGCAGTGAGCCCTTAGCACCAGGCATGTGCCTATCTGCTTCTTTCTACATCTCTATTCTGTGCTCTCAGAGACAATTTTGTAAGAAGGCTGCCCTGCTCGTGACTAGCCCTTAAGAGCAATCTGAGGGATGCTAGGCAAGGTGAGTGGTCACAGCCTGAGTGGTGGGCTTTGAGTATTTGCTGCCCAGGGCACTAGCCCCTTGGAGATGTGTGTTTACTCTTGCCTGGGAGCATGGGGGTCCTGGGGACAGCGCAGGAAAGCACAGTCTGGCTTTTAGGGTTTTTATTGGATTGTGGGAAGATGGGAGGTTCTAAAGGGGAGGGACTGAGGCTGTATGGCACATTCGAGGTACTCCAGAAGGATTTAGCTGTTTGTCATAGTTAACATATTTAGCAGAAGCCCATTGGCTGAGTGGAAAAGAGAGAAGTTTCTCACTTCCAAATTAAAACAAAAGTGACAGGGTTTCTTATGCCTGACTTGCATTTTTCTACAGGGCTTCTCAAGGGACTGGACAATTCTCACTCAGAAGTTCAAGATACCACTGTTCTCTGCACATCATGATGGTATGTTAAGTACTCACTCGAGACCGGCAGAGTTTTTGAAAGCATCTGCTCTTTTTCAGCGAGCTCGATTCCCATCTTCCCCAGAACATTTTTAAAGTCACTGGCTTCCACCTTTTCTCCTTTGAATAGATGAGAATTGTTTCAGGTAATGGTATTAGGAGATCAAATTATTCTAAATTACAAACATGATCCAGTACAGCATGATTTTTTAACTATAGGAGGAAGTTTAAATACATGAGCTGACATCTCTTACATGGTTATTGTGAAATATTAAAAAGGAATTTTCACCCAAATAAGGGAAAACACTTCTATTCTGTGGGTCAATATAACATGGAGTAGGGTCCTCCCTGGTGGCGCAAGGGTTTAAGCACTGCACTATGAAGCAATCCGTAGCCTCTGCAGCACGAGTTCGATCCCTGGCTGGCCGGGGAGCAACCCACATGGTGCAGCAGACCTCTCCTGACTTGCCTGCTGCTCCCCTCAGCAGTGTATTTAAGTCAGTCTGCCTTTCTGTTCCCCACTCTGGTGAATCCTCTAACCCCCCCCCCCATACCTCTGGCCTGTACCCCAGCTCTTGTATGCATAAATAAATAAATCTTTGAAAACAATAACATGGAGTAATATGGAGTCTATATAATTGCCCAATCATTTATGATGTTACATAGAATTTACATAATTCCTCTGGCAAGTGGTATCTCATTACTGATTTATGTGACTGACTATTCATAGTGACCATTTTTCCTGATGCATAAAGTTCACATTGAGCTTCAATGTATTCACCTGTATTTTGATTCTCTAATCACCGGAGAAATAGACATAACTAGTCAAATATTAGAAGAACTAATAACTTCTTATTAGGGAAAGCCCACACTTTCCCAAAGTCTCTAATAAACTATTTTCAATAAGACAAAAATATCAATAAATAGTTAACAGAGCAGAAATGAGCTTAATGATACTCTACAAGGCATTACATTCTTAACTTTATAATGTCTTATACAAATTCTCACCTGTAAAAGCATCCGCTGCATCCATCAAAACATCCAAATCAACCTTTTTACCTGTAGAAAGGAAATTCAGAATTTAGATTCAGATGAAAAAAATGATACTTGAAACATTATATAAAATTCTTAAATAATAAAGCCATGGCTTATGTAAGCCCAATAAGTTTTTATGCTTTGTTCTAGAGTTCATATATTTTCAATACACAAGAATATGTAATAGAGGTAAGGATATTTAAGCTTTAAATATATATATCCATTCAATTCACATAACCTCTTCTTTTAATTTCATAAACTGTTAACTATTAAAAACCTTTAGGGCACTATGGTTTGTGGAGTCTTTTGTTTAAAATCAGCTCCACCTTCCTTCTTAGAGACCTAGTTCTCCTGCATGGAATGGAGGGCTAAAACAGGTTAGAATGACAGTTCTCAAAAGTGTGGCCCATGGACCTCTGTACCCTCACACCCTTTGCTTTTTTCACTGTGTTGACAGTAGCACTGATGGTGCAAAAGTGATGGTAGGTAAAACTGCTGGCATCCTTGCATCAATCAATGCAGTGAGAACAAACTAGTAACGGTCATTGTTTTTCAGTATACATTCCTGGAGTAACATAGTAGTGTCAGTTTTCTTAGGAATAAAAAATTAGCAAAAGCTATTAATTTTATTAACTCTTAAATCTTGAACATACACCTTTTTAACACTCTGTGTAGTAAAATGGGAGGTTTGCATAAAGCACTTCAACTTGAGGGAAAGAAATTGTGTGGCTGAGTTGAAAACATCCTAGCTGCTTTTTCATGGAATGCCATTTCACTTGAGAAAATGACTGGTGGACAAAATATAGTTATTCTGAGTTTGGCATTTGGCAAACATTTTGAACAAGAACAAAAGAAACCTGTCATTGTAAGAAAAACAACTGACAGTAGATATTTTAATGGTAGAGATCAAGTTTTCAAACAAAAATTTGAATTTTGGAAACCTATCTGTACTGTGACTTGACAGCTTCCTAACACTTAAATACTCTCTTCATGAGACTGGTGGTGAATTAATAAGTGTGATTTTTGATATTGACCAATGAAATGTGCTAATATTTGGAAGAGCTACGTAATTCAGTGAAGCACTGTTTTCCAAATGACCAAAAGCATGATGTTACAAAATCATGCAGGTAAAAGTTGAAAATGTAAGATAGATCAGCAGATTTTTAATGTACCCAAGTATAAAAATTTATTTATATAATTTCTGCTCCCTTATTGCAAATAAACTTTAAGAAGGCACCTCTTATTGGGATAATATCAAAGAATACTATTCATGATTTACTGAAAAAATTCCTTCCTTTGCCAATTACATGCATTTGTGTGAGGCCAATTGCCTTATATACTTCAACAAAACAACATATTCCAATAGATTTAAAGCAGAAGCAGTTATGAGAAACCAGCTTGATAGCAAAATGTTTATAAATATGTAAAACAATGCCCTTTTCCCACTAATTTTTTTTCATGGAAAACATATAGATATTTTTCTTTGTTTTTAATTTAACATGTAATGGACTTGCTATTTTTAAATGAATTAATGTATATAATATCAAAATGTATTTTAATTCATAATATAATTAATATTAATAGATATAAAAACAAGAAACAAAAATAAAAGCCCAGAAAAGTTCTTTAGCATCCACAATAAAATTTAAGAGGATAAAGTAGTTCTGAGCCAAAAAGTTTGACAACCATGGGTTAAAGAGTACATACAATAGACAAGATTCAGTTTGCTTGTTTTTGCTTAAGCCAACTTCATTCCATGTTTATTACTTAGTACAGGAGGATCCTCATCCTCAAACTTTGCTAGCTCCATTGTGGTGTTGTATTTCCCTCTAGACTGTAAGCACCTCTGAGGACAGACCCCATGTCTTTTTTGCTCCTGTACCCCAAACATTCTCAGTTACTAGTGAACACATTTCCCAAGTAAGTAAAACATCATCACAATACTGGCATATTGTTAGCACTCAATAAATATTTATTGAATGACTCGATAAAGGAAAGAAATATATTAAAAACTCAGGATCTTTGAAACAGGAAATCACTGAATATAGAAACCCTTCTGTAGTAAATGATATTCGTTCTAGCCCTTGGGGGTTCCATGCCATTCTACAGGGACTTGAACCAGCCCTTCATGTGTCAGAATCTTTGATGATCTGCACTATAATGTCAGCTAGTCAGGGGGTTGTGTTAAAGAATGAAGAGACGGCTCCTCTCCTTCCAACTGAGTCCTATTACCATCTCAGTTATGCTGGTTTTTTGTTTGCTTTTTTTTTTTTAAAAAAAGATTTATTTATTTATGCGTACAGGAGCTGGGGTACAGGCCAGACACACGGTGGGGTGAGAGGATTCACCAGAGACAGAGCAGGGAACAGAACAGGCAGACTGACTGAAAAACACTGCCAAGGGGAGCAGTGGGCGAGACAGGAGAGGTCTGCTGCACCATGTGGGTTGTTTCGTGGCTGGCTGGGCAATGAACTCAAGCTGCAGAGGCTGCAGATTGCTTCATAGTGCGGTGCTTAACCCCTTGCACCACCAGGGAGGCCCTTGTTTGCTTTTTTAAAAAAGGTCAGCCTATACCCTTATGTATATATATATCTTTTCCTATCCTTTTTCTTTTATCTTGCCCTCATCTCTTTCTCCTTTAACCTACTTTTCAATTCCACTTGTAATCTCCCAAATATTCCCTTGTATTTTTCTATTCTTTTGGCATTCCTGTATTCATGGGAACACTCTGAGGAGCTGTATTAACCCTGCTGGTAGTTCTCATGGTTTGAACATAACAGGTTTAAAGATTATTAACACTAATAATTAGGGAATATACTTTCAATTGTCTGTTCCCTTGTATCTGCATGTCTTGTGATGATCCCAACTCAATTATGCCCTAACCATTATTTTTCTCTTCATTCTGCACCTCCTTCTGTCCCGACTCCCTTCTTGGGTATGTGTGTGTGTGTGTGTGTGTGTGTGTGTGTGTGTGTGAATCATATAAGCTATAAACCTCTGGTTCATACTTTTAGTATTTTTCCCCATCACCTACCACATCAATTCAGTCTTCCCCATATATCACCAGTGGGTTTCCCTAGATAAGACTCTTATCATCTAAACCTTGTAAGTCTCTATAATCTGGACCTCAGCAGCAGAACTCTTATCTCTGCCCTCAGATTTTCTCTTTCCAACTTATCTTTCGTTACTGCTTCCACAGTGGACTAGTCATTATCTATAGGATAAAGATCTCTTAAATAATCACCAGTAACTGGTATGTGGTTCTGCAGGTCCTGGATTTCATTTGCTTTGAGTCTGAATCCAGTGTTTTGTAGAACATTCCTTAAATTATTGACATCAACCTTTCCTCCTTAATAAAAACAAGAAGGTATAAGTAAGGATTTTAGGAAAGAAAAATGCAGGCAATTAAATCCTATCTACGAACAAAAGCTCAAAGAAGTGTTTTCGGCCAGCTGTGGAGGAGTCAGGAATGGAACATGCTCCCATAAGTCAACTTCTGGGGAACTTCATATTGGGTAGCAAAATGTACAAAAAGCGTATGGCAACTCTGGTAATTTAGACAAAGATGTCAACCCATTTATTCTAGTCAAAAAGTACAAGTGGAAAACTGTTACATTAAAAATAAACCTTCTTCTTAATACAATTACTTATACATAAAAGAAAATTCAAGTCAATAAGGTAGAAAATCTTTGGTGTAGTTTTGATCAAAGCATTAAAAAATGAGGATTTACAAAAAAAATCAATGCATACATTTCAGATGAGTTAAATAAATGTTAAAAGTGAAATTATAAGAAAATAAGGAGAAAGTGTGTATAATTCTTTATATGCTATTTAGATAATAAGGAATTCCTTAGATAGTAAGGAATTTTCTAGATACAAAAAAGGATAAGAATAAATCACAGAAAAAATGATTGATATAATTAAACACATAAAAAGAGAAAAATGTATGTTAAAATACAACGTAATGTACAGAAAGTAGACTGGTGGTTGCAGGGAGTGGGCAGTGGCTGCTAAGGGATATAGAGTTTCTTTTTTGGGTGATGAAATGTTCAAAATTCATTGTAGTGAGGTTGCACAACTTTGTTAGTATAATAAAAACCATTGAATTGTATAATTTAAATGGGTGAACTGTATGACATGTGAATTATATTTCAATAAAGCTATTGTAAAATAATACAACATAATAAAATGTAAATAATCAAGTGGGAAAACATTTTCTATAGTTATGATGATGTGGTAATATCTTGAATATATAAAGAGGTGATTCATATGAAAAGGAAAAATGCTCAGACTCCAAAAGGATAATGGGCAAAAGGTCAGAACAAGTAACTCTAAGACTAAAAGACATAATGATATAAAATCACTTTCAACTTTGTTAATAACAAAAAAAAATCAAAACAAGAATTAGGTTTTATTTTTCATCTATCAAATTAGCAAGGATCAAAATTTAAAAAAAAAAATTACTATTGTGGCCAGGGCATGACAGTCTTGGGTGCTCTTATTCACTTGTCTACAGCAAAGCCTTGAACATGTTAAGGACCTTTGGGCTAGTAATTCCAATTGGAAGCTCTACCCAAAGAAAGCTACTTTAAAGTGAGATGAAATTTATGTACAACGATCACAGATGTATAAGAGCAAAACAATGGAGATGACCTAAGTGTTCAAGAAGAAAAGGTTAATTAAATTATAATACAATCAGAGGGTAAAGTCCTTGAGTGACATTTACAAAGAATGTTAAAGGACATGCTGGCATTCTTATACTAACATTTAGTAAGATTTAACACTAATAGGATTAAGTGTAGGGTACATAAAATATATAGTAAGTTTAATTAACACATACATATACAGAAAAAAAACCCAAGGGAAACTATAATTTAAAAAAAGGGCAATATTACTTGGGTTTATGGTTAATTATTTTTTCTGTATGCTATTCTATACATTCCAGATAATCTTCAAATACTCAACACATACACTTAGATATTTGTTGAATACTATAAAATGCATAATTTCAAATGCATCATTTTTTATAATCAGAAAATATTAACAAGAATCTCAAATTTTATTGTCCTTATCTTTGTTCTCACTCACCTTTGAAAGATTTCACAGCATCCAGTAACTCTTTCTCATATACCTTTTTATCAGCTGTTAAGATAAAACACTATTAATAGAAGTTTTGGAGAGTCATAAAAATTAGTTATATTTTCATAAAGGGAGTATTTAGAAATTTGTCTCAATTTTCAATGAAATGAAAGGTATTCAGAAAGTTCAATGTAGTGGAGCTATCCATTGGATGAAAATCAAGACTACTATTAGCACCCTACTGTGCTGAAATACTCATGTTTTTTTTCTTTTCCATTTTCTCCTATCTAATTTAGCTTCATTTTCTTTCCTTTTCCTTCCTACTCTTCTGCTTTTTCATTTTCTTCCAACTTGTTATTGAGACCTTAGATTTCTCTGAAAGGAACAAAAGAACTTGTCCTAAATGAAACTTCTGATCAAAGAGTTTCCTACTTTCCTAAACTAAAATCAAAATGCTAGGAATAGGATTTTTAAAAATGTGAACCTTTTAATATTATTTTTAATTGACACAAAATGTTTGAAACATTAGAATTTCTCATACAAAATCTTAGAACCAAATTTTGCTGATGTTTTCTTTAAGAGGGCAGGGCCTTGAGGAAATATGGTCCCTGTCAACATTGCCCCTCTTTCCCAGTGTTTAGAATAGGGCCAGGCACAAAACACATCCCCCACAAATGTTTGATGAATGAATACATTTTCAGACATCAGTGAAGTAGAACACACTTAAATTCTTACCAGAAACTGGTAGAATTTTCAGCAACTTTTTGTATTCCTTATTTGTGAGCTCTATTCCTTTGTTTTTCATAATATTTTTCAGGTCCTGAATATGAATCTTCTCTCCTTTAGAAAAAGGGAAGTATATATGAGACATCCTTTCCAGGTGGACTGAATTTAAATTGCTCTGCTCTAGCTTTCAATATAATCATCTGCCAAAACCCCACTGAAATAAGTTTCTGCTTATTCTGAGCCTGCAACCACGCAGTTGAGGTAGAGCGGAAGTGAATTGTGTTGACTATTCTTTCTTAAAACTGATGATCATGAACCTCAAGTGGGTCCTTAATTCTGCTGAGCAATCACATGAGACTTGGCTAGTCACAGACTTTCCCATATTTCTTGCTGACTATGTCATCTCCTCTCCTCTCTTTTCAAACAGCCATTTCCTCCTTTTTTCCATTTTATCACTTCAGTCTTTGTCTTCCTTGCCTGAACACCCTTTTTTTCCCAACAATTTCCATGTGGTCAATACCTTCATCTTTCTCAAGTATTTGCTCAAATATTACCTTCAGAAAGAGGCCTGATTATCTTTTGAAAACCAACATATCTTGCTCTCCTAGTCTCTTGGACTCTCATTTTCATTTTTTTTACAGTATTTATCATTTTTGAACATACTACATAATGTAATTATTATTAATTATATTTATTGCTTATTTCCCTTGCTAGAATATAAGCTCATGAAAGCAGTGAAATATGTTGTGTTCATTTTTTTAATTCTTATTTATTTTTGTGTAGAAGAACGTGGGTATAGGCCAGAGGTGTGGGAAAGTGAGAAGACTGACCAGAGACAGAATGGGAAGCAGAACAGATGGACTGAGTGAACACTGCTAAGGGGAGCAGTGGGCTAGAAAGGAGAGGTCTGCTATGCCAAATGTGGGTTAGCTCCCTGGCTGGGGATTGAACTTAGGCTGCTATGGTGGGCCATGGTGATGACAGCACTGAGACTTAACTCCTATGCCACTAGGGAGGCCCCTGTTCTGTTTATTGACGTAAACATAACAAGATGTGGCATATGGTTAAGTAACTAGAACAATAAGTGGCATGTAGTGATTGCTGAATATAGTTGCTAAATGAATGAAGGGAGGAAGCACTATTGTGTAAAAAAACTAGTTTCATATAAAACTTTAAGACTACATAATATAGTTCACATTGTAACTCCTCACATACCTGTGATATTTTTAACTTCATGCATCAATACATTTAAATCAACCTTTCCTTTATCTGTAAGATAAAAAAAACATCAAAAGGATTTTTAGAAAAATGATGTAAAATTCTTAGGAACCCAAAATTCAACCATTTGAAAACATTTCCCTAAAAGTTTATTATTTTTTCATGTCAGAGACTCATGAATTTAACTACTGTAGCTCCTGCGTTCTACTTTATCAAAACCTACACAGCCCAGTGCATAAGCAAGGTTTAAAGAACTCTCCTTTCCTTCAGGACAAAATATTATTACTTATTAAATTAGTCTGAAATTTTTCAAGAAATTTAATTTTTTTTTAAATGATGTTTCCATTTTGTCAGTGCTAACTTAACCTTTGGGTTTATGATCACTTTGGCACCAAATGTCCCTTAAAGCACAGAGTGCTGGTGTCATATCTGGCTGCTCCTAGGCCAATAATCATCAGGTTGATAATTTCAGTAAAATTCCCAGATGTGATGACAAAACTCTTGTTTTGCAGTACCCATTCTCATTGAAGGAGATTTCAAAGGCCATGCACTTAATTTCTTACACATTTTTTTTTTTTATTTATAGAGGCATGTTTTTATTTATTTATTTATTTGTTTGTTTGTTTGTTTTGTTTATACGTGCACTGGGTACAGTCAGAAGCGCGGGAGGGCGAGAGAATTCACCAGAGCCAGAGCGGGGAGCAGAGCAGGCAGAAGGACCGAAGTACACTGCTGAGGGGAGCAGCGGGCGGCAGGGGAGGTCTGCACGCCATGTGGGACCCTCCTCCGGTGGCCGGGGAGCAGCTGGGGATCGAACCGCTGCGCTGCAGAGGTCGCCGGCAGCTTCGCAACCCAGCGCTCAACCGCTGCGCCACCGGGGAGGCCCCATGCACTTAATTTCTTTAGTTAGAAGTTCTCAGGTTATAAATCTCAATTTACTAGAGGTCAAGGGATACATTTTAAGCAGTGTATAAAATTGCAAATTTGATAAACAATTTATTGAGATGTTAAGACAGCAGTTAGGCAAGGTTCAGTTTGGAAACTTAAAGCTGCCTATGGACATAATCATTTTCCACTTATATCCTAGGAAAAGGTACCAGTTCATCTCTGTTCAAACACATTTACTCTCTTATATTAATTGTAACAATCCTAAAATTGTTAATTCCCTGAGGACAGGATACTAAGAATCACTGTGTATTTCTTTCTTTTTTCTTTACTGAGGTAATATTGTTTTACAACTTTTGTGATTTAAAAGTAGAGAGTCTTCCCCTCACTGTCTATTTCTACTTAGATATTATTAGTTTAATGGTTTGTGCAGGATGGATGTTCCATGTTTACTAAATAATAAAGTTCTAGCAAAATGCAAACATATCATAGAGAATGAATTAGCTTTAAAACAAATATATACTCCAGGTTCTTGGATACAGTTTGTTTTTTCTTTCAATTATGGCAATCTTTTATTGACATTCTTTTATAGTTTCATAACATTTTATCATTATGTTGTTAATTTGAATACTATTATACTATACTTGTTAAATAGTAAAAGGGAAAACTTTTATTAGATAAAGATTTGAGACTATTTCATGGCCTTCATTTTAGATCCACTGAGGCCTGTTTGGTCCCTGAAACAATTTTCCAAACTATCTCAGATGAGTCTACAGATGTACAAGGTAGTTCACAAGAATTGCTTTAAATTACTCTAAATTATTTTAGAGTTAATCACTTGCTGGGTACCCCTTTTCATTTTCAGGTTACGAGGAAACAAGGAAACTATATGTATTTACTCTATATTTATTACACTGGTAGATTAAAAGAGCCATGCAAAAGGTTTAAAAACCAAAGAAAACATCATTTCTTGAAAAACCACTTACCTCTTATTAAGACAAAGGTCACCAAGACCTAGAACAGTGCCTACCACATCAGGGACATTTAACTAAAGTTTATCGAATGAAGAATGAAAAATACTATCTAGAAAGCAGATTTTCATTGACTTGGAACAATTTTTACTACTTTATCATGGGGTCAAGTGTCTCTCAAAATTTCTTAATGATTTTTTTTCAGTTCCACAAACATGAGAACAGTCTAACATATGCCAAATTTAATTAATTCCATTGGTAAACTTACTGTAAATTTCTTAAATGCACTGATTATAGTAGTTTATGGCAGTACAGCAGAATGAGATAGTTTCTGGAGTCAGATTGGGTGTCCACCATTTATTAGCTCTTTGACTTTGGTCAAGTGACTTGACATCCTTGTGCCTTAATTTCCTTATATGGAAATGGGGGTAAAAATAGAACCTACCCTATAGTGTTACTTGGAAGATTAAATAAGTTAATGTAAGTACAGTGCTTTGAATAGTCCTTGAAAAATATCAGGACTATGTAAGTGTTGGTCATTGATATTAGCAGTAGGAACTTGAGTATTTTTATTTTTTTATTTTTTTTTTATTTTTTTATTTTTATTTTATTTTATTTTTTTTTTAAATAATAAATTTTATTTTTATATTCCACATACAATTGCAGCCCCCCCATTCTGACCCCAATCCCTCCCCTCCCGCCCCTCACCCCCCAAAAAGTGTCTCTGGTTCATAGTTTTTTGTTGATTTTGATTTTCACTTTCTTATAGTTATTCATTCTCCTGGTCCCTTATTTAAGTTTTCTAGATTCCTGCTATGAGTGAGACCATCCGGTATTTTTCTTTTTCTTTTTGGCTTATTTCGCTGAGCATGATCCCTTCCAGCGCCATCCATGTTGCTGCAAATTGCATGTGTTTATCTTTTTTGAATGCTGAGTAATATTCCATGGTATATATGTACCACATCTTCTTGATCCAGTCATCGATTTTTGGGCATTTGGGTTGTTTCCAAAGCTTAGCTATTGTAGACAGTGCTGCTATAAACATAGGGGTGCAGGTGTTCTTTGGAATTGATGTTTCTGTGTCCTTTGGGTAAATACCTAGGAGTGGAATTGCTGGATCATATGGAAGCTCTATGTTTAGTAGGTCCAGAAATCTCCACACAGCTTTCCACAGTGGTTGGACCAGTTTGCACTCCCACCAACAGTGCAGAAGAGTTCCTTTTTCTCCACACCCTCGCCAACATTTGTTGTTGCTAGTTTTTTTAATATGTGCCATTCTCGCTGGTGTAAGATGGTATCTCATGGTAGTTTTGATTTGCATTTCCCTGATGACAAGTGATGTTGAACATTTTTTCATATGCCTGTTGGCCATTTGCATTTCCTCTTCAGAGAAGTTTCTTTTTAGCTCTTCTGCCCATTTTTTGACTGGATTATTTTCTTTGTTGTTGTTGAGTCTCATCAGCTCTTTGCAGATTTTTGTGATCAGTCCTTTATCATTAGTGTTGGGTGCAAAAATGTTCTCCCAGTTGGTGGGGTTTCTCTTTGTTTTTGTTATTGTCTCTTTTGCTGTGCAGAAGCTCTTTAATTTGATGTAGTCCCAGCTGTTTATCTTTGCCTTCACTATCACTGCTTTGGGTGATGTGTCTGTAAAGATGTCTTTGATGTGCAAATCATGTAGTGTTTCGCCTATATTTCCTTCTATGTATTTTATGGTTTCAGGTCTTATGTCTAATTCTTTAATCCATTTTGAGTTGATTTTTGTGTATGGTGTGAGGTAGTGGTCAAGCTTCATTCTTTTGCATGTAGCGACCCAGTTTTCCCAGCACCATTTATTGAACAAACTTTCTTTGCTCCAATGCATAGTCTTTGCTCCTTTGTCGAAGATTAGTTGACCATAAATCTGTGGGTTTATCTCTGGATTTTCTATTCGATTCCATTGGTCTGTATGTCTGTTCTTGTTCCAATACCATGCAGTTTTGATGATTATGGCTTTGTAGTATAGTTTGAAGTCTGGGAGTGTGATGCCTCCATTCCCTTCTTTTTTTTTCAGGAGAGCTTTGGCTATTCGGGGTTTTTTGTGATTCCATATGAATTTCATCAATAATTGTTCTATTTCTTTGAAGAATGACATTGAAATTTTGATTGGAATAGCATTGAATCTGTATATTGCTTTTGGAAGGATGGCCATTTTAATAATGTTTATTCTTCCAATCCATGAGCAGGGGATATCTCTCCATTTCTTTGTGTCTTCTTCTATTTCTTTTAACAGTGTTTTATAGTTTTCTTTGTATAGGTCCTTTACCTCTTTTGTTAGATTTATTCCCAAATATTTGATTTTTTTTGTTTCAATAACGAAAGGGATGGTTTTTTTGATTTCTTCTTCTTCAGATTTATTGTTTGTGTATAGGAAGGCTACTGACTTTTGCGTGTTGATTTTGTATCCTGCCACTTTACTGAACTGATTGATGAGTTGAATTAGCTTTTCTGTGGAGTTTTTGGGGTTCTCTATGTATAATATCATATCGTCTGCAAATAGTGATAGTTTGACTTCTTCTTTTCCTATTTGGATTCCTTGGATGTCTTTCTCTTGTCTTATTGCCCTGGCTAGGACTTCCAGTATTATATTGAAAAGCAGTGGTGAGAGTGGACATCCTTGTCTTGTTCCAGATCTTAATGGAATTGCTTTCAGCTTTTCACCATTGAGAATGATACTGGCTGTTGGCTTGTCATAGATGGCCTTTATGATGTTAAGGTATAGGAACTTGAGTATTTTTATTAGCATTTTCTATGGAGAGTGAGGCCGCTGATGGGCCGCACTCTTGGTAATCCTTCCCAAGTGAGAGCCAATTGGGTTCAGTTTGGTAGCTATGGTGGGTGAAGGTCTTACACTTTCTTGTTCTTCTTTTCCTATACAGCCTTGATATTAGCCTGATGCCCAAAGTTTTACTAAAAGATATTGAAAACTCTCACCATCAACTGGTAGGCGATCCTTCAATTCCTGGATTTCCTTCTCCTTGAGATTAATTTGCTTGTTTTTCAGGAAAATGTCCACTTTATTTAAAGACACCTTTGTCCCTTAGGAAAGAAATGGACAGATATGATAAACACTTGTAATTCTATAAAGGGTGGGTCATTCTAGCTTATGCTTAACATCAATACTATATAGATGAATACTATATAGAGAAGGAAGAGCACAGAACAATCAAAATATTCAAGTAAACATCAGTTTTGGCATGTTGGTATATATAAGTCAGGAATTCCTAAGCCCTGATCTGTGGCATCTATTATGGCTTTTAGAAAAACTTTTAGCAAATTGAGAGTTAGGGGTATCTGCTAAGTCATAGCAAGAACTAAAAATTAACCTTTATAAATGTCTGCACAGTAGGATTTGAAACTTGCTAGATTAATGAAGAACTGTAACTCCATCCTTTCACCTGGTCAGCCAATAAATGGATTTACCCTATTGTCATTTTTCTGAGAAACTAGAATAACATGTTCCTAGGTACTTGAAAATCAAGATCAGTGTGATTAGAAACTGGCTTAGTGCTCTGAACACTACAATTTTTTTGGTGATACTGATACACAGCTTTGTTTGGGGACCACGGTTTTTGAGTTTACTGTAGTTAAGCTATTTTGATGACTGGTGTGCTGAAAACATATAAAGAATAAACACTAATTAATAAAGAGCTGGAACAGCAGGATTAATAATGTGAAAATTATAAAATAGGCAGAGTATTTGAAAACAAAAGCACAAGCTTGATGGCCTCAGTTTTACTTGCTTCTTACTTACCTTCAAGAGAACTCAATTCTTTCATTAACCTGTTCACATAAACTTCCTGTTTGCCTGTAGTAAAGGGAAAAAGTCAAGTCTCAGGCAACAAAAGAGACATTTTAAAATAGTATAAAATGTGTAATTTTAGGAACATAGACTTTTAAATGTTTTCTTCTAGAAATTAATATAAACAGTTCTCAGTTTGGTGAAGTTATTCTGCTGTTTGGGGGGCATGAATCATTACTTAAATAGGAAATATTAGTCATAATAGTCTATAGACTCAATTTTCTTACAGATCCACTGTGACATTTTAATTATTGTTTAAAAATTTTACTGTTTTTAAAAAATTGAGGTAGCATTGATATATAACCCTATTGTGATATTTTTAATGCTTACCAGCAACTGGTAGATGTTTCAGTAGTTCCTTGCCTTTATCTTCTGTTAGTTTTACCCCCATATTTTCCAGAAAATTTTTCAGGTTTCTAGTATCAACTTTCTCACCTTTGAAAAGTGAAACATGTTAATGGTGATTCTGTATTATAAAAATGCCTATATGGAATTTGTTGGTTACAATAAACCTGGCAAGAATGCCAGCTATTGCTGAAATGTAATCTTAGAGCTTTTTGGCTAAAATGATGATAAAAACTGTAAGTTAGTAGGTAGATCAAACATTCACCAATAAATAGGGAATCTGAAAGAATGATCAATAAGAAAAGCACAAAGGATTTTCTTTTTTTTAATATATTTTTATTTATACAAGAGCTGGGGTACAGGCCAGAGTTGTAGAAGGATGAGAGGATTCACCACAGACAGAGTAGGGAGCAGAACAGGCAGACAGACCGAAGGCACTGCTGAGGGGAGCAGCAGGCAAGACAGGAGAGGTCTGCCTTGCCATGTGGGATTCTCCCTGGCCGGCCAGGAATAGAACCGGAGCTGCAGAGGCTGCGGACAGCTTCACAGCCTGGTGCTCAACCTGCTGCGCCACCAGGGAGGCCCCCAGAGAATTTTCTTTTTAAGGCATTAATGTGAAGTGCTAGAGGGAAGAACACAGGGGATCACCACACTATGATGGGTAAGACACAAAGTTAACAAGCTTGTTTGGTAATGTACTTGGATTTAGTTCCTAGTTATAAAGGGAGAAATAACCACTTATTCTTGTCCCTACAATTGTCTCTCAATTGGATTGGTGAAATTGTCCTTCACTACGGCTCTTCTCTCTAGCTTGAAGATGCAGTTTAGTAACAAATGCAAGATGGAAATTATGTTAGGTTGAAGTATGTGTTAACTAACATAATTGAGGTAAACTTTTTGTAATATATGTGTTATCAACACATATATGTTAAACTTAGATGGTACATGTCGATTATGTCTCAATAAAGCTGGGGGGAAAGACGTACTTTAGATAGACAATTGGACAATTGGAGGTCCAATTCCAGCAAAAGAAAACTCTTGCTTTTAGTCCTCTGGACCACATCACAGAGCTTCCATTGGGAAGAGAATGTCATTCAACAACCTGGCTTCCAAATTATTTTTTTACCTCTTTACCCTCAGGAACTGTCTACTAAATTCTTTACTGGTTAACAATAATGGACATATCCTGGAATTTGTCATCACTTGGAAATGCTTTACCTCTAAAATCTTAAATTCTAATGCCTACTTCTGATTAGGACCTCCTATTCTTCCACTTGCCTTACTCCTACTATACCCATTATAGTCTCCATGGGGACTTTCATTCCTCCCTGTCTCTCACTTTTCTCCAAGTTCATAATTTTCATCATAACTTCACTTTTTTTCTATCTACTCTCTCTTCAACAACTCTTGAGTATATTCTTCATGTTTTTATTCTTTCATTCTTTTGGCACATCAACCTGGAGACTCTACAAACTGGGTCCAACTGAAGAATATAATAATCATGCAGAAAGTTGCCATTATTTTGGTGACTATCACTATCACTCACCCAACCACCCAACTTGGAAACTGAGGAGACATCCTTTATGCCTTCCTTTTGCTCTATCTCTCTACATGATCAGTAACCAAATCCTATTGAGTCTTTTGTCTGTAGCATTTCTTAAATATGTCCCTTAATTTCAATTCTAAACAGTTACCATTTGCTATCTAACTGGTCTTGCTGACTCTGTTCTTGCACAGACACAACTCTACCCATCCTTTAGATGGCTGCTAGAGTAATATTTCTAATTTGCAAAACTAATCACATAGTCTTCTGCTTAAAATCCTGGAGTGACTTTCCACTCTGCACAGCAAGAAATCCACACTCATTTATTTGGTATGCTAGGCCCTTCATGACTTGTCCCCAATATTAGTTTCCCATTGTTGCTGTGATAAGTTACCACAAATTTGGTGACCTAAAACAAAGACAGATTTTTTCTTATATAGTTCTGGAGATTAGAAGTCCATAATCAGTTTCATTGGGACAAAGTGAAGGTGTCAGTGGGTCTGGTTCTTTCAGGAAATTCTAAGGGAAAATACCATTCTCTTGCCCTTTCTACTTCTAGAGGCCACTTACACTCCTCTGCTCAGGCTTCTTTTTCTATCTTCAAAGCCATCAGTTTAACATCTTGCTTTAGTTGTCATGTGGCCTTCTATTTCTTCTGTCATCAAATCTCACTTTGCCTTCCTCTTTTAAGGACCCTCATGATTGCATTTACATATCGGATAATCAAGTATAATCTTATCTGAAGACTCTTATTTTTTTAATGTAGAAATGCTATTTTTATTTTTTATATTTATTTATTTATACAAGCACTGGATACAGTCAGAAGCGTGGGAGGGTGAAAGAATTCACCAGAGCCAGAGTGGGGAGCAGAGCAGGCAGAAGGACCGAAGTACACTGCTGAGGGGAGCAGCGGGCGGCAGGAGAGGTCTGCGCACCATGCGGGACCCTCCTCTGGTGGCCGGGGAGCAGCCGGGATCAAACTGGCGCCACAGAGGCTGGGGGCAGCTTTGCAACCCAGTGCTCAACTGCTGCGCCACCGGGGAGGCCCCTTATTTGAAGACTCTTAATCACATCTCCAAAATCCTTTTTGTCATTCTAAGGGCAGGACTGGACACGGTGCAGGTTTTCTGATCCCATGCAGACTGGGTAAAGGAGGAGTCAGAGTCCTCAGTGGTTTTGCAGGTTTTTATTGGGGTTTACCAGGCATATGGCAGGCAGGGGTGCTGGCAGGTAGGCCTCCCAGCCCCCAGCAAATACGCACTCTTTCTGGCGTTCTCTGCTTCTCCTTTGCTTCTCTCCTGGCTTCTCTTCGGCTGCTTCTGGCGTCTCTGTGATGCCGCCCTTAAAAGCACAGTCTTAGCCCAGGTGAATCCCATCTACCTATGCCCACACCCTATTCCAGGTGCCCGCCATCAGGCATGCATTCAGGACCTCAAGGATCCATTGTCTATCCTGATGGCGGGAGGGCAGGAAAGCCTGACATTTTCTTTACCCTACAGTCCACCCCCTCAGGGTTTTCTGCCATACAGTCTCTCTCTCTATATATATACAATTTTCTTATCAAACATAAACAATGCAGCCATGGCCCACAAAAGCAAATAATACATCACAATATAACAAAATACAACAGAACACAAATAAGTCCAGGCAGAGCCACAACCTAGTGCAAAAGACAATTATTGGTACCAGCAGATGAGCCACCAAATCTGCTGCCGAAGGCACTGCTCATACGAGGAAGGGGAATCACTCACGGCATCTACTGTAACACACTAGGAGCCGTCAGGCTTCCTGACCTTCTCTGGCTGTAGTCTCAGCTATAAGCCACACACAGCGTCCACCCCCAGGATGCACTCACTCTGGGACTGGCGATTCTATTCTGTTTGGGGTAATCGTCAACCCTCAGGGTTTCTGTCTGCAGTCGCTCCAACATTCGGCCTTCATAGCCACCAATGCGACTCGCAGACCCCTGCACTCAGGCCAACCCACTGCACAAGCACATGGGTCGGGGATCCAAACTCTACATTCGGCTTGGGCTCCACCCCAAGCCACGTTCCCCACCCGTCCCCCAAGGACAGATTCCTCAGTTCCTCACCCTCACTCAAGAACGAGCAGGGCATCACCCACAAGTGATTTTACGAGACTCACAGGTCTTCAGCATATTCAGGCTGCTTAACAGCCACTCAAGGCTTCCCAAACTTAGCATCAGCACCAGCTTTTGCCTTCTCAGTTGGCTTTTCTCCTCTGCCTGGCTGCTGGGCATACACAGGCTGCTTTTGGCCATCAAGGCCCACTGGCCACCCCCAGATTCTCAAAAAACAACCCATAACCTTCCAAGGTCCTCCACCTTCTGGCGGTATTGTCAGTCCAAGTTCATCAGTCCGAGTCCATCAGTCCAAGTCCATTAGGCCAAGTTCGTTGGCCTCTTCCTGAATCAGCACTGGAGAGCTCTGAATCGTGGTCCTCTCTTCACGGACGATTCTGCTGCCTCAGGGGTCGTTGGCTGGTCCTCTTGGGCGTCTCCTCCTCCAGGCATGGTCTTATTTCATAGCTCCCACCTTGTCCACCAGTCCCTCCAGGTCTTCGGAGGGCTCCAAACCCGTCTGCATGGATCATCTTGCCGACTTCGCCAATTGTAAGGGCAGGACTGGACACAGTGCAGGTTTTCTGATCCCATGCAGACCGGGCAAAGGAGGAGTCAGAGTCCTCAGTGGTTTTGCAGGTTTTTATTGGGGTTTACCAGGCATATGGCAGGCAGGGGTGCTGGGGGGCTGGGAGGCTGCCAGGCCTCCCAGCCCCCCAGCAAATCTGCACTCTCTCTGGGCTCTCTGGCGTTCTCTGCTTCTGCTTCTTTGCTTCTCTCTCGGCTTCTCTCTCGGCTGCTTCTGGCATCCCTGTGACTCCGCCCTTAAAAGCACAGTCTTAGCCCAGGTGAATCCCATCTACCTATGCCCACACCCTATTCCAGGTGCCCGCCATCAGGCATGCATTCAGCACCTCAAGGATCCATTGTCTATCCTGATGGCGGGAGGGCAGAAAAGCCTGACATTTTCTTTACCCTACAGTCACAGAAGGTGATATTAGCAAATTCTGGTGATTAAGGATCTGGATACCTTTGAGTGATATTACTAGTCTACCACATCCTGTTCTTTACTTTTAAGTTGTTTGCCAAACTCCTGACAGCACTTCATGGCCTAGCTATGCCAAAAATTTTTCAAGTTTCTTAAAGTACCATGTTGTTTCTCATGGTACTTTAATACTGTTTTTTTTCTATCAGGAATGCCTCTCATACTATGTCTATATGGCTAAGCTGACTCACCTTTGAAGGATCAGCTCATGTGCTGCCCTATTAAAGCATCCCCTAGTCTCTCTTCCTCAGGTGCAAGTTATCATTCTGTTTCTTCTTTACTTTGTGTAGGTTTTTAACATAACACCTGTAACATTTTATTGGCTTTATATGACTTTTTCCTGCCCCAACCATATAACCTCTTGAAAGGTTAATTAGTAAAATAAAGCCTAGCCCACCTGTAAAAAGATTTCCTTCGTCCATTACCACATTCATGTCAACTTTTCCCTCATCTGTAAGATAAGACAGAATTTTGTACATAAAGATAATAGACAAAGTTTAATTATGAAAAGATACTTAACTTTATGCTTCTAACATCAACTTTTTAGTCTATTAAGTAAACACCACATAGTAGAGTGCTAGATTGATATTTTAAAAGTAGCCCTTTCTGGGGGAGGGTCAAGGGCAATGTATGGAGGTGAACTTAGTAGACTCTAGTGGAGGCTCATGGGTGCCTCGGTGGTGAGAGTGGCTGGTGACCTACATCTCAGGAGGTGTGATCCTGTACTTCTGAATCACATCCAGTGCTGCAAAAAAATATTACTTCCTAAGAGGGCTATTATCTTGGAAACTGTTCTTAGTGGATGCTCTTGTAGGTCCCATTATTATGAGGTCATGCTAACATAGGCTAGGTGTGACTGATATAAAGTCAAATTATTTTGAGAATTATTTGTTGTTCTCCATCTTGAACTAGTTGTTTCTGGTAATTCAGAATTTAAGTAATTTTTTTTCTCAGTACTATTTTCCTCCTTATTCTATTTGCTCACTTTCAAAATTTCTTTGTCAAGTATTTTCTCCATTTATTTATTTGTTTGTTTTTCCTTTTGGTTTGCTAATAATCTTATCAGTCCTCTGGCTTATTTAAGCTTTGCTAAATCTGTGGACTGCCAAATTCTTAATTAATGATTAAAATGGTGAATTATTAGAATAATCATTTCCAATCATCTTTATACATAATTCTAGTTGAATGTGCTATCTAAAATCAAACTCAACATGTCTAAAACTGAAATTTATGTCCTGACATTGTAATCTAAACCTCTTCTTGAATTATCAAATAGGTGTAGATGATTGAAAACTTAGTTACCAAGAGGTCTCGGTCTTGTTAAAATTTTTCTTTTCCATAACTTATATGTAATCAATCATCAAAACCTATTAATTTTAATTCTAAAATATTTCTCAAATCAGTTTCTTATTCATCATTGGGCTCAGACCCTCATGATCTCTTTTTGGAACATAAGCAATATCTTTAAAAATTGAGTGTTAGTAATAATGCTCTCCTCATTGCCATCAGCACTGACTTCCAAAAGAAAAATTTGAATTGAATGAGACACAAATAAATGAGAAGATATATTCCATGTTCATGGATTGGAAGAATTAACATTGTTAAAATGGTCATTTTGCCTAAAACAACCTATATATTTAATGCAATCCCTGTGAAAAGACCAATGGTGTTTTTCATGGAAATAGAACAAACAATTCTAAAATTCATATGGAACCCTTATCTGTCTCTTAATGCTCTGCACAACTCTAAGTAAACTCCCAGCGTTTCTCATATATAAACCCAAATTTTTGCTAAAGGGCAGCTCACCATCGATGGGCAGGTGGCTTTGCAGGTCCTGGAATTCTTCTTTTTCAAGCTTAAAGCCCATATCCTCCATGAAAGATTCTAACTTATTGCTATCAAGTTCCACTCCTTAGAAACAAAGGGGATAAGAATGAGAAAAACAAACAATAATGGCCAACTGAAAAAATGCTAGGCATGTCAATGCATTAAGTAAAGGGTGAGCAAAGGAAAAATCCAGTAGTCCTCCCTCATCCATGGTTCACTTTCAGTAGTTTTGATTGTCCTGGTTAACATGCCATCTGAAAATATTATGTACAATAAGATATTTTGAGAGACCACAATTACATAATTTTATTTCAGTAAATAAAATATACTGAAATATATAAAAAATATATAAAATATACTGTTATACATGTTCTATTTCATTAATAGTTATTGTTGTTAACTTGTACTGCCTACTTTATACATTGAACTTTATCATAGGTATATATGTATAGGGAAAAAACAGCATGTTTTCAGGGTTTGGTTCTATCTGCAGTTTCAAGCATCCACTAGAGGTCTTGGAATATATCCTCTATGGCTAAATGGGGGATTATTGTAAAGCTGCTTAAGTGAAAAGCAGTATCATGGGAATCAAGAACAGAATCATTTTTGTTCAGATGATTTGACTATAGTTCTCATGAAACATTTACAAGGAAGAAACTTAGTTAATTCTGGTAAAAAACAAACAATCAACAAACTATAAATTCTATGCAGAAAATAGGGTTTGAAATACAATGAGAGACATGAAAATAATTTCTTCAAAGGTAGTTATGTTCAAAGTAGTAAATGATAAGAAAAAAGCACTCAATAAGTAAACCAGTTAGATTGACAAATGAGTTATCACCAAAAATAATGTGGCTATAAAGGAATAAATGCAAAGCATAAGGAGACTCAATTTTATTTTTTAACTTACCTTTGAGAGACCTTATGCCATCCAGCAACTTATGCTTATACAATTTTCCAGCAGCTATAAAATAAGACATAATAGAGTAATTAATAAGGCCATGTGCTGAGATAAGTCAAAACCCAGTAATTTCAGAAAGAACAATTCTATAATTTTACTCAAGTTTTAAAAATTTACATCCTACATACCTGCAACTACGTGCCCTGGGGTACCCAACTCTGGGAGACCCAGCGGACCTGTCTGGCAGGAGAGTGGCAGCAGGAAAGCAACCAACGCCTCCTATCTATTGTGATCCATACCATTCTCTTGGCCTTTGTAGGTTATACCTTTTAAATTTCCTTTTTGTATTTCATAAAACAGCAAAGATAAATGCAAGTATTTAGTTTGTAATGTTTACCCAGAAGTTCAAGATAAGTATCTCCATCTTAGTTACACAAGCAGATGATAAATTTTTTAAGTGCAGATTTTTATTTTGATTATGTCTATGTTTACTTTGACATATGTCTATGTCTCCTGAATCTAGAAAAAAACCTTAAGTATAGAAATTATGTAATAAATACAGTTGGGTTTTTAAAATTAAAAATCGAAGAAATAAAATCTTTATTCTTTAAGTATTTAAAAACATTTTCATATTTCCATATCAATTATCTTATTAATCTTTACTACTGTCATTGTAAATTGGCATATTTATTACACTTACTTTGCAGATGGATTATATCTGAAATATTAATTAGAATGAGTCAATTAATAAAGCATTTTTCTACTTAGTGTGTATATCATGGTATACTCTATACTATAGCAACATGAGATTGCACATGGTTTCCTAAACTTGCCATGGTTGGGTATGAGTCCATGCCTTTTTAAACGCTTTTATTTTTAGTTCTGAGGTCCCCTACTGTCAAACCGTTCAGGCACAGTTGGAGAAAAATTCACTTAGAAATCTCAGAATCTCCAGGCAATTGGTCCATCTCTCCTTTGTACTTCATAGTGGTAACTATTTATTAATTTTATAGCCCCTATCATAATGCATAGCATTTGTTTTTATTTTTATTTGTATGTGCTGTCCATCTCTACACTGAGTGCTTTCTTAGGACCTTGAATTTGTCTTATTCATCTTTGTGACTCAGAACCTCCTATAATGTCTAGTACCCCATGACAGCCATGGACATTTATTAGATGGATGAATACCTCACTGGCAGATTAAATACTCACCATCAAGTGGCAAACTTTTCATCAGCACAGAGTTTTCCTTTAGTGAGAGTTGTAACCCTATGTTTTTCAGAATATTGTCCATGTCATCATAGTCAGTTTTATCCCCTTAAAGAAGAAAGCAATGGTAAAGATTATACTTTAAGCTTTGAATAACAACAACAATAATAATATCAGCGTTATCTGTGTAGTATCATCCTCAAATAAAGGACTGAAAAACAATGAGAACATTGAGTGTTGGGTACTAAATTTGTTAGTATAAATAATTCTGGCATGTAATATTTATTATTTAAAAAAATTTTGCCTCAATTATGAGCTTGTTCACAGTGATCATATTACCTGTATGTATAATTTGCCTGGCCATTTTTGCAAGTAGGAAAAAGAAAGCATATTATTGAAAACTCCCTTAACAATACAGGACTACCCCTGCTCATGGATTGGAAGAATTAACATTATCAAAATGGCCATCCTACCAAAGCAATTTACAGATTCAATGCTATTCAAACAAAAATTTCAATGACATTCTTTAAAGCAATAGAACAAATATTGATGAAATTCATATGGAGCCACCAGAAACCCCTAATAGCCAAAGCTCTCCTGGAAAAAAAAAAGAGAAGGGAATGAAGACATCACACTCCCAGATTTCAAATTATACTACAAAGCCATAATAATCAAAACTGCATGGTATTGGAACAAGAACAGACACACGGACCGATGGAACTGAATAGAAAATCCAGAAATAAACCCACATATTTACCGTCAACTGATCTTTGACAAAGGAGCAAAGAATATGCAATGGAGCAAAGAAAGTTTGTTCAATAAATGGTGCTGGGAAAACTGGGTCACTACATGCAAAAGAATGAAGCTTGACTACTACCTTACACCATGCACAAAAACCAAGACAAAAGAGATTAAAGAACTAGACATAAAACCTGAAACCATAAAATATATAGAAGGAAATATAGGGGAAACACTACATGACATGCTCCTTAAAAACATCTTTACAGACACATCATCCATAGCAGTGATAGTGCAGGCAAAGATAAACAGCTGGGACTACATCAAATTAAAGAGCTTTTATACAGCAAAAGAGACAATAACCAAAACAAAGAGAAACCCCACCAACTGGGAGAAAATTTTTGCACACCACACTAATGATAAAGGACTGATCACAAAAATCTACAAAGAGCTGATGAGACTCAACAAAAACAAAGAAAATAATCCAGTCAAAAAATGGGCAGAAGAGCTAAAAAGAAACTTCTCCAAAGAGGAAATGCAAATGGACAATAGGCATATGAAAAAATGTTCAACACCACTTGTAATCAGGGAAATGCAAATCAAAACTACAATGAGATACCATCTTACACCAGTGAGAATGGCACATATTAAAAAAGCTAGCAACAACAAATGTTGGCAAGGATGTGGAGAAAAAGGAACTTTCCTGCACTGCTGGTGGTAGTGCAAACTGGTCCAACCACTATGGAGAGCTGTGTGGAGAATTCCTCAACCTACTAAAGATAGAGCTTCCATATGATTCAGCAATTCCACTCCTATGTATTTACCCAAAGGACACAGAAATTCAAAAGGGCACCTGCACCCCCATGTTTATAGCAGCACTATTTACAATAGCTAAGCAATGGAAACAATCCAAATGCCCAAAAATAGATGACTGGATCAAGAAGATGTGGTACATATACACAATGGAATATTACTCAGCAATCAAAAAAGATAAATTCATGCAATTTGCAGCAACTTGGATGGAGCTGGAAGGGATGATGCTCAGTGAAATAAGCCAGAAAGAAAAAGAAAAATACCGGATGGTCTCACTCATAGCAGGAATTTAGAAAACCTAAATAAGGGACCAGGAAAAAGACTAATTATAATAAAGAAAAAATCAAAATCAACAATTAACTGTAGACCAGAGACACACTACAGTGGGGGGTGGGGGAAGGAGAGAAGGGAGAGGAGATGAGGGCCAAAATAAGGGGGGTAGGAATTGTATGGGGAATATAATCAAAATGAAAATGCATACATTGTGCAAAAATGAAAAATGATGTAAGAATTATATAAAATAAAATAAAATATTAAAAAAAGAATATAGGACTAGCTGTTTAGGCATTGCTGTGGTTTTTCAAATAATAATTGTTTACAATAACAATAATATTTAGGGCCTCCCCGGTGGCGCAGCGGTTGAGCGCTGGGTTGCGAAGCTGCCCGCGGCCTCTGCGGTGCCGGTTCGATCCCCGGCTGCTCCCCGGCCACCGGAGGAGGGTCCCACATGGCGCGCAGACCTCTCCTGCCGCCCGCTGCTCCCCTCAGCAGTGTACTTCGGTCCTTTTGCCTGCTCTGCTCCCTGCTCTGGCTCTGGTGAATTCTCTCACCCTCCCGCGCTTCTGACTGTACCCAGTGCTTGTACAAACAAATAAATAAATAAAATGCCTCTATTAAAAAAAAAAAACCCAAAAAAAACAAATAACATTTAGTTTATAAAGCATATTTCTTTAGTTGGTATTGATAATCAATTAAAAGTCATAAAATGGAAGGATTGATATGTCATGGACAGGATAACAGAAAGTTCTTTAAAATTAACTACTTTTATTAGGAATTAAGAGGTCATTTTTATCATGCACTCATCATTTCTTCTCACTCACCTAGAAATTTATGTACTTCATCCAGAAATTTATCCATTTGAACTCTTCTCTCACCTACAAGACAAGACAGAATTTAGATATAGTACTACTGTGGAATGTGGCCTTATAAGAAGTGCAAGATATCTCCCTCTCTCTGTGTTTCTCACTTTCTGTCACTCTCTCTCTCCCTTTACCATCTGAATAAGTCAGCAGTTTACAAGCTAGGAGGGGAACCCTCATCAGAAACCAAACAAGTTGGTACCTTGATCTTTCATTTCCCTGCATCCAGAACTGTGAGAAAATGTAGTTATGTTGTTTAAGCTACACAGAGTATGGTGTTTTATATGGTAACCAGAGCAGACTAATATATGTTCCAATTATATAAAATTCTTAAAGTGTGAAGTAAAGTATAGGGATTTAGCAGTTGCCTAGAGGTTTTTTTTTTTTTTTTCCTAATTAGTTTTGTTTTTATTGTATGTAAGCATAAGGCTGAAAAAAGAAAAAGAATCTAAATATGATAAACACATCCATTCTACTAATTCAAATTTTTCTTTTTGTGTTCTTCATGCAGATTGAAAGAGAAGCAAAAAGGGCTTCCCCGGTGGTGCAGCGGTTTGAGCGCTGGGTTGCGAAGCTGCCTGCAACCTCTTTCGCCTCTGCAGCCTTTGCAGTGCTGGTTCAATCCCCGGCCCCCGTCGAGGGTCCCACATGGCGCGCAGACCTCTCCTGCCGCCCGCTGCTCCCCTCAGCAGTGTACTTCGGTCCTTCTGCCTGTTCTGCTCCCTGCTCTGGCTCTGATGAATTCTCTCACCCTCCCGCGTTTCTGACTGTACCCAGTGCTTGTATAAATAAATAAATAAATAAATCTTTAAAAAATAAAAAAATATAAAAAAATAAAGTTTAAAAAAAAAAGAAAGAAGGAAAAAGAAGAGACATTATTTTTGCCTTTTAAAAAAATTCAGATTTACTGAGGTAAAAGTACTGTTTGTATTTTTAAAAACTCAAGTGAGTTTAATATATCTTGGTAACCCTCACAGAGCAGACATTCAGTTAATCTGCCATCTAGATAACTTGGGGTGAAGCCATATTCCAATTTCAAAAGGAGCTTTACATAGTTTTATTTATCTCATGTGCTACACATAGAGTTCTGGAAAAAAGGATTAGAGCTGAATAAGAAATAGGAGACCAGTTTTTTTGTTAGTAGAAAGTTTTGATTTCAAGCATGATAAAATATTATCATGACATTAGATAGGCTTAGGTAAACCAGCACTATTGATCAATCTACAAATCATCTTAAGATGCTAAAGATGTTAATATGTTAAGCTTCTCAATACTGAGTTAGAGTGCTTTGATCAAATGATGTTTGCTAAAAATCATGCAAAAAGCTACTCACCCCAGATAAGTATATTAATATATATTTTCCTCCATATTGTAAAGGTTAGCTATTTCCATAAAATTAACTGTAGTGGCATGTTGTTTTTTTTAAAATGAAGATTCATGGATGCCTTTGCAGACCTAATTGATCATAATTTTTTTTTTAAGATTTATTTATTTATACAAGAACTAGGGTACAGGCCAGAGGTGTGGGAGGGTGAGAGGATTCACCAGAAACAGAGTGGGGAGCAGAACAGGCAGAATGACTAAAATACACTGCTGAGGGGAGGAGCAGGCGAGACAGGAGAGGTCTGCCATGCCATGTGGGAATCTATCTGGCCGGCTGGGAATTGAACCAGTGCTGCAGAGGCTGCGGACAGCTTCACAGGGCTGCGCTCAATCCGCTGCACCACCAGGGAGCCCTTCATCATAATTTTAAAGAGGTGGGTGATTTATATACAATCTAAAATTTGATATTGTGAATTTACTACATGTAATTATTAGGTATATGTTACATATATTTTTCAATATTTCAACATTTAACTTTTCCAGCACTTTCTTTTTTCCCCTTCTTTCAATTTATTATTCTCTGAATTACTACATAATTTCTTGTCTTTTCTTTCAAATGTTCTTTTTGTTTTTTAACTAATTTACTTGATACCAACATTGATAATGATTTAATTTTGTATTCTCTGCCATAGGGACTCTGTGAACAGCAATAAGCAATTATTGATATTTTAATTAAAATTAACATTAGACAATATTTATCCATTCTTTAGGATTGATTTCTATAGGTTTCTGACTTTTGTCATGAAATTTACAAGTATACTTGAGATGTTCCTATAGAGATACAAAAATTTTGTTAACTGGGCATTGTGTACTTGAAAGACTTACTATCAATTGGCAGGTGACTGAACAGTTCTTCAACTTCTTCTTCTTCAAGCAGGTATCCCATGGTTTCAATAACATCATCTATTTTATTAATGTTAACCTTTCCTCCTTAAGAAAGGAGGAGATAAAAATTAATTTATAGCTATGCCAAAGAGGGAAAAATGTTTGATCTTATCAATCATCTAACACAAGTAGGAAGTATAGGCAATAGCATGACAAAGCTCTTGAAATTATCAAAAGAATTAATTGAGGATTAGGAATAGAAAAATTCTCTCTGGCAATATTCTAGAAAACACTGTTATAGCAATTTCTAGGCTGAATTTACCCAGAAGAAAGAAGAGCAGATATGGCTGATGAATTATAGCAAAGAGATAACCAATACATGCACTTCTTACCACTAAGTCAGATTTGAAATTTGTTATTGTGACAAAATATGTAGGTTATTTCACCAAAAGTGAATATATACAGAACTAAGAATATTAATTCATTTTTAAAAAGAGTAATACAAATGCATTTAATCACTGAGAAATAAGAGAGATTTCAGAAAAGCACAAAATCTTGAAGATCAGTTATTTCTTTCTCTCACTTACCTCTGTACGCCTTCACTCCATCTATCAGCCTATTTGTATACACCATGTCATTATCTATAAGATAAGAATCAATTTAGTTTACAAGAAGTGGAATTTCAGAAAGACAATAATACCTAGTATATTGTAAATTTTTATTAATCATAGTCCAAAAAAGAATGCAACAAAGCAATTAATAAGAGTCTCAAGATTAACAACTCTTGAAACACTTATTTACACACAGGTTAAAGATTTTTTTCTAAAGTGTACCTTCTTTCTTTCTACAATTCTTTTAATCATCATCTTTTCAAATATTTACCTTTAGATTTGTTATAGATTCCAGTTCCAAAATTTGAAATTGTTCATCCATAATAATAGTTCCCCAAAGACAACTATTATCTCCCAAAATAAAGATTTAAATAGTAAGGACAGGATATTTTCTGTCAAGGGCTTGAACTAAATCTCTCTCTCTCTCTCTCTCTCTCACCCCCCCTCCTTCCCTTCCTTTCTTTTTAAAGATTTATTTATTTATTTATACAAGCACTGGGTACAGTCAGAAGCATGGGAGGGTGAGAGAATTCATCAGCGCCTTTGCAGACCTACTTGATCATAATTTTTCTTAAAAAGATTTATTTATTTATACAAGAACTAGGGTACAGGCCAGAGGTGTGGAGGGTGAAAGGATTCACCAGAAACAGAGCGGGGAGTAGAACAGGCAGAGTGATGGAATACACTGCTGAGGGGAGCAGCAAGCGTGGCAGGAGAGGTCTGCAGGCCATGTGGGACCCTCGCCTGGAGGCCGGGGATCAAACCAGTGCTGCAGAGGCTGGTTTGTATTTTTAATTGATGTAATATTAGGATACCCATATCAGATATTGCCACAGTAGTGCACCTACCACCAATTCACACATAGTCCACCACAATAGTCCATGGCCCCTCCCTTTTCTCTTTGTGCTTACCCCTGCTACCCTCACTCCCCCTCTGGATGCTTCACTGATTTTTTCCTGAGTGTTCCTGTAGCTCATTGAGTATCCTCAAAACAGCTATTTTGAATTCTTTATTAGTTAGATTACAACTCCTATGCTCATGATTTCAGTTGCTAGAGAATTGTCCTTTTCTTTTTGTGATGCTGTATTTCCTTGATTTTTCAGATTTCTTATAGTTATATATTGCTTCTTTCACATTTGCAGTAGCCAGCCTCCTTAACTCTTTGTCTACTGCCTTTAGATTGGGTGCTATGTTCTATGGTGGTGGTCTGTCTCTCTGAACACATGCCTGCTCACAATCTTCCTACTCCCTCTTGTGGCCAAATGTTTAAGCTTTTATAAATCTCCTCTGGTTCTTAAAATTCACCAGGATGGCTATTGGAAACATTTTTTGTTTTCCAAAAAGTAATGCTATAGCTCGTTTGTGGCTCCTTGTTTGCCCACCAACTTTTCTTAGCAAACTCCCTACTTATCAGGAGCTTGCTCTCCCAGATGCACTCAGGCTGCACAAGTAACTGATAGCAGAGTCAGGGAAGGTGTAGGTTTAGCTCTTGGACTTTGGGATTCTGAGAGCCTGGTAGGGAAATTCCCAGGTATGGTTCTCTCAGAGGCTCATTTCCTGCTTGGCACAATCCCTTTAATGCAGTTTGAAATGATTACCTGCCTACTTCCAGTATTTCTCCCCAATCAAGAGCTGCCACTTTGGTATTCCAAGGAAGACTGGTTTGTCTAGCCCATACTACTCTGCTGGGTTAGCCAAGCACTCACAGTTTTCCTTTCCCCTGTGGGAGAGGTCAGCACCACTGTTGGATATCAGACCTGTGCAGTGTTTCTTTGTGGCAGGGTCATACAGGAAAAGTTTCTCTTTCTGTCTCTACTACAACCAGACTCCTATTTTTTTTTTCTTTCTTTTCCCCTGTAATAATGTAGTGGAAACTTCCTTTGAAAAGGCTGAAATTCTGAAAGCTTTCTCTCATATGTGAATGCCAGTCTAGAGCAGCATACACCTGATTTTTGCCAGACAGAAACAAGAGTGCTCTAGGCAATTTTGCTGGTTCTGCTGCTCATACAGAGGCCGTCTGTTTCTAACCAGCTGCACTGGTGGTGAGACTTCTCCTGAAATAAGAATATATATTATATATCCAAAACACCCACAAAAATACTTCTGTTTGTATATGAATGTCTAATTCATTGATCTAAAATGGGATAAAAAAGTGAAATGACTTATGAGCCATGTTGCCAATGTCATTCTGAATTTTTAAAAGGGCTTTATGAACAGTTATGCTTTTTGAAGTTTTTGTACCTAACTCATAAGCCCAAGATTCTCCAAAATTCCCTACAATGTCGACAATACTTACCATCCAATGTCAGTGTGTCCAGTAATTCCCGGCTTTCCATATTTGTTAATTCAATACCTTTATTTTCCAGATAGCGTTTTGCATCACTAGCATTAATCTTATCACCTTTAAAAAGAGAGGGAAAAATAAGTGAACATTTTCACATATAAGAACTTTCAATTAAGAAAATCATATTAAAGCTGCATAAACTTCAACTTGATAGAGATGTAACGGCTGAATAACAAGGACACAATGAGGCTTTTCTTACTGCAGGGAAAGTGTTAAAATAGAACATGTTTCCTTTAAACCTTGTCAAAATAATGCTTTAATAATGCTCTAAAAAAAGTAAAGACAAGCTAAGCAGCTTATAACAAAATAGACATTTTAGAAAAATGATACTTCTAAAACTTAAAGTATAAAACATTCATTTATGTTCTTGAAAACAAACATGTCATCAACACATTTGGTATGAAAAATAAGACTAGTGTGTAATTTCACAAAGAATCTTGCATTTATGTCTTTTCATCATTACTTCTCACTCACCAGAAAATAAATGTGCTACATTTGTAATGGACTTCAGTGAGATCTTTCCATTTTCTGAAATACAAAGCATACATTATATAGAGACAAAATGCTTACTGCTGTTGGGAATGGAATCATTTTTTCTAAGTTATCATTGCTCACATAGAGGAAATTTGTTGATTTTTTAGTATTTCCCTTGTATTCAACCACTTTATGGGATTCTAAAGAGAATATTTTAACATGATAAATTAGATTTTTAATTCTTTTTTAATTGTTCTTTTCATCTAAAATATAACTCTCTGGTGCCATATCATTGGTCTCAAGCCAGGTGTCACTGACTCTCTATTTCAAATCTGACATTCATATCATATTTATTAAATGAAAATATAATCGCCTATATTTGTACAGTACTTATCAAATGATTCCAATTCCTTTATTCCTTTTCACTTTGTTTTGTTAGTAGCTAGCTTTTTGCATCTATTTCAATAAATTCTATTAGTTTCTTCTAATGTGTTTCTAAATCTAATCTAAATCTACCCTTATTGGTCCTCTGACTGTATTGAGAATAATAATCAGAAGTAAAATTCTTCATCTTCCAGGATTGTAACTCTGCAGGTACTTTTTTTTTTTTTAAAGATTTATTTAAAATAAAGATTTATTTATATATTTATACAAGCACTGGGTACAGTCAGAAGCTCGGGAGGGTGAGAGAATTCACCAGAGCCAGAGCGGGGAACAAAACAGGCAGACTGATGAAATACACTGCTGAGGGGAGCAGCAGGCATGGCAGGAGAGGTCTGCGTGCAATGTGGGACCCTCGCTGGTGGCCAGGGATTGAACCAGCACTGCAGAGGCTGTGGGCAGCTTCACAGCCCAGCACTCAACCGCTGCGCCACCAGGGGAGGCCCATGCAAATACTTTTTACTAAATGAAAGTGAACAAGAATATTCTGAGATTCTATGAGAAGACTTTAAAGATTTTTCTTTAAGTAAATAGTAAATAGTAAAATAAATACTCACTGTCACTTTTCAAATGTTTCCAAAAGTCTTCCATTTCTTTCATTTTAAGTTTATAGTTAAGTTTTTCCAGAACAGTTTGTACTTTATTTTCTGGAACCTTCCCTCCTTAATAAAGAGATAAAATAAGAACATTTTGAAATAATGCCTGAAATTAAAAAAAAAAAATCTAGTTGAGCCTATATACCAACCCTAATGAGAGGGAGCCAAGCACAGGTATAACGTAGATATTCAAGGAAAATACAAAACAATGGTGGCAGGGGACAGTGGTGAGGAATAAAAGTAAAAGAATATTTCATTTACATAAGTTATTGCTATAATTTGTTGTAGATATTTAAGATAAAGTAAACGACTGGGATTTATTATTCATAAGGTGGAACATCAGAAATAACAGCCATAATGCTACTTACTGAGTTTGCAAATTACTTTCATAACAGTAAATTATCTCTACAAACTTAGAGATTACCTGAATTTGTACCACATGTCATAAAGGGGAATAACAAAGGTTGATAACATGACAGAGTAGTTAAGAATGGGTATACAAATCCCGATTCTTCCAAAGTTCAAACTATGTGCCCTTAGGTAAGTGAATTAACATCTCTCACCTATAAAATGGTGATATAAAAGGACACACATCACAAGATTTCTATGAAAACAAGTGAGTTACTGGATGTATTTAGAACAGTGTCTGACACTATTCACAAGAATTCACTTTTTTTTTTTTAATTTTATTTTTATATTCCCCATACAATTGCAACCCCCTTATTTTGACCCCAATCCCTCCCCGCCTCCAACCCCCCCATAGAGTGTCTCTGGTTCATAGTTGTTTGTTGATTTTGATTTTCAGTTTCTTATAGTTATTCTTTTTCCTGGTCCCTTATTTAAGTTTTCTAGATTCCTGCTATGAGTGAGACCATCGGTATTTTTCTTTTTCTTTCAGGCTTATTTCGCTGAGCATGATCCCTTCCAGCGCCATCCATGTTGCTGCAAATTGCATGTGTTTATCTTTTTTGAATGCTGAGTAAATGTGTTTCCTGGAGACAGCAAAAGGCTGGGTTTTGTTTCTTAATCCAGCCTGCGACTCTGTGTCTTTTTATTGAAGAGTTTAGTCCATTTACATTTAGAATTAATATTGATATGTTAGCATCTGTATTTGTCATTGTGTTTGTCTTTCCTTTGATTTTATTTATTTATTCTTTTAATAACTTTTTTTTTTGACCTTCTTTCGTTGTTATTTGTCCCCCTGAGGTTCTGACTTTAGGACTCCTTGTAGTATTTTTTGGAGTGGGGGTTTAGTCGTAATGAAATTCCAGAGTTTCTGTTTGTCTGGGAAGGCCCTTATTCTTTCTTCATAGAGGAAGGAGAGCTTTGTGGGATAGAGTGTTCTTGGTTGGCATCTGTTTTCTTGGAGTCTGTTGTCTATGTCCCTCCACTCTCTCCTTGGCCGTAGTGTTTCTTCGGAGAAGTCTGATGTCAGTCTGATTGGTTTTCCTTTGAATGTTATCTGTTTCTTCCCTCTTGTCAGCTTCATTATTTTTTCCTTGTCATGGATTCTTGGGAGCTTTACTATTATGTGTCTTGCTGTATTTTTCCTTTCGTCATGGGTGTTTGGTGTTCTTCTTGCTTCTTGTATATCAATTTTCATCTCCTTCTTCATGTTTGGGAAGTTCTCTTCAATTATTTTCTTGAATATTTTCTCTGTTCCTACATCTCTCTCCTCTCCTTATGGGATTCCTATAACTCTTATATTTCCTTTCCTCATGGAGTCAGATAGTTCCCAAAGTCTTTCTTCGGTCTTTTTCCTTCGTACTTCTCTTTCCTTTTCTGTTTTAGTTCTTTTTATTTCTGTGTCTTCAAGAGTACTTATTCGTTCTTCCATTTCATCTATTCTGCTTTCATTGCTTTTCCCAGAGTTCTTTAGCGCCTCCATTAATTCTTTGATCTCCTGCATTTCTTTTACTTCCTTCTTTAGGGACTCAATTTCATTCTTCTGGTCGTTGATTATTTTTCCCTTATCACTGTTTTCCTTTATGGCTTCTGTCAGCTTTTTAATCACGGCAATTTTAAATTCTTTTTCTGGAAGGCTCAGAAGTTCTTCCAAGTTACTGTTGTTGCAATCTGGGGGGGTGGTTTTCTTTTTGTGGTGTGCTTTTATCCTGAGGAGTTGCTGGGTTACATGTGGTTTTCCTACTCCCTACTGCCTGTTTTCTAATTTGCCATATGCGTTGGGACACTGTTTTGCTGGTACTGGCCGGCATCTTGGGCGAACTTCCCAGCTCACCTCTGGCTCCTCCGGGAGCCTTCTGCCGGTTTCAAGCAGTCTTTACTGAAGAAAGGTCACTGTTCTAAAATGCTGATGCAGAGAAGCGCTCCTCTGCGTGCCTGGTCTGCCCCGGCTGTGGGTGCCCGCTCCCCTCTGGGCTCGGACTGCAGGCCAGAAGGGGCCTGGCATGGGCAAACTTCCCAGCTCACCTCTGGCTCCTCCAGGAGCCTTCTGCTGGTTTGTCACAAGAATTCACTTTTGAAATCATTAAGTGAGACTTGATGATATCAATAGCTTATAGGGACTTCCAAAGGAAACACAAGACTTAAAGATCTCATAATTACTTGACTTCTTACTGTGCTTATCACTTACTTTGGGAAGTCTTTAAAGCATCGAGCAGGCAATTGAGATATATTTTTCCATCAGCTATAAGAGAAGTCATAATTGATATAGAGTGATACAGCAACTCACAATAAGACTACAACTATTCATAAAAACAATAGTTACATGATTTGCCCTATGGATTTATATAATTCTCATTTACATGTCTCTTCTTTTGCCTTAAGAATAAAGTGAATGAATAGAGAATGTCCTAAATTTAACCATGAAACTTTCTATTTCTCTGGCTGGACTCTTTTTACTTAAGTTCCTCTTTTTTCTCCTCTTATTTCTCTTTATGATTTAGGACTGTCAGACATTTCAAGGTTAATATACTAAATTATATTTTTATCAGCTAAAAAAATTATTATGACGTTCTCACGGTAATCCCAATAGAGTAAGTTATATCACTGAAATAGTGTCCATGTAGGTAATGACTTTTGTCTTTAATCCTACAACCTAAGAAGTGCTCAATAAATATGTTGAATATAAACATATTTTGAATAAATGTTTCATGATTCTCCACCTACTGCAACAATATAAACACTCAAACTAAGGCCCCCTAAAGTTCAAAACAGTATCAGAAATGCTCACATGTAATTGGCAGACTTTTTTTCAGCTCCCAGAATTCTTTAGGGGTGAGTTCTATTCCCATGTTTTCCAAAATATCACCTATATCATTGATGTTAATCTTCGTTCCTTTGAAAAGATGGAAACAATGACTGATAGAAAATTTAAGAGCGATAAATGATTCTAAATTAGGTATTTCATCTAAGTTTAACTGCATGATTGAGAGTAGTGTTGGTCAAACTGGTAAGTCAAATGGGAGATTATCTCTCTCTGTCAGATAGACTTCAAAATTGTTATAATAAAGAAACACAAAGAAATATAATATCCTTAAAAACAGACCATACACTGGGACAAGAGGTAATTGTCAGTGAAATGACAAAGATCATACCAAGTACTTTTTGCATCCATCATGCCATAAAACTAGAAATCAAGTATACTGAATTGGAAAAACCTTAAATGCCTGGAGACAAAATAATAGTTTAATAGCTATTGAATTAAAGAGGAAATAAAAAATACTTAAGATTAATGAAAAAGAAGATATAAGCTATCAGAATTTATGGGACACATCAAAAGTGGTTTTAAGGGGGATGATAATTGTAACACAGGTCACTTTAAGAAGAAAAATATCAATGATTTATATAACTGTGTAAATTTGTACAGACAGTACCCACATTCCTTTTTATTTGCCATTGTTAATAAATTACAGATAAAAGACTTATGCCAATGTTTTAACTCACCAATTTTTGTTATAACACAGATTTTTGACTGTTTAAACAGAGGATAAATGGTATGCACTATTAAAAAGAAAATCCAGCAAATACAGGATATTTTCCAATATATGCTAATTTATTAGTTTTGCTCAAAAGTTTATAATCCAAGAATACTCTGGATCACTGTATAAAAGATACCATTAGTATACTAAAAAGACTAAAAATATCAGTTTAATGAGAATAATATACTTAAAAGCATAAAATGAAAGTATAAGAATATTGCTATTTATAATAATGTTTCCCCCTGTAACGTTTTACTTACCCTTGAAGGACTCTAACTTTTCCATGAGCATATTAAGTTTAACTTTTCCATCTATAAGAAAGGACACAAATCAGATTCAACCACAATGACTCAGACTCAGAAAACATTACATAGATTTTATGTCATAGAATAAAATACTGAAATTCAGAAATTTGCCATAATTTGTTTTATAAATGTATCCCAAATGAACATGAATTGAAGAATGGTGTTCTAAATATGATAAACATTGAACACAGAAGAAAAAGTTATAGTACAAAATATCAAATTCTATACATAATGGTGCTGGGAAGTTTTAAAAGAGTTGCTTGATTTGCTTTCCACTCGGTCTGCTATATTCACAGTGACATCAATATGTTCATCTACCTAGAATATTGTAGATGGTTATTTCTGCATGCAAACCTTACTCAGCACTTTATTTTCAACATCATGGGCATGTAGATTTCCAATATTTGCCTACTCCCTTATTAATTTGTAAATTTACTGTTTGAAAACACTCATTTTTAGGGTCACATTACATAGCCCCTTGAAGGTACCATTTATATCATAGTCTGTGTGGCCCTGCTTACCTCCTTATACAAGGCAGTGTAAACAGAAAGGGAAAAACTTTGAAGTTGTATAAACCTTATATACAGCCTTCTAAAGATTTTGAATCTTTGCTCTATCACTTGGCAGCCATATAGCCTAGAATCAGTTAAACAACCTTCATGATGGACCCTCTGTTTCAACATCAGAGAAACTGCGATGGCAACCTATTTTGCAGGTTGTTTTGAGGACTACTGAGAACATATTTCAAGACTCAAATATTGGTTTTGGTATGTAACAGGCATTAACACTTTGTAATTATGGAGGAATGATGTCAAAATCATGTCAGTACTTTCCTCTCTTTTGTTTTCCCCCATCCCCACCTTTTAACAACTAAATTTGGTATCCATCCATAAACAAAAGTACCTTCGTGGGAGTTGTGGATCCAGCACCATGTGCCAAGGAACCCAGGCGGTATCGCACCCACATGTGCACTGGATAATGGACAGAAAGGCCTTGGTACAGGCAGCAGAAGCACCAGGTGCATGCAGACGGACCACAGCCCCTCTCTGGCATACACAGGGAGTGCTGTCTTGGGCAGACAACATGGGTAAGAGGGTAAGAGGGTCTTTGTGGAGGTCTAACTTTCCAAAGGACAGAGTGTTGCAACACTCCCCTGGAGAAATAGAGTTCAGATATAGAGAGAGTAACAGAACTTTGCCAATGTCATCTCTCCTCCAAGGCAACAAAATGCAGGGTTGAACTAGAAGGTGGCAACTTCTCCTGTGAGAGAAAGGGAAACTGAGTAATTGGACAGCTACTCCAATTGTGCAGAAGACTTCTGGAGAAGGTTTCTCTCCTGTAGTAACTGAAGTGGCGAAGTAGGACCTCCATGATGGAGGGTTGAGGGAGGGGAAAAAAGGAGGTAGGAGATTAGTATATTGACAGATAAGAATATCAAAGAGCATTAAAGGGATGCGCTCTCTGCTGACTGCCTTCAGGAGTCCAATCCTAGCACAGCCTGGTGAGAGTAACCTGCAGGGTAACCTAATGGTCCAAGAGCTAAACCCACATCCCCCCCAACTCCATGGCATGGTCCTTGTGTTCTCTCCTGAGTGTGGTGAGTAAGTGAGCTCCAGTAACAGGAAGTATCCTCAGAAAACATGCCAGGGCTGTAACAGTAAAGCACAAACTTGAGCTTAGTGCCACCTTCTGGAACCAAAAGGGAGGTTTCCAGCAGTCATCTTGTGTATTGTAAGAACTGGAGAAGACACACAAGCTTAGGAATTCTGCCACAAGAGGGAGCAAAAAGTGGTGCAGTTCTATCCATACAATATTGGAGAAACTCTAAGAAGCAATGAAAAAATATCTTTCATATGAAGACAACTAGTCAAGTTTTGAGAAGGCAACTTACTTCAAATGAGAAACTAGAAATGCAAAACTCTAAGGATTATGAAAAATCAAGGATATCAGCCCTTTGTCAGATGTATGATGTGCAAATATTTTCTCCCATTCAAGGAGGTGTCCTTTTGTTTTAATGATAGATGCTCTCAATGTACAGAAGCTTTTTAGTTTGATGTAGTCCCATTTGTTTATATTTACTTTTTTTTCTCTTGACGTTGGAGATGAGTCCACAAAGATATCACTGCAGAGAAGGTTGTGGAGTATTTTGCCTATGTTTTCTTCTTATTTTATGGTTTCATGTCTTTAATCCATTGAAGCTAATTTTTCTGTAAGGTATGAGATGGTATTCTAGTTTTATTCTTTTGCATGTAACTTCCCAGTTTTCCCAGCACCATTTGTTGAAGAGACTTTCCTTTTCTCTAATATATACTTTTGGGTCCTTTGTTGTACATTAACTCCATAAATGTGTGGGATATTTCTGGGCTTTCAATTCTATTCCATTCTATTACAATTCTAAACACACACTGTGTGTGTTTTTGTTCTAGTACCATCCTTTTTTGGATTACAGTGTAGCTTCATAGTATAGTTTGAAATCTGGGAGTGTGATACTACTACTCTTCCTCTTTTTTGTTCAGGATTATTTTGACTATTCATGGTCTTTTGTCGTTGCATATGAATTTCAGTAATGTTTGTTCTATTTCTTTGAAGAATACAATTGGAGCCTTGTCAGGAATTCCACTGAATCTATATAATACTTTGGGTAAGATGTCCACAACAACATCAAATTTTAATCCAAACCAGGGAATATCTTTCCTTTTTTTTTTTTTTTTTTTTTTTTTTTTTGGTGTGTGTGTGTAATTTTCTATTGGGTTTTAGCAATGTCTTATAGTTTGCATTCAATAGGTCTTTCACATCTTTTGTTAAGTATACTCCTAGACGTTTAGTTGTTTTTTTTTTTTTTAAAGATTTATTTATTTATTTATTTATACAAGCACTGGGTATAGTCAGAAGCGTGGGAGGGTGAGAGAATTCACCAGAGCCAGAGCGGGGAGCAGAACAGGCAGAAGGACCGAAGCACACTGCTGAGGGGAGCAGCAGGCGGCAGGAGAGGTCTGCGCGCCATGTGGGACCCTCCTTCGGTGGCCAGGGAGCAGCCAGGGATTGAACCGGTGCTGTAGAGGCTCCGGGCAGCTTTGCAACCCAGAACTCAACCGGTGTGCCACCGGGGAGGCCCCACAACTAATTTCTATAAATTGATTTTATACCCTGCCACTTTACCATATTGATTTGTTATTTCCATTAAATTTTTATTGGAGTCATTTTTAAAATGTATATTATCATATCATCTGCAAATAGTGATAGTTTTACCTCTTTTCCAATTTGGATTCCTTTTATATCTTTCTATTACCTAATTGCTCTGACTAGAACATCTAATACTGTTTAATAGTAGTGGTGAAAGTGCCCATTCTTTTTTTTTAATGAATTACTTTATTTTATATAATTCTTACATCATTTTTCATTTTTGCACAATTACGCATTTTCATTTTGGTTATATTCCCCATACAATTCCCACCCACTTTTTCTGACCCTAATCCCTCTTCTCCTCCCCCCCAACCCCCACTGTAATGTGTCTCTGGTCTATAGTTGCTTGCTGATTTTTATTTTTACTTTATTGCAATTAGTCTTTTTCCTGGTCCCTTATTTAGGTTTTCTAAATTCCTGCTATGAGTGAGACCATCCGGTATTTTTGTTTTTCTTTCTGGTTTATTTTGCTAAGCATCATCCCTTCCAACTCTATCCAAGTTGCTGCAAATTGCATGAGTTTATCTTTTTGATTGCTGAGTAATATTCCATTTCATATATGTACCACATCTTCTTGATCCAGTCATCTATTTTTGGGCATTTGGGTTGTTTCCATAGCTTAGCTCTTGTAAACAGTGCTGCTATAAACATAGGGGTGCAGGTGCCCTTTTGAATTAATGTTTCTGTGTCCTTTGGGTAAATACCTAGGAGTGGAATTGCTGGATCATATGGAAGCTCTATCTTCAGTAGGTCAAGAAATCTCCACACAGCTTTCCATAGTGGTTGGACCATTTTGCACCCCACCAGCAGTGCAGGAGAGTTCCTTTTTCTCCACATTCTCGCCAACATTTGTTGTTGCTAGTTTTTTGTTATGTGCCATTTTGTTATGTAAGATGGTATCTCATTGTAGTTTTGATTTGCATTTCCCTGATTACAAGTGATGTTGAACATTTTTTCATAGGGAAAGCAGCCATTCTTGTACCAATCTTAGAGGAAAACTTTTCAGTCTTTCACCATTGAACATCATGTTGTCTTGGGTTTGTCATATATGGCCTTTATTATGTTGACGTATACTCCATCTATCTCTAGTTTTTTGAGGATTTTCTCATCAATGGACATTAAAAACTTATCACCTGCTTTCCTGGCACCTCTTGACATGGTTATATGATTTTTAGCTCTCCTTTTGTTGATGTAGTGAATTATATTGATTGATGTTCACATCTATAATCAACAAGGATATTGGTTGGTAATTTTCCTTTTTTTATGATGTCTTTGTCAGGTTTTGGCATCATAGAATATGTTTGAAAGCTTTCTCTCATTCTCTATTTTTGGGAAGAGTTTCAGAAGATTCAGTGTTAGTTCTTTGAAGGTTTGGTAGAACTCATGAGTGAAATTGTCTGGGCACAGCCTTTGATTTCTTGGGAGACTTTTGAATACTGTTTCAAGTTCCCTGCTTGTGATTGGTCTGTATGGGTTTTCTGTTTCTTCCTGATTCAGTCTCAGAGGATTGTAGGTTTCTAAGACTCTATCCATTTTATCTAGGTTAATCAATTTGCTGGCATGAAGATGTTTGTAGTAATCTCTTATGATACTTTACATATTTCTGAAGTATCTGTTGTAATGTCTACGCTTTCATTTTTGGTTCTACTTATTAGATTTTTCTCCCTTTTGTTTTTGGTGAGTTTGGCTAGAGGTTTGTCTCTTGTTGATTTTTTTCAAAGAATGTGTTTTTGGTTTCATCGAACCTATGGCCTGTCTTTTTGATTTATATTTTGTTTTTCTTTGGCTCTAATTTTCATTATTTCCTTCTTTCTAATGGCTTTTGATCTTGTTTGTTCTTTTTCTAGTGTCTTAAGGTGAGAGGTAAAGATTGTTTATTTGAGTTCCTTCTTGTTTCTTTTGCTGTGGGACTGTAGTGCTGCTTCTCTCTTAATATGACTTTTACTGTGTCTTATAGATTCTGATAGGTTGTGTCTTCATTTTCATTTATCGCTAATTTTTTAAATTACTTCTTTAATGTCTTTGTTTATCCAATGGTCATTCAGTTGTGTATTATTCATTCTCTGTATGTGAGGCTTTTTTCTGCTTTCTTTTCATCATTGATTTGTACTTTGATACTATTGTGATCACAGGATATACTAATATACTTGATATGATTTCAATTTTCATGAATCATTGACACTTGTTTTGGGATCCAGCATATACTCTGTCCTGGAGAATGTACATGTGCTTCTGAGAAGAATGCGCACTTGGTTTAAGCTGACTTTAAAACTGCATCTTAAAATGAGGCTCTATTATGTCTCAAAACTACACAGAAATTCTTTATTATGAACTTGGAGGCTTAATATTAATAGAACAATCCTCTAGACGAGTAGGAATAAATCTGAAATCTCTATTTAGCCTCCACTTTATGTCAAGGATTTATTTAAAGGCCAGGTTGGTTAGCATGATTAGTATGGTTAGGACATACAGAATGTCCAGAATCTGAATATCATCTTTTCTGCTGTTATATGTTTCTTCCTGTGTCTAGGTAAACTTTATGATGATTTAAGGAATTTTCATGTTTTTATTCCTGACTGATGTTAAAATTTTCTTTTTGACTTTATATTCATTTGAAACATTCCCTTTGTTTTATTTTTCTACTTGCTTATTCGGTCTGTCAGTTTCTTCACTGGTATTCCTAAAGAGTCGGAAGGAGCCACTGTGTCAGATTACTGTTTTCTGATTTAAACACTAATAATCTCAGGTAATAGATTTTTCCATAGAATACATCTGGAGGTTTATTAGGGGAATTCAGTTTCTCTAAAGACACAATGACATGCTCACCATCAGTTGTGAGGTGGTTCTGTAGGTCCTCAATTTCCTTATCTTCTAGCTCATAACCCATGTCTTCCAGGATGGATTTAATTTTAGAGACATGACACATCCCACCTTGGGGAGAAGTAAGTGATAAAAAAAAGAACTGATATTTAAGAAAAATAGTGGTTATATTTACACAATAATAAATAGATGGAACAAATCCACTGCATCCTAATAATAAAAAAATTCTTCAGGGCTAGATGTGGAACATGCTCAACACAAGCCACAATAGAGATTTATTGTGGAAGCCAGAATGTATTTCCTGCCAATCCCACTTTAGGTTTTTTTTTCCTATAGTTTTCAGGAAAGGTATATTTAGAAGAAACAATTATTTATTTTATAAATTATATATAATTTTATTGATATATTAATTCTATACACTACTTTCATATATTATAAATGATATATATATAATAATTCATCAGGTTCATCTAAATGTATTATCTATATATATTACTTACTTACCAGGAAAAGCTTTCAGACAATCCAACAACACACTTTTCTCTATTTTTTTATCAACTGTAAAATAAGACACATTTAAAGTTAAAGAAAAAGCTACATATATAGTCAAAAACAGAATAAGGAGAACATAATTTCATAATTACAATCTCAAAAATGCAAACTGGTTATAATTCTACATTTCCAAGGGCAACCTATCTCTTCATAAATAAGAACAAAAGTAAACAAAGAGAGATTTCTGATTATGAACTGTTCATCCATTCTTCGACACTGAACTAAATAAACTTTTTCCCCCTCAGTTCTCCCTTTCCTGCCTCTACTACTTGATAGATAATTCAGTATTCTTTTTCTTTTTACCATGCTTACACTTCACTTATGGCAGGGCCCACATTTGAATATATCAAAGTCTCTCAAGACTATACAGCTAAGGGGCCTCCCCGGTGGCGCAGCGGTTGAGCGCTGGGTTGTGAAGCTGCCCACGGCCTCTGCGGCGCCGGTTCGATCCCCGGCTGCTCCCCGGCCACCAGAGGAGGGTCCCACATGGCGCACAGACCTCTCCTGCCACCCACTGCTCCCCTCAGCAGTGCACTTCGGTCCTTCTGCCTGCTCTGCTCCCTGCTCTGGCTCTGGTGAATTCTCTCACCCTCCCGCGCTTCTGACTGTACCCAGTGCATGTACAAACAAAACAAACAAACAAATAAAATAAATAAAACATGCCTCTATAAAAAAAAAAAAAGACTATACAGCTAAGTTTCAAAGGCATAATTTCTTTACACCTTAAGGTTTGAACTTTTTGTCTTAGATTTTTATATAGGGAATCAGATGGATCCATTTTTATGATGTTCTCATGTTGAATTTTGGAGTACCTACCAGTAAATGGCAGCATTTGCAACAGATCAAAGAGTTCCCTATTTGTGAGCTCTATCCCCATATTGTCCAGTGTTTTGTACATGTCTTTGGCTTCAATTTTTTCTTCTGTTAAAGACAGGAATGTTACAGATGAGAATTGCCCAGTGAATTCAATAATGAAGTATATGAGTTTGTATAAGACTACTACAGTTTTCAAAGGCATTTTTTTAATTCTAAGTAAAGCACATTTCTAATGCTCTTAATGACCTCAAAAAAATCAAACTGGTTCATAGTAGAGAGACATAAAGGAGATAAAGTGACCTAAGTTATGTATAGGCAGTACCTAACCTAAATCATGTTACCATCAGATCTGTGTAAACAGTAAAGTCTGTGTCACTTTTTGATGCCTGAATTGTGAGACAGATTATCTTCACTGATCATGTTACAGGTATTTCTGTCAAAGATTTACCTTTACAATTACTGGATTATGGTAGGTACTAGGTAAATGTTTTGAATGAATTACAGGTACATTGTTCATTGAAATAAATTATAAAATAAAAATGAAGTTTCAGAGAAACTTCAGAGAAAAATGAAGTTTCAGAGGAAACAGAAATTGTTATTGAGATTAGCACAACATTTTGCCCAAACATAAATAACCCAATGTAATATTCACTTAATTTGAAACAAACTTTAATCATTTAAAATATAGAAGTTAGGGCCTGGTGGTGCAGGGAGTTAAGCCCAGCACTATGAAGCTATCCACAGCCTCTGCAGCATGAGTTCGATCCCCAGACAGCCAGGGAGGTGACCCACATGGCACAGCAGTCCTCTCCTGACTTGCCCACTGCTCCCCTCAGCAGTGTATTTCAGTCAGTCTGCCTGTTCTGCTCCCCACTCTGTCTCTGGTGAATCCTCTCACCCTCCCCACCCCTGCACCTCTGGCCTGTACCCTAGTTCTTGTATGCATAAATAAATCTTTAAAAAATAAAATATAGAAGTTCAAAGTCAATGGTAGAATAAAACAGACTTAAAAATGTATGTGAACATGAAGATTTATATTTTAGTTATACATCTTTTTACAAAATGTCTTGCTCACCTGTGAATTTTTTTACTTCTTTTAGCAGCTCTTGCAGCTTAACCTTCCCGGAAGCTAAAAAATAAGCCACAATTCACACACACTTGTGCACTAATTAAAAAGATTGTTAAATATAGCAAAAGAAACTCTTTTCTATGATTTGTTGTTGAATTATATCCTAATGACATACACAGTTGAGCATAAAACAGGGAGAATTATTCTTTAAAAGTGTTAACTATTATTTATTATCTCCTCTCTTTTAATAGCCCCATTTTACACACTATGCAATATTTCACTCTTCAACTTGTTGTCTTTACTTTACACTATCTACTATACCAAATCCCAGGAACAAGAGCAAAAAATCTCAGTTTGGAACTTTGAGTCTAGTTATTTCCCCATCTAATACTCTCCTATCCTGACATCCCCAAGTTAGCTTAATCTATTTTATTTTTTTCTAGTAGACATGTTCCTTACATTTTCAAAGACTGTAAGTGTATTTAAATTAAAAAGATATATCTATTTATTCTATATTCCATCCACATATCCTAATCCAGTAAGTTGCATAAGATAACAATATTAAACACTTTATGGAATTAAACAGAGAAATTGAATGAATCATAATGACAGAATTAGTTTCTTAAATAGTTACATATTTCCAGAACTGCAGATGCAATATATTTTAGAACAAGAAAAAAACTAGAAACTATGCACATTTTTGGCATTTATTTATTTTAAAAAAGAATATGCTATTCTTTATTATGGAATCCAATTATTAATTTAAGGTAGTTGTTAATACATCCTCCTCTCCATACATTTAGTTGGTAGATTTTCACTTAGGGGACTTTTGCTACATATACAACACAGTGTAATTTTTCTGTTGAACTTCTACATTGCTGATAGCTATCAGTTAATACCTATTGATTCATACAACTGGAAAGTCCTTGTTAAGAGTCCTAGATGGTGACTAAATAAACATATAGTAGTAAAGAGCTAATTCAGTTTCTCATTTATATATATAGAGTGTGAAATATCTGCATGTGTTATGCTAGACATTGGAGTATTCAATGGTGAGCAGATGAATATGGTTCCTCTTCCCACAGAGCCTTTGTCTATTACAGATTTCACTCAAGCTAGTTTACTTATTTGTTTATTTTAAAGATTTATTTATTTATTTATACAAGCACTGGGTACAGTCAGAAGCGCGGGAGAGTGATAGAATTCGCCAGAGACAGAGCGGGGAGCAGAACAGGCAGACAGACCAAACACACTGCTGAGGGGAGCAGTGGGCACGGCAGGAGAGGTCTGTCGCGCCATGTGGGACCCTCTCTGGTGGCTGGGGATCGAACCGGTGCTGCAGAGGCTGTGGGCAGCTTTGCAGCCCAGTTTTCAACCATTGCACCATCAGGGGAGGCCCTCACTCAATCTAGTTTAGAAGAAACTTTTAATCTTCCTTTCAGCTTCTCTATCAGGACACACTTCTAGACATCTCTTCTTTTTATTGTAAGATAGCAAGGAAAAAGGGTGAACACCAGAGGTTTAAATAATAATCATGTATATAAATATAATGGGAATCACTGAGGAAATAGAAGGGTCAATCCTCAGGCTAGAGATGACCTCATTGTATACATATAGAACAAAGGTAAACATTTATAAACCCAGATAAAAATCACAAAGGTATAGAGGAATGCATAGCTAGGTAATATGACTTGTAAAAGATATTTAAATCATTTAATTAGTTGGAAATTAGCAATCATTTTTTTTTTTTACAAATTATAAATCCTCCTTCAACTTCTTTCAAGGAAAGACCTCTTATAATTCACTTTAGCACATGTGCCATGCACATTAATGATTAATGAAAATATACTTAATCAAAATTCTCTTATGTTAGGGTTATCTAAGATTTAAAAAGTCACATTAGCACCAAAAAAGATCTAGTTCTAAGAATTCTCATATATATACTTGTGATCCTAAATAGCTCTAAAAATGTCAAATAGGGGGCCTCCCCGCTGGCGCTGCGGTTGAGCACTGGGTTGCGAAGCTGCCCACAGCCTCTGCAGCGCTGGTTCAATTCCGGCTGCTCCCCGGCCACCGGAGGAGGGTCCCACATGGCGCGCAGACCTCTCCTGCCGCCCGCTGTTCCCCTCAGCAGTGTACTTCGGTCCTTCTGCCTGCTCTGCTCCCCGCTCTGGCTCTGGTGAATTCTCTCACCCTCCCAAGCTTCTGACTATACCCAGTGCTTGTATGTATAAATAAATAAATAAATCTTAAAAAAAAAATGAGTATATTTAAAAAAAAAAAGTCCAATAGTATCTCTGATGCTCACAATCAACTGGAAGGTTTCGTGACAAATCTTCTAGTTTCTTGTCTGGGAAACTGATTTTCATGTTTTCCAAAATATTTTCCAGGTTACTGACATCAACCTTCCCACCTAAGGAAGGAATCAGGAACACCAGGGACATTTAATGACCTCTCTGAAAACTTTCAATTAATCCCCATACACCATGGATCTCAGTAAAAATATTAATGACTCTCATATTCAAGTGTACAAACATGCACATCACCGGAAGGAGGAAACCCTATACCTCTAAAACACAAATAGTGATGTAAACAAATGTTATCTCAATAATAATAAATAAATAAATAAATAAATAGGTAAATAAATAAAATTTGTTTAAATGTTTAAAAAAAGCTAATTTTTTTTATCATCTTGTGGATAGTCTTACAAAGTACAAATACATTCTCCAATGAATTATTAATATAATGGTGGCAACAACAAATTGAAAACTTTTTTTCTGTTAGGTAGGACATAAATTCAGTTTAGTTCTTTCAATTACTGAAATGCCCGAAGCAAATGCCACTTGTTTACTTCACATTTTCGATGTAGACCCAGATTTAAATTTCCTTTTCAAATAAATTTGACAAAAGTCAAACTTATTAAGCAGCAAAATGAAAGACTATTTGTAAAAAGGTTGCTGCATTTGAAACAGCAAAATAAATAATCAATTCATATGCAAGATGGTAAGGTCTACAAGAGAATAACTATAGACAGTAAGACAAATGTGAAGTAGAGAATTTTATTTATCTTTCTTCTCATCATCTTTCTTACCATTAAAAGACTTCAAATCATCCAGCAATCTGTTTGTATATACATTTCCATCATCTGTAAGAAAAGTCTTAATTCACATCACAGATAAAATGATATAGACATTTAGAAAGATAGTACATTTCATAAAGATACTTTTAAACATAACATAGAAATGTTTATGTCCTGTGATAGGACTGAAGAAAACAGTTATTGATTCTCAAAAAAAGAACTAATTTTCACTTTGCAAAGGAAGAACGAGGTCATGCTAAAATTTCTTAGATAGTAGTTCTTGTTGTTTTGAAACTAGGATATTTAATTGGCATAGTTTTTTAAAAGTTGTCTTAAATAGTGCTAATCTTCCTCAAAAGTTCTAATAATATTTGAAATGCTTACCATCAACTTGCAGATTTTTCACCAGTTCCAAGTATTCTTTTGGTGTGAATTCTATCCCAGTGCTTTCCAGAAAGTTTTTCAGATCTTTGACATTAAGTTTTTCTCCTTCAGCAAACAGAAATGTCAAGTTGACAATATTAAGAACTAAGTATTCAAATATATGCAATAAAATTGTCCATGGTTATACATCATCATCCCCAAATGTAAAATAAAAGACAAAGGTACAATAAACCCTGCCCAGTGGAGTAAAGAGTAGTCAGAAAGTTAGGACTCATTCCCTGACCCTAGGGAAAAATGCACTTTCATAACATTGGGACTCAGAAAGCACTTTCATAACATTAGGGATGAGTAAACTTAGTAATTTCAAGAAACAAAAATGCAAAGGTTATCCTTATATTGTTCTGTTTCCCCTCCAAACACATTATTAGACTATTATCCTAATTTTTACCTTAAGTATTACCGTGGTAATCTTGACAAGGACTGGCAAACTATTCCCTGTAAAGGACTTGACTAATGTCCAGGAGCTTTCCTTTGATTTTCTTCTAGTAGTTTTACAGATTTAGTTCTTACATTATTTAAATCTTTAATCTATTTGAGTTGATTTTTGTGCTTGGTGTAAGATAAGGGTCGAATTTCATTCTGTTGCACGTGAATATTCAGTTTTTCCAACACACACTTTTTTTAAGATTTATTCATTTATTTATTTATACAAGCACTGGGTACAGTCAGAAGCTTGGGAGGGTGAGAGAATTCACCCGAGTCAGAGCGGGGAGCAGAGCAGGCAGAAGGACCGAAGTACACTGCTGAGGGGAGCAGCGGGCGGCAGGAGAGGTCTGCGCGCCATGTGGGACCCTCCTCCGGTGGCTGGGGAGCAGCCAGGGATCGAACCGGCGCTGCAGAGGCTGCGGGCAGCTCCGCAACCCAGCACTGAACCACTGCGCCACCAGGGAGGCCCTCCAACACACTTCTTAAAGAGAATATATTTTCCCCATCGTGTATTCTTGGAGCCTTTATCAATGATTAGTTGACTATATGTACATGGTTTGTTTTTGGGCTCTCGATTCAGTTCCATTGGTCTATGTGTCTGTTTTAATGCCAATACCTGCGTATAAATACTATGTCTTATAGTATACTTTGAAATCAGGAAATGTGATGTATTCAGCTTTGTTCTTTGTCAAGATTGCTTTGGCTATTTGGGGTATTTTGTTCTATTCCAGTGGTTGGTACATGTATTTTTATTTCAATACCATACTATTTTTATTTTTACAGCCTTGTAGTATAGCTTGAAGTCTGGGAATGGGATACCTGCATTCCTTTTACTTTTTGTCAAGATTGTTTTGCCCATTCAGTGTCTTTTGAGGTTCCACATAAATTTCAATTATGTTTACTTTCTTTGTCCTTGAAGAATTCCATTTAAACTTTGAGAGGGTTACATTGAATCTATATATTAAATGACATAATTATTTTTAAAATGTAAATTATAAGTTAGATTCTGACAATATAATGGTTGTTATCAGAAAGAAAAGGGGGGACAGGGAATGAGTAGAGGGAGCTAATTGTCTGGTGGTAGGTGGTAAATGGACAGTTAGTGGTAGATGATGTGGTCAGAAAAAGTAGTCTTGGAACCTATGCAGAATTGTAAGCTAATGTTACCTCAATTAGAAAAAGAGAGAGGGATTGTCTAGTATGGAAAAAAAAGCAAGTTATGTAACAATGCATATTATCAGGGTTAGGGCTAGGTAATACTGTAAAATTTTGTGATATTATTTTTATAAAGACAAATGAAGCAAAACTGTATCATGATATAGATGATAAAACTATTATTTTTAAAAGAAAAATCAATATAAAATTCAGAATAATGCTATTTCAAAAAGTGGAGAAGCAGGGTAATAGAATAAGGGACCAACCATGGGTTGATGCAATGATAGTAGAAATATTCTAATTATTTTGTTGGTTGGTAGAATCATGGATATTAGTACTATGTTACTGGATTCTTATGTCCACCAAAAAGACAAGATGGGGAAAATATCATTAAATAATTAGGATTTTAATCATTGCTATAACATCCAACTTGCCTGTAACTGCTTTCACATCATTCATAACTTTTTTCAGAGAAATCTTTCCATTAGCTGAAATATAAAGCATAACATTCAGACAATGACATAGAACTTAGAAAAATTATGAACTGAGTCTAGTCAAACTCTGTATAGTCTACTTAATTATTTGTGTTCCCCATAAATTTTATTTTTTTTTTTGGAGTAATTGACTGCTTATTAGTAAGAAGAACAATAATGCTTGGCACATGCCCCTTAAATATAGGTCTGGCCATGACAAATGCATTATTTCATGCTCTTACTGTATCTTCAGATATTTTCTCATAATCATGGTAAAAGAAACCATTCATAAAATCATTTTTTGTTGGCTTGTTTGATTTTTGGTGAATCTTACATCTAACTCTTTTCTATCTATCCCCAGTAAGTTTTCCTCTTATGTTTTCAACTTCTGTATCTATCTCAAAATGCTGGTTGTTAGATACTTGAAATATCTGTGATGTTCTACTACTCTCTAATATGGGCATTTTTTTCTCAATCATTTATAGTACTTCTACCTCTCATTCACTCATCTCTTCTCCCCCACATTTGTCTCTCCCTACCATTCTTTGGCCTGAAAATAGTTTTGACCATCCCCACATTATTACTCATAGTTGAGCAGGATGATAATTTCAAATGGATGAAAATAACATAAGCCAGTGGTTGTTTTTTTTTTTTTTTTTACTTTAAGATCAATATCTTCTCCATAATTCTCAAAAGAATTAACAATTAAGAGGAAGTCTTAACTTGCTCATATCAATCTATTCTAGTTTTAGAAATTCTTCTATATGATTCCAGGAATCTAAGATATTACCAAAAGGCAAAAAAAAAAAATCAGTTATTTACAATACTCACCATAAATAGGTTGATTTTGTATCACATTTCTAAGTTCCTTGTTTTTGAGCTTGATCCCCATGTTCCCTAGAATTTTGTTCAGGTTATCGACATCAACCTTTCCTCCTTAAGAAAAAGTCAGAAATATGAGAAAAAGCTAACAAAGACAATATGAAAAATATTTCTTGTGCTGATGAGTTAAATAAACTTTCACTAGGTTTGGCTGAGGATGGTGAGACTGTTAACTGGAATTACCTTATTGGAAATGATTTGGCAATAACTGTCATAATTCCTTAAAATGATCATAACACAGCACACTAATTTCACTTTTGAGAATAAAGAAAAAGTTTATGTCAAAGGGGAGAGGGAAGTGTTCATTATAGTTTTACTTATACTAAATAAAAAAAACACCAAGCATTTAAATATCTAATGTTAGGTAAATCAACGTATTTTTTTTAAATCAATGTATTTTCATCCTACATAAAATTATATAGCCATACTTGTTACAAAAGATAAAGGAAAAAATACTTTTTCATATAGTGGAGTTATGTCATATAGTGCCAACATACTTTAAGAATCTTAACCAATGTGATTCTAATATTAGAAATATTTAGTATATTATGGAGCTTAGACAAACTAACTACATTATGTAATTGTTTAACTATAGGAATAACAACTTATTCCTTCACTGGAAGAAAAAGTGACTCTGTTGGACTTATCAAAGCTAGTATGTTGTTTTTTATGGAGTCTTCCAAAGGAGTTCAGAATGATTTTTACTATATAAGAATTTTACTATTTTGATAATACAGGGTTCCAAATATTGAATGGCAATAATTGAATAGTAGGGTTATGATGAATTTCCCCTTTAATTTAGATATTTTATGTAATAGGGATATAACACCTCTTTTTTTAAAAAAAAAAACAGTAAAAATTCGCAGCTGGATTATGTTGATTATTTTTAGCACTGCAAAGGCTAAAGCTCTAACTGGACCTGTCCAAAACTATATAACAGGATAACTGTTGAGATGCTTTCAACTGGTTCCTTTGAGTATAACCTTGGAATTAAACCTACAGAACATTAAACCAAAACAAACCAAGCCACCAAAATAAAATCATAAGATAATATGGAGTTTAGAACCACGATCTATATGAACTAGGGGAAAACACAAAGATTAAGAATTTTACTCATATACTTTCTCATTATACTTATTACCCACCTTTTAAAGACTTCAAAGCTGTTAGCAATCTATTTTGAAAAACTTTCTTGTCATCTGTAAGAAAAGGCACACTTCAGGACAGTAACCCAAAATAGAATATAAAGATCATATTTTTCTTGTATTACTGTCTATAGAAATCTATCCACTTTCACTTTCAAATTGTGATGACATTGTTAAGCAATGAAAAAAGTTCTCATTAAGATGGTAGTTCAGTAGGGAGAGCCTGGGTTCAAATTCTTGCTTTGCTGCTGACTAGTTTTGTGGCCTCAGGAAAATTATTTTTCTGTCCCTCAGTATTTTTCACTGTAAAATGGGGATAAGGTGTTTTCACTGTATGTGGTGAGGACAGAACTTGGGCACATCATTAGGGATCAATAGATACTAGCTATTAATTTTAACATATCTACTTATGTGGGTTTGCTACTCCTGAGCAGCCTGTTTGGCCACCATTTTGTTACCTACAGTTCTAAATCCTAAGCAAGGTCAAAATGATCTGTTCAGTTGGGTACAGAGCCCAACCCTGCAAGGTGCCTTTCAAATCAAACAAAAGCACAAAGCTGGATCATGCTGGAAAGGCTATGTATCACAAGATATGACTGGGAATGCCGGGGGAGTGGAGGGTTGGGGATGATGACCAATACATAACAAAGGACCCCAGAAGCTGATCAGTAGAATGCCTTGTTGATAAGATTAAAACCATTGCTGGGGAACTAGGGCATGATCTCAATGGCAAGAGGAGTCATCAAGCAGATAAGAAGTGCCTGGAGGGCAGACTCACAATCCCTGATCATCTACATTCTCCCCCTTTCTTTAATCTCCTTCCCCTTTCCTTTTGCTCCTCCCACTTACAACTCATGCTATACATTAATAAAAAGGCCAGGATCTTGCTCTTCAGCAGCATCCTGCATTATGTAGCCTGCTCCATGACTCCCATTTCTTTATCAGTGTGGTGTTGCCCAATGCAACATACTTACTCCTCATGACCAGGGCAACAGTTGATTTATATGCCACAGAGCTAAACTCACATACCCATCTTTTTCTGTTCTATTTTTGATTTCTCATTCCTTAGTGATATCACATTTCCATTCTGTTTCCTTTTCTTTTTACTCTTAAAGTTTGACATGTCAGTGGTTTGATGAGTAATAGCAGGAATTTTTCTTAGTTATTTTCCCTTTTTTTCCAACAGCACTATTTTTTATTTTAAAACAGGTGATAATTTCTCTGTGTTCTGTATATTGATTCATTTTTTTTGCAGATGTTCTCTTGCTTAGGAGAGAATTCAAAAATGCAGTAAGGCCTTTGTCAGGAAATGTCTTAAATAAATAAGAGAATCATGGCCCTGGGGAGATTCGAAAAAGTTTCTGGCATCTTCTAAACTTTTCCAAATTGACAACTGCTCTGAAAATCAGGAGAAAGCCTAAAACCAGGAACGCCCAAGAGTCAATACAAACCACAAAAATATGCAGGGAAATAAGTGGGAAACCTGACAATCAGGACCTACTCTATTAGAGTGAGACCAAATCAGGATATGGCTGCATTATCAACTCACCATCAGTTGGTAATAATTTTTGAAGTTCCTGACATTCTTTGTCATTGAGTTCTATCCCCATATCTCCGAGAACATTTTTCAGATCACTGACATCAACCTTTTCTCCTTTGAAAAAACAGTGTTCATATGTAAACATATTAGAAATTAAAACCCAGCATTTTAAAGAAGCTCATAAGAACCCACAAGTTATTAACCTATATGACATAATATACATAAACATATAAATATTTAATATGCCTATAATAGCTTTTGTGGTATTCCCAACTTGGGGGCTAAAGAGCAAAGGCAAAATGAGATGTGCAAATACAGTGTGTTGCTAGAGGTCAAAGCAAATTTGTTCCTGCAACACTGATATAATAAAGACTCTCTTATTGTTGGGTATAATGTGTAGAATGAAATCTAGTTATTAAATTGGGTAGTGAAATAATTGTGGCAGAATATATTAACACCAACCTATATAATCAATTGTTCACAAAACCACATGGTCTAGAGTGTCACAAACTTTACCTCAATGTGCTTATTTAAAATATAACTATTTACAGACAGACAGACAGACACACACACACACACACACACATGAAAAATATCTCTATAGTAGATAGGACTTGCTATCAAAACCACATCTTATGGTTTAATTTTAAAACAGAGATAATCCAAGATCAAAAGAATTTTATCAGGCAGAAATAGCTTATAACTGGGTAAATTATAATAGCAAAATTAATAGGAATGACAAACTACTGGAACAATAGCATCTAAAATATAATTTATTATAAAACATTAGGAGTTCTGTGTTCTAGAAACTCACCTATAAAATCTTCCATTTTTAGAGTTACATTTTTCAGAGGAACCTTCCCATCACCTGTAAGACACAGAGCAGTCACAGACCAACAATTAAACTGTTCCCTCAGCTTTCTCCACCTACGATACCTTCCCCCCACTAGAATATTATCATCTTGAATTTTAATGCTAGACTATTACACTACATTTTTGCATAATAAATAGTAAGATATAAGAATGAGTTTTTAATGTTCTTTTCTCTGCTTTGTTTTATGTATTCCATTATTTCCTCCTCTATTCATGTTAGGGGGAAAGGATGTCCTGAGATAATCTCATACAGGCTTTGTGGACTCCACCCCCACTCCAGACTAAACACTTTTCTCCCAGAGCTGTACATTTCCTCATTTCCCCTTCCCTTGTAAATAAACCTTTTATTATCCTTTCACGTGTGCCTGCAGTAGAGCATTGATAAGTCCTTTTAAGCGCACGGGTGAGGACCCACAGTCAGGCACCCTGTTTTGTATCGGGGTTGCTCTACAACATTCAGATTCTCTTTTTGTGTGTGTGTAGTTTATTTTTTTCCTCTGCTAACTATTTATAAACTATTCTTTGTTTCTGATATTATGAAATTTTACAAGAACGTCTAGGTATAGGGTGAAAAAAACTTTGCACCCTGTTTAGTGCCCATGGTCCTTTTCAGTCTAGGACTGCAGGAAAGGATAAGAAGATATGAAATGATAATATATGAATAGTTCTAGAGGAATACATTGTATAAAACAAAAAACAGTAAGTGAGAAGGGAATAAGTAGAACTATCCCCTAACAATTCTTGACCATTTTGAAGGAGGCTAAAAGTCCAATATATAATTGGATTACAATATTTGAAGGATGCATATTGTAGTTTCTAGGATTACCTGTAAAATATCCAAATTAAGAAGAAAAATAATAAAAAAAAAATCAATTCAAAAGGAAGGCAAGAATGGATGGAAACAGAATTTGAACTGGTGGGCCTCCTCCGTGGTGCACTGGGTTGAGTGCAGCGCTGTGAAGCTGTCTGCAGCCTCTGCAGCGTGGGTTTGATTCCCGGCCAGCCAGGGAGAAACCCACATGGTGCAGCAGACCTCTCCTGCCTCGCCCGCTGCTCCCCTCAGCAGTGTCATCTGTCTGCCTGCTTGTTCTGTTCCGCACTCTGTCTCTGGTGAATTCTCTCACCCTCCCACGCCTCTGACTGTACCCCAGTTCTTGTATAAATAAATAAATGTTAAAAAAAGTCAGAAATTAAAAAAAAAAAGAATTTGAACTGGTGGTGCGAATAGAAGCATTGAAAGTAAATTTACATTTTTACACACAACTATGTCAGTATTTCATGACTGTTATTAACAATGCAAAAAATGGAAATGACAGATTCAGATTGCTAATATTTTCATTAGGACTTCTGCATATTTATTCATGAGATAGCTTCCTTTTTGTGTGTTGTTTTCATGAAGTTTTATTTATTTATTTAAAATTTTTTTTTAGATTTATTTATTTTTATACAAGAGCTGGGGTACAGGCCAGATGTGTGGGAGAGTGAGAGGATTCACCAGAGACAGAGCAGGGAGCAGAACAGGCAAACGACAGAAATACACTGGTGAGGGGAGATGCGGGTGAGACAGGAGAGGTCTGCTGCACCAAGTGGGCCCCTCGCTGGCCGGCTAGGATCGAACCAGCACTGCAGAGGCTGCGGACAGCTTCACAGAGTGGCACTCAACCCGCTGCACCACGAGGGAGGCCCTGCATCAAGTTTTGTTTTGTTTTTAAGATTTATTTATTTATTTATACAAGAACGGGGGTACGGGCCAGTGGCGCGGGAGGGTGAGAGGATTCACCAGAGACAGAGCGGGGAACAGAACAGGCAGATTGATGGAATACATTGCTGAGGGAACAGCGGGTGTGACAGGAGAGGTCGGCCACACCATGTGGGACCCTCGCTGGCCTGCCGGGATCGAACCGGGCACTGCAGAGGCTGCAGACAGCTTCATAGCGTTGCGCTCAACTGCTTGCGCCACCAGGAGTGGCCCTCATCAAGTTTTAATATTATGACAGTTTCATAAATCAAACTGGGAAATGTTCCTTGCTTTTATATTCTTTGAATAGTTGAGTAAGTGGGCAGTATTTGTTACTTAAATGTTAGTTAAAATTTGCCAAGGAATGATCTAAATCTCTAAGTCTTAAAAATTTTAAGTTTTGAAATATAAGAATCCAGAAATTTGAAAGAGGATGGATAGACATAGATGATACAAACTCTAAAATGATGTGATTATCTTAGCATCAAACAAGATAGGCCTTTAGGAAAAAACATTTATTAAGATCATGAAAAGAAATTTAATTCACCATGAAGGTGTCACAATTCTAAATGCATATGGGGTTGAGAACATGTCCTCAAAATACATAAAGAAAATTACAAAATTACAATGAGAAACAGAAAACTTCAAAGTTACAGTGGGAGATTTTAATACCTCCTTTTCCTTTTTGTGTGTTGTTTTCATCAAGTTTTATTATTGATGGTTTTTTTTTTTTTTTTTTTTTTTTTTGTCATGCTGAAATATATCATGCTTTATTAGGACAATGCAGATAGACAACCCGGAATCATGAAGGTGAAAGTGAAGACAATTTCCTTTATTATTGATGGTTTTAACTAGTTTTAACTATTTTATTAACTACTCCTGTAGTTAATAGAGTACACACAGGAAAATCATTAAGACTATAGGAAATTTTTACTGTGTCTCTTTTTTCCCTTTAAATCCTTTTATCTTTATCAGAACAGCTGAGGCAAGCATCCCTCATGTCTTTTTTTTTTTTTTTAAATCCTGCTCTTTTTTTTTTAAAGATTTATTTATTTTATTTATACAAGCACTGGGTACAGTCAGAAGCGTGGGAGAGTGAGAGAATTCACCAGAGCCAGAGCGGAGAGCAGAGCAGGCAGACTGACGAAGTACACTGCTGAGGGGAATAGCGGGTGCAGGAGAGGTCTGCGTGCCATGTGGGACCCTCACCTGGCGGCCGGGGATTGAACCGGTGCTGCAGAGGCTGCAGGCCAGTGCTCAATCACTGTGCCACCGGGAAGGTCCCCTTCATGTCTTATTAATGGAAATAACCATAATCAAGTTTAATCATCCCTCATCATAGACTATTCTCCTTTTCTCTCACTTACTACTTAATATTTCTTTTAAATCTTTCTTATTCTACATGCCTTCTTTATTCTTTGACCTGAGAACAGTAAGTTAATAGTCTCACCAATTTTCATTATTCATCATAGAAGACATTTGCTGATCTTGGGTTAATGAAAAGAATGGATGTACTTTAACTTGAGACATGAATTGGCAACACATTTTTCAGAATGCCTTGTTGATACTAAATAAACGCTGGCACTGACCTATGAAAGCTCTCAAACCCAAGCTGTCCAAAAGGGAATACATTTTAATCTATAAATGCTCACCATCAACTGGTAGGCTTTGTAAAAAATCTTCACGTTCTTTATGTGAGAGTTTAATCCCCATGCTTTTCAGAAATGAATCCAGGTTATTCAGATCAATTTTTCCTCCTTAGGAGAGACAAAGTATCATACAGAGCCATCAAGCTGTGGAAAATGCTTATTAACTCATGTATATTATAGTTATGACTTTAATTATGAAAATATTTAGGGCTAATAAGACCTAAATAAGGATCCAAGAAGGATCAATATTAAAGCTAGATGTAGAATACCATCCTCTGACTGTATCTTTTGTTCATATCAACATAGTGAAGTTCTAAAAGAACTGGGTAGTTTTCCAGGAACCATTGCATGACATATCTAACATAATCTGTAAATATTGGGAAAATACGCTCAAGGGATTTTTGATGCAATAATATAACTGAGTATAAATGAAAAAAAAAAAAGAACATCTTAGATTTATCTGCTTTCTGATGACATGTCTAACTTACTTTCGAGAGTTTTTACACCATCCAGTAACCTTTTTTGAAACACCTTTCCTTCAGCTGTAAGAAGAGGCATAATTCAGGTCAAACAATAACAATTCTACAATACTTCTCCTAATTGTATAATTTTTAAGAGATAGACTTTTAAATAATTTTTTCCTGAAATTTGCCTAATTTGTTCTCAATCATAAAATTTGTCAGAGAAAGACTTTAATTAGACAAATCTGTTTACTATTGTGGAAAGGGCAATGATTATTGGTTTAAAACTTATAAAACATATATCCTGTTTAATCTTCTTTGATCTCTAAATTCTTTCTTTTCCCCCTTTACTCTTCTATTTCAAAGTCCTTCCACTCACCCTCAGGCATACTAGTGTAATTAAGGACAATAATACACATATCTTCTTGCCAGGAATGAGTGAAATAGCTATTGCCTACCATAATAAAAATCAAATTACCTAGTTTTTCTGTGGAAAAAATTGACTAATTCTAAATGCTTTAAAAATGATTAATGAAAACAACAGTGTGGTATTATTTTAGAAGAAATTCTCACAGTCAAGCATCTAAAGTCCCTTGAAGTATACATACTTTAAATCCTTACCATCAACTGGTAGAGATTTCACAAAATTTAAGTAATCCTCATCTGTGACCTCTACTTTCATGTCTTTCAGAGTATTGTCTAGGTCACTGACATCTACCTGATTTCCTAAAAGAAGAAAGAAAAGGTAAAAAAAGAATTTAAGAAGAATACAAAATTACTGAGTTATTACAATCAAATGATGCCAAACTAGCAATATTTTCATTCATGAACTCGTAAGATAGTGTTGTCAGTACTTAAAAACCATGACTTGGCATATAAAACAGTGCATGTCCTATTCAGTACAATATACCAGTTAAATTGCCTTGATAAATGACGGAATTATCTTGAATTTTCTTTTGGCCAATAGAAGGGGATTTGCATGACTACTAATACTTCTTATTGCACTTGGACTCACACTTAGGCTAAATTAATACCTAAGTTAAAAGATAACTTGGTTATTTCAGTTAGACTCAAGACATTATTGGGACTAGTTTTCTTTCAGGTATGAGAAACACCAGACCATGATTCCATTACAGAGTTCCTTACAGTTCCTTCTTAAAATACTTTCAGCAAGTTTTATTTGTCTCACAGTTGCTTGAGGTCTGTTTTTCAGTCTTCAGTGTTTCTATGCAGCCACATATCAACAAGTAATTAAATGACTAAAACACAAAAATAGGATGGAACCATCCTGCTATTTAGATGTCATTTCATCTCAAGCACAATCAAAATAATGGATAAAGTCTGGACAATTCCTGATGATCTCTCCTGTGGCTTGGTTGCAGAAGAATTAAAAGACGCAATTAGGACTAAAAGAATTTCCATATCATTAAGAAAAGACTGTTGCCATGTTGGTAATATATAAAATATTACCAAATGAATCCAAATTATGAAAAACAAAGCAAAGTGTCTATTTTTACAACAGAATAGTCTACACTAAATAAACAACAAAGACCATGGATTCCTGCTATCTATGCAGATTGAATATCAGACTTAGAAATATAACATTGTCCCTTACTTATAATAAAAGGCATGTACTCATAATATTGGAGAAAAATATTATATATAATAAAGTGAGAATAATAAAAATTGTTCATGAAATTATCATGTTAGTGGTGACCTCATTATTCAAATAATTATGTCTTCAAATAGTATCTCAGTTATTTAAATATTATGCTTTGAAATTTCTTATCTTGGGCCTCTCTGGAGGTGCAGGGGTTAAAGACAGCGCTATCAAGTGAGCTGCAGCCTCTGCAGCACGAGTTCAATCCCTGGCCAGGGAGCTACCCACATGGCACAGGAGACCTCTCCTGTTTTGCCCGCTGCTCCCCTCAGCAGTGTATTTCAGTAGATTTGCCTGTTCTGTTCCCCACTCTGTCTCTGGTGAATCCTCTCACTCCCTGTACCTCTGCTTATACCCCAGTTCTTGTATGCATATATAAATACATCTTAGGGCCTCCTCGGTGGCGCAGCGGTTGAGCGCTGGGCTGCGTAGCTGCCTGCAGACTCTTTTGCACCGGTTCGATCCCCGGCCACCAGTAAGGTTCCCACATGGCACGCAGATCTCTCCTGCCGCCCGCTGCTCCCCTCAGCAGTGTGCATCATCAGTCTGCCTGTTCTGCTCCCCGCTCTGGCTCTGATGAATTCTCTCATCCTCCTGTGCTTCTGACTATACCCAGTGCTTATATAAATAAATAAATAAATCTTTTAAAAAATAAATACATCTTAAAAATATTTTCTTATACAAAGATCTAGTACCTCTGCTGCCAAAACATAGTGATCAACGCAAGTAGATAAAAATGTTTAATGAATGAAAGGCTAAATGGCAAAATTAACAAGGGAATAAAGAAATGGTAGGAAATATCATCATAACTGTGTAGAGAATCAAGTAACTTTTCACTTACCTAAAATAGCATTTAATTCTTCTATCAGTGTATTTAGTTTGACCTTCCCATCATCTATAAGACAAAGCAAAAATTAGACACTGATAAATCCAAACTCAAAAAAAAAAAAAGCATAAAGCATAAAGTACTAAAATAATTTAAGTAGAACCCAGGTGAAGACTATTATATCTTGTCATTTTAAAATTTGAAGGAATGGGGCCTCCCTGGTGATTCAGGGATTAAAATCTCAGCGCTATCAAGCTATCACCAGTCACTAAGGCATGAGTTTGATCCCCAGCCAGGGAGCTAACTTATGTGGCACAGCAGACCTCTCCTGTCTTGCCTGCTGCTCACTCAGCAGTGTATTTCAGTAGATCTGCCTATTCTGCTCCCCACTCTGTCTCTGGTGAATTCTCTCACGTCCCACACCTCTGGCCTACACCCCAGTTCTTCTCTTCTATGCATAAATAAATAAAAATAAATCTTTAAAAAATAAAATAAAATTTGAAGGAATACCAACTTCCAGTTATGAAGGGTACAACTTCTGATTATAAGGTGAATAAGTCTAGGAAGCCAATGTATTGAATGGTGATTATTGTTACTAATACTGTATTGCGTACTTGGAAGATGCTAAGAGAGTATATCTTAAATATTCTCACAATTAAGAGAAAAAAAGAGAATTATGTGATTGATGGAGGTGCTAGCTAATTTCTTGGTGGTAATCACCTGGCAGCACGTAAGTGTATCAAATCAACAGTCGTTCCCCTTAAACTTACATAAAATTATGTCAATTCAATCTCAATAGGTATAGAACAAAAGAATAAGTACACCTTAAAAAAAAATAGGGATGATTACAGTTCTTACCATCAACTGGTAGTCTTTCTATCAGGTCCATGAATTCCTTTTCTGTGATGCTGATTCCCATGTGTTCTAAAAAAGTGTCTAGCCTATTGACATCAACTTTGCCCACTAAGTGGGAGAGAGGAAAGGAATATAGTAAAGAATGATTTAAAATTGGACTACACATTCACTCTGCTGTGTTTTTCTTCTTTTTTTGAGCATGTGCTTTATTATAACATAACTTGCATTAATTTCTCAGTATTCTTAAAACAAACTATTCTTCAAGACAAATGCCAAAAAATCCAGCCTTGTCTAGTTAGAAGAATAAAAATTAGAAGTCATTCCTTCCAATTTTATTTTGGGGATCATGAAAAGCTGGAGCTAGGATAACTAACATAATTTTTTTTTTAAAGTGGTCATTTCTGTTGTCCGTACTTTCAAATAGTTTGTCTCTGCTTTTGACAGAAATCCTTTTCTGAAAATCTTCCTTCTTTACTTTTTCTTTGTATTTTTAATTTTTTTTTCCTTTGGGGCTGAGATAGGAAAAGTCAAGAAAGTTCAATAATTTTTTGCCAGACTTTAGTGTAAGACACTACTTGACATATACCTGGTAAAATGCAGATCTACTGACAGAAGCATAAAGAAAGACTCAATTATATAGGAAAGTAGATCAGTATTTTAACAATACAAATAAGGGTTTCAGACTAAGTCTTCTGACTGCTTCTTACTCACGTTTGAGAGACTTTATAGCTTTCATCAACTTTTTCAGATGTACTTTTCCATCAGCTTTAAAAAAGGAAATATGTTGGAAATGGAGTCAGAAAGATAGTACACACTACTTAATTTCAGAAAGAAAGAATCATTGCTTAAGGAGCATTTCAAATGCATGTGGATAACAGATAGAGCAAAATGTTCACTCTCAGCGGTAAAGGAGTGAAATACAAATAACATAATGGGATGTTCTTTTGTTCCCATGTATTGAGACTGTAGGTAAAATAGAATTCTCAAATGCCATTTGTGAAAGTTCAAATTATGATATTTAAGAAGAAAATGTGACAAAACAAGGTATCTTCCATTTTGCAGCTTTATTTAAATAAATTTAATCTTAAGAAATTTTAGGATATTTGCAAATATTCATGGTTGTCAAATACAAAGAAGGCTTATATAATTTGATGGGAAATTGGAAAAATATACCTCAAATTTTGACAGTAGTTATCAATTTGAGGTGGAAATAAAGATGGCTTTATTTTTGCTTACTTGTATTGTTAAGGTTTCTATGATGAGCACATGCATTAACATTACAAAGATGAGTTATAAATAAATTACTACACACATAAATATTATCTGTCTGTCATTTAGCTATCTGAAGAGCACTAGAAGGAAATGCACCTAAATACCAATAGCAATTATCTTTGGGTTATGGAATTAAAAGCAATTTTTATTTTACTAAATTTGTTGTTTTACTTCATCTTATAAGGAAGTTAAGAACTGTAGCCTTTGCAATGTGCAAAGTTATTTAAAAATACATATTCTATGCAGCAGAAACACACCCAGCTACTATTAAAACAGTTTTTTATCTTTCCTGTACTCCTGCTTCTCTCCTTCCTTCCTTCCTTCCTTCTCTTCTTTCTTTTTTTAAATCTACTTTTGTGAAAAATAGCTGATCAGTACCCTGAGGGCTGAGTATTGAATGCTGTGATGGCAACTTACAACTGAAAGGGCTAGATTGATGATTCTTAAATAAATATCTAAAGGACGAAAATTTACTTTGTCTTAGCATTATTTTTTTTTAATAGTTTCCAAGGACTTTTAGTTTATTTTGTTACTTTCACATTGTTCCACAAAACCAGACTTCCCAAGACAGTATCAAGACTTACCATCAATTGGCAGTGTCTTCAGCAAGTTCGAGTGTTCATTAGGAGTGAACTCTATCCCCAAGTTTTCCAAAATACTTTCTAGTTTATTGGTATCAACTTTGTGCCCTTTGAAAGAAAAAAAAAGGATATTGGCACATGGTAATGTTTTGACATTATAATGATCCAAAATAATAAAAATGCTGGCCCATGTAATGTCGTTAAGATGTTCAGTCTTACATGTTCCAATAGTGTTTATGGATATTGAACCTAGAATTTATTTCTTGTTTGTCACAAAGGGAGTGGTCTCCTAAGTTTAGTAGCAGAACACCACGGTAAAAAATTAACTTATATAATTGGCCAGAAAATTAGAGTGAAGTCTCTTTTTCTTCGTTTTAATGCTGAATCATTTAATTATTATTTAAAGTAACCTCATCGACTTTTAATTTTCTGAAAATATTCATCTTCCTGTGTTCTGCTTGGATATTGGTATTAAAACAAGCAGTGATTAACTCAAAAGCTTGCAGGAGCATAGAGGTAGAAGAAGTGAGTGAAACTGGCTGTGGTGAAGTGCACAGCATATGCCTTGTATGAAAAGAAAACACAGCAGCTGTTCTGGGCAGAAAAGCAGGGCCAGTGTTGCCAGATCTTATAAAACTTGTCTACAGATTGGATTTAACTCATGAGTGACCAATTTGCAACCTGATTTAAACTCTGGTTAAAATCAGCATAATACTTGTCAGAAAACAGAAAATATAATTTAATATTCAAACATTACCACTTATTTGTATGGCCGAAGAGAAGTTAGAGGTAAATATTTCATTATAAATGTGTAAAATATAAGCATTCATAAATTTCCAAATTAAGGTTGTGAAAACACTATGCAGAAAATAACATAGGGTTAGAATTCAATTAAAAACATTTGTTAATATCTTACCAGAAAAAGGTTTCACTTCATTCATCACCTTTTCCAGATTAATTTTACCATTAGCTGTAAGACAAAGAATAAATTACATGAATATGACAGTGAGACTCAGAAAATGATGCTGTAACTAGCAAAAAAATATAGCAGTATTTATTTGCTCTAGAAATGTTAACTTTTGGAGGTATAAACTTCCAGTTATATAATAAATAACTCATGGGAATTAATGTACAGGATGGTGTACATTAACAATTGTAGTTAATAATTGTGTATCACTTATTTGAAAGTTGCTAAGTGAACAAATCTTCAAAGCTCTAATGCAAGACAAAAATTTGTAACTATGGTGACAGATGTTAACTGGACTTAATGGGTGATCATTTTACAATAATTATAAATGTCAAATTATTATTTTGTACAACCGAACTAACCTAATGTTATATGTAAATTATATATTTTTAAAAAGCTGGTTACACACACAGTGGGAGTGACATGCTGCTGGCATCAATGGGTTGCTAGGGCAATTCCAAGATGTGGCATCTCTTGATGTCTTGAAGGAAAGAGTGAACACAGGACTCCCCAGACCCATGTGTGCTAGGCAAGCACCAGGTATGTGTCAGAGCACAGGACCAGAATTGGAAGATAGTTCTTGGGGAGAGCTTGGCACTTAGAATCTTAAAGACCTGATGAAGGTCAATAGAGGCCAGCACAAGGGCACTGTGATTCCTTAGACCCCTAAAAGGCCAAGGAGGAATAAAAAGTCAAGCTCCTGAGAGGGTGAAAGTACAGAGATACTAGAATACATATCTATTCTTTTTTTTTTTAATTATTTTATTTTATATAATTCTTACATCATTTTTAATTTTTGCACAATGTATGCACTTTCATTTTGGTTATATTCCCCATACAATTCCCACCCCCTTTATTCTGACCCTAATCCCTCTTCTCCTCTCCCCACCCCACCACCCCTGCCACTACAGTTGCTTGCTGATTTTTATTTTTACTTTATTGCAATTAGTCTTTTTCCTGGTCCCTTATTTAGGTTTTCTAAATTCCTGCTATGAGTGAGACCATCCAGTATTTTTCTTTTTCTTTCTGGCTTATTTTGCTAAGCATGATCTAGACTATATATCTATTCTGTCCCACATGCTCGTCTTATGGTGTGACTGATACATCTTCTACCTAGAACTTAGAATCTAGCCAGGATCTTGTGATTGGTTAAGTAACAGTGTTTGGTGGAAGTGACACCTGTAACTTCTGTGACATCAGGCTAATCATAAATTTAGAGAAGAGCTGGTCTAAGTTGTCTTCAATAGATTTTATCCACAGGATCTATGTGAAGGTGACAGACAAACACTGATTGAGACAGTTGCCCTGTACAGTAAGTCTACTCTAGCCACACTGAAAGAGAAAAAACATAAAAGATGACCACACACATATGAAGTAAGCGTTCTATAAATATTAATGTCATCTATCATTAAACATGGACAAGGGGGTGAACTAGAATTTGAGCAGTACCTATCTTTACTCTCTGCTCTATAGGGATAATAAGGAAGGCTAACAAGCAAGAGATCCCTCTCTGATTTGCACATGATACCAGCAAGAGACAGGAAAGGATGTGTTTATCATTTCTACTTCAGTTTTCCCTCACAGCTTTTCAGAGTGCCTTCTTGGTTGCCAAGTAATAATTTTTAATGATGTTATAAATAGGCTGTTTGTTATAAGGCTAATTTTTTGGGTAGGATTCTGTGATATATAAAATGCTCACCATCAACTGGTAGATTTTGTGTTAGATCTTTAAGTTCCTTTTTAGTGAGGTTTATGCCCATGCTTGCCAAAGCTGTATCCAATTTCCTGGAATCAATCTTCCCTCCTTATTAAAAAGAGAGAAAGAGAGAGAGAGAGAGAAAGAGAGGGAGAGAGAGAGATTAGCAAAAGTTAATATCCCAAAAATGTAGGCAAAACTTTCAATTCCTGGGCCTCCCTGGTGGCACATAGGGGTTAAACACTGCACTATGAAGAATCCGCAGCCTCTGCAGCACGAGTTTGATTCCCGGCTGGCCAGGGAGCAACCCACATAGTGCAGCAGACCTCTCCTGTCTTGTCCACTGCTCCCCTTAGCAGTGTATTTCAGTCAGTCTGCCTGTTCTGTTCCCCACTCTGTCTCTGGTGAATCCTCTCACTCCCCGCATCTCTGGCCTGTACTCCAGCTCTTGTATGTATAAACAAACAAACAAACAAACAAACAAACAAATAAATAAATAAAAACATGCCTTCAATTCCTGAGGATTGTGGTTATCATTTTCACTAAAAAGACCATGGATTTATAAGAATACAATGAATCGGTAAGAGAGTTAGAACTAGAGTTTGTTATTTTAATCTCAATCTTCATTTAAAGGTGATTGTATAACTTCTTAGAGCATTCCAGTAAGGTGACAATAATTCTAATATTTCTAACTAATGTTGTCTTTGTCATTGTGTTTATTTTTACAGTTAATTTTCAGTTATGTTAAAGGATACTGATTTTCCATTACCATTAAATTTTTTTAATGTAAGTTAAAAAGTAAATGAATTTAAATATAATCTTAATAGTATTACAAATGATATATGGATTTGGCAGATATGAAGGTGATATGTAATGATGGAAGGGTGAGAATCTTGCTTAGATGTGACCCCTTCTTGGCCTGCATCCTTGTCTATCTCTCCCTGTCCCCAGGAAGAAACTTTATGGTCCTATTTTTGGTCTGAATGGTAGATTAGTAGTCTCTGCTGTTGAATAAAATATCCAAATTATCCAAATAATAAATTATCCAAAATTTTTTCTTTACTTTTTTTTTTTTTTTTTGTGGGACCCTCGCCAGTGGTTGGCCTGGAAATGAACCGGCGCTGCAGAGGCTGCAGGCAGCCTCACAGCCCAGCGCTCAACCACTGCACCACCAGAGGAGGCCCTTTCTTTACTTTTACTGTGCAACCTGGGCTCTGATAATTTCTCCCTCTTGTAGAAGTTTAGAATATCCCAAGAGAGCAAGAGTGTGGGAATTCTCTCCAAGTTACTCCATAAGAAAATATGTTTTAAATAACAGGTTTTTCTAGATGTGAAATGAACGTAATAGGTGTTATAAGGCAGGGTTTACAATTTAACCATAAGGAAATAGTATAAATACTAGACATGATGATCTCAGATACACCTGCATTTAATTATGCTTTTAATTCACTTTTAAGAAACTTTATATGGTCCAGCAACCTTTTTTGATAGACCTTTCCACCTGTAAGAAAAATCACTATTCAGCTCACAGAAGAGCAATGTGGAGTTTTACAACAGTATGAAATCAGTCATTTCAGTATATGACATATTTTGTGAATTACCTTAGAAATTTTCTGATTTATTGACAAATAACAAAATTACATATAGTCGGAATACTGGCACTGTAGCTTGCTAAAACACATCTTTTCCTTTTCTGCAATTTTCACTTTCTCTTACTGGATTGGTCCTTCTCTTTCTTTTTCTCACTTATTCTGGCTTAAATTTAAGCTCTCTTAGCAGAATTAAAAGTAACACAAGATACAATGGGAGGAGGAAGATACAATTGACTCTAATGATAAGAATTACAGTGGCACAATTGTTGATTCTCAAACTATGATTTCCATGGCAATGACAATATTTTAAGATGTAATAATAGCATTTTAAATTAGGTAATGTGGATCATCAGATTATTTTTGATAAGCAATAAGATAGACATAATTTCAGTTTTTATAATTTAGCAATATACTTTCCTGGATAATTATATTTTTTATTTGAAATACCCACGATTAACTGGCAGATTATTCACCAATGTTGAGAGCTCTTTTTCTGTGAACTCTACCCCTGCATTTTCTAGGACTGTTTTTATGTCATTGATATCAACTTCCTCTCCTTAAAAGGATAGAAATGGTAATCTGTGAGGTTTTAAAAACTAATTTTCTAAATAATGAAATCTTCTATTACTTTCTAATTATGAGGCACAACTACTCAATGCATAATAAAGTCAAATGAGTCCTGTCTGGCTATAGTTATGGCAAAAATTAAAAAGTTTTTTTTTATATAGCAATACAGGCTCACATCAAGAAATAAAGAACTCAAAGAAACAACCTAATCTCACATCTCAAAGAACTAGAAAAATAACAAAAAACCCCAAAAACCAGTAGAAGAAAGGAAATAACAAAAATCAAAGCAGAAATAAATGAAATGGAAACTAAAAAAAAATTCAAAAGATCAATGAAACCAAAAGTTGGTTCTTCAAAAAAATAAATAAAATAGACAAACCCCTAGCTATGCTCACAAAGGAAAAATGGGGAGAAAGCACAAATATATAGGATCACAAATGAAAGAGGAGAAATCACAACAGACACAGCAGAAATCAAAAGAATAATCAGAAGCTACTATGAACAGTTATATGCAAACAAATTCAACAATCTAGAAGAGATGGACAAATTCCTACAACTTTACAATTCCCCAAAACTAGATAAAGAAGAAATAGAGCACTTAAACAGATGAATTACAAGCCGTGACATTGAAATGGTAATCAAAACCCTCCCCAAAAACAAAAGCCTAGGACCAGATGGATTTACAAATGAATTCTACCAAGCATTCAGAAACGAACTAGTACCTATCCTATAAATGCTTTCAAAAAATTGAGAAGGAAGGGATAATACCAAACACATTCTCTGAAGCCAACATTACACTAATACCAAAATCGAACAAGGACAACACAAAAAAAGAAAACTACAGGCCAATCTCTCTAATGAACACTGATGCAAAAATCCTCACTAAAAGTTTAGCTAACAGAATCCAACAATGTATCCATAAGATAATTCACCACGACCAGGTAGGATTTTTCCAGGGACACAGGATGGTTCAACATCTGAAAATCAATCAATGTAATACAACACATCAACAAAAAGAAATATAAAAACCATATGATAATATCAATAGATGCTGAGAAAGCTTTTGACAAAGTACAACACCAATTTATGATAAAGGCTCTTGAAATTCTTGGGATACAAGGAACATACCTCAACATCATGAAGGCTATATATCACAAGCCCATAGCCAATACCATTCTCAATGGTGGAAAGTTAAAAGCTTTTCCATTAAGATCTGGAACAAGAAAAGGATGTCCACCCTCACCACTGCTTTTCAACATAATACTGGAAGTTCTAGCCAGAGCAATAACACAAGAGAAAGACATACAAGGAACCCAAATAGGGAAGGAAGAAGTTATACTATCACTATTTGCAGATGATATGATAATATACATAGAGAACCCCAAAAACTTCACAGAAAAACTAATTCAACTCATCAATCAGTTCAGTAAAGTGGCAGGATACAAAATCAACATGCAAAAGTCAGTAGCCTTCCTATACACAAACAATAAATCTGAAGAAGAAGAAATCAAGAAAACCATCCCTTTTATTATTGAAACAAAAAAAAATCAAATACTTGGGAATGAACCTAACAAAAGAGATAAAGGACGTATACAAAGAAAACTATAAAATACTGTTAAAAGAAATAGAAGACACAAAGACATGGAAAGACATCCCCTGCTCCTGGATTGGAAGAATTAACATTATCAAAATGACCATCCAACCAAAAGCAATTTACAGATTCAATGCTGTTCCAATAAAAATTTCAATGACATTCTTCAAAGAAATAGAACAAATATTGATGAAATTCATATGGAGCCACCAGAAACCCCAAATAGCCAAAGCTCTCCTGAAAAAAAAAAAGAGAAGGGAATGGAGGTATCACAATCCCAGACTTCAAACTATACCACAAAGCCATCATAATCAAAACTGCATGGTATTGGAACAAGAACAGACACACAGACCAATGGAACCGAATAGAAATTCCAGAAACAAACCCACAGATTTATAGTCAACTAATCTTTGACAAAAGAGCAAAGAATATATAATGGAGCAAAGAAAGTTTGTTCAATAAATGGTCCTGGGAAAACTGGGTCACTACATACAAAAGAATGAAGCTTGACTACCTCACATCATGCACAAAAACCAACTCAAAATGGATTAAAGACCTAGACATAATACCTGAAACCATAAAATATACAGAAGGAAATATAGGTGAAACATTACATGACATATACCTCAGTAACATCTTTAAAGACACATCACCCAAAGCAGTGATAGTGCAGGCAAAGATAAACAGCTGGGACCACATCAAATTAAAGAGCTTCTGTACAGCTAAAGAGACAGTAACCAAAACAAAGAGACACCCCATGGACTGGGAGAAAATTTTTGCACACCACACTAATGATAAAGGACTGATTACCAAAATCTACAAAGAGCTGATGAGACTCAACAAAAACAAAGTAAATAATCCAGTCAAAATATGGACAGAAGAGCTAAAAAGGAACTTCTCCAAAGAGGAAATGCAAATGGCCAACAGGCATATGAAAAAATGTTCAACATCACTTGTAATCAGGGAAATGCAAATCAAAACTATAGTGAGATACCATCTTACACCAGTGAGAATGGCACATATTAAAAAAACTAGCAACAACAAATGTTGGCGAGGATGTGGAGAAAAAGGAACTCTCCTGCACTGCTGGTGGGAGTGCAAACTAGTCCAACCACTATGGAAAGCTGTGTGGAGATTCCTCAATCTGCTAAAGATGGAGCTTCCATATGATCCAGCAATTCCACTCCTAGATATTTACCCAAAGGACACAGAAACATTAATTTAAAAGGGCACCTACACCCCTATGTTTATAGCAGCACTATTTACAAGAGCTAAGCTATGGAAACAACCCAAATGCCCAAAAATAGATGACTGGATCAAGAAGATGTGGTCCATATACACAATGGAACATTACTCAGCAATTGAAAAAGATAAACCCATGCAATTTGAAGCAACATGGATGCAGCTGGAAAGGATCATGCTCAGAGAAATAAGTCAGAAAGAAAAAGAAAAATACCAGGGCCTCCCCTGGTGGCACAGCAGTTGAGCGCTGGGTTGCGAGGCTGCCTGCAGCCTCTGCAGCACCAGTTCGATCCCCGGCAACCGGCAAGGGTCCCACAAAAAAAAAAAAAAAAATACCAAATGGTCTCACTCATAGCAGGAATTTAGAAAACCTAAATAAGGGGCCAGGAAAAAATCTAATTATAATAAAGTAAAAATCAAAATCAATAAGCAACTATAAACCAGAGACACACTACAGGGGGCAGAGGAGGAAGTAGTATAAAAACAAGGGGGGGGTGGGAATTGTATGGGGACTATAACCAAGATGAAAATTCATACATTGTGCAAAAATGAAAAATGATGTAAAAAATGTATAAAATAAAAAATAGAGTGTTTATTTTTTTAAACTTTAGTAATAAGAGAAAAAAATAACAGTACATGGTAACGGATTGTCACATTTTCTATAGGGTAAGATTGCCAGCACATAATAAAACTTTAATCTCTTTTTATTGCACTAACATGTATTTTCAGTAAACATCTTTGATTTGGAAAAAGTGAGATAATAGGACCTGTTAACAAATGTGGTCCTAAGTTCTATTAAGACATTTATAAACCAAGGCCAAAGTTTAAGAAATTAAACCACAATCATTTTGTTTGAGGAAAAAAAAAAGCATAATTTAAAAAGGAATAAAAAATAACATGGAAAAATACAAAATATCATATAAAGAATTTGAATCATCTGGATTTGGTAACTTCTTCCTTACCTGTAACAGTTTCTATTTTATTCATCAGGTTTTTCAGATCAACTTTTTCATAGGCTATAAAGACAAAGTTTAATGAGATGAAAATAATGTCATACATTCAGAAAAAGATACATAAAACAGGAGGCCTTTTTAAGCTAACATTTATTGTTACTAGAAGTTGACCAGGAAAATAACTCCACTCAAAAAGAGGTCCAAGATTTAAATTAAATAATGAGTAAAAATGATAGAAATATTTTATTGAAGAATAAAATGCAAATTGTCCTATATTTAAGAAAATTCAGATTACCACTAGTAACTATTCCATAATACTTAGAACAAGCAATGAGCCAATGCCAACTTTTTAAAAGTGTGTTGCAAAATGATTTTCTGAGAAAATTAGAGTGCACTACTACATTTTTTTGAATTTTGAAACGGACATAAAAAAGTAACTTCTGCAAAACATGTCTGATTTTTCTCCGAGGATTCCTTTAAATTCATTGAAATCCAAATCACTCTATTTTGAATACCCTATCAGGTCATTATTCATGCTGAGTTTTTATTCTTCAGTTCTAAATAGTGGGACTCTGCTTAGTGCACATTTGTTAGAAGTTTTGTGTGTGACCTGAGCAGTCTTCCCCCTTTCTTAATATTTGCAAGGATTATCATCTTGTGCTCCTATATGTTGATGCAGGGGACAGCTAGAGACTAGAGTTAAGCAGTGAGAAATGTTTGATAGGGAATTTACACAATTACATAAGTGTTCAGGTTAGTGATCCCTTGAACTTAAATGGTGGATAAAAACTCAGGCAAAGTCCTATCATTTTACTACTTTATTTGTATCCTAGAATTTAAAATATGCCAAATTTAAACTACAGTCTACATTCATATAAAGTTACATGATCCCTCCTTTTACCTCTCCTTTCTGTCATTCCCACACCCACATCATTACAAGATGTTTTGTGTATATCCTTCTAGGATTATATATTACTTACCTTTCTAAAAATCATCAATACTATACGTGTTATTCTGTAACTTGTTACAGCGACCAAAGAAAGGCAAGCATATCAGCATAGATAAATAGGAAAGATTGAGGAAAGATTGAACAAATTGGGCTCTACCCTGGGCTGATGTCAGTGACATATGGGTCAGTGAAAAAATGTGAAGAAAACACATTGTAGATTCGATTTTTGTGAAGTAAGACCACAACAATCTCTCTCCTTCTCAGTAGCACCCATCCCCACCCCAAGATGTATAAAGAAATCGAATATAGGTTTTAAAGGAACAAAAATGAAGAGCCTATTTGTTTTTGTTTTCTGAGTTCTTCTGGAAGCTATTAAAATGTTCTTTGGACAACAAATGATTAAACCTTTGAAACTGTCGTAATTAACTCTGAAAATTCAATCTCTGTCAAAAATGGGGAGGAGGGTGGAGAGCAAAATGTGGCAGGGACCCCATGGACTACGGTGGAGGACCATGGGAACTTTGGTGGTGGGTGTGACAGGTACCTCTGAAAAGGTGTGATCCCATACCTCTGAATCAAATATAGTGTTGTAAACACTATAAAATTAAATAAAATGAAATTAAACTAAAATCAGGGTGTTTTCCACAATGCTCACCACTCAAATGGTCCTTTAGCAGATCAAGTTCCTGTTCTGTAAGCTTGATCTCCATGCCTTCTAAAACAGGGCCCAGGTCCTTTACGTTAACCTTCCCTCCTTATAAACATGAAAGGAAGGGGAAAAAATATGACTCTAAAAATATTTAAATAACACATAAACATTTGTTATCTTCAACTCATATGTATTATTCTCTCCCTGCCCTCTTTTATTGAGCTATAACTGACATCTAACAACTATATTTGTTTAAGGCATACAAGCAATGATTTGATGGATGTATATTCTGTGCAATGATTACCACAAGACTAGTTAATACATCCATACTCTCAGAGTTATAATTTTTTTGGTGGTGAGAACTTTCAAGATTTTCTCTTTTAGCAACTTTTGATTATTCAATACAGTATTGCTAACTATAGTCACCATGACATATATGACCAGAACTTATTCATCTTACAGCTGAAAGTTTGTATTCTTTGATCATCTTCATTCATTCCCTAGATAAAAATATTAAGGGGCAGTCTAATATTGGTGGTTGCCCCTAGCAACCACCAATCAGATGTTTCTGAGTTCAGTTTTTCACAATTCCACATGTAAGTGAGATCACACATATTTATCTTTTTCTGTCTAGCTTATTCCACTTAGCATAATGCCCTCCAGTTTTATACATATTGTTGCAAGAATTTCCTTCTTATGACCAACTCAGGTTCCATTGCTTATATGTACAGCACAATTTCTATCTCCATTGATATATTGATAGGCAGGTTATTTCCCTATCTTGGCGATTGTAAGTAATGCTCAGTGAACATGGAGAGGGGCAGATATTGCCTCAAGGTAGTAGCAGGTGTTAGTATTTTAAGAATATACATGGAGAAAAGAGATTGACTTCATAATCTATTATTACTGCTAATACTTCCAAGCTAAGAATAAAAATGCATAATTTGTCCAACTCTGTATAAGCAGTTAGAGTTTAGTTTAAACCTGAGTTAGAATTAGGACTGGACTTGTTTCTTCAAACCTTAAACATACTTGCCCAGGAAAAATTCAGTTGGGACAGGGTCTAAGCAACTGTCACTGGAGGGCCTTAATCAGTAATCTCCACGAACAAGTAGAGATTGTATTTGTCTCCTAAACTCAAATTTCAGATTGTTTTCTCTGCCCCTCTTCACATTTTGGAATAAAAGCCAAACTCTTTCTCTCCTGTCCTCCTCCCATACTTCTTTTACTCCCTGCCTGTCTTCTTGCCTTTTGTCTTTCTTTTGTTTCTACTTACATAATCTTTTTCCAGAGAAAGTTTTAGAAACACAATCCAGTAGAGAGTTTCTCTCTAAGAAAATGTAAAGTTTATCAGGAAAAACACAAATTTGATATAAGAAGTAAAAAAAAGCATTATATTCTATTGGTATAAAGTCAATGCTTGAAGAGATTTCACATGCCTTCTCATTGTGCTTCTTACTCACTTTTTTTAGCCTTCACTTCCTTCAGCAACTGTTTTAGAGACACCTTCCCATCACCTATAATAAAGGGTACAATTCAGAAAACTAATATGAAAATTCACCAAAATCACATATTATGTAATTGCAGAGATACATTTTAATGATTTGCTTTAAGTATCCATCTATTTTATTGTGCACAATATTAAAATTTAAGAATATAAATATTTTCCACAATGATAAACATATCCATTCTTTGATATTAGAGATATTTAACTCTCCCATGACACAATTCTAAAAAAATACATAAAAATATCTTTCTTTTTAATCTATGAGTGTCCTATTTCTTTCTTTTTCACTGTTTCTGTTGTAAACCTGGTGAGAATCTGCAAAGGTGCTATTAGTCACTTAGACAAGTAGATGGTCATGCAGTGTTGACTTCTAAGTTGTGGGATAATTACAAAATTTCTTTTCAAGATAAACATGCCATTCTATAATATTAACTGACAGCATTTTTTTCAAACAAAACTGTACTACTACAACACTGAGAACTGCTCACATTAACCTACAATATCAAATTCCCTGGAAGGCATGGTGGTATTTATGTGGCTTACCATCAATGGGCAATGACTTCCAAAGTTGCTTGTGCTCCTTATCTGTAAGCTCAATGCCCATATTTTTGAGAATATTTTGCAGGTTACTGGAATCAATCTTTTCACCTTTGAAAAGAGAGAATATTCATAGATAAAAATATTAAGGGGCAGTCTAATTATTTCAAATTATCTAAAAGTATTCTCAACACTCAAGTCTTTCTTTGCTACCAGGATGAAAAAGTAAGACAATGATTTCCGAATAAAAAAAGTAAAATAATAAATAAAAAATGTAATTTGTTTCTTAATATTAATAAATGGACCGTATTCCTAATATTGGGAATAACACCACACATACAGAATTAAATTTTTTCATATTATTATCCAGAAATTAGGATAAGAGATGATTAGTATAATAAAACATGTAATTAACAAAATATGACATACTTTATTTTGTTAAACTGTTATTAGCTGTTTGCAATGGGCTTATTATTTTTAATATTTCACCCTGCTTTTACTGTGTCCATCTAGTTTTGACATCTATAAATACTAGTGAAATACTTACATTGAAAAAAATCAGAGAATATGAATTATGAAGAAATATAAAATTAGTTCAAGTTAATCTATTGAGTAGGTGCAAATTATTTTGTCAACATGAATATTGGAGATATGGAAGTTTGTTAAGCCCCTGAAAGAATATTGAGAACACAGTACTAAAATTTTTAGTGTAAATCATGATTTATTACAAGCTATAACAAATTCTTACCTATAAGAGCTCTCACTTCATCCTTCAAAGTTTTCAGAGTCACTTTATCATCCACTGCAATTCAAAAACAGAACTTGAAGCTCACAAATGATGTGAAATAGCAGAACACTCTCTCCCTTTCTGACTATAGTATCTAGCAACATACTAAAATTTTTAAATACAGGGGGCACTTTGTTAAACACTTTAAGTAGTCATTCAAAAATTTTACTTAGACTATGTTAAGAGCATGGAGTAGAAGAAAAATTATAAATATTAAAATATACTAATTCAACTGAACAGACACATACAAAAGAATAAAAACGGAACCACCATCTAACACCACATATAAAAATTAATTTAAAGTGGATTAAAAACTTGGACATAAGACCTGAAACTATAAAATATACAGAAGAAAATAGAAGCAACACATTCCTTGACACTGGCCCTAAGTATGTTTGTGGATTCAACTTAAAGATAAGGGGAAGAAAAGCAAAATAAATAAATACAACCAAATGGGACTATATTAAACTAAAAGGCTTTTCTGCACAGTAAAAGACACTATCATCAGAACCAAAAGATTTTCCACTGAATGGGAGAAGATATTTTCACATCATATATCCCACAAGGGGTTAATATCCAAGTTATATGAAGAATGCATAAAATTTAATAATAAAAAATATCAAATAACCCTATTAAAAAATGGGCAAAGCTCTGAATAGATACATCTCCAAAGACATGTGTGGTCAGTAGGCACATGAAAAGATGTTCATCATCTTATTATCAGAGAAATGCAAGTCAAAACAACATCGCAACAGCACTTCACACCTTTGAGAATGGCTATTACCTAAAAGACAAGAAACAGCAAGTATTGGAGAGGGTGTGGAGAGAAGAGAACACTTGTACATTGTTGTTGGGAAGATAAATTGGCACAGGCATTATGGAAAGCAGTGTGGAGAGTTATCAAAAAATGAAAAATAGAAATTCCATACAACTGAATTACCCCATTCTAGGTACTTACTCAACAAATAAAAAGCCCTCACAAATTTAAAGATACATATATATATATATATTTACTGCATAAACATAAGTGCATGTTTACTGCAGCACTTTTCACCATAGCCAAGAACTAGAAACAACATAAGTGCCCATGGATTAATGAATGGATAAAGACATGGTAAAAATATACAATGGAATATTATTCAGCTATAAAAATCAGATGAAATCCTGCCATTTGCAGCAACATAGATGGATGTAGAAGGAATTAGTCTTAGTAGAATAAACCAGACAGAGAAAAACAAACACAATTTGATTTCACTCATACGTGGTATATAGAGAAAACCAACAAACAGGTAAACTAATTACAACAAAAATAAACATTTGGACTAAAAGAACATTTAGAGGTTACAAGAAGGAAAGGGTGAGGTGATAAGTTGGAGAGAAGGGGACAATGGTACGATGAAAGACAGAATGGATTTTTAATGGTAAAATTAATGTTGTACATATACATGTTGATTCTCAATAATACACACCTGAAATTTGTAGGTACTTCAACTAAAAGCTTAAATTATAATTAAAAACAAATATTGTAATTCCTACCAAAAGGTAAATACTAAAAAAAAGGTAAATACTAAATAAAAAGTATCAACTTATTTCAAAAATATGAATCTAATTTCTACTCCATGCAGTATCAGATCTTGTAATTGGTAAATGAAAAGATGGGAGTCAACAGTGGTTATTTGGTAGAGAACAGCTTTCCTTTCTCAGACTCTTCTACTGACCCTGCTATCAGAGCCCAGAATCCCACATTCCCAGTGGCTTTGTCACTGTTACTGCCTCATCTCCCTCAGAAGTTCCCTTATTCCTTCCCTTCTACTGCTGAAGGCACATGAAACCCAAAGCTCGGAAGTAAGTGGGACTTAAAATGCTCACCACTGACGGGCAGGTTTTGTTTCAGGTCTTCGAGTTCCTCATCAGTGAGCTTGATGCCCATGTTGCTTAGAACAGCTGCCAGGTCTTTGATGTCAACTTTTCCTTAATTAGAAAGAGACAGGCCTGTGAGGAAAATGTTATGACTCTGAAAAGTTATTTTTGATTTTTTTGAGACATATACCCTTTGAGAATCTGCAAAAAGCGACAAATCTAACACTCCCACAAAGTGTACATATACATATTTATAAACTCTACATTTAGATTTAGAGGATGCGCCAAAGTCCACACAAGAAACTTAAAGGGGTATGTAAAACCTAGCCTTAAAATAATTGCTCCACACTAAAAAAAATTAAGTTCTATGAATCATGATTCTACTTTTTTAACATAAAGGATAAAGATTCACTGAATTGAACAGAGAAAGAAAATTTACAAAGGAATTAAAATTAGAAACCCTTTCTTTGGGGAGACCAACTTGAGGGAGAAGATCAAAGTAATCAGTGAATGCAAGATTGGAAATAATAAAATATTTGAATAGTATTCAGGATAAAAAAATATATCTTACTGCTATTGCTGCTGTTACTGATAATGATTGCTAATATTTATTCAGATTTTTTTATACCAGGCACAATGCAAGGCATTTCATTTATTAATTTAATTAATTAATTAATTTTAATTTCAGAGTTCTTATAAACAGTGTGAACATAGTGTAAGATGTTCCTGTTCACGCAGACAGGAGAGCAAGGTTGTCTGCAGAAACTTGAAGTCTGGAACCATTGTACAAAATCTAATGCCTATAGGTAAAGCCCCACTGATGACCAAGGTGCTGGATAAAGATTTTAACATTGGGCACCCAGGCTCTGCATCTCTACAGTTCATTTTCTATAAAGGAAGAGAGTAAATCCTACATTGCCTCCCTCTGTGTGTGTGTGTGTGTGTGTGTGTGTGTGTATGATTAGGAGTGATTCAGGGTACTTAGTATGTGGGAGGAAAAACTTGAACTATGAGTTCATTCATCAAAAGTCAACCAACATGTCAATGGAAAGAATGTTTGCCTCCAGAACCAAAATTCCCTGGGCATTTGTTGAACAGCAATTTAAACTTCATGGGCTTAAAATATTTGCTCTCTGTGTTAAAATTATTGAACTTAATTAATTGTGGGTTTTTTGTTAGTTTGTTATTTGTTTTTTATTTTAGAGTAAACACTTTCAACCTTAGGTTAGTAGACTTTGAAGGACTTCTTAAATAGGCATTGGTGAATACCTAACCTGCCTAAGTCAGTGTGCAAACTTTGTGAGTAATGATCTGTACGTTTAAGAATTTCTCAGTGGGGGTATGCATATCCAGAAACTTTAAGTCCTTCTCCTTTAGAAGGGTTTAATATTTTTTTTTAAGTGCTGTTATTTTCCTTATGTGGCAAGGTCAATATCAATAAGTTGGTCACTATTCTGAACAACCTAGGAATCAAACTTTCAGATAGAGAACTTAAAGATGTGACTCAGAGAATACATGTTGGTTGTAAGCATGTCATCAGATACCATAGTTACCTTGGAGAGAGTTTAGTTAAAGGAACCTTTAAATATATAAGGGCTAGTAGATGCTCTTTTTTCATAGGGAGAGGGAAGGTGGAAGAAGGGCAATATGGTGATACACACCACGCCAATGACCACAACATAAAGAATGGCATTGAGTTTATGAGCCTCTAGTTTACAAAGTTGAAATTAAAACATTGTTCTTTGATATTTATGATATGTGTGAATTTTATGCCCTCTACAAGTGTCATGTGTGTGTGTGTTTGTGTGTATATATATATATATATAGATATATAGATATATATTCCTAGGCAAATTTGAAACTTGATAATTGTTTTCCTGAAAAGTTTGGAAAATTATAAGAGAGTAACAGACTTCATTTCCAAGATAGAACATGGGATTCATCCGTTAAAGATTGTGCTCAAGAAAAGTATAAATTTGCTGTCGTATATATGACAGATGGCAGCATTCACAAACTCAGTATCTTAATATGGGGATCTCACATACATTTACATTCTTATGATTCTTACTCACCTTTAAGAAACTTCACACCTTCTAATAACCTGTTCTTAAAGACTTTGTCATATCTATTTAAAAAAGGTCACAATTTAGGCCATAGAGAATTATGTGGCTATTCACTAAATCATTTCAGTAAAACTGAGATTTTAATGATTTGCCCTAGAAATTCCCCCATTGTGAAACAATTAGGGAAAATAGAATAAATCTATTCAATACACACCAGGCACCCTATAATATGCATAATTCTCTTTTGTGTGTGGTTCTACTTCACCTTCCAATTTAAAATCATGCCTTTGTTTTTTTTACTATCATAATTACCTATAGGTATTGGAAAGGAAAGAGTAATCTCAGAAAAATTTCCTCCTCTCATGGCAATATTCTACATGAGGGTGATGCTTACTTTTTAACTGAAAGTTAAAAAGCACAGATGGGATTTCCTCAGAAATAAATAAAGATTTAAGTTAATTTTGAGATGGGTTTTAATTTTTTTTATATCTTAGCAAATGGGGTAGTTTAAGTCTTCAAAAAGAGCTTAAAATGACCCTGTAAGGTTACAACAGTATTTGAAATGCTTACCATTGAAAGGAAGACTTTTCATCAGTTGCGAGAGTTCCTTATCTGTGAGTTCAATTCCCATGTTGTTTAAAATAGTTTTCACATCTCTGACATCAATCTCTCCTTCTTAAAAAAAAGATAAATTGAAGGTTTATCATTTATCACTAAATTTAAAGGTTTATCTAGTGATTCCAAATAGGTAAAATTAATCTATGGTTATGTAGCATGAGTAGGTACAGGATGAAGAGCAAAGGCCAATGAGACCTCTCCAAGTACACTATGACATTCAGAGAATATCAATTTGACCCCTAAATAAAAGAAGGTACAGTAAATGTGAAAACACCAAGACAACTGTAAACCCAGTAAAATCTACATTGTGTATTTCATATTCAATTAGAATACTGTAAATGACTTAAATAATTGCATAATTAAGATAAGGTCTGTTAGTTTCATCTTTATAAGTTATTTGGAGTCTTTACCAAAGGTTACTTCACCTATTATTTTACTAATATAGAGTTTGGATGTTCTAAAAAAAAAAAGAAAAGAGCAAAACATATGAATGAAAAATATACCAGAAAGTAAGTAAATTGCCAGTAATTGGCTTAAACATTTAAATAAATGAGTTAAAGACCTTACTGGCACTTAAGTGTTAATGGTGAGATATAATTACTGTAAATATTAAACATCTTAGATATAGAATTTCTTACCTGTAGTAGCTTTTACTCCATCCATTAGCTCTTTCAGATCAACCTTCCCATTAGCTACAAGAAAAGACTCAATGTTACAAACTCAGAAAACAAACTTAAGACATATTTTGTGGAAACAATTCCATTACAAATTCCCTCCATCTCAATTTTCCTGAGACCACTTATTAAATGCCTGGATCTCAGAGAATTAAGATGATATCCAGGGCCTCCCCTGGTGGTGCAGGCGGTTGAACGCAGCACTGTGAAGCTATTCGCAGCTTCTGCCAGTGCCAGTTCAATCTTGGCCGGCCGGCAAGGGTCCCACATGGTGTGGCAGACCTCTCCTGTCTCGCCTGCTGCTCCCCTCAGCAGTGTATTTTGTCAGTCTGCCTGTTCTGTTCCCCACTCTGGCTCTGGTGAGTCCTCTCACCCTCCCGTGCATCTGGCCTGTACCAGGGTTCTTGTGTAAATGAATAAATAAATCTTAAAAAAAAAAAAAGATGATATCCATTACTACAAAGGTCTCACATGTTACAATCTGAGTCAGGAAAAGTGTACTCTTCCTAGTGTTTTAAAAGCCATTATAAATTATAGTGGAAAATACTGATATTATTTAACTAATGTAGAGCTCAGATGTTCTAAAAAAAGAAAAGCAAAACATATCAATGAAAAACATACCAGAAAATAGGTAAATTGCCAATTGGCTTGAACATTTAATTTGGAGTTGGTCTGGTATTTTGGTAACTTTATGCATTTACACATTGCTTAGGAAGGGACCATTAACATAGCCTGGTATGTTCAAAGATCCCTTCCTACCGGAGGTAAAGCATGAACTGTATTTATATATTAGCAGGAGGTAGTAAAAAATGCAGAGGAATGGAAGAGCATTCACATGGAGAGGTAGAAAAAACAGAAAAATCTAGGGGCATCTCATTACATATGTAGAAATACAATTGGTTTAACATGGCTTAAAGAGGAAAAGATGAGAGAAGATATTACCGAGAAACAGATGGAGCCTCAAGGTCTTGTGCACTATAAGAATCTTTGAAATCTGAGTGAAGATTTCAGTGGGTAGAAGGATAGGACAAAGAATTGGCTTGGTGTCTTCTCTATGTGTTTTTGTGTATCCTTATTTTTCTGCCTTATTAATAAGATGCATTAGAGTCTTAACAACACCGCCTGCCATTCTTTCAGACTAAGAGTAATGAAGATCAAAGACTTATTTTAACTTTACACTGAGTTTGTGTCCAACCTTTCTCACTTGTAGCACTCAGTAAAATGTTTGCTTAATATATCAGTTATAAGGCAAAAATAAAAAGAATGCCTGTGTATAGGTGCTCACCATCAACTTGAAGGTTTTCTGTCAGCTTTGCAAGTTCCTCTTCTCTGAGCTTAGTTCCCAATTCTTCTAGAGTATTTTTCAGTTCATTAACATGATCCTTCCCCTCTTAGGAAAGAAACAACACAGGAATATGAAAAAAACTGTATTAAACCAAAATTTTGCATGTCATATTATCAGTGGTACTTTGAACACTGGTGATTTTATACTTCATCAACTTAGCAAAGAGAATTCCAAGCATTCCCTTTCTTAAAAGGATTTTTTTGTTGTTGCTTATTTTTATTTACATATATTTTTTTATGGATATAGTGGGAAAATCTGTGGAACTTCCAAAATGACCATGGGCACTTCCACTGCTCTTTGAACCTTACCCTCACTGCCACCATCCAGACGCTGGCCCCCAACAGCAACAACAAAAGCAAGTTGGCAGGTGGCTAGTGATCACACTCAAAAAGATAGCCTGACTCTGCATGATTGGAACAAGACACAAAATAAGCTTTGGCACATGCGTATCTCCATGCCAGGTTCTTTTCCTGCTGACCTGCATTCTTAAAGTGAGGGATAGGGAAGTAAGCTAGATAATCTGACATAGGTCCAGTTGGTGGTTCTCATGGGTTTTAATTTGTTCTTATTCTCCCAATTCTTTCATGTCTGCTATTTCTTTCTGAGTGCTGGCCTTGCTGACTATAGTGATTTCCAGACTTCAGGCTCATCACCGGAAGCAAAGAACAGCTTTCACTGACTTTTCCAATAGCTCTCACAAGTTAATATGTCAAATCCTTGTAACATCCCTATTAAATGTCACTTAAGGTGATTTTACATCCCGAATTAACTCATAACTGAAATAATGTCCATAAATTCTGTTAAAATAAAACCAGTGGAATGAAATGTATTTTTGCCTCTGTATAATTACCATTTCAATAAAGCAAAGCCTGAAATAGGTTTGGTCAGGTATACAAAGAAAGTCAATAAAATAAATAAAATCAAATGTGTTTAAGTAACAAGTGTACATAGCAAAAGAATTTTCAGGGGCTTAACCACATAGAACTATAGACAGCCAAGCTATTACTTGCACAGAAAAAAAAGGGAGGGGGATATACATGTTTGCTTTTGCTGAGTTTATGTATTAACTCCCCACACAATAGACCAATTCCCATGAATGAAACTAATTGTTCACTTTACTTAAGCTGTGACTACTTCGATTTGTTTTTCTTTTGAGGGAGGAATTATAGTATTGGCAAACATACCAACTTATGTAAAACTTGCTGCAAGATAAAATACATGCTATTGGCAATGAAAAAGTAGATAGACTGCAAGAGTTATAAATACGAAAATACATGAGAGTGAAGGCCCAGGATTTATAATTGAATGGCATAAAGTTGGGCATGTCAGTCAATATGACTTTCCAGTGGATTTCATACTCACTGTTGAGTGACTTCAAACCCTCCAGCAACCTACTGAGATACACCTTTCCAGCAGCTGTAAGAAAAATCATAATCCAAGTGATGGTAAAACTAACATAAAAATCACAAAAGAGGCATGAGTGTCACATAGCTTCAGAAAAGCACATTATGAAGAGTTGTCTCTAATTTTTATTCTATCTAACACACTGAAGGCAGGAAAGAGAAGCTTCTCCTGCAGTGACCACCTCTCTGCAGGAGTCTATGTGTGCGAGCACAAGCACAGCTGCTCTTCCTTTCTGTTTCTGTTGTGCATCTTTTTTGTTTACCAGCATCTCCTATCTTTCTCTTTGTTCCCCTCAAAGCATTTAGTAGTTTGAGGGTTGACAACAGGTTTAGTGGTTAGGGCCTCTTCTTTTTAAATGATCCCTTAACTTCCAACATCAATCAAATGAGAGCGATAGTTTGCTACATGATTTAGAACTCGACTTCTTCAATTTTTTTCTTTTGCACTTTTAGAAGGAAATAAACAGACATACAGAATATAATTTTAGAAGCCCTCTCCTATGGCTCACCATCAACGGGGAGTGTTCTCAGCAGCTTGTCCTTGTCTTTATTTGTGAGCTCAATCCCCAGGTTTTCCAGCACTTTTTTCACGTCACTAAAATCCACCTTGTCTCCTTTAGAAACATAAGGTTTAGTTATTTCAACTTAAATATGTTATATTGAGATTAATGATATCCCACATCCAAAGTGAAGAGTTAATTATTAAGAAGATATTCTCAGCTGTAGAATCGCTTGAGCATGTTTTGTGGTATTATAAGAAACAGCATATTTGATACAAACAAGGATTTCTACTCTAAAGTTAGAAAAAGCAACTCAAGAATAAAATTTGTACTGAATAAAATAGCAAAGATTCTTATACAAATTTTTTCAAGAAATTGATTTTTTCATGAAAATTATTTGAAGATTTCAATGACTACATCATCTTGATCATATGTAGCTATCACAATGCCATTTTCTATGTTTACAGATAGGTATAATTAATTCTCGTACAGCATAGCATATGATTGGCATAAATAACGGAGGACTTATTTCTAATTGACTTACAGTTCTGTATCCTACTGCAAAAGTTTTCATAATGTCAGTATGAAGATCTTAGATGCATGTATTTCTTTTAAAAAATTTGTAAACCAGACACTAGGAAAACCCACTGAAAACTTTAAAGTATAAAGAAAGTACAAAACCACCTGTAAAAGTTTTTGCTTTATTCATCAATGTTTATAGAGAAATCTTCCCATCAACTGCAGGAGAAAATCAAAGTGACAGTAAGATTAAAAAATTTAAAAATTACTCAAAATATTGGGAATAGGGCCTCCCCGCTGGTCTAATGTTTGAGTCTCAGCGTTGCCACCTCTATGGCCCGAGTTTGATCCCAGCCAGGGCACTAACCCACATATGGTGCAGCAGACCTCTCCTGTCTCGCCCGCTGTTTCCCCTCAGCAGTGTATTTCAGTCAGTCCACCTATTCTACTCCTCACTCTGTCTCTGGGGAATCCTCTCACTCCCTGCACTTCTGACCTATACCCCAGTTCTTCTACACAAAAATAATTAAAAAATAAAAAAATATTGGAAAGACAGCACAGTAGCAAAGATAATAAACCCTCATTTAGTATGTGCCAACACTACCTTAAGTGTATTTTTTTTAAAAGGTTTATTTTTTATTTATACAATAGTTGGGGTACAGGCAGAGGTGTGGGAGGGTGAGAGGATTCACCAGCAACAGAGTGGGGAGCAGAACAGGCAGATGGACTGAAAGCACTGCTGAAGGGAGCAGTGGGCAGGACAGGAGAGGTCTGCCGCACCATGTGGGTTTCTCCCTGGCCGGCCAGGAATCGAACCTGTGATGCAGAGGCTGTGGACAGCTTCACAGCACTGCGCTCAATCTGCTGCACTACCATGGAGGCCCTGCTATATAATTTAAAACTCAATTTCTTTGATTTTTTTTCTTTCACACTTTTAGAGGGAAATAAAGAGAGACAAACAGAATGTGATTTTAGAAGCCCTCTCCTACGGCTCACCATCAACGGAGAGTGTTTTCAGCAACTTTTCATCTTTATCTGTGAGCTCAATTCCCAGGCTTCCCAGCACTTTTTTCGGGTCACTTGAATCTACCTTCTCTTCTTTCAAAAAAGAGGTGTTAGAAACATGAGCTTGGTTAGTATGTTGTTATTTCAACTTAAAATGTTATTTAAGATTAATGATATCCCACTTTCAAGATGAAGAATTAAGCAGAAAGAACATTCTCAACAGTAGAATTGCTTGGGCATATCTTGTGGTATTAAAAGAAATATCAAATTTGGTATTAATTAATGTTTACCTAAAGTTAGAAAGGACAACTACAGAATAAAACCTGATTAGTTCATTAAAATAGCACAGATACTCATACAAATTTTTCTTTTGGGGGTGAAAATTAAATGATGATTTTAATGAATATATCACTTAACCATTCCTAAATATCACCATGCCAATTTCTATGTTTCCAAATAATGCTTAATAAACTCTTGTGAAATGACATAGGATGGCATAAATAACAGAGAACCTGGGTTTTCTAACTGACCTGTATCCTACTACAAAAGTTTTCCTAACGTCAATCATAAGAGCCTTTGGTGCATGCATTTCATAATAAAAATCCAGAAATAATAATATAGTACAAATAACCCTGATAACTTTAAAATAAAATGGAAAGTACAAAACCACCTATAAAAATTTTTGCTTCATTTGTCAATGTTTGTAGAGAAATCTTCCCATCAACTGCAGGAGAAAATGAAAGTGACAGCAAGATATTAAAAAAAAGTCCTGTCGTGCCCACTGCTCCCCTCAGCATAAAATATGGAAAAGACATTATAGTAATAAAGATAAAAAATCCTCATTTAATATATGCCAACACTTTCCTAAGTGCTTTGTATATACTTATATAATTGCTGGATAATATTTTTCTGTGCTATTATTTTACCCAAATTTTATTGCTACTTATGCATTAGAAACAAAACCTCATAAATACAAAAGTACCAGTTCAATAATATAAATTTACTGATAGTTCTCAAAACTATGTGTATTAGTACTAGTATGATTCAAAAGTACCATCATAAACAACTTAGTTATTTTAAACAAAGGAGATTGCATAATATTGACAAAAAGATGGTAGAAAAAAACAAAAGACACACCCTACAAAGCACAATGTTTTACTTTGGTTTAATATTTTGCAGCTTAATTGCTGCATACATGTTTTGCCTCCATGTACAGCTCCTGATAGCTGTCAGGATAGATGACCACTCCTGAGGGCGCTTTCCCTCGTATGGCCTGTTGTTTTTACACCTAAACGCTGCCAGAATCTAACCACAGTATCTGAGGACTTGCTTACCATCCACAGGGAGATTTTCAGCCAGGTCCCTAAGTTTCTCATCTGAGACCTTGATTCCCATGGTATCCAGCGTAGTCTTCAAGTTGTTGACATTGACTTTCCCACCTGAGAAAAGAGACAGACCACGAGCAAACTTACAAAGCCCTAACAGATATATTCCTGAGAATCTGGTGACTCATACTTATTCTTATATAAGTTATTGTGAATTTCAACAGCGTAAGTCCATGCTCACAAGGATGGTATATAATTTCAAGGAGGTCAGGGATTCTCCTAATCATGGACACCCTGTCTCCTCTGTATCCATGAGGGTTGAGAATGCTTGTTCTAAAAATGAAAAGAAACTAATCAGGTTTAGTAAAGAGAATGACCTCATGCCTTTAGAGAAAGCTAAAGAAGTTAACGGTAAGGAAATTTCCAACAAAGTTGGAGTTAGGTATATGTTTTATGACTGATTAGTTACCCTTTCAACTCTAAATAGGACTTTTCAAGTATACAAAAATATTAATAAAGCCGTTAAATTCAAATCATGTTTAAGTGACAAGTCTGTATAGCAAACCAATTTTCAAGGGCATAAGGAAGTGGAACTACAGACACCCAACCGATACTTATACAGAGTAAGAGTGGATATAGATGTCTGGTGTTTTTGCCTGAGGTTTTATATTGGCTACTTATACCAAATTCCTGGAATAAAGCTAATTGTTCACTTACACCGTGACTACCTTGGTTTGTTTTCACTTCGGTTTGGTGACTGGCCATATTTACAGCTCTTGATCACTGTCAGGATAGATTATAATTCCTAAGGGCCCTTTCCCTAGGACCTTGTTTCACCCATTGTTTTTGCACCTAAACATTCCAAGATCTAATGATGGTATCTCAGAACTTGCTTACCATCCACAGGGAGATTTTCAGTCAGATCCTTAAGCTCCTCATCAGTGAGCTTGATTCCCATTTTATCAAGTATAGTCTTCAAGTTGTTGGCATTGACCTTCCAACCTGAGGAAAGAGACTGACCGTGAGAAAACTTACATAACTCCACAAAAGAGGTTTTTGATCCTTTTGGGGACCCATACAGAGTCTTATATAAATTATCGTTGTGAATTTTAAGAACTGTAGGTCCTTGTTCAGGACTGCATATAACCTTGGGGGAATGAGAAATTCTCTAAATCTTGTTCACAGACACCCTTTCCCCTCTACTAGGAACTGGAATGCTTGTTCTAAAATGTGAAAAGAAACTCATCAGTTAAGAGGATGAATTTATGTCTATTTTATTTTATTTTATTTTAGATTTATTTATTTATTTATACAAGCACTGGATACAGTCAGAAGCGCGGGAGGGTGAGAGAATTCACCAGAGCCAGAGCGGAGAGCAGAGCAGGCAGAAGGACAGAAGTACACTGCTGAGGGGAGCAGCGGGCAGCAGGAGAGGTCTGCGCGCCATGCGGGATCCTCCTCCCGTGGCCGGGGAGCAGCCGGGGATCGGACCAGCGCTGCAGAGGCTGCGGGCAGATTCGCAACCCAGCGCTCAACCGCTGCGCCACCAGGGAGGCCCTGAATTTATGTCTTTAAATGAGTTAACTGTGAAGTTGGACTGAAGGTCATTTCTCCTAAACCTTGTTTTGGGGATAACTTCTACAGCACAGAGTCTTCAGTATCCTTAAAATAATGCTAAGAGCATTCTAGTTTTGCAGGCATACATTTCATTCTTCTTGTTGTCCATGTTGTCCACACTACAATACTTTTTCACAAGCCCCTGTTTTTTTTTTAAACAGTGTTTATTTAGCATTTGCTTCGTAGTAGCTGTTCTTTTTTTTTTTTTTTTTAAGATTTATTTATTTATTTATACAAGAACCGGGGTGCAGACCAGATGCGTGGGAGGGTGAGAGGATCCATCAGAGACAGAGCAGGGAACAGAACAGGCAGACTGATGAAATACACTGCTGAGGGGAGCAGTGGGTGCGACAGGAGATCTGCTGCACCATGTGGGACCCTCGCCAGCCAGCTAGCCGGGATAGAAGTGATGCTGCAGAGGCTGCTGACGACGACGCTGTGGACAGCCTCACAGTGCTGCGCTCACCTGCCTGTGCCACCAGGGGAGGCCCCACAAGCCCCTGTTTTGAAAGGGCGTGCCATCCTTGGCTTCCACTGGTATGTTTTCCTTTACCACTTTCCCTTTAGCCCTTTTACCCTTCTCTGTCCGTCTTCTTAGCCTCAGAAATCTCACTTCATTTATTAGTGTCTACTATGTTTTGTAAGCATTTTGCTTTGTCATATTGTCTATTATGCAAACATCCAATATCTGTCTTTGCCATTTAGATTGGGGGCATGAATGCCCTCCTTCTAAATAAATGCTTTGATGATTAAACTCCCAGTTTAGTTTTATCTGTGTTTGACTAAATTCCCTGAATCACTGCAGTGTTTTCTGTTCCTTTTTGCTATGCAAATTTGAAAATTGATGTTTCTTTACTTGTAATATTTGGAAAAATCTTGAGAAAGTGGACTATTTTCTTCCTACATATAAGGTAGATCAACTGCAGGAGTGAAATTTGATCTTCAAATGGGAGTGTAAATTCTCAATCTGAACATGTGAAATGACAACATTCATTTTTTAATGATTTAGAAACAGTATGAATATGAGAATTCTATATTAATTTACATTCTCATTATTCTTCTCTTAACTTTAAGATTACCTTACCACTTCTAACAACTTGTTTTGCAAGATCTCATCATCTGTTAGAAAAGGCAGAACTTATGTTACAATGAATGTGGATGATCTCTTAGAATACACTCAGGAAAATGGACTTTTCAAGATTTTCACTGGAAATTTCTTACTATAATAAAATTTGATAAAAACAGGAAATTTAGCATGTCAGGCATTCTACAACATGCATACCTTTTTTAATGCTACCTTTTTTCATGCATAAACTATTGCATTTTATTCTTTCCACATACTTCAGATTTAACCTTTTATTTTTTTACCCATTCTTCGTAATGTGATCATTACCACAGTGGGAATGCTGTTTCCTAATCAAAATATAAACCTTCACAGATAGGAATTCACTTCAGGTAAAAATGACAATTCTATTTTTTTGAGATGGACTTCATTTTTGTAATCTTAGGAAACTGAGATAATTCTAGAGGTTCTAACTGACAGAAGTCTAAAAGCTCTTTTTGGTTATCTTGGTATTTTATATGCTTACCATCAAAAGGCATATTTTTCACCACTTCTAAGAATTCATCTTTAAGCTCTACTCCCATGTTTTTCAAAAGAGTTTCCACATCATTAATGTCACCTGTTCCTCCTTAATAAAAAATTAAAATAATGACATCCATGGAATTTATGTACACATGAATATTTGTATATAATGAAACTGATTTATGATGAATATACAATGTGAGTACAGGCTGGGGAAAGGAATGGTTGCCCAGCTCACACCAAGTGCACAGAGATAATACCATTCACAGAAACATAATTTTCTAAAGACTGGTAAGAGAGAGTACTCTCTTACAGAATGTACCAATAGGAATTCCAACTATAAAGAATATAACTGACCAAGGTCCAGTTGCTGCTTTGAAATCCATTCCTGTTTTTTGCCATACCTCCCGTAGGCTTCCCCTGACCAATGACTGAGTGCAGCAGGATACTACAGGAGACCTGTTTCTGGGAGTTGCTAGGTGATGATGTTGGCTATAGGATTCCTTGAAGGTCATGCTGGACCTTCCTTAGTCAGCAATCTAGATATAACTTTCTCTCGTCAATAAGCAAACTGCAAATAGTGTATCCTAAAAATTCTATTAACATGTTGAACTTATCATTTCTCCTTTAAGTGATTATAGGGTCTTTCTCAAAGCTTCATTTTGCATTTTATGATAGATTTTGACAGTCTTAAAATAAGAAAAATAAAGTGTATTAGTGGAAAACACATCAGAAAATACTTCAACTTCTGGACTATTGGATATGAAAACAAATAGGAGGCAAAATAATAGCACAGTAATTAAAGCATGAAGAAAAATACAGTTATTATAAATAATTAGGAGCCTATGTTTACATTAACTTCTCTCACTTGTAAGAGCTTTCACTCTATACATCACATCATTCAGATCAACTTTTCCATTAACTATGAAGAAAAGGGCCAACTGTGACATATAATCAGTGTCATGATCTTGGAAAATCATATATAAAGTCTGTATATTGATGGAAAATCCCAGATACATTCCATGGATACAAGTTTACCCAATCTTATATTAAATCTCTGGATTTCAAGGGCTTAAACTTTTCCTCCCCGCTTGAAGAATTTAAATAGTACTGGACTTGTATGTTACCTATAGATTTTCAAATACCAATATTCCCCGGACTTAACAACAACATTTTAAAAGAGATGACAGATGACCAGTAAGGAGGAGAAATTCTAAAGGTAGAATGGCTTTGGAATCCTCTTATCACAGGGAATTGGTTAGGGTGCTAGCTTAAGGAAATTATTTGAATTCTGTACTCATCTGATGCTCACCATTAACTGGTAGATGCTGTGTCAGATTTTTAAGTTCATTTTCTGTGATGTTCACCCCCATGTTTCCCAGAATGGTATCCAGTTTACTGACATCAATTTTCCCTTCTCGAAAAAAAAAAGATAGGGATAAACATAAAATAAAGTCAGTCTAAATCGTGACAAAAATAGAAATCCAGTTCTTTTGGCAATAAGTTGAGATGTATATAGAATGGGATGGACTGATGAAAAAATTTTGGAAATAGGAGTAATGACTACACAATATTGTTTACTTAATGTTACCAAACTGGACACTCAAAAATGGCTAAAATTATAAATTTTATGTTATATATATTTGACCACAATAAAAAATGGTATATAATAGAACATTTCTATAAAAGAATCTTAAGGATAGAATACTATATATGACAAGAGAGCAAGGTCATATTTAAATATCTAATATGTATAAGAAAATCACAAGAACTTCAAAATCATTTGCTTTTTGATTATGACTCTCTCTTACTTCTAAGAGTCCTTATAAATTCCAGCAATCTATTATGATATATTTTCCATCATCTGTATGAAAACACATAAGCCAGAGATATCAGAGTCACTAAAATGTTCTAAAAATCATTTCAGAAATAAGGCTCTAGAAATTTTATCTATATATATCAACTTATAAAAACATTATGAAATAAAACTTTAAAAAGTGACCATTTTACTTTCTTTTTGGTATGTGAGGTTACTGTTCCTATTATTCTATTGTGCTGCAATATATACAGTCTTTTAATTTCTCTTACCTTTATCATTCTGACTTCTAAGATACACTATACTCATTTTTCTAAAATTTCTGCACTTAAGTATTCCAGTAGAATCAAGAGTAATGGAGGCTTTTCTCAGCATTGATTCATAATTATGGTGTGTTACTTGATTTCCAAATGAAGAACTAAATCACACAATTAAAATTTCTTCTTCAGGTAGCACTAAGTTGTTATAACTTTTTTGGCAAGCCTTTTCCTTGATTATCAATGGAATACACATTCTTACATATAAGCACACAAACCTAAGTTTGCTTGTAGGTTATATCACAGGGTTTCTTAATTGCATTACTGACATGTGGGGCTGGATAATTCTTTGTTGTAGGGGCTGCTGCATGTATTATAGTATTTTACTAATCCATATTTTCTATACTAGATGACAGTGAACCCTCTCACCCCCCTCCCACTCTTGCCATTGTGACAACCAAAACTATCTCTAGATATTGCTAAATGTCTGCCCAGGAGAAAAACTGTCCTCAGTGAGAACCCCTGTTACATTGGTAGTTGAAGTGCTTACCATCAACTGGTAACTTTTCCAAAAGCTCCAAGTATTCCTTATCTGTAAGTTTTATTCCCATGTTTTTGATAACATCTTCTATGTCACGTATACTCATGTCCTCTCCTCCAAGTAATAAGAATTAAAAATGTAAGAATTTAAAAATTAATTTAAAAAATTAAAATATAAAAGTAATCTTTTTCTATCTTAATTACTGGATCAGGAGCAAAGCTTCAATACAAATACATATGGAGTATATTATCTCCTAATCATGGAGACAGGATAACATCATATAAAATAAATTGTAGGTATATAAAGTGCCACTATAAGTTAGGATATCTTAGTTAACTAATTAAACACTTTATTATTTTGCAGACCAATAACAGTATCTTGTGTAGTATTTCTGTAACATCAGAAACTGACAAAATTTTTTCATGAAACGTGAGGGAAAGACTCGAAGAGAAACAGTTCAACTAAATTAAAACAAAAACAAGACAAAGAATGTAAATTTTATGGGGACTACACCTGATGGGGGGGAGCAAATATTGTTTACAAATGATATAAAAAATATTGTTTAGGGCCTCCCCGGTGGCACAGCAGTTGAGCACTGGGCTGTGAAGCTGCCCGCAGCCTCTGCAGCGCTGGTTCGATCCTCGGCCACTGGGTGAGGGTCCCACATGGTGCGCAGACCTCTCCTGCCGCCCGCTGCTTCCCCTCAGCAGTGTACTTCCTCAGTCTGCCTAGTCTGCTCTCCGCTCTGACTCTGGTGAATTCTCTCGCCATCCCGTGCTTCTGACTGTACCCGGTGCTTGTATACATAAATAAATAAATCTTTAAAAAAAATATTGTTTAAAAACGATGTAAAAAAATAAAATGATGTAAAAGAAATAAAACTTATAATAAGCCCAACTACATCACAAAAGTCCTATCAAAGAATAATACTGAATAAATAAAATACCATTAAATTTTACAGCTAATAAGACAGTAGAAATGGATGTTATGTTCAAGTCAATTGGTAACACTATATTTAACACAAACAGAAATGAGGAAAAAGCCCACTTCTGCAAAAACGGCTTTGTCATTTTAAAAATATTAAATTATGTAAAGTAAAAATTCACTTTGAGGAAACTGTTTGCCATGTTATAAAGGAATAACATGGATAGAATCAATCTTGTTTTAAACACTCAGAACAAATGTATGAACACGATAAGTGGTTTCCAACATTACAAATACAAGTACCTTAGTAGCTGTTATCCTAAATTTCAATCTGGTTTTTACCTACATGTAATTCCTATAAGAGCTAACAAAAAGAAAATTATGCTTTAATTTTTTTCATTCTACTTATTTCTGCTAGTCACATTCTACTTATTTCTTATTGAGTCACACCAGACTGTATAGGAAAGAAAAATTGATTGCAACAGTTGTGAGACAATTATGTGAAAGACTGGAATCTTCTAAATTGAAAGTTGTGCAAATCCCTCTGGCATGCTAGTTAGTTCATTATACTAGAGATACAGACCCTTCAGATTTCTCAGATTTGCAATTTCTTGGGGGGTATTTTTAGTTAGTAATGCTGACATTAAGTTTCTGAAGATTTTCTAACTCTTAGAGCAGAAGAAAGAGATGTCGGCTGATTGTTATGTATATCAAGAAGTCAGTACAGACAGTAGGTGGAGGCCATCTGTAAATGACTAAAGTTTATTGTTTGATAGATCAGTTTGGTCAACTCCTTCTTACCACCCATCAGTAGCACCCAATGAAAGATTCTGATTAGCTTCCTTAGAAACATCCAAGTTTATTCTACAGACACACTGAGACACTCAACTAAGGTTTTGACGCCCCAGGTTTAACTGGTCGCTCTTCCTTGCTGCCTTTTCCAGTCCCTGCGGATGTCGAGGTACCAGTCTTTCATCTCAACTCTGAAACTGCCCTGGGATTTGGCTCTACTACTGCCTTCAGGCATGATGTCCAAAGCCCAGGGTCTGAAAACCTTTGTGTATTTTTTTTTCCATTGAGGTAACATTAGTTTTTACAACATTATATAAGTACCATGTAAAAAGCAACCATATATATCATACCACACCCACCACCAAATGTCCAATCACCATCCAATGCCAACAAATTAGCACCCTCTATGGGTTCCAGCTCCTCCGCCCCTTTTCTGATAACCACCATTCTGGTGTCAGAGTCTAAAGGTTTGTTTTGTTGGTTTGTTTGCTTGTTTGCTTTATATTTCACAAATGAGTGAAATCATATTGTCTTTGTCCTTCTGACTTACTTTACTTAGCATAATTCCCTGAAGGTTCATCGATGTCGTAAATGTCAAGATTTTATTAGGTGGCTGATCTTTATAATTTAGTCATTGAATGGAATTCATGTTCATCTTTATGTAAATACCTATATCTATTGAAACATTATTATATTATCTTCAGTGTTAATCTATACTTTGGTGATTTAAACTCAATGATTATGAAATATGTTATTGACGGATGCTTTGTATAAGATATTTGCTATGGAGATATTATACAGAAGCATTGTTACTAAAATATAAATAATGCACAGTTCAACTATGGGAAATGAGATATTATTAAGGAAAGGCTTAAATAAATAAGACAACAGCTATGATGAAAAATATCATTAAATATAATTTAACTATTCATTGTTATTTTCATAGTATTTGTTACTCACCTACAACAGAATTAACTCCATCCATTAATTTATTGAGACCAATCTTTCCATCAGCTATCAAAAAAAGCACAATGAACATAGATAATAGATTCAGAAAAAAAAATATAAAGCACTAATTTACAACTCCCTGTTAAAATCTATTCTTTTATGGAATTTTATAAAACTATTTAATTTATAATTACTAAATATCAGTTATTCAATGAAATTAAGAGCCATTTGCTTCTTAGGTCACAAAGCTGTCTCTCTAGCTTATAAGTTGCTATACTGCTTTATAAGGAGTACAAGATTTGATTTATGTCAGTTGCAGAGTTTCATCAGTGGACTCCACAAATGGAAAAAAGCTCACATTTTTCATCTTCCATATTTTTCTAAAATACTTTTCTTTAATATTTCCAATTATCATGATTTGCTGCAAGCATTTGACTTCTATATGTTTGAGGCAATATTAAATATTTCTACCAGAGGAAATTGTGTTGTTCATTAATTTTTTGTCTAGTAATTAATTCACTTATAAAATATGTAAAGGATTGTTAATATGAATCAGTTTGTGCAGTAGGCCTTGGAGATAATGTGGCAGACATTACTGGCTATCTAACAATTAGTCATAACTACCTACTGTTCTTTCTGCTCTATAATTTGGTAACTTTTCCTCCACGTGGCCATGCACCTCAGGATAGAGTGGTCTTCTAATAAGTACCAGGAAGTGAATTATATCAAACTAAATTCAAAGCTAGTAGAAAGAAGGGAATAATAAAAATCAGTGTGAAGATAAGTGTAAAAGAGAACAGCAAAATGGAATCAAGAAAACCAAAAGTTGATTCTTTGAAAAGATCCAAAAAATTTACAGATCTTTATCCTGAATGAGAGAAGATGCAAAAATACTGAAACAAAAAATTAAGTGGGGACATACTTCAGACCTTAATATATATAAAGGATTACACAAGAATACTATGGATAATTGTACAGAAACAAATTAGATAAGCCAGATGAAATGGCCATATTTCTATAAACAAAAATTACCAAAACTGACTCAAGAAGAAACATATGTTAAACAAGTATAAATGTTAGTATAAATAACATAGTATATATAGAAAAGGGAGTCTAATTCTTAATTTATTCTACTAAGCCAGTATTATTGCCCTATTACCAAAGAAGGGGTTAATGTAAAGTAGCTACTTAAAAGAATGGAGATTCCTCAGAGAGTGATGAAAATGACTGGAACAAAAAGGATGATTGCACAATATTGTGACTATACTAAATATCACTTAATTACCCACTTTAATAATGGCTAATTTTATAATATATGTATCTGTTAATTTCACCTCAATAAAGCAAATAAATCTTGGAGTAAACACTTTTATCCAATGGTAAAACTCTAGAAGCCTTCCCATTAGTCATAAAAAGACAAGGATGCATGTTATTACCTTAGTGTTCAACCATGAACTGCAGTTCTTAGCCATGGCAACATAATAAGAAATAATTTGAAAATTAGAAGAGATATGTAATTGTTACCAGAGAACATACATAAAATTTCTAATTATTGATAAACTTCTGGAATCAATTAAAAACTTCAGTAAGGTTGTAAGAAACCAGATCAATAAAGGAAAAACAATGGTTTGTAACTCCATAATAATAATTTTAATTAAAATCCCAATTGCATTAATCATAGATTTTGAAAACACTATTATAAAATTCATGGAAGAGTAATGGTTAGAAAATGACCAAGATGATTTTTAAGAATGGGAAAGGTATTATAATCTGAATTTCAAAAGTCGCTATTATAAAATCACATTATTAAGGTAGTGTGATATCTTGGTAAAGGGATAGACAAATAGGCCAATGAAATGTAATAGAAAATTTAGAAACACTCTAGTGTATTTGACAGAGTTGATATGACAAATCAATAGAAAAAAGAACTCAAGAAAATTGCCTATTCATATGGAAAAAAACTGAATTTCTTAACAGCACACAAAAAAAGAATTCCATACCAATTAAAAGAAATATTCTAAAAGCAACAGGAAAGAATCTCTATGGTCCAACCATAAGGAAAAATTTTCTGAGCAGGAAATAAAAATAGAGGAATAATGATGAATTTAACTATTAAAATTAAAAACATATTCATTAAAAGGTGATAAACTTGGTGAAATGTTAAACCAGAGATTGGTATATATTTTGTGTATATATAACATAAAAGTGATCAGTATACAAACTTTACAAAGAACAAATTAATTAGCAAAATGCAAATGACTCAATAGAATTAGGAAAAATACATGAAAAGCCAATTTATAGAAGAGGAAACCTGAATGATGGTGAAAATCTGAGAAGATAACCTCACTGGAAATCAGGAAGTACAATTAAAATGACAATGAGATATCATTTCACATAAGGCATGTTAAAGAAAGTGTTTGGCAATAACAAATGTTGATGAGGTAGAAAGTTGGGGCTATACTATTAACCCCATATAATACTAGCTATAATACTGTACTCTCTGTGAGTACAGTAAGTCACAGAAAGTCACAGATATCAAGAACCTGATAGAGGCAGTGGTTATAGACAGGGATGGAGCAAGGTCATTTTTAGGATGCTAAATTAAGTTTACCTAGGGCAGGGGCTAGGTAGAGTGAAGGAGAAGGTAGAGTGAAGAACGAGTCCAATTTTATAGGAAACCCGTATGGAGGAAAAAGATGGTAGGAGTCTATTCAACTAAAATATAATGAATTCCTTTTCAACCATGTTGAACTTCATTGCCTGAAGACATGTAAAGACAGACATAGCAGATATCTGGATGCAACCCCCTTGAGGTGCAGGAATGCCAGGATACGATATATGTCTCATGCTTACCATTGACTGGAAGGTTTTCTGTCAGACTTTTGAGTTCTTTTTCTGTGAGCTTCAGCCCCAAGTTTCTAAGAACTTTGTTCAGATCATGGACATTAACCATCCCTCCTTACAAAAAGAGAGTCAGTTAAAAAGAGATAAATTGAGAGACTTCACCACGTTGAAAATTTAATTACACCCATGTATTATGATTAAAATAAGATATATTCATGATTGAAAAAGTTAGTAGCAGAGTTTAAATAAAACCTGTTTCTTTTTTAAAAAATTGACTTGGTAAGGTAATATAGCAAAAAAGCTTTTAAGGACTTTTTAACTGGAGATGAAGCAATAAATAACATAGGTTTCAGAAGTAATAGAGGCTCTTTTTGTCACAAAAATTCTCGACTACTTGTCACAAATTCCTAAAATAACCCTTTTGTTGTATATAAATAAATTTCAATGATTTTTCCCTATTCAAGTACTAATGGGTAGAAACAAAACTATAATCAAGGACATTATCTGATAAAATACAGATATTTAAATGTATAACTAATGCATCAATTTGTAATATACATCATATAGTATAAATATACACCCAAGAATTTGATATTTAAATTCTCACCTTTGAAAGATTTTATATCATCCAACACTCTATTCTGAAACACCTGGCCAGCATCTATAAGAAAAGGCAAATTCACATAGAATTAAAAATTATATGTTTCATAATTCTAGAAACACATTTTTCCATGGTTTTCCCTTAAAATGTCAACAATGTAATGTATACATATAATGTATACATTATAGAGTAACAGAAAATTAAGGTAGGGATGACAACCATTTAAAAAGTGACATATTTCCATGATTCTTTGTTACCCAAAGCAATTGTTATGGGCTAAGTTAAAGCACCATCAATGTCACCACATCACAGCCACCACCAGTGCCACCACCACGGCCACCACTGCCATCATCATCATCATCATCATCATCATCATCACCACAACAGTGATATGATATAGTTATATCATGTTGAGCTAACCCTTATTGAGGTTTTACATATATGAATTATATTTAAAGTGTTTTATCTCATTTAATTTCGAATCTCCTTTTTATAAATGAGGAAATTGGATCTAGAAAGGTCAAGAAGTAACCTTTCCCAGATAACATAGCTGGTAAGTAGTGGAGCTAGTATATGAATCTATGTGCTCCAATTCAGGACCCTTTGTTCTTAAACCCTCGGCTCTCTTGTTTGTCATTTTTTTCTATTACTTTTCCTTTCTTTCTCTTGCTTCTATAAATTTTTTTCTTTCTTCATTTCCCCCTTTCCTTGCTTGTAGTTATAATTAGGAAGAAGTAATATTTCTTATTCATGGCTAAGGGTTTTGATGATTTAAAAAGTAAACATTTTAACAGTACATGATTTCTACATAAACTAGAACTTTTTTTATCTCATAAAGTCCAGAAATTTATAGAGGAAATGTCACAGGAAAGTTTTTAACTTCTCCAAAAAGCCACAGCATTAGGCTTCCTGGAAGGCCTGAGTGGTAACCATGTGGCTCACCATCAATGGGTAGGGTTTTCTTCAGTTCTGAGCATTCAAGATCTGTCAGCTCAATCCCCATATTCCTAAGGATATTTTGAAGGTCATTGACATCAATCTTTTCTCCTGTGAAAAGATGAGGATATAGATATTTGAGAGTGTTAGGCTCTTCTTAATGATTCTATGCAAAGACATATTCACACTTGCACAGAGTCATCCACATTTAAAAGACATGCAAGGGCAGAATGAAATACTTCCGTTTTCTATATACTCAATGGGGAAATCACAAAAAAAGTTATTTTTCTCATTTAGTACAAAGAAAGATCTAATTCTAAGGACAACAGAGGATAAAATTTGGTCGCATAAATGGCCAGTAATTAGAACATCAGTGGCTAATTTAAGCATTCCCATTCTGCTGAAGTATGTATGACCTAAATTATGTGATGAGGTGCTCACAATGATAAAGACAGTAATTATATGTACTTACTGTGCCTTAATGAATATTTGGTAAATGGTTTTTTATAGTAAATTGTATTCTTGGGAAATAAATTACAGAATAAAACAACATGTTAGCTGACACAGCCCTTTGATCTGTGATTGAAACTAAATTAACCAATTTTCAATTGTAGTAGACACAAATAACTCAATGGTAATAAGTAAAAATTCAATACTTTTAATAGTCAATTATTGGGTAGTTGGAAAACCTAAGTACAATGTAAGACATAAGGATATCAGTTTTTTTTTTTTGTTTGTTTGTTTTTTGTTTAGAAAAAGTTTATTGAGAAGAAAAAGAGCAGAAATAAAGTGGGACTCCCAGGCCAGGCCAGGGAACCAGGCCTGGGAGGGGCAAGGAAGCCAAAGTGAAGTCGTGTCTCAGGGAATATATACTTTCTTTCCCTGATTATTCTAAAGCTCTACCAGTCTCTTTGTGATTGGTCAGTTTTTGGCTGTCTCACTTAATTTGCTACTGAGTGGGAGATCTTCACATTCCTTATCTAACAGGTCTGTCTTTCCCCATTTGTTATATCTTTATCTTTATGGTCTAGCCCTCCCGGTGAGCATCTTTACACTTTACTCACCTGACCTTGATTTTTCCACTCTATCCATCACATTTTTCAGAGTGACTTTCCCATCAGCTATAAAAAAAGGCATAAATTAAAGATGTTAAACATATGAAATGTCAAACAACATTAATTTTCCAAGATTTGCTCTAAAAATTTCTTTTATAATTTTTTTTTAATAGAGGCATATTTTATTTATTTGTTTGTTTGTTTGGTTTGTACATGCACTGGGTACAGTCAGAAGCGCGGGAGGGTGAGAGAATTCACCAGAGCCAGAGCGGGGAGCAGAGCAGGCAGAAGGACCGAAGTACACTGCTGAGGGGAGCAGCGGGCGGCAGGAGAGGTCTGCGTGCCATGTGGGACCCTCCTCTGGTGGCCGGGGAGCAGCCGGGGATCAAACTGGCGCCGCAGAGGCCACGGGCAGCTTCGCAACCCAGCGCTCAACCGCTGCGCCATCGGGGAGGCCCTCTAAAATTTTCTTTATAATTTTACTTGATTTTTGAAGATTCACCTTCAATATGATGGAAAGAAAATGATAGTTCTAAGTGTTAAAATAACAATAACAATGACATGTCTTTGACTTTATATTGTCTGAGTTATTAAATCTCATACATGGCAGAAGAGGAATTTCAAGTGGCTCTTTCTATATGGAATTTGTTTTCTTGCTTGGATACTTTGGAATGTGCTCCTGTATTTAACAGGCTGTTGGAACAAGACCTAAAAGTGGTTCATATTCTTATACCCATGTTTCCCTTGAATTTTGGAAATGATTGCTAAATATATAATTTCTTCATTTTTTTTTTCATTTTTACTTTTTTACAACTTAATTTGTAACTAAAGTAATTTTGAGTGTAATATACTCAAATGTATTTTTGAAAGACATGATTTATTACTATATTAAGAGCATATATTCTATTTATTTTTATTACAGTAATGTTGGGCAATGAAAAAGTAATGTCTACAGCGAAGCATAAAGCTGACCAGATTAAAGAAAATTAAATGTCAATGCAAATAATTATTTCTAAGTAGAGAGTCTTTGTTCTCTTTTTCTCCTCGACCTAGAAAATAAAATCAGACCAATATAAATTTCTATATAAAAGTCAGTGTATATCATATACCAGTGCTACAGCTCAGTGTACATCATCTGTGCTAGTGTGATTTAGCTTCCATAGTAATTAAAAATAAGTAGGAATGATGGGAATAAGGTATGATGAATGTCTATCTGATCTGGATTTATATTTTCTCATTCAGGTGACAGTCATACTGAATCTCATACTTTACCAATAGTGCAGTTCATTCCTAATAGAGATCCAGCAAGAAAAGTCATTTTCTGAGAAGTGAACTGAAGGGCTCAAAGCCCCAGGTCATTTAACTGAGATTGTTAGGGTAATTTACCAGAGAAATCAGGTGGCACTCAGAGAGGTGGAGAGAGAGAGATTTATTTGTCACACCAGTGGGCCAGTGGGATAGCTCCGGAATCTCAACAAGCAATAAAAATATTTTATAACTAAGAGACCTGTTGATTGCAAAATCATAGTTAAAATTTTATTAATTCTCCTCTTTTAATCATCTTAACCAACTATTATTTTGTTTTTAATAAATACCAGGAATACAATACCAGAAAAAATGTTCTGTAGTTGTATTCCTTCCCCCTTTTAGCTGCATGGAAAACAAATAACTGCTGAAAATTCAGATGAACTACTTTAATCAAGATCGTTTCCTTTGAAGTTGGCCCCACATCTAAATTTACTTTTCTTATTATTTTATTAGAACACTATAGTGAATGTGTTACAGAGAAGGACTGTAACAGTGTAACCTCCATTAAAAAAGGAAGGTTCCATGTTCCCTGCCCTACCTAATGAAGGGTGGAGCAGAGCAGGGAGGAGAATGCAGCAAAAGACTTGGAAGAGACACAGGAGGAGGCATGTGGAACAGAGAGACATGTGAAGAAGGAGGCCCACTTGCTTCTCAACTTTGAACTTGCCCCAGGGACATTGAATGAGACGAGTGGAGTCAACATGTAGAGACACTTGGAAGAGACATGGGTGAGAGGCCCATGGGGAGGCTGATAATGGTAGCTGCGACCTTGATTTGTACTGTGATTTGCTCCTTTCATCCCAGACTTGTCTGAACCTTTCTGCCCCTTTTCTATCGTTCCTCACCAGAAGGGACCTTAGCCTTGTGGCAAGCTTTTGGGCCCCAGAAGCCCTGCTTCAGGCCAATCCTGTTTGACTGGGCAACTTGGGGTGTTTATTGGCAAACTGTTATCCTTTCTTCTCTTTTTCTGCACACTAGCCTATTAAAGTTCTTTCACTTTTTGCTCTGTCTTTATGTGGCAGATAGCAGAATCCATTTAGATCATACTGGTTTGGGGGAACCAGGGTACCTCTCAGTATGCCTAACTGATGCTGTCCTCTTTCAGTCTAAGGCTGTCACTTCTCTAGCAGCCAGAAGTGTTGACTCATCCCTTAGCCTCTCTCTGGGAACTGCCTTCTCCTGAAAGGAGCTACCTCACTTAGATCAGGTCCCCTCTTAGAGACAAACCAGCAACCAATGACTGGTTGATGCACAAAGCCCCAAACTCCATGTGATAGGCTCAGGCTTCTGTAGCAACTCACTGTTACTCAACTTCTTCTGCCCAACCCTGCTTGCCTTCTTTCTTTATAGGTTTTGTCCTGAGAGTATTTCTCAAGAAACCTCTTGCATAAAATCCATGGTATTTGTTTAATCAGATCAAACAAATGGCAAGCTACAAAGGAATATGACAACAAAAATTACATGTACATGTTTTTCATCAATTTTGTAAAATGAATAGGGAAGATAGGCAAAGTCTCACTGTTTCCATCTGTCAAGTAGGATTTAAAGTTCCTGAACATTAATTAGGCTGGAATCATGAAAACTTGCCCTGAAGTGTGGGAATCCATGACGTTTCAAGAGTAGGAGAAACATGATATACTTCCTAAGATAACAGTGGTCTCCCCACTGTGGTAGCTGCCAGTGAGAGTGAAAGGAGAGTCAGGTGCGCTGCTGCGCTGCTCTCTGTGCCCTGTTCTACTTTGAACTGTTGAGGTAAATATGACCATGACTATTTGCCTAAGAAATTGCCTGCTGACACCTAATATTTTTCTTCTAATGTTCTCTTTTTCTTTCTTATTCTATTTCTATTCTCCTCGCCTTACTCTTTCTTTACTCCTTTTTCTTTTTCCTTTTCTGCTTTATTGTTGTTCCCTGCCGTATCAGCAGACCGAGAGATTTCTATTAGCTTAGCTCCACAGAGGAAAAGTTGTCATGAGGTTGATGAGACTGAGTGAAGAAAGGACTGAGTCATATTTTAGGTTTATTTTTTCCCTTAAGTTTTTCTAAATGATCTTTTGATTCCAAATAGTCACGCTCAGGGGTTTTTATACAATAATGCCCAAGTTCATGTTCTTCTGAGGGGCTCAGTAATGCTTAAATACTTACAATTCACGGGCAGATTCTGCATCAGATCTTTAAGTTCCGTTTCAGTGAGCTTCACACCCATGCTTTCCAGAAATGTGCCCAGCTTAGTGACACTAATTGTCCCTCCTTGGAAAAGAAACACATACATAAGCAAAATTTAAGGACTCTAAAACTTGACAAAGCTACTAATTTTTATGTAATATGTGTATTCTTTTCTACATAAGGGCATGAGTCCCAAAACCCAATAAATTTGATAAAAATTACAAAGAAAATCAGCAATAGACTTAATAGTTAAAACCTTCTGACACAAATCTAGTTTCCAGGACTTATCTACACAGTTTGAAAGTTTTAGAGGGGAAAATTAATTTTAAGGGCATAGTCAATTCACTAGTAGAGATGACAAGTCATATATTTTGACCAAAAATAAGTGAAGCTTGCTTTTGTTAACTGAATTTAGATTACTTTTTACAAATTATCAATAATATGCATAATTGTATCATTCCCTACTTTAAAAATTACTGATATAGGCTTCCTTTATTTCCCTGCCCCAGGTTAATAAAAAAATCCCAGGGTTTATGAAATTTCTTTCTAAGACACAAAACTATAAAAGAGCCAATTACATAGAGTCCAATGAGAGGAGTACTAGTATAAAATCAACATATATGATCAGTGAAAATACTCACACTTTAATGACTAACGAAAAGGGGCAACAAAAAATTTAGAGATCTCAGATCCATTTGTATTCTTCATGATTCTTACCTTTAAGAGACTTTATACTGTCTATTAACCTGTTTTGATAGATCTTTCCATCTGCTGCAAGAAATTGAATATTTCAGGTCACAAATTATATAGAAATCCACTAAAGGAAAATGTAAGAGCTAGAATTTTAAAGAGATATAGTAGATCATTTGTACTAGAGATGTCCAATTTAATCTAAAGTAATAAAATCAAGGAATAGAAAAGGTTCTTAATGCAGACCTTGTACCTACTAATGAGAAATATAGGCAGTTACTATAGGCTAACCTCCATGTTGAAACATATTATTTACCACTTGTCTTTTTGATTTATTTATTTCTTCACTTCCAATATATATTTTCTGTTTCCCAGGTTCACTATTTTTTATCTGTCAGTGGACTCAAAAGTGACAATATGATTTTTTTTTCTCCCCACAGCAGGATTCATGATCTCTGCATTTCTTGTTCCAAAACTGGAATCAACATTCTTTTTAAGGCAGAATAAGATCACGCTAAAAATTTCAGGATATGGAGTCTTTCTCCCATGATCAAACAGAGACAGTTTAAAAGCTTTTCACAAATATATAAGGCTAAGTTCCCTTAAAGGGGATACTAGTATTGGAAATTCTCACCATCTATTGGTAGATGTTTCTGCAACTCCAACCATTCCGTTTCTGTGAGCTCTAGCCCCATGTTGCCCAGAACATTTTCCACATCACTGACATTAATTTCCTCTCCTTCAAAAACACAAATGGAATCAGATGAGAATTTTAAGGATTACTTAATTTCGAAACATGAAAACTCTTAACCTTTTTTACATGAACTTCACTGCTTGAATGAAGAGCAAAATTAAGAGTGCGATAGATTTAACTAAATCTACAATCATAGCATTGATGTAATACATCCCTTTCCTTAGCTGAAGTAAAAGAATCCATGTAATACCAATGGAGGTAGGAAAACACAGTGACAAAAAGTGTGGACTATTAACACAAGAAAAGAAGGGTTATATAATTTTCCAGTGAATCAGCAACTTATTAGTATTGATCCAAATAATTCTGTCATCAGATTAGACAACATTTCTGATCATCTTTAATATAATCCCATATATACCAGAACTTTGTTACCATTCATTGATTTAACCAATCCCATGCCCTCTCCCCCAACACAGGAAAGATAACATATTGATGTCAACTCTAAAAACAAAGTGCTCACGACCAAGTCATATAACTGAAATAGATAATTAATAGTCTCTGTGAAATAGATAAAAGCATTTAATCAAATGAGGAATTGGAAAAAGGGAAAAATTTTAAAACTTTATAATTTTCATTAAAATGTATACTTTTGGGCCTCCCTGGTGGTGCAGCAGTTGACCGCTGGGTTGCAAAGCTGCCCGCAGCCTCTGCAGCGCCAGTTGGATCCCTGGCCACCGGGCAAGGGTCCCACATGGTGCACAGACCTCTCCTGCCACCTGCTGCTCCCCTCAGCAGTGTACTTCGTCAGTCTGCCTGCTCTGCTCTCCCCTCTGGCTCTGGTGAACTCTCTCACCCTCCCGTGCTTCTGAGTGTACCCAGTGCATGTATAAATAAAAAAATAAATCTTAAAAAAAATAAAATGTATACTCTTCAATTTATATTTACTGCTCACCTGTAAGAGCTTTCACTTCATCCATCAATTTATCAAGAGCAACCTTCTCATCAGCTATAAGAAAAGGTAAAAGTAAGAATAATAAAATGATCTAGACCCACAAAAACAAAGTATGAAACCCTGCTATTGTGAAAGTCCATTGTGTCCCATAGTGCCCTATGTCAGCCCTGTATCAGAGAGTGGCAAACTGATGTCCATTGGCCAAACCCAGTTCACCACTTGTTTTTATGTTTCCATCAAATAATCCTTAGTTCAAAAATTTCCAAAAATAAATTTACAAGCAAAGCTGTACTGAAAGGCATAGTAATTATTGCAGTGCTCACCATTAACTGGTAGGTTATCTGTGAGACTCTGAACCTCCTTTTCTGTGAGTTTGATTTCCATGTTCTCTAGAACAGTATTGATTTTACTTTTTTTAACTTTTCCTCCTTAGGAGAGAGTCATAAAGAGTGAAAAAAATATTAAAATATGAGACAAACATTAAATATTAGAGATATATTAATGTTGTTTCTAATCCCTTAGTACTTTACTAGGAGTAAAGGAAAATATCCATTTTCAGTACTGTTAGCACTGCCTTTAGACTTAAGTATCAAACTTTTAAAGCTATAGAAAACAATGTCTAATCTTTCTGACAACAGGCAGAACTATTTTTGTTTTCTTTGCTTGCTTTATTGCAATTCTCTGAGTGATACCATTCTTTTCATGTTTTGTTTTATTTATCTAAAATTTGAAGTATACTTTTAGGGTTAAGTTTTGAAAAATAGGAGAGAGGGTGGGACCATCTACAAAGATAAGAAACAGGACATTAGATTGTAAATTTATTTAACATGAAAAAGCTAAATTTAAAAATCAGTTCATAAAAGATTCATAACAGTTTCACTAAACTTCTAACAATATGAATTAAATTTTGAATCACAAACTGCTTGTTACTCACCTTCGAATGACTTTATATCAGCCAACAACCTATTTTTATAGATCTTCTCAGAAGCTACAATGCAAAGCACACAGTATGTTAGACAAAATACTATGTAGATGCTCATAAATAAGGTCCTTGTATTTATTAATTTCAGGGAGAGCTTTTATTTACTTAATAAATATGTTCTTATTTCATCCTTCAGTAAAAAAAAAATTGGAGATTGGACATGAGAACTACTTTAGTGTGAGTTAAATACAGACACAACAGTTAATAGATGATTAAAACTTTTTTTTTTAACACTAAACAGAGAACATTTAACTATTTCTCCCATGGTACCATAAATTAATCCCTCTAGAAAGTAACAAAAGCATTTCTATGGCTCACCGTCAAGTGGCAGTATTTTTAGTAGCTTCTTTTGTTCATTGTCTGTTAGCTCAATACCCATGTTGCTCACAAAATCTGGTACATATTGCACATCAATCTTTGTTCCTTTGGAAAACAGGAAATGTTATTTGAAAATTTTATAAATTTTCATTTGAAAATTTTATAAATTTTATAAACAAGTTTTTTCCCTTATTTGAGGATGTCCAAAAGCATAATAAGGCATATCCATCTTTCTATATAGAATCAAATTTACTTATTTAGAAATGTTGAAAAGAACAATTTCCTAATCTGACAGTGAGTCAAAGTAGAGGATAAGTTTTACCTGAATAACTGTCTGGTAAATTAAGATATTAGAATCAATTTATTTGTATGCTTCTTTCAGAGACTACCATCTAGTTTTAATTTTTTTCAGAATCATATTACTTGTTCCTGATATTGGCAGTAAAAAACATTTATCTTGTTATTTGATATATTCTGATTTGAAAGTCTATAAATAATGTTGAAGTAAATAATATTGTTAGTGCAAAATTTCCAGAAAATTCACAAGTTGTAAGTTTTTGAATTAAATCCTCATATAAAGGCAATCTGTAGGATATTAGAAGCGACTGTTTTATTAGAAAAAGATTAGAAGCTAAAATTTAGTAATCAGGAAAGTAGTATAAATATTATTTAAAACTATACTGCTGCATAAAGTCTGATGGTCATGGTTTTACAGTAATTTACCACTGACCTGTAAAAGCTTTTAATTCATCAAACAACTTCTTCATTGCAATGTTCCTATTTACTATAGAAAATAAAAATAAAAGAAATAGATGAGATTTAGAAATAATATGAAAGGAAAAGATTCTGGCAACATTTGTGTATCAGGAATGATCTTTACTTTTACTCTCTGAAAATGAATCAATGCAAAGAAGTGAAATATGAAAAATAAAACAATTTCAACAATACAACTGGTTGTTAATGCTTCTATTGGAAATCAAACCTACAAAAGTCAAAGGGTAAGATTCAAAAGTAACTTACTTTCTAGGGCCTGCTTACGTAGCTCTAAGACTGTGAAGAACTTCCTATTATACCTGTCAGACCACTACAATAGGATCTATATTTAGGATAAACTATTCGATAATGTTTCAGTTTCCAGTTTAGTGGTGATCTTATGTAATGTGTTTTCACTTATTATTCCCCTGCTACTTTAATAGCTCCAAATAAATTTCTTTCTTTCTGGGTTACATGATCAATTAATCACTTTGAAGACAATTCCTTCATTTTGGTGATTTTGGAGGGGAGAGTTACCATATTGTGTAGACACTAATAGATTTTTATTTTTAATACATAGGTTTTTGAAATTTTCATTTGGATAATTGTAGACTCCTATGAAGTTGTTAGAAGAAATAGAGATGCCTTGCACATTTTGAAAAATTTTCCCTGGTGGGAAGATTTTCAAAAGTATGGTATATCACAAACAGGATATTGGCGCTGATATAATCCACCAATGTTATGTAGATTTCCTTTGTTTTATTTGTATTCATTTGCATCTATGTGTATATTAAAATCTTTACAGTGTGTTCCCTGTGTAGCTCATTTATGCACTGCCACAGTCCACATACTAGCAGTATCAGTACCACGAGGGCACTTTTATAACCACATCCCTGGCGGTGCAGCGGGTTGAGCACCGTGCTGTGAAGCTGTCTGCAGCCTCTGCAGCATGGGTTTGGTTCCTGGCCTGGCCAGGGAGAAACCCACATGGCATGGCAGACCTCTCCTGTCTTGCCTGTTGCTCCCCTCAGCAGTGTTTTCAGTCTGTCTGCCTGTTCAGCTCCCTGCTCTGTCTCTGGTGAATTCTCTCACCCTCCTACACCTCTGACCTATACCCCAGTTCTTGTATAAACAAATAAAATCTTTTTTAAAAAAAACCACATCTACTTCATTCTGCCTCTGCCAATGCTGTATTTCTAAATCCTCGCACACACTAATCTGACCTCCATTTCTAAAATATTATTTCAAAAATATTATGTAAGTAGAATCATATAGTATATAATCTTTGAGCTTGGTGCTTTTGGCTCTGCATAATTATCTGGAAATTTAGTCAAGTTGTTACATGTGTCAGTAGTTTCTTTTTATGAATTACAGTACTTCGTGATGTGTATATACCACAACTTAACCATTTACCTCACAGATTGCAAGTTTTGACTCTTATGTCCATGTGCAGAGTTTTGTGTGATCTTAAATTTTCATTTCTCTGGGATAAATGTCCAAAGGTGTGATTTCTGGGTCCTATAGTAGTTGTATGCTTAGCTCTTGAAGAAACTGAAACTGTTTTGCAACAGTGGTCATGCCATTTTACATTCCTACCAGTAAATAGGACTGATCCAGTTTCTCTTAGCATCCTCATCAGCACTTGGTATTGTCACTGTTTTTTATTTTAGCCATTCCGATTGTTATGTAAGTGATACCTCATTATGGTTTCAAAATGCATTTCCTTGATGCCTAATGATATTAAACATCTTTTCATGTATTTATTTGATATCTGTATATCCTCTTTGGTGAGTCTATCTTCATTTTTTTAAATTTTCTAATTGGACTATTTTATATTGCTGATTAGTGTATGTTCTTTAAATACCGTAGATGCTAGTCCTTTGTTAGATAGGTAGTTGCAAATATCTTCTCTTGGCTGGTGGGCTTTCTTTCATCATTCTCACAATGGCTTTCTCAGAGCAGTTTTTAATTTTGATGAGGAGCAATTTATCAATTTATTTTTTATGCATCATGCTATTTATGTAAAATGTCTTAAAATGAATTCCTACTAGACAATAGAGCATAAGTGACATAATTCAAAAGCTACTAATGGGTATTTGGTGAAAATATCTCTCTCATATGAACATATGTCTAGCCAGAGCTCTTTATCCTCTAGGGAAACAAACATTGCCATTTAAAACATTTTTTAAAAATACTCTATGCATATAGGTGCATATAGAGTTAAGTGGTACTTTTTGAAAGCTCTATAACTTCATGATAAAATTATAAAATCAATTTTGAAGTGTATTAAAATCAATATAAATTGCTTTCCCTTGTATTTTCAGAGACATCATTAAAGAAGAATATATATTATTTGCTCAAACATTTTCTGTCCCTCTCTATCGAGCCTATCCTTGTGCAACAATTGATCTTCTGCTTCAATGGTATCATGTAATTTGCTTTGGCTAATGAAATATTTGTTCTCTTCTGAAGAGAACCCTTAAAAACTGCTACATGGTCCTGCCATCTCTCTTTTCCCTGCCCCAAAGCAATATGGACCAGACGGGAATTGCTCCCTTAGTTTGTGTCCTACAGCAGAGAGAACACAGGGTAAGCAGAACAGCCAATCTGTAGGCAGTATTGGGCTCTGAGTGATGCAAACCAAAAAAAGCCAACTGTCCTAAGTCCCTGAACTCAGAGGGTGTTACTGCATCCTGGATAACTGATACAAAGATTGGAAACACAAGGAATGTTGCTATTTCACAGCAATAAGAACACCTAAAACATGTGGCATTGACTTTGGTACTCAGAGTGGTTGGTGAAGAAACTGTTTGCATTCCTTTCTTAACGTTGTCATTGAGGCTTACTTTTTTTCTCTAACTTAATTTTATTGTATTTTCACATTTTTCTGTGCACTAATTTGTTTTCTTTCCCTCTGGTTTCTTCTAACCTGGTAGTGATCTGAATAAACTCTCATCCCTGCTTATGAGTCAAATCATGAACTGATGAAAATAATATAAAAAGTTAAGTTAGTGGCAAAATTAGTCACTAAATTGCCTCCTGAATTCTTTTTTTTTTTTTTTTCATAATGCCTAGTAAATATTTAGTGGATTGACTGATTAACAGGTGTGGAAATTCCCAGTTTTTCCTCAGAAACTTAAAAATGTCTTCAATGCTCACAATCAGTGGGACAGTCGTGTTTGAGATCCTTAATTTCTTCTTCTGTGAGGTGCCATCCCATGGTTTCCAAAAATGGACCAACTTTACTGACATTAATAGCTCCTCCTTGGGAAAATAAAATGAATATTAGTAAAATATGATCTATCCAAAGCTCTTCACTTTTGTATATTAAACTTATTTTCAGCAGGAATATCAAGACTCTATAGGACAAAGAGGGTCAGTGGAGTTAAAATCAGAACCTCTTTCCTTAGTGGGGTAAAGGTGATGGTTTACAAAGCACAAACATTAAAAGGGCCAAAGTCATAGGGCCAAGTTCACAGCAATGAAAAACACATTCTATACTTATTCATAATTGCGATCATTTTTGTTTAGTTTATAAGATTAGTTGTCTCAATTCTTAACTATATCCCCTGAATATTTGCCCTTTAGCTTTATTGTTCTGACACACTTTATTTTTTTTCTTCAAATAGGGGACATAGTGAAAAAATTCAGTGTGAAGTTATGTTGTTCACAGTAAGGTTTAGCTCAGACGGAAGGAATGACATCAGTAGTTAAGTAGATTAGCAAAATTCACAATTTGATATTTAGGAAATATCAAATGCCTCTGATTCATCTGGTTTTTCATTATGCTGTTCACTTACCATGAAGTGACTTCAAACCATCCAGCAATCTATTCTTGTAGACCTTTCCATTAGCTACAAGAAAAATAAATCAATTATACACAAGTGAGCAAAGTAAAGATTCACCAAGGCAGCAAAAGTTATAATTTAAGGTAAAGAGAATTTATAATTTTCCCTAAAAAATTACCAGTTTACTTTCAAATTAAAAAAAAAAAGGTCCATTAATGTACCCATTCTATTCAACTGTTGCCAAATGAGGATATTTATACCAGCGGTCTACACATACCCATTTTTTAAAAATTCATTTTCAGCTCGTTTGTGCTCTTTGACTTAACCCCCATTTCAACTTTTTGAACTCCCTGTCTATATACTACAAAAGGTATTTCTTAATTTTGATGACAGGTTGTAAACAAAGCAGTACTGGGCTTCCCAACTACTTGATAGGATTACTCTTGAAGGGATTATGCTCAGTGGGGAACCAAGTAAGAGACAAGGAAAAAAATAATTATAATAAATTAAAAAACAAAATTAATAGGCAACTATTAATCAGAAACACTCTGCAGGGGAGGGGGGGAGATGGATCAAAATGGGGGAGGGAATGTGCTCTCACACAAGGGACTGTGGTGAATTGGTGCATGGGTGAATTGGTGATGGGAATTTTGCAGGGACTACACCTGAGAGGAAAAAGCATGCATTGTACAAAAAGGAAGAACAATGTAAAATATAAATAAAATTAAATAAAATTAAAAATTTTTCCCTTAAAATATCTTTATTATGAAAAATTTCAATCATATACAAAAGTAGAATAGTAATAAGAAAGCCCAATATTTACACTAACAGTTAAGAATGTTCTACCATTAGATAGTAGAAACTGAATTCTTTTTAAGGTGAAACTGAATCATTCATTTTCTTTAAAAATATTTATATTAGATACAAAAGTTTACACAGATGTATAAATTGGACTGTGTTATAATGGCTGTACTTTTTTAGCCTAGTATTATTCTCATTGGTCTTTTTTTTTTTCCACGCTTTCTTCCTGTCTTCTCAGTTCAGAGGGGCAACCCCAAACCCTCAGGAAACTCATGCTAACAAACTAGAATTTGTTTTTATATTATTTATCTATTTCTCTATTATCTATTTGTCTATCTGTATCTACATGTGTATATATAATTACATTAGCAGGAAGTATTTAGTTTTTGAGAGTTGTTTTCTCTGCTAATATTTTATAAAGTTTATGCAAGTTCTCACAAACAAAATAAGAATTTTTTTTCCCTTTAAGATCACATTAGTATTTTAAATGCTTACCATCAACTGGCAGATTTTTTACCAGTGTTGCATGTTCCTTATCTGTGAGAGTTACTCCCATTTCCCCCAGAACATTTCTCACATGATTGACATCAACTTTTTCTCCTTCAACATAATCAAAATGGTCAAAGATTAGTATAAAGAAAGATCTGATACCTTAAAAAACATGTTGATGCCTATTTTGCTTCAGCTACGACAGTTGTCTGAGCACATACACAAATAAGCTAGCTGTTCCCCACTGTCATTAACTGTGGTAGAAATAGAATTTCTTCTTTACTCTTAGCAAAACAATAGACATCCTGAAACAGTTTAGATGATGTAAATTAGGATAGTGTAGGCATAACATGCATTTATTTTGTCAGGACACTATTTATCTTCTGATCACTTAATGATAAGAGAATTTTTATCTTTGTGAAAGTTTGCTATATCATTTGCCGTGCTAATTTAAATTTTGTTTTTCAAAATGAAGAATAATGACTGTTATTGGCAAATATCCCAGAAACAAAGAAATTGCTACCAGAACTTTGCACTGAAAAATTAGTGCAAAAATGCAAATATCCTGAAGTACAAGTCCAGGCAATTACATGCAGATATTTATCAATATAGAATTGAGGGAATAAAAAAGGCAATGGAGGAATGATGAAACTTTAAAAATGTAAGTCAGTATAAAGAATTAAGATTATAGATTCACAGTAACTCCTAACTACCTGTAACAGTTTCCATGGCTTCGATCAAGTTTTTGAGACTAATCTTCCCATTAGCTGTAAAAATCATAATCAGGATAATACAGTGTTATAAAAAGGTAAAGGAGGTAAATTAAGAAATAGATTCCAACTACCATTTAATCTCAACCAAACAAAAATTTATATATGTGATGGATTACAAAGAGTTCCTTCTGAAGTAGAGAGAATGGTGGTCCAAGAAAACTTTCTCTATGTCTTACACTTGGGGAATGGTAGAATGGTTTCTGGTCACCCTCCCATCTGGTGGAAACACAAATTTCTTCTCAGGATTGAGAAGAACAAACAAGGCAAAAGTACCAAGCGCCTTTCCTGGAACAGGGAAACAGTGCCCCATTTCTACAATGTTTGTTCTTCAGATCCAAGAAGGAACCAGGATCCCTGTATCACTGAATGAACAGCCACTCAAACCAGCCAAATGTACTCTCACCCTGGAATGTTACGGGAGAAAGGATTAACGTCTGTTATGTTTAAACATAACATGTTTTGAGATTTATTTTTAAATAAAAATTTACTTTACCCAGTAGAATAATATATGCTCTATTCTTAAATTATAATTGGCATAATTCCTACCTTTGTAATTTTTTAAATATCAAATATCACTAGTTAATACATATTCTCCTAAACAAGCCCACGAGCATAAGCTTCTTTCTAAGATGCAATGTTGTCTACAGTGCTCACCACTTAATGGCAGATTTTCTGTCAGACCTGCATGCTCCTTTTCTGTGAGCTCAATCCCCAGGTTCTCCAGGACATTGTCTAGATTATTGACTTTAACCTCTCCCACTGTGGAAATAAACAGGAAAGGGTCATGAAGAAAAATATTTATGATTTCAAAAGATATTTATATGTACGTGTACTTTTTAATCTTATATGCACTGGAGTATGATAAAAATAAATGTACAACTTATTTGTATCAAGAACAGGCACATAAGGTTAGCTTAGCAAATCAGCTAAAATGATGTGAAGAACAATATAGATAAAAAAAAACGTTCTGAGGTAGAAACTGTAACTGGGATTGTGATTGTTGTTTAAAATTATTATTTGCAGAATTCAATAATAACCACCTGTTAATAAAGAGACCAAAAGAATGCCAATGGTAGGATGGTGCCTGTAGGTAATCTGGGGATACTACTGTGTAGGTCATTAGCTGAGAGTAATAGTTCAACTTTCAGATAATCAATGTTCTGCTATTGCAGCATCAAAAAATGTATTAAACATTACAAAGACTAAAAGCACATTCAGTTGCTCTAAGAGAGAAGAGTATCATGGACAGCAAATTGACCATAAAATTCCACAAAGACTGGTGCTAACGGTCTTTATTTCAAGGGTCTGGAGTTTCAGGAGGTTGACTGGCATCTGCTAGAGACCTCTCATCAAATATTAAGCAGCCAAACCTGCCCCCTTTCTTTCCCTTTCCTACCTCCTTTTGGTCTCTTGTTCTAAAGTCTAATAGAACTGAAAAGTTTTAAAGTCTCAGTTATAATCCCACGATTTTTTGCTCTATTTTTTGTTGTTTTTAACTGACCTTTGGAAAGGAGTATGTTATAGAAAATAACTTCATTCGTGCAATAAAAACTTATTAAAGATCACTTCATAATCTTTTCTATAGTGACTTATTGCTGGGAAAATTCCTGAAAAACTGCCTGATACTTTCTACATTATTTGATGTACATAATTAGATTTCAAATGATACTTTGGGATGTTATATAGAAATATTCAAGACAGAATGGACTCCATTACAATAATATCCATTGGGTTATGTTATCAAAGTACTGGTAATGAATATAATGGAGGAAGAATCCAAATAAAGGAATGTAGAAAACTTAGTGGGCATGGGTGGATATGTGCATATTTAGCTAATCATGCTTCTTAAATACCTTTCATAGACTTCAAATGATCCAGCAATTTCCTCTGATACATCTTTCCATCAGCTATAAAAAAAGGGCACAATTTATATCACCAAGAAGAGATGTGGACAACCAGTTAATGGGCAGTGGCAATTCCAGTAAGAGAGGATTTTTGTCTTTCTCTAGGAAATATACTCTATCTACCCAAAGGATAAAAATTATTTCAGGAAAATGAAAGTTTGTCTTGGTGACAAAAATGTATGTACAGTGTCTTGCTGAGAGACTAGACTATGCAAACCAATCATACTCCTTTGGGTCTCCTTTCCTTTTGCCTTCCTTTCCTTCATTGATCTCTCACTCCCCTGTTTCCTGCCTTAGCCTTCATATTGTTCAGGTCTCTCAATCGCTGTAATGTGTGACATTACAAGTTGTCTCAACTTTGAGGGTAAAATTTATGGTTGAAGGGCTTGGTGATTTTCTGATTATATCTGTATGCCAGCGAATTTCCTTCTTCCTAATCATTCTCAGCATTTTAAAAAAAGGAATAAAGAGACAACATTCTCAGGCCTCCCTGATGGCACAAAGGGTTAAGCACCACACTATGAAGAAATCCGCAGCCTCTGCAGCACAAGTTCAATCTCCTGCCGGCCAGGGAGAAATCTACACGGTGAAGCAGACCTCTCCTTGTCTTGCCCGCTGCTCCCCTCAGCAGTGTATTTCAGTCAGTCTGCCTGTGTTATGTTCCCCACTCTGTCTCTGATAAATCTTCTCACTCCTCTGCATCTCTGGCCTGTACCCCAGCTCTTATATGCATAAATAAATAAATCTTTAAAAAAAAAGAGAGAGAGACAACATTCTCAAGTTGCTTCCTGTGACCCTCACAACCTAGGTCCCTGGGAAGGTTACACTGCCATTGACATGCTCACCATCCATGGGCACTGCTTGTAGCAGCTCCTCAAATTCTCTCTCAGTGAGCTTGATCCCCATGTTTTCCAAGACGTTTTGCAGATCATTGGCATCAATCTTTTTCCCTTTTGAAAGAGAGGAACATCAGTGCTTGACAATCTGGGGAACCATCTAATGATTTTGTTTGAAATAATTCTGCTGTATCATCTTCAACTGGAAGTAGTGGACAGGTATAATTGGACACATACAACTATGAAGAAGTACAGTGGATCACAGTGTACCACAGCCCCTTAATGTCATATAAGGAATACTCCCTTAGGGATGAATCTGTGTAGGTCACGCAGTAGATCAACAGGTTTGCTTCTTCAAGACTAATAAGTAAATTAGAATAATAGAAATAATGAAATTTTATAATTCTAGCAGCAGAACGTAGAATTGTGGGGGGATTCGACATTATGTAATTTTTCTCTTCACATGAGGGTATTTGAATATTGGTGAAGTTCCATTGTTGCTTCATCAGATTTTGGTAACTTCTTACCAAAATATAGATTTTAAATTGTAGGTTATTAATTAAAATTATGCATATGAATATAGCCAAGCACTCCGAAAAAAATTCTTGATTAAGTTGTAATACAGAGACAAAATATAAGTTTGGATAAGTTGAGAAAATATTTTTAAAATAATATGATTTCTTAATTTCCTACTCACCAGTAAAAGGTTTTACTGCATCCATTAATGTTTGCATTTTAATCTTCCCATTATCTGTAAATTAAATTTAATACTGACTTTCAATAATAAAATGGAATTTTAAAATAAAGCAGTATATATTAAACAAAATTAAACATCTGTTCTACAATTTTATCCTTATTCATCCTCACTGTGAGCCAAAAGTTTTAGAATATGCAAACTAGAGCTTCAATTCATTGTACTATATGAAATCAAAAGACTGACAGTTAAGAGTAAGATAAAATTAAGTCACATTTTCCATAAGGTCAGCTTCACAATGCCTGTGTATTAGAAAACTCTCTATTTACATCGAGCACAAGGAACAGAATGCATAATTTGTATGTACTATGCATTAAATTTTTATTTTCACATTAGAATAGATCGCCCTTAATAATAAGCTGATATTCAGTAGTTCTGGTTTTCCTTGATACAGTTTCTTACTCCATTGTTCTACAAGTTAACAATCAGTACAGTAGAGTACAGTAGAGATTCTGTATATATTTTAAACCAATTTTTAAAAATACATTGACTTAAAAGACTATTACAGAGATATGATTAACTCAAAATTTGGGACTATGTGACATCAGACTAATTTTCCTTTATTAGACAAAAAACATCTAAGATGTTTCATTTGAAAAAAAAAAGTTACTTTGCAGTTGCCTAATATTTAAACAGAGTCTTCATGTTTTGAGAAATTCTGATACTTGAGAAACCATGTAATTATTGAAAAATAATTTACCAATTTTTAAATGCTCACCATCAACAGACAGGTTCTTTATCAAATCTTTACTTTCCATTTCTGTGAGTTTCATTCCCATGTTTTGCAAAATGGTGTCCAGTTTTGTGACATCAACAGTTCCTCCTTAGAAAAAGGATTGGAAAGTAAGTAGAATGAATTACCTCAGAGTGTGACAAAAGTTTTTGAATTACTATGGGTTTTAGATGTTGGTTTCACCTTTAAGAATAAGATCTTATAAGGTATATTCAACTGTAGAGGGTAGGGGCAGATATGAGTTTATCTCCTATCTCATTGCCAAACAACTCACAATAAACCTTTCTGTTCTCCAAAACCCTGGTGTGATAATTATCTGTTTATATACTTTGGGTAGCAAATTCATTGCTCTGTAATACATATATTACCAAATGATTATTTCCATAGTAACATTAGCTACCACTTTCACAATGTCATGTAGTTGCTACTGTTTTGTGCTAAGAGCTACTCATTCAGAAATTTTCATAGTATTTTATAGCATTATTAATTATAATAACCACACTGCCCATTAGATCCCCAGAATTTACCCTTCTTACAACTGGATGTTTGTACACTTGACCAACATCCTCCCACTTCCCCCACACAACAGTCCTGGTAACCACCACTTTATGAGTTTAGCTTTTTGATATTAAATTATTTCCATATTAAATGATATTCTACAAAATTTGTCTTTGTCTGATTGACTTAGCATAAGTCATTCTTGTTTATTATCTATTATTGTCCATCTTGTTCATTTATTCAAAGAACCAGCTCTTATTTTCATTGATCTTTTTTTTTTTTTTAGAGGCATGCTTTATTTATTTATTTGTTTGTTTGTTTGTTTGTTTGTTTTGTTTATACATGCACTGGGTACAGTCAGAAGCGCGGGAGGGCGAGAGAATTCACCAGAGCAAGAGCGGGGAGCAGAGCAGGCAGAAGGACCGAAGTACACCGCTGAGGGGAGCAGCGGGCGGCAGGAGAGGTCTGAGCGCCATGTGGGACCCTCCTCCGGTGGCTGGGGAGCAGCTGGGAATCGAACCGGCGCTGCAGAGGCTGCGGGCAGCTTTGCAACCCAGCGGTCAACCGCTGCGCCACTGGGGAGGCCCATATTTTCATTGATCTTTTGGACTGTTTTGTTTTTTTATTTAATTTACTTCTGCTCTAATTTTTATTATTTCCTTCTTTCTACTAGTTTTCAAATTTGTTTCTTCTCCTTTTTCTAGTTCCTGCAGCTGTAGAGTAAGATTATTTGAGTTTTATTTATTTATTTACTTATTTTTGTGTGGCCTCAGGCATTTTAGGCTTTGTTGGCCATATGATCACCGTTCACAACTTTTCAACTGCCATCGTTGTGAAAAAAGTCATAGAAATATGTAACTGGATGAGTACAGGTATTTTTCTTTAAAGAATAAACTGTTCTTGGGCCTCCCCTGGTGGCACAGGCAGTTGAGCGCAGCACTGTGAAGCTGTCTGCAGCCTCTGCAGCACGAGTTTGATCCCACATGGCGCAGCAGACCTCTCCTATCTCACCCGCTGCTCCCCTTGTAACAGGGTGGTCCCCAGGAAAGGGGGAGGTTCCAGGTTCCCTGCCCCACCCAAGGAAGGGTGGAGCTGAGCAGGAAGAGGAGAAGCTGCAGAAGAGACAGAGGAAGGAAGGAAGCAGGATGGAGCCAGGAGACCTGGAGGAGGCGCATGGAGCCTAGAGACACGTGAAGAAACTGCGCTTGTCTTTGGGTTGTGGACTGGGTGACACAGACGTGGGTGAGACCCATGGGGAGGTGACAATGGCAGTTTTTATCTTGATGTTGATTTTGCTCTTTTCCTTCCGGGCTTGTCTGGTTATTTCTGACCCTTTGCTGTGGGTCCCCACTGGAAGATGCTTTAGACTTGTGGCAGGCTTTGGGGCTTTGCTCTGGGCCAATCCCATTTGGATGGACTTTTACCAACGAGGGGACGGGTAACTTTGGATGCTTCATTTAGAAACTAGACTCTTTGCCTTACCTGTATTGTTTCCTAGTTTTATTAAAGTTCCTTCCCATTAAAGTCTTATATGTTTTGTGTTGATGCGGCAGATGGCAGAACCCATTTAGAATAGGCAGGTTTGCGGGGTTTGGGCTGCCCCTCTCACTGTCCTATAACACCCTCAGCAGTTTATTTCATCAGCCTGCCTGTTCTGTTCCCCACTCTGTCTCTGGAGAATCCTCTCACCCTCCCGTGAATCTGGCCTATACCCCAGTTCTCGTATAAATAAATTTTTTAAAAAAGAATAAACTGTTCTATAAAACAGTCATTGGTTCAAATATGGTCTATAGGCCATATTTTGCAACAACAACAACAAAAATCCTTGGAGAATCCACAATCTAAATTTCTTATTTGGAAAATAATTGGTAGGGGAAAAAAGGAAAAGTAGTGTAGAGAAGTATCCTGGTTAGCCTTGAAGGAATTTTCTTTTAAGATGAAAGTATAACAGGGTGGTCCCCAGAAAAGGGGGAGTTTCCAGATTTCCTGCCCTACCCAAAAGGAGGGTGGAGCTCATAAGTGAGAAAAAAAGCTGCAAAGGAGACTGAGGAAGGAAGGGAGCAGGATGGAAAGACAGAAGGAGACCTGGAGGAGGCACATGTAGCTGAGAAACATGTGAAGAAACTATGCTTGCCTTTTGGTCAGGGACTGGTTGACACAGAGGTGGGTGAGAGACTGTGGGGAGGTGACAATGGCAGCTTTCGTCTTGATTTTGATTTTGCTCTTTTCCTCCTAGACTTGTCTGGTTGTTTCTGATCCTTTTCTGTGGGTCCCCACTGGAAGATGCTTTAGACTTGTGGTAGGCTTTGGGGCCTTGCTCTGGGCCAATCCGGCTTGGGTGGACCTTTACCCATGATGGGACGGGTAACTTTGGGTGCTTGATTTAGAAACTAAATTCTTGGCCTTTCCTGTATTGTTTACTAATTGTATTAAAGTTCCTGTTCATTAAAGTCTCATGTTTTGTGTTGATGTGGTGGATGGCAGAACCTATTTAGAGTAGGCAGGTTTGTGGGGTCTGGGGTGCCTCTCTCCCTGCCCCGTAACAAAAGTATAAAAATCAGACATAAAAACCATTGTCTCAGCACAGATTATGGCCTTGCTTTCCCAAATTCTCATCAATAAGTTGGTCATTAATATCAAAGATGTCTTTAATCTTACAGTGTTCACTAGGGAACACTTTTGAGCATCCACATATTTGCAAGCCAAATTCAAAACCTCAGATTTAAAGAGAAAGACAAAAACCTGGCCCTCAGGAAGCTAGCAAACTTCCTATTCCAACTTTTGTTAGAACCAAAGAGCCATTCTTTGAAATGCAAATTTAAGGAGTAGTTTCTTATCTGAAGGAAAGTAAAGAAAGGATTATGGCAGGCAAAAAGACCTTAGAATTTAATTCCAGATTGATTTGATTGGGGATTCCACCCCTGGGATAATTGAAACTACAATCTCTTGGATATTCTGTCTTGATGGAAGTTTAACATAGGTAACTCCCTTTCTAATTAGTTTCTTTGAATACTTGTTAAGTCACTTCCCAAATATCCTTTGGAAAATTAAGGGCTTTATCTTTGTACTAAAGTTATAGCACTTAGATTTACTTCTGACACTATTGCAAAGGAACTAAAGAAATTTGGGTCTATGAATAAAATGTCTTGTGTTACCTGGGAGAAAATGAAGTACATGTTCTAGATATTATGAAAAATTATTTAAAAGCTTCCAATCTAAAAGGATAATGATGTAACAGTTTTAACAATTACTTGCAATTTAGAAATTAGGAAAATAAAGTTTTAAGTGTTGAGTTCTAATTGAGGTATGAAGTTAATGTCAGTGGATAAAACAAATGAAACAAGTCTGTATGTAAATAAAGTAGAATGCATATATTCATTAAAAAGGGAAGGTATAAGGAATAGAAATACTTTTATTGAGGTAAAAAAGAAATTCAGTCTCAAGATAAAACTACTTATTTTAAAATGGGATAATAAAAGAAAATGGAAATGTAAAAAAAAATGCATACGTTTGTGAGACAAATCTTAGGAAGTTGCTAAAGGGACACAAAGAGTCTTAAACTGTAGTCAAGATTTTAATAACAGATTGTAAATTGTTTAAAGATCTGGTGCTCTGTTACCCTCAGGCTTGACTGACTGAGAGTAATCCAATCCAGTCAGCATTACTTGAGTTGAGTCTTATATTTGCTTAAAAAATTTTTAATTGTGACTTGGGGCACTTAAATATTGTTTCATAGTAATCTCTGTGTGCCAAGACTTTGAATACCAACTGTTGTAGAGCAACCCCGATACAAAACGGGGTGCCTGACTGTTGGTCCTCACCCGTGCGCTTAAAAGGACTTATTAATGCTCTATTGCAGGCACACGTGAAAGGTTAATAAAAGGTTTATTTACAAGGGAAGGGGAAATGAGGAAATGTACAGCTCTGGGAGAAAAGTGGGAGACAAAGTTTTAAATGAGTCCTACCCAATCTGCCGATCAGGAATCCCAAAATGGCGCTCTGAGTTGGCCGCCAGCCAGGAGCGGTGAAGACAGGAGGCGAGCGATCGCGAGCCAGAGAGACCCCAAGGCCCACGTGTTTGGTTTTTATATCCAACCTGGCTGCCCAACTCCACCCTCAGGTCCCAGCCACCCTCCCTTGGTGGTGATGGGATTTGTCTTTCCCAGAGTCTTGATGGCTTTAGTCTGGAGTGGGGGTGGGGTCCACAAAGCCTGTATGGGATTAACTCAGGATATCATTTCCCCCTAACAATTCCCCCCTTTCACTTTTTGCCACCATTTCCATGGTGATGAAGATGAAACATATGGATGATGGTTGAGGCCATATTTGAGTCAAAACACACCCACAAGGGCTGTACCCACAGGGAAAAAACAGACTTTTCAGGACTAGAGACAAATATACTGCTAGTCCTGCAGAAGTAGTGCGCTTATGGTGACCAACGCAAGGAATGTTACTTTGGGCTGGTCAACCGCGGGTGTAACTTGGAAACCACGCTGGGCGCCAAACTGTTGTAGAACAACCCCAATACAAAACGGGGTGCCTGACTGTGGGTCCTCACCCACGCGCTTAAAAGGACTTATTAATGCTCTATTGCAGGCACACATAAAAAATTAATAAAAAATTTATTTACAAGAAAAAAAAATAAAAAAATGTACAGCTCTGGGAAAAAAGTGAAAGACAAAGTTTTAAATGAGTCCTACCCAATCCGCCAATCAAAAATCCCAAAATGGCGCTCTGAGTTGGCCGCCAGCCAAAAACGGTAAAGCCAGGAGGCAAGCGATCGCGAGCCAAAAAAAGCCCAAGGCCCACGTGTTTGGTTTTTTATATCCAACCTGGCTGCCAAACTCCACCCTCAGGTCCCAGCCACCCTCCCTTGGTGGTGATGAAATTTGTCTTTCCCAAAGTCTTGATGACTTTAGTCTAAAGTGGGGGTGGGGTCCACAAAGCCTGTATGGAATTAACTCAGGACATCCTTTCCCCCTAACACTATGACAAAAATTTTCTGAAAATCAAAATTCTAAAATAATAAAGTCTTTGATAGATAAAATAACTTTTACTGAGCTACTGGCAATTCTCAAAAACAAAGATGACAGGATCTATTAGATGTAAGTCAGGTTGTTTAAACTGGGTATATGTTTCTTTGGGTCACATTTGAGCTAAATCTTACCCTCTCCAGTAAATTCACATCTCCAGGCTGACAGATACATTACGAGAAAAGCTTTGTCCTGAATGGGAAGTACAAGGTCTTTTTCTCCCTTTTGATGTAACTGGGGCTTCGAGCATTATCTTTCAGGAAACGTCATTTTTTGTTCAAATTCTTACATTAACTCCTCAGATGACCAAATGTGTTAAAGCTTCTTCTATGTATCCTACTCCCCCCTGCTACTTCTTACTCCCAGCACTTTCTTTCTTTAAATCTGTCTAGATTGAATTAATGTCCCAGGCCATGCTCTCAACTGAAAAAAAGCTGCTGAAATATCAAGGGACAAAACATATTTATATTCAGTTAAGAGTTATCTTTAGTGCTTTCTATCTTAATTCCAATAGGAATTTTCAGATTCCTTTATAAAAGCCCATATTCTCCAGCTCTCTTGAGCAATTCAAATATCCCTTAAATACTCACCCTCAGCTGGTAGATTGTATATCAGATCATTAATTTCCTTTTCTGTAGCATTCAGCCCCATGTTCTGCTCGTAAGTAGCTGCTTTATTGACATCAATAATTCCTCCTTGTGAAAAAGAACATGAGAAAAACTCATTGACTCTAAAATGAGAGAATTGATATTACCATGCTTCTGAAGATCAAGATTTAATGAAGTCTGTTGATAGACATCAAGGAAGTCAATAAGAGTATTAGAATTGAAATATTCTAGGTGATTCAGCAATTTCAATCACTTACAGCAAGTGGTAAAATAAATCAAAATATAGCTGACTATGTGCAAAGCTTATTTTTGTTTTCTAAACCTCCAGATTAGATACCTCAACTCACAGATACAGAAAAAAATCTGTAATTAGGCTCTGTTTCCATTTATTTGGAACACTATTGTTATTCAGATAGACCTTTCCAATAAAAACAATTAAATTCTAGATAAAATATTAAAAAATATCTCCTCAAAAGTATTGAAAAGCTGGTATATGAGAAAGGATTTACTAATCTCTATAAAGTAAATTATAACCCTAAAAGAGACATCTAGGGACTCAGCCAAGAAGGACATGGGGGTAAAATGGGAAGATGACAGAGAAGAAACTGGAGGAAAGTAAGAAGTTATAGACTATTTCTGGATTGTATATGACACTGTCTTCCTACCACATCTTTGAGAATTTACTAGACTGCAGTGGATTACAAGCTTACCTGAGAACATGGGTTCCCAAAAGCAAACAAAGCAAAAGTACTTCTTGCAATTGACTCTGTGTGGGAGACTTATGACAGTATTCTGCTATTAATGATTGATATGAGATTTATATAAGATTTAAGTATACAAGTTAGCAAATACTTGAGTAATCTGTCAGTAGTGTACTATCACTACCTGGTAATGATATTCTTTTTATTTATGCCTCATTTGGTGCAGAAACTACTTATTCAGTAAATATTTATTATCTACCTAAAATATGTGAGTTACCACACAGGGAAAGAGATAAAGATGCACAATGAAGAATCAGGCCTGGTCTCTGACTATTCATAGACATCAGAGAGGCCTTGAGTAAAGGTTAACTCTTAGGATTCTAGGTCATATTACCATGGCACCACACTGTGAAAGAGTCTTGAGAAAGAAGCCAGTTAGGGTTCAGACTTGCTCAACTATAGTGCTTTATCTTGTGGAGTAGTTCATCACTGTGTAGAAAAATCCGATGAATTTTGGGGTACTTAGCATTCCTGATACTGAGGCAATGTAATGCTAATAGCATTCACTCTCACAATCACTTGTGACAAATACACCCCCATGCTCCCTGCCTGTACATATCCAAAAGCTCTATGTGAATGCTTTGGTTTCAAGTACCACACTGATAATTATGAATCCAATCTTTGACAAAATCGATGAGGACTGAGGGATAGTCACAGAAAGGTCTTGTAGAAATTCAAATTTATTCATTAAATACTTAGGTGAGGAAATTGATTAATTATATATTATATAATGTACATATATGAACATTTTCAGGATACAGGGAATGGGGGAAAGCAACTTTTCTAGAGACAGTGTTAAAGGAAACAATGAACTGAAGACAGAATTTTATTTTGCTCCCTGGAATTTATAAAAATGAAGGAACAGGACTCACTTTCACATTAGGAATTAATTTTCCTTAAAGTCTACAAAATGCCTTTTCGTCTCAAAGTCCCTAGTTTTTGAAAACTGTACATTTATGTTCACAAACACAAACTTGAAAGAGACAGCCATTTCTAAAATACTCACCATTAAGTAGCAGGTTTTCTGTCAGTTTTTCCTGTTCCTTTTCTGTGAGCCTAATCGTCATTTCCTCCAGAACACTGTCCAAATCACTCACATTAATTTTCCATTCTTAGGAAAGCAATAGGGAATAAAAAAATGAGAAAAATAAAATGTTTGCAAAATATTTCTAATAATACATTAATTTCATGTGTTTCTATTTGATTAATGTGTTTTTATTTTTAATTAGGCTGTGTTACTGATACAAAAAAGAAATATAATTATGCTTGTAAAATTATGTACCATTTTTAATAAGATTATCGAGACTAATTTGATTTTTCTCCCCCCACTCCCGCCCCCCCAATATCCCCGTGTCCTGTGTCTCCTTCCCTACTTCCATCCCTTTTAACCTCACACCTCCCTCAGGATGTTTGTTAATACACAGTAGTTTTTGGAAGTATTTTACATTGTCGATTTGTCTATGAATGTCCAATATTTGTGATTCTTTTTATCACATTAAGTCCAAGACCTCCTCTCCCCTCCATTGTCTTTGCATTTTCTCATTTATTTCCAATCCAATGCTTTTCAAGATTTCCTTTTTCTCTTAATCCTCATTTTAAACTTCGGATTCAAGATTTAAACCATGGATTCAAGAATAATTGCCAAAATTTCTCATCTATGCTCATAGGACATTTAACCAGGGTTAACTGATTCCCAAATTAAAAATGAGATTACACTGTATTTCTTCTTATGAAAATGATAATGCCTTTTTTTTTTGACAATTTTTTTCACTTACATAAGAAACACAAACGTTATAGAAACTCACCACCAATTGGCAGATTATTCACCAACTCCCAGTGTTTCTTGTCGGTGATGAGTTCTGTTCCCAAGTTTTCTGGAACTTTCTTCTTATCTTTGACATCAAAGTCTCCTCCTTCAAAGCAATAGAAATGGGAGAGTTCTGGAATTATTGTAAATAATATCATGATTCCATGAAATTTTTAAAATTGTCTTAGTGACATTATATCTAGCAGCTTATAAGTCTGACCTAGTAAACAAGCCATTCATTAGGCCTTCAGATAAAGACTTTCTCATTAATTCTAGTATAATCTCAGAATGAATGATGGTCAAAGCAACAGAATATGAAATTGGGTATAAACTTTGTAGTAAATTAGGATGATACAGATTGGTGATCTAAACAGTTTTCACAGCAGGTATTTAATTTGAGACTACCTCTAACATTAACAAAATTTTCCTTCACCATTTACTGTGTTGAGCCTCCTCAACTATGATTGGCAAAGAACCCCCAGGCAGATAGCCATGACAAACATGGGGTACACTGCAGTAGTTTCACTTCTGGCAGAGACTCTCTCTACTGAACAATCCTTGGACATAGTAGCCTTATATATTTTGTCCAATTTTATAATTGCTTATGGCATGAAAAATTTTCAAGTTATTTTATCATGGTTAGAATGGAAGAGTCTCATAATGACTTCCTTTTAATTTTTGTTGAAAGATACGTCAGTGTTCTGTATACCAACTAAGTAATAAGTTTGTTCGTTATGTTGTGTAAAGTATCTTGATAATTTTTGATAGTCTCTTCTATCAAAAACCTAAAAATACATATACAAATTTCTTAGTATTGTCATGAATTTGGCTGTTTTCCCTTTTAGCTCTGTCATTTTATGCCTTACATGTTTTGAGATATTTTGGGGTATACAGTGGTATTGGAAAATTAAGCAATCATTAAATAAAGATGTGTTTTGGAGTAAAGAGTTTATCCTGGTAAATGCAAGGGGCCTCCCTGGTGGCACAAGGGGTAAGTCGCAGCATTATGAAGCTATCCTGGCCAAGGAGCTAACCCACATAGGGCACAGCAGACCTCTCCTATCTTGCCCACTACTCCCCTCAGCAGTGTATTTCAGTCAGTCTACCTGTTCTGTTCCCCACTTTGTCTCTGGTGAATTCTCTCATCCCCCGCACCTCTGGCCTGTTCTCCAGTTCTTGTATGCATAAGTAAATAAATCTTTAAAAAACAAAAAAAAAAGAGCATGCAAACTATGGTAAAGATATAACTATACCTATTTACATGTAAGAGGCAGTGTGCAGTAAGGTATTTGTAGGTGCTATAGCTTGATCTTATTGGACAGTACTTTTATTTTTCTTTCAGTAGGAATTGCTTTGTGATTCATAACATTTCAATTCTAATTAACTTCTTCTTTGAGAACTACAATTCTATCTTTGAATTGTAAAATCTGGTCCAAAGATATTGTGCGCCATAAACATATTTAAATAGGGAAAATGTCATACAAATTGGCTGAAACTGTGTTAGGCTTTGTTCCAATGAAAACTGTTGACCTGACTGTCCCTAGGAACATTTTCAGTTTCTACTAGAACACTAAGACATACCATATGATACCTTAGACATTAAGCCTCTTAGGTCAAGAACTGTGTCTATTTTTACTCACCACTTAATCTCTAGCCCTTAACATAATACCGGATAATAGTGCTCAGGAAAGATTTGCTGCATGAATACATGGTGAAAACAAATCAACTTTAGATTAGTATATTAAGAGAAAAACATCTCTTTTTTGTTACTACTAAAAACAGCGTAAAACTACTAAAAGCAGCAGAATGAGATCTAAGTCACTCACCACTAACTAATTGATTTTCCAGTTTTCCCTGATTTAGGGGGTTGGTAACCTCAGCTGGGTCTCGGTCAAGTTTCTCAGCTATAACTTTGATTGCCATGTTTTCAAGAATAGTATCAAGGCCATGAACATCAGCTTGCATGCCTACAAAAGTGAAAGACATGACATTGAAATAAAAATCAAGACATAAAAAAATTAATTCCTATGTGTCATGGCTGTGAATTTCCTAGTTTAAAAAAAAGAAGAAACCAAGCACATTTAAGTGCTTAAAGACAGTCATTACTGAACTAAAATTATCTCTACTATAGTACTTCTACTACTGAAGATGAGTTTATAAAACAAATATGTTAGAAGAGGGTGAGGAAATACTAAGGTTAATTTTAGCAGCAAAACAAAAAATTGAACAGATTTAATATATTTATACAAATAAGTAGGGTAATAGAATTTTATTTTAAAACACCAAAATTCAAAGTAGCTTATTAGAAAAACCTTTTTATTAGTTAATAAAATAATGCAGTAGGAATTACAAGACAATCATTACATAAGTCAAAATGATGTTGCAAAATTAAGCTTAAATGTATTAGAACCTCCATCACATCAATTTCTTAACCTGTAACACTGTTAGCTCCATTAATTAGTTTATTAAGTTCAACTTTTCCATCAGCTGAAAGACATGGTACAAATTCTGGTGACCACATTATATAAAAACACAATATTAAATACCAAATTGTGACTCTAATAACACACAAAAAAAATGTCTATGTATTATCATTACTCTGTTCAAAACCCACCCAGTGGCAATAAGATTTAACATTAGAACCAGAAGTAGAATTTCTTAGGTTTGTGTTAAAGAGAAGCCTGTTCAACACAAAGTTCTAAAAGGATGCTGGATCCAAATCTTAGCTTAAATGCCATTCTTCTCTGGTAGGTATTCCCCAACATTCCTGTCTATAGCAGTCCACCAGTCTTGATCCCATTACCTATTTTTTTCTTTTGCAGCATTTATTGCTACCTAAAATTATCTCATTTTTTTGATTTATTAATTTCTCCCCCACCTACTAAGAAACAATGCAGGAACACTGTGTGATTCATGATTGTATTTCCTACACCCAGAGGAACACCTAGTACTAAAAAAGTACAATAAATGTCAATTAACAGAATTAATTGCAGCACTAAAGCCTTATGTTGTTGTCAAGATATGTATAAAGAGAGTCTCCATTGATAATAATCTTGAGTTCTCTACTTCACTTTGACACATAGCCCCCTAAGGTTGAATTTTTTCCCTTACCTATCGTAATTGGGATTTCTTTCCAAAATCAAAACAGGTTATTATAAAATATTAACTGAATAATCTAGAGGAACAATAAAAGCAATTTATAGAGGGTGACAAGATTAATCTAATGACTAAGAAGCAGTATAAGAATCAAACAAAAGTATCAGGTTTACTTCCTTTTCATCTTACCTTTAAGAGTGGCCACTGTATTTCTTTGTCTCCTCTGACTTATTTTTTCCTCAGCTATAATAAATGGTAAATAAAAGGAAAAGACAATCTAATGAATGCAAGAATTTATTTGTAATTCACTCATCTGCTGAGGAATTGATATCCAAAATATATAAAGAACTCATGCACTCAACAACAAAAAAATAAGCCACCTCATCAAAAAATGGACAGGGAAAACGAACAGACACTTTTCTAGAGAAGACATATGCATAGCCAACAGGCACAAGAAAAAAATGTTTATTGTTTATTATTAGAGAAATACAGATAAAAACCACAAGATAACATCTCACACCTGTGAGTATACCACACTTTGTATATCCCTTTATGGGTTGATAGCCATTAGAGTTGTTTCCAATTTTTAACTACTGTGAAGAAAACTACTCTGAATATTCATACACAATATTTTTATTAAAATGTATCCATTTCTCTTGGGAAATGTGGAATTGCTGGGTCTTGGTAAATTTTTAGAAACTGTCATGCTGACCTCCAATGTACTTGAGTACCCTCTAGCACGTGATTTTCAACTATTCCTTACTGTTGCCAATACTTGGTATTATCAATCTTTTTATTTTTTGCTCTTCTACTTTTGCTTAGTAGACATAATGATTTATAATTACACTATATTTATAATTACAATTTATAATAATGTCTAATGATGATTTAAAATGCATTTCTCTGATGACTGATAATGTTCAACATCTTTTCATATGATCATGTCACATATATCTTCTTTTGTGAAATATCTGTACAAATCTTTTGCCCTCTTTTATTGATATTTTTGTCTTCTTTTTATTGAGTTGTCAGAGGTTTTTTGATAGTCTTCATGTCAGTAGTGTTATATATATTTTTTGTAATACAATCTCCCAGTCTGTGTCTTAACTTCTTATTTTCTTCACTGTGCCGATCAAATGATAGAAGTGATTAATTTTGATGGAAACCAATTAGTAATTTTTTAATTTCATTCTACTTTTTCACCTAAGAAATCTATATTTTCTGCAAGACATTCTCCAGAGGGCCAGAAATATATATTATTGAATTTGACTAATAAATACAAATGTACTTAACTCACTGAATTTTGGGTTTAGTTTTTATTAACTAAATTTACTGAAGACAACCTGATATATACCACTTTTCCAAAAGTGATAACTTCATCACATACTACCCATAAAAGATGGGTAATATACTGCTCAAATAACACAATGGCTACTATTCTTCAAAATTCAGACAACCAAGGAATGGAGAATATCTCATCAACATGAATTCAGATTTCTTAGTGTATTCACAGTTTTGCACTCACCTTTTTGAATCTTTATTTCATCCAGAAGTGTATTTAGAGCTACCTTTCCATTTGCTGTAATAAAAGAAACAATTTTGACAACAGAATACTTTACATGTCAACTTTAATATTATACTCTCCAAAAATGTCAAATAAAGATTTGACACAGGAAATTGCAGTGATGAAATGAGTCAGCTCACATCACATCCTCCAGCCTACCCCCATTTCCAAGAGAGGAAATGTTGAAACTCTTAAATGCCCAACCTCTCTCTGCCTTCTCCATTTTTTGCTATCTCCTCTTTTCCTTTCACTCACCATCCTTTTATTTTCTTTTTGTTGTTGTTTTCTTTTCCTAAGCTAAATCACAAGCATGTAACTGAAAGAAAAGTCCCTCTGAGATACTGTATAAGCCTACTAACATCAAAGACTAACAAGGGAAGACATTTAGCACATTTAAGATTTAACCTTTCTAACTACATTTCATATTTCCAAAGTAGAAAAATAAATGTAGCTAATAAATCCTTATACACAAATCTAACTTCTCTGAAAAGATCAGTAATATCATGAATGCTTACTATCAGCTGGCAAATTTTCTTGCAGATTCTGAAATTCCTTATTTGTGATCTTCACTCCCATTTTCTCCAGAACATTACTTAGCTTCTGAGTATTAATCTTCCCTCCTTAAGAAAGATGAGATGAAAAGAGATGAAAATTCTATGAAATTCTTAAAAAAAAAATAACAAAATCAGAAATAAAACCTGATATCATTAATCCTTATCCAAAGGTCAAAATTATGCCTGTAATAATAAGACTCAACCAAATTTTAAACTGTAAAGTGTGTAACTGTTCACTAAATTTCACCAAGTACATAATGATGCAAACATTTTGGTCATTTGTTACCACCTACAATAGGATCAGTATTTCTTTCCTTGTATACCCTATCATATGTGTCTAGATTTCCAATTCATTATTTATTTGCTAAAGTAAATTGATCATTGCAGATTTATAACATCTGTGTTTATGTGCAGGCCTAGAATATGACCATTTTTAAAAATGATAATAAGTTATATTTAGAAAAAAATACATATAAAAAACTTGGGGAGTTGATTAGTGCTACAGTAGTACATAATCTCTGCCCACCAAAGAAATTCAGTATCAATGGATACAAACTATAAATCAATAAAATATTATTAACACTTTATGATTTATGAAACATGAAATGAAAAATCGAAACCAATGCAAAATATTTATAAGAATCCAAAATCAAATATACAAAATAACATACAATAATGAGGATAAAAGAAAGTACACCAAAATATGTATGTTAGTTATCTTTGTCTTTTGCTATAAACTAAGGGTGATTTTTTTCTGACTCTATGTTTCCATGTATTCTTCAAGCTTTTCACATTATGAATATGCATTCTTGTAATCATGGACATAAATTTTAACAGTTTTTATTAAAATATTGTGAAGGCTCAAGAGTTTAGTATTGTTATTACTCACTCACCTTGAATAGTCTGCAAGGTATCCATCAATTTAAGCTGATTTATCTTACCATCATCTGTGAGATAAAATACAAGGTTTTAAGCAAAGCAATAAACAACATGAGAAGTGAAAATAAAAGTTAGGAAATAGAATTATAAGATATAGTATGAACACAGAGGATGCCACCATGATGGTAAGAGAGTAGGTTCTTTGCTTTGCTCCCAAGAGGAGGATCTAACAGTTAACCAGAGATACAATACACTGAGAGAGTCCTACAGCTTGAAGTGAAACTGAGTCAGCCCTTAGACATCAGAGACTGATAAAGACTGCACAGAAGAGATGTAGAGGAGAGTCATGCTTTATTGAACTGGAGGTGAATGGAGAGAAACACATGGAGGCTGCAATCTGGAGTGCGGTGCACAGATAGCAGGGTTGCTGGCAGGGCCAAAGGTTTTGGGAAAGGAAGACCATACACATTTGAACAAAGGGAAACACAGGAAGGAGCTGGGGTGGTGTGTGTGTGTGTGTGTGTGTGTGTACGCACGTGAGAGAGAGAGAAAAAGAGAGATTCCCTTGAGGGAATACATATGTATGTATATATGTGACAAATGAGACCTCAAGGGAGTATGACATCACAAGATGAGAATAACTCTCCAGAATAAAACCACAAAAACATAGAAGATTTTATCTGCTTATCACGGAATCCAAAGTTACTATATAAATAAAATCAAAGAGAAGGAAATACAGAAAGGCAAGTCAAAAGTGATACAAGCAGGAGGAGACGCTGCGAGTAAGATCTCCCATTAAAAAAAGTGAATAGGGAGGAAAAGCGGCAGGTCCCAGTGAGAACCGGGACACGGAAGATAAACGGACGAGTCCAGCAAACTGCCTGAAGAAGAAAGTTGCCATAAAAGAGGACTAGAAGGGAGGAAAGCGCAGAACCCTGCTCCCCTCCCCCGCCCACAGAGGCGGCACTCTCCAACCGGCAGAGAGGAGGAAACAACAAACCAAAACGGCCCACAAGAACAAACGACGCAGCAAGCGGGACTGTGAGTGGAAAGGAACTATTGCAGCCACCACACCCCGTGAACGGGAGCTGAGGCGAACCCTGCAGGATCCGCCGCGGCGGTGAGCGAACGGCTCCGGGCGCCATTAGAGAAGAACAAAGACCCCGGGAGACGCGCACACAGCCCGGGCTGCCGGTAAGCCTGCGCGGAAACGCGGCGCGCTTGGCACGCTTGAAAAGAAAACGCGGACCGGGATTCCGGCTGCCCAGGTCCCCGCGCCTGCGACCTAGGCTTGCGGGGAGACGCGCGGAGGTCCTCACTGAGGTGAAGGTCCCTCCCTGAGTGAGCAGGAACCAGGCGCCCAGGCACGGGAGCGGTGCAAAAGGCGCCAATCCCGCGCCACTGAACTGGGCTACAGCCCCCGTCTTGGAACTGAGGGCTTTGAACTGAGACCCGGGGCACGAAAATTCGGGGCGTGGTTTCTCCACGACGGTGGGGCACAAGGCAGACACAGCACCCCAAAGCTGTTGAGGTGTACCCTACCATTCCCGCTCTGTTCTCTGTCCCACGGGGTGGGGGGAGGCGAAAAACAACCCCCCAAGGACAATAGGAGAGATCTCTGGCGCCACCTAGCGACCAGGAAAAAAAAAACTCACTAACACCCTATAAAACAGGGCATTTCTTAAGACTGCTTGAAAAGGGCAGAAGGTTTCTGGAGGACCCAGTGGCCAGCCGGGAAGTTATTCCACGCCAGGCCCCTTCCGACCAGCAGTCTGAGCCCACAGAGGGAGCAGGCACCCACGTCCGGGGCAGACCGGGTGCGCAGAAGAGTGTGCCTGAAACCGGAGGCACAGGGACTGCATCCCGCTTCGCCATTTGAGAACAGGGACATTTCTTCAGTAAAAACTGCCTAAAACCAGCAGAAAGCTCCCCCAGAAGACAGAGATGGCTCCTGGAAGAGCCAGAGGGGAGCGGAGAAGTTCACCCAAGATGTCAGTCAGTCCGAGCAACACAGTGTCCCAACGCATACGACAAATTAGAAAACAGACAGTAGGGAGTAGAAGAACCACACGCAACCTAAAAACTCCTCAGGAAAGAAGCACACCACAAAAAGAAAACCACTCCCCAGATTGCAACGACAGCGACTTGGAAGAACTTCTGAGCCTTCCAGAAAGAGAATTTAAAATTGCCATGATTAAAAAAGTGATAGATCAGAAGAAGGAAATTGAGTCCCTAAAGAGGGAAGTAAGAGAAATGCAGGAGATCAAAGAATTAATGGAGGAACTAAAGAACTCTGGGAAAAGCAATGAAAGCAGAATAGATGAAATGGAAGAACGAATAAGTAATCTTGAAGACACAGAAATAAAAAGAACCAAAACAGAAAAGGAAAGAGAAGTACGAAGGAAAAAGAATGAAGAAAGACTTCGGGAACTATCTGACTCCATGAGGAAAGGAAATATAAGAGTTATAGGAATTCCAGAAGGAGAGGAGAGAGATGTAGGAACAGAGAAAATATTCATGGATATAATTGAAGAGAACTTCCCAAATGAGAAGAAGGAGCTGAAAATTGATATACAAGAAGCAAGAAGAACACCAAACTTCCACGACGAAAGGAAAAACACAGCAAGACACATAATAGTAAAGCTCCCAAGAATCCAGGACAAGGAAAAAATAATGAATCTGACAAGAGGGAAGAAACAGATAACATTCAAAGGAAAACCAATCAGGCTGACATCAGACTTCTCTGAAGAAACACTACGGGCAAGGAGAGAGTGGAGGGACATAGTCAACAGACTCCAAGAAAACAGATGCCAACCAAGAATACTCTATCCCGCAAAGCTCTCTTTCCTCCATGAAGAAAGAATATGGACCTTCCCAGACAAAGAGAAACTCCGGAATTTCATTGCGACTAAACCCCCACTCCAAAAAATACTACAAGGAATCCTAAAGCCAGAACCTCAGAGGGACGAATAACAACGAAGGAAGACCAAAAAAAAAAAAAAAAGTTATTAAAAGAATAAATAAATAAAATCAAAGGAAAGACAAACATAATGGCAAATACAGATGCTAACATATCAATATTAACTCTAAATGTAAATGGACTAAACTCTTCAATAAAAAGACACAGAGTTGCAGCCTGGATTAAGAAACAAAACCCAACCTTTTGCTGTCTCCAGGAAACACATTTAGCTACAAAAGATAAAAATAGGCTCAAAGTCAAAGGATGGAAAACAATCCTACAAGCAAATGGGCCAAAAAAGAAAGCAGGAACAGCTATACTTATATCAGATAAAACAGACTTCAAACTCAAAAAAATAAAAAGAGACCCCAATGGTCACTACATTATGATTAAGGGGACAATACTTCAAGAAGAAATAACACTCATTAACATATACTCACCAAACGAAAGAGCACCAAAATATATCAGACAACTGTTGTCCTCTCTGAAAACAGACATCAGAGAAAACACATATGTAGTGGGAGACTTCAACACACCACTATCAACAATGGATAGATCAACAAGACAAAAAATAAGTAAAGAAACTAAAGCTCTAAATAAGGACCTAGAGCATTTGGGCTTAACAGACATCTATAGAACACTAAACCCAAAAAAAACGGAGTACACATTTTTCTCAAGCGCACACGGATCATTCTCCAGGATCGATCACATACTGGGGCACAAGACAAACATCAACAGATACACCAAGATTGAAATCGTACCAACCATCTTTTCTGACCACGAAGGCATCAAACTAGAAATAAATCATAAAAAGAAGGCAAGGAACTATCCTACCTCATGGAGATTAAAAGCCACACTACTGGAAGACCACTGGACTAACGAGGAGATCAAAGAAGAAATTAAAAAATTCTTTGAATTGAATGACAAGGAGGACACCAATATCCTAAATGTATGGGATGCAGCAAAAGCAGTAATAAGAGGAAAATATATAGCAATAGAAGCTCACATCAAAAAACAAGAAAGAACTCAAAGAAACAACCTAATCTCGAAGCTCAAAGATCTAGAAAAAGAACAACAAAAAAACCCCAGAACCAGTAGAAGAAAAGAAATAATAAAAACCAAAGCAGAAATAAATGAAATTGAAACTAAAAAAACAATCCAAAAGATCAATGAAACCAAGAGCTGGTTCTTTGAAAAAATAAATAAAATAGACAAACCCCTAGCCAGGCTCACAAAGGAAAAAAGGGAGAAAGCACAAATACACAGAATCATAAATGAAAGAGGAGAAATCACAACGGACACAGCAGAAATCAAAAGAATAATCAGTAACTACTATGAACAGTTATATGGAAACAAGTTCAACAATCTAGAGGAGATGGACAAATTCCTACAACTCTACAATCACCCAACGCTAGATAAAGAAGAAATAGAACACCTAAACAGGCCAATTACAAGCAGCGAAATTGAAATGGTAATTAAAAACCTCCCCAAAAACAAAAGCCCAGGACCTGATGGATTTACAAATGAATTCTACCAAACATTCAGAGACGAATTAGTGCCTATCCTTCACAAACTCTTCCAAAAAATTGAGAAGGAAGGGACAATACCAAACACGTTCTATGAAGCCAATATTACACTAATACCAAAACCGAATAAGGACAACACAAAAAAGGAAAACTATAGGCCAATCTCCCTAATGAACACTGATGCAAAAATCCTCAATAAAATTTTAGCTATCAGAATCCAACAATGTATCCATAAGATAATTCACCACGACCAAGTTGGATTCATTCCAGGGGCACAAGGATGGTTTAACATCCGAAAATCAATCAACGTTATCCAACACATCAACAAAAAGAAATATAAAAACCATATGATAATATCAATAGATGCTGAGAAAGCTTTCGACAAAGTGCAACACCCATTCATGATAAAAGCCCTTGAAATTCTTGGGATACAAGGAACATACCTCAACATCATAAAGGCCATCTATGACAAGCCAACAGCCAGTATCATTCTCAATGGTGAAAAGCTGAAAGCAATTCCATTAAGATCTGGAACAAGACAAGGATGTCCACTCTCACCACTGCTTTTCAATATAATACTGGAAGTCCTAGCCAGAGCAATAAGACAAGAGAAAGACATCCAAGGAATCCAAATAGGAAAAGAAGAAGTCAAACTATCACTATTTGCAGATGATATGATAATATACATAGAGAACCCCAAAATCTCCACAGAAAAACTAATTCAACTCATCAATCAATTCAGTAAAGTGGCAGGATACAAAATCAACACGCAAAAGTCAGTAGCCTTCCTATACACAAACAATAAATCTGAAGAAGAAGAAATCAAAAAAACCACCCCTTTTATTATCGAAACAAAAAAAAATCAAATATTTGGGAATAAATCTAACAAAAGAGGTAAAGGACCTATACAAAGAAAACTATAAAACACTGTTAAAAGAAATAGAAGAAGACACAAAGAAATGGAAAGATATCCCCTGCTCATGGATTGGAAGAATAAACATTATTAAAATGGCCATCCTACCAAAAGCAATATACAGATTCAATGCTATTCCAATCAAAATCTCAATGGCATTCTTCAAAGAAATAGAACAATTATTGATGAAATTCATATGGAATCACCAAAAACCCCGAATAGCCAAAGCTCTACTGAAAAAAAAAGAAGGAAATGGAGGCATCACACTCCCAGACTTCAAACTATACTACAAAGCCATAATCATCAAAACTGCATGGTATTGGAACAAGAACAGACATACAGACCAATGGAATCGAATAGAAAATCCAGAAATAAACCCACAGATCTATGGTCAACTAATCTTTGACAAAGGAGCGAAGACTATGCATTGGAGCAAAGAAAGTTTGTTCAATAAGTGGTGCTGGGAAAACTGGGTCGCTACATGCAAAAGAATGAAGCTTGACCACTACCTCACACCATACACAAAAATCAACTCAAAATGGATTAAAGAACTAGACATAAGACCTGAAACCATAAAATACATAGAAGGAAATATAGGCAAAACACTACGGGATTTGCACATCAAAGACATCTTTACAGACACATCACCCAAAGCAGTGATAGTGAAGAGAAAGATAAACAGCTGGGACTACATCAAATTAAAGAGCTTCTGCACAGCAAAAGAGACAATAACAAAAACAAAGAGAAACCCCACCAACTGGGAGAACATTTTTGCACCCAACACTAATGATAAAGGACTGATCACAAAAATCTGCAAAGAGCTGATGAGACTCAGCAACAACAAAGAAAATAATCCAGTCAAAAAATGGGCAGAAGAGCTAAAAAGAAACTTCTCTGAAGAGGAAATGCAAATGGCCAACAGACATATGAAAAAATGTTCAACATCACTTGTAATCAGGGAAATGCAAATCAAAACTACAATGAGATACCATCTTACACCAGTGAGAATGGCACATATTAAAAAAACTAGCAACAACAAATGTTGGCGAGGATGTGGAGAAAAAGGAACTCTTGTGCACTGTTGGTGGGAGTGCAAACTGGTCCAACCACTATGGAGAGCTGTGTGGAGATTTCTGGACCTACTAAACATAGAGCTTCCATATGATCCAGCAATTCCACTCCTAGGTATTTACCCA